TTAGACCCCAGATTACTAAACTCAATTCTCATCTCAAACGATCGCCATCCCATACCAAAAGTGGAAGATATCTTTGAACACCTTCAAGGTTCAACTATTTTCAGCACACTAGATTTACGACAAGCCTTTCATCGCTTTCAAGTCTATGAACCGCACCGAGTCAAAACAACTTTCACATTCGAAGGTCAACAATATCAATTCCGCGGATGCCCATTTGGATTGAAGCATATATCATCACGCTATCAACGTGTAGTCAATTCAGTACTTCATGATCTGCCATATGCACAAGCCTTCGTAGATGATATTATCATATTTTCATCAACCTACAAACAGCATATACAGCATGTACAAACTGTAATACAAAGACTCACTGATGTCAATCTAATACTCAATCCCGACAAATGTCACTTTGCCCAAACATGCGTTTACCTTCTTGGATTTTGTGTTGACGCACAAGGCTCAAAGCTCGACCCTAGAAAAGTCTCCAACGCACTATCTTGGCCACAACCAACTACAGGAAACAAATACAACGTTTCCTTGGACTGGTCAACTACTTCCGTCGCTACATACCTAACATTTCTCAAACAACAGCACCCCTAGATCAAATACGCTCCGCAGATAAACTGGCTAATTTATGGACAGCCCAGCATGAAAAAGAAGCATTCCAAAAATTAAAGGTACTACTCTCATCGGCACCCATACTTCACCATCCAGACTATCAGCAACCGTTTTACATCGCAACAGGCGCCAACAACTACTCAATAGGCGCTGTGCTCTATCAGATTATAAATAAAGAAACAAAATACATCGGATTCATGGCACGTTCATTAACTGGATCAGAAAAGAAGTACTCCACGACCAAAAGAGAACTACTAGCCATCATATTTGCATTGAAGAAATTCCATCCATTCCTATGGGGAAAGCACTTCACATTATACACCGATCACAAAGCACTCATGTACTTACATTCACAGCCAATAGCTAATTCTATGATGATAAACTGGCTTGACACAATACTTGATTACGATTTTACCATCATTCATCGACCCGGACTAAAAAATATACTACCAGATCACCTATCGCGTTTATTCCAACCTGAACAAACGCTGGGGAAGGATGAAACTACTAAACTGAAGCCAACAACATTAATCACTACTACACGAAAAATCAATGAAAATGGATCTGTAGCTACAATGCGTACAATAATGCCAGCTGATATGATCACACCTTCACCAGAAGAACGACCAGAATTGCTACTGAAGACGCATTTACAAGGTCACCGTAGTGCTAAATACATGGTCACAGCCCTTCACAGCGACAATATACATTGGACCAAAGTGCATCAAGAGGCAAAAAACACAGTGAACAACTGTCCTGACTGTCAAAGATTCAACTTGGCAAAACACGGTTACCACCCTCTTAAATCAATACAAGCAGATGCACCGTGGGACCATGTCTGTATAGATACTGCAGGACCATTCCCAACATCAATTGAAGGCAATAATTATATTTTAGTAGTAGTAGATGCATTAACTAGATTTTGCATTACATATCAGAGCACTACCCGACAAAGCCGCCTTAACCATTGCACTCACCCTGAGAAATATCTTCTCACTCTTCGGTCGACCCAAAATCATTCAAAGCGATAACGGCACCGAATACGTTAACCAAATAGTACAGCTTTACATCCAACACTCAATCAGGCATTGACCACAGACTTGTCACAAGCTACCATCCACGGGCAAACGGCATTGTCGAACGCTGGGTAGGAAAAACTAGAGCTATCATTCACAAGAGACTCCAAGGAAAAAAGGATAACTGGGACCTGTACATAGACAGTACTCAAGAAGATCTCAACGTGACTCACACTAGCATACATGGTTCACAGCCATTCTCTCTGATGTACGCACGACGACCCAATGACAACTTGGACTACACAAATATCACTGATAAGACCTATCAACCACAGTACAAAAAACGGCGTCAAGAACGTGTTACTGAATTCAACAACACTATTATACCCGTGATACGCAAAAAGATTGCTACATCACAACAAGCATCTCAACAAAGATTCAACAGCACGCACCATATCATTGAAGACATACCTGCCAACAGTCAAGTATTGATCAAAAATGTTAACCGTACAACTAAAAGCGACCCTCTCTACGTCGGCAACTACACAGTTTTACGCAAGACCAGAGGAGGAAGCTATGTACTCAAGGACGGCACAGGTGCACTACTACCAAGGGACATACCACCTTCACACTGTGGTATTTGACGACTTGTAGAGTTAAAATCACTTAATTAAAACAGTAAAAAGTTAACGAGATCAAACTAGTAGGTCTTTATTTTGAATAAAGTTAAGTTCAAAGAGAAGAAAAATATCTACTGCAAAAATTTAAATATCTTCTTCATATTGCGGAACCTAGAAACTGACAGTTGAGTTATTCTACTGAAAGAAGACGTACGTCTTCTGAACCGTAAAAGGATAGAATTCCCCCTTGAGGAGATTACGCATCTACCCGGAGCGGGTGGATTTGTAAATGTATCCATGGCTTGGTCTAGTGATCATGCAACTAACCTATTTTCTCGTGCTAACCATTATGTAGCACTGCTTGCAGGAAAATAGTATTAATTAGGAAAATGGTATTCGTGCGTGGTATTTGAGTTGAGTGAACAGTTATTGTAAAGGATGATCACGTAATCATTCTTTATGCCGAAGGCAGAGAATAGTTCTTATAACCTATTATACCTTGGTGTTGAATCAATATATCCTGCATGTGCATATATTAATTCTACTGTTGTATCCAACAGCATATTACTCTTGGATTATTACTGATATATCCAGTTACTTTAAAAGACTTATAAAAATAAAATAAGACAGTAAAATGACCAGACACAACAAAGATACTCTTTATTCAAGTTTGTTGAGAATGATACTTTTATATGAGAAACGGGGTTATTAACGGGTATTCAACTATTAATACAACTGAACTAAAACTATCATGAGAATGATAAGATCTTAGCCGCAAGCGGGTGTCAAAGTAGATGTGTGTCAGATTGTCAAGCAGGTACTGAAGTCGTTCTGTAGTTTAAGACGAATAGTTGTATCTTGGATACAACAATTACATAATACTGAAATAAGAGACTACGGATCCTTATGAAGGTTAGAATAACCGCGAGTGATCCAGAACAATTCTTTTCTTTTACGCAAGAATATTTCATCTGTATATCCGAGACAACATTGTATTAGTAATTGACTTCATTTAGAAGTAAGATATAGTATTTGGATTTGATTAAATCAGACAACTTTATTTAGCAGATCAAACCACAATGCACAAATCTTAGTTACTCGGCCATTATCTAACATGTTGATCCATTACATTAATTCTTCACATCCTAACAGAATTTATAAGTCTTGAACGGAGACATTGGCAGAATCTAGGAATAGTTTATCCCGAATCTGTCGAGGTACGGGTCACCCGAACCTTTAGTCAGATCGACTCACTTACCTCCTTTTACCGATCCAGTCGGTCAAGGCACCGCTATAGCATGATGAACCGTGCAGTAACAATTGGGTATGTCTTTTCTTTTATCATCAGGTCATCTTGTACCTAAGAGTCTCGATAGAAAAAGTTTTTTACAATATCCACAAATTTAAATAGAAGTGCTTTTTTCCTACATGGTTTTTGTTTTCAATTCTTTATCAGAATATTCTACTGAATAAAAGAAGATAACTTGGTCTTCACTGATTTCCTTTTGTTTTCTTTTCTCTTTATATTTCTATCTTATTCATATACAGTAGTCATTAACATAGGTGTTGCTACCTGAACATCCTTCGGTTTTACCTCCGGATTTACCATCATCTCATTGGTAAAACCGCCATACGACGATACCTACTGCTTTAATTTTTGTCTATGGCAAGATGATTAATCATCCTTTTGTAAAGGGCCTGGTACACTGCGGTTGCTAGTGTTCTGGTAATACGACCAGTTGGTTCGGGAGAGGTTTGCCTGCCTATACCTTTCATGGATTGCCCTATGGACGATCTTCTCCTACAGCGCTGTAGCTTCTAGTTTTAAAGACACCAACTGGATAATAGCTTACTTTGTCGCCAATACGCTGCTTCTCGGTTTAGATACACCATAGGTTTTTCGATAGGAATACCGTAGAATAAAATTTTCCAAAATCCTATCATTAACAAAGCAGAAATAAAAAATAAAAGCAGAAACTTAATAATGCCCAAATGCCTCAGCAGTAAGTACTGAATCAGATTGTGAGGATAGCGTTTCCAGGCAGAAGCAGCAGGGTTTGGTACCTTTTATAGGAGCAGAGCGTCTGTGCTTCGTTTCGAGGCAAAATGATAAAAGGGAAAGTAAACTGCACATTCAAATCTGCTAACGAGCAGGGCAGCTTCATGAGAAGATATAGAGAACGTCTTTACACAGTCAGCAAGATGGTTGCGATACAACATCGAGCCGATGGATAAGACTCTTCAAGGAAGCTCCCAAAGAATGGTATTATGACAATGGTGTCTAACTGGCAGAAACAGAGGTAAAGGCCAAAACACTTACGTACTAATTGTTAAAGCAAGCCATAACCACCTGTGGCCACATTGCTGAGTATAATGCCATAGTATCAAATCAATCTTTTCGACAAGTGGAACGATTTAGATTAGTTTAACAATCTCTCTCAAGTTAGTTTCCTTATAACTTTTAGATGATTCCTTCCTATGCAATTTTATCATTTCTCAACGATGTGTGACCATTTTGTAACCGATGCTTCTCATCGTCACATGAGTTGGACATTCATTCAATTGTCTTATTTGAGCCTAACAACAGTCGGGAGTGATATTGACTTGATGAATGGTATGCCACGACTGACATGCACGAGTCTCATTCACCTTTGACGGTATTTAACAATTTTGCTTTTGGAGCTCAAGTACTCTGCTATTAAGTACAAAGAGACGGACATTTTCCAGTATATCTCATGTTAGAAGAGCAAGAATACGAACTTATCGTAATTCGAAATGAACAAGTTGCATTCTTTTCTTCAAAAATGACAGAACTCGTCTATGCTACTGTAATTTGTTGAATAACATATCTTACAAATGAGCAAATTCGGCAAAGGATGTTTAAGGTTCAAATTTATTAGTAATTGCAGGAGGGGTAGGTCATATCAAATGAAGGTAAATGAACGTTGAATTATTGAAAGATTAAGCATTGACTTCAGCTGCAGTATTATGTGTCATTTCACGGCGCTTGATGGTAGTGGCGAGGACTTGCGATCGGAAAGAGAGGCCCTTTGTACGCTCAATTACCTGCTGATAAACAGATGTCACAGGTGTGTTCATGATGACGGTGTTTTCTTCAAAGTCAATCTTAGCATCAACACGAGTGTCTCTAATCAAGTTAACAATCCATTTTTCACCTTCCTCTTCAGATAAATTCAATCTCTGTGACATTTCCCTAGATGGAAACAAGGAAAATAAATATGAACGAGTGTTAGTTGCAATCATTACAACGCAGTTTAAAATGTTTGCGCAGCATACTTAATGTCTATCTTCTGGTGAATTCTACAGTATGTCTCGGAAATGAATTGTCTTGCACTTTCCATAAAATCTTCGTGTGTAGCAGCCAAGAAAAAGTCGTTGCTCAAAACACCTTCACACTCCTTCAATTTCTTCTGAGCTCCCTCGAAATCAAATCGAACAAAAAGAGCTTCGACAAACTCCGTAACAGGGTCTCGGTACTCGTATGATTCTTGTTCAATAATCTTTACCAATTCCTTCATTTGATTCTTCCTGCGCTTATTAGTGACAACAGCCGTTGCAAGATAACGTAAGATCCAAGGGCAGGAGGTTTGTATAGTATTAATATATTGAGGAGTGAGAAACATGTCGACGATGCCGTCTCGGCCTTTAGGATGATTGAAAAAGACAAATAGAGACCAGTGAAGTAACCAAGTACGTTGCTGAAGTTGTTGAAGAGGTGTTGTGAAATTCTAATTCATCAATGTTTAAACCGATTATTAAATACTGTATTGATAACAGGTGTTTAAATTTCTTCCTACCTTTTGATCAATGATCTCTCTCAACTTTTGCATTTCATCCAATGCTGCATCCCAGTTACCGGTTAAGATCTCTGCAGCCATTTTGCCCCAAGTAGCAGATAAAGAGCGTTCTGAATCAGTTGACTATACACCGTGTGATTAATATATTACTAGTGTCTCAAAATAAGGCATAGAGGTTTATATCTACTTACTAAGACACGGTAGTGATAAAGATAATCAGCAGCTCCTCCGTAATCACCGCAGTTGTATTGGAATTGACCAAACTCGTATAAAATCTCAATGGAATCTTCAGTGAACTGATAATTATCCTTCAAGTATTGTAAATTTTGAGCCTTGTCTTGACGGAGAGCAGCAATAACTTCCGGCTTTTCAAGGATGTCCATGACTTTCTGAGCTTTGTTTCTGAAATCTTCCATTTGTAACAAAACCTTTTCTCTCTTTTCGGTAAACTCTTGAAAATGCAAAAGAAATCATGTTTGTGTGAGAAAACATTGCCGAATTGGACAGTTTTTTTCTCAATAGCTTACCCTTTGGTGCGTCATCGGTCTTATTGATAGTCTTATACAGATCAAGAACAAAATCAACCATATTTGAGTTTTTGAATAAGTCATATTTGGCTTGAAGTAAATCTTTAGGAGCATAAACCTAAATAACGTTGATTGGGTTGGAGAATGAAACATAAGCTTTCAATCGACTTCGAATAGAAGTGTATACATGGCGTTTTTCAAAATATTGCTTTACTTCTTTCAACTCTAAGAATTCAATAAGAGGAAAAACAAGATGACGATCCAAAAAAGGAATCAGCTTCATAGTCAAATCATGTGTGGCAGCCATATTGAACAAAATTTCAGTGAATAATGCTGAAAGGAAGACGAAAGAAACACGTTGGGGAATTAAAAAAAGGGCAAAAATTTTGGAAGGCTTGCACCAAGGAAATGTCAAGGCACAGTCACTCGAAAACAAAAATCAAAACTTTGTGTGGAATGATTCAACATTGTGCTTTATTCATAGATGGTTTTTTTGCAGGAAGTGGTGCTTCATGGCTTTGCCACTGCGTATGTCGATCTGGTATCCAGCTTAATATGTTATTCATTCTTGTATCAGTAAGAGTATTACTCGCCTTATCAGGTTGGTTTTCCACTTTGTTTTCCACTTTGGGACTTAACTGGGGCGACGTTAGGCTGAACCCTCTGGAAGATGGCCTCTTTTTTTTAAACGTTTTCGTATTATCTTCGCTGTTACAACCATCTATAATCTTCTCTAAGCGCAAAGAGACAGGTTCTTTTTTGCGAAATGGATATGGTAACGTCATTTCTTGCAGAATAGATGCATCAGGAGGGTTGATGTAATTATGTGTTTCTATTGGGGTTGGAATGTAAAAACTCGAAGATTTGCCTATCACTGCAGGTTTTTCTTTAAATGCAAAAGTACACGCCAAATGCTCTCTTCTTTGAAATTAATGAATAATAGTCAGTCCACGATCAATTACCATAGTGATCAATCTTCATCTTTTTAATAGATCCAAGTTTATGGATACTTACATCTATTTCAATAGGAATGTTAGTAAAATGACAATATGCTGAGATTGGAGTAAATTTACATTGTTATGCGTATCTAATTCTATTCTACCATCTCTAAATGACGATTTATCTGTGGTCGAGGTAGCAGTGGTTGCTACTGTCACTATCGTATGGGATGACAAGCTTTTTTTTAAGGAAGGTATTGGTTTTACCGTATCATTAACATGCCTAGAAAAGGCTGAAGGCTGCTCGCCACTTATACTTGAAAGTGAATGCTGGCTATTCTCCACGTCAAATTGATCAAATGTTTTTTGCAATAATTCTTCTGTTTTTTGAGACATATTGTCATCCTCGACCACCAATGAGTGCAGCTGCTTCTCTACATTCGATTTTGCTGATATGTAGACAGAATTACTACTATTCGCGGGAAGCTGGGTTTGGTAATGGCTGCTCTGTACGCTTGATGAAGATCGATTGTGGGTAGATATACTACTGTTCTGTCGACTGAATGAAGAAAAAGGAGATGGTCGACGTCTAACTTGTGCTGATTCCATATATTGCCTGTAGCCTCAGAGAAGGGTTATGCTTAAAAGAAAGATGCCTGCGGTTTTTTTAATCCAACAAAAAAAAAAAAAAAAGGACATACTGTTAGGGCAATCTGAAACCTACCAAAAGCCATCGAAAGAAAAGTAGCATGATTGCCTGAATGGAAGATAATGTAAGTTACCGAGTACCACAAATAGACGAGCTACGTAACTACAATCAATGCGCTTGGCAATTTGCTATCAAATCAAAATCTTGAATCTGTCTGCGTGGAAACAGTTTGAGGAACTAAACAGATCATAAACTATTTAGCCCCATTGCATCTTACATATAGTGTCTTAGCAGCAACAATAGAACATTTGAGAAATATTATATGAATTGGAGTAATTTTTTTGGTGCAAGCGAATTGAAGACATTGCTGAACGGCTTACGACTACCAGTTTAGGCGAGAAGTTATGGTTCACAGTACCACAAATAAGAGGAAGCAGAAGAGGAACATGGGCGCTGCAGGTCCTTTCCGTTAGGTAGTGTATCTTTGGGCTAAGAAATTATGGTGACCTGTTTGCGTTAAACATATAAAGGAACTCTAGATTGCTTGTTAAATCTGTCGACTATCGATATAGCAAATGACATTTTGAATTATTTCTTATCCGAACGTTTTCTTCCACCTTTTGTTCGCTTGATTATTGGGAATCTTCGGTCAAATTACTATATTTCAAACAGTTGCTGTAAACCATTTCAAAAATGTTATATAATCCAGAAATATGGTTATAAATTTAAATTTTCATTATTTTTAACACAAATAATGGAATAATGTTTTACCAGTTTCGCGGTGAAGCTGATTACTGCTGAGTTCCTTATTTTTACCCCGTATGGATTTATTGAAACGGTTGTCGCTCAATATTATGGTTGATAATAACAACTTCAGTGGCAGTAGTAGGAGCCAAAACAGACATCGTATTTCAGCTTATATCATGCACATGGTAATAACGGCAACAGGAGAATTTTTAAAAAAGAAATGGCCCCAAACGTATGACCTATCGTCCCCATCTTCAACAGCTATCACAACAGTTGCGTTTGCAACCCTCAGTACTAGATCATCCGAGACAGATTCGAAGTATAACAATTGATCGTTGCTCTAACTTTATGAGCGTTGCTGCTAACGGCAATGTTACGAACCTGTTGGCTCACTTGTATAAAGCAAAAACAACGTCCTGAAGTAAACTACCCTTCGTAAATATGAATCGAATAATAACGAAGTCTTCCTAAAATAGAGGAATATATAAATCTATTTGTCTACAGCGTGCCAAATTTGCAAAGGATTACTTTCGAAAATGCTATTCGACAAGAATTTGGACCCACTAGGCAAGTTGAGTGGTTTGGTCCTTCATGGGTAAAACAGAATAATATAGAAAAAATGAACGCTTGAGGCAGAAACGAACTGAATTTTATAAATGTTTGTTTCAAAGTCTACACATTGGTTCCATCTCCAACTTAGAATACCTAACGAGTTCGCTGGTCAAGAAGTCCGTTTTATATGGAATTCAGATAGTGAAGCCATGATTTGGAGCATTGAGAGAGTCGCTTTACAAGGCTTGACAGGCGGAGCAGGCAGTGATGCACGACATGAGTATATATTAACAACGCAGGCTGAAGGAGGGGAATTTGTGCAGTTGTATATTGAAATGGCTTGTAATGTTTGGTGCAAGTAACGGGTTGATCGGTCCACTTGATAGCAACAGATTCTTTAACTTAAATGAAGTGGTACGAGGAGAATTCTAGAATTAGTCTGTATCTAAAACTTAACACACTGCCTTTATGTGAATTTAGGCTCTTGCTGTACCGAACAAGTTGGCATGAGACCTATTCTATGACTATCAAATAATTCTCGGCATGGCGAGAGACTTACCAGAAGATTCATTACGCGGATTGCAGGCTCTCTTTGCAGCCAACAAAATATTGAATGTCTTCAACCCTAACGACGAAGAGTTAATTGACAATGCTATAATGCAAGGCCTTACTGTATCGCGAGAGTTCCTAGCATGCAAGAACGGTGATGCTCCAGCATACTATTTATGCCGTTGGTCATTGTCACATTGACACTGCTTGGTTATGGCCCTTTGAAGAGACCATCCTCAAAGTCGCTCGTAGTTGGACAGCTCAGATTCAACTAATGGACCAATATTCGGAATATAAGTTCGTTTGATCTCAAGCACAACAATATCAATGGATCAAAGATCACTATCCTCCTTTGTACAATCGAATCAAGGAAAAAGTCAGTTTGAATCAATTCTCACCAACGGGTGGCGCTTGGGTTGAAATGGATACTCATATGCCTTGTAGAGAATCACTGGTGCGTTAATTTTTACTGGGCCAGCACTTTTCTAAATCTGAATTTGGAAAACGTTGTAATGTCAGTTGGTTGCCGGATTCCTTTGGATATTCCTCACAGCTACCTCATTAATGAAGCAAGCAGATATGCCATATTTCTTTACGCAAGAGTTGTCGTGGAACAATGTGAATAAATTCCCTTTGACTACGTTTTGGCGGATAGGGCTAGACGGAACAAAAGTCAACACATATGGCGCCATCAGACACTTACAATAAACAGTGTGCTCCGGAAGAATCGCTGAGAAGCGTGAAAAATGATAAAGATAAGGTGTATTGGAACACTAGCCTACTGGTGTATGGTAATGGTGATGGAGGTGGGGGGAGGCCTTTACCGAGTATGATAGAAAGATTGAGAAAAATGAAGGGCGTGGTAAGCATTAATCCGTTTTGATTGTGTGACCCAATTCTCTTACAGTAGCATTCTTACCGTTTCAACGGTCGGATAGGATGGCTGACCCAAATGTAAAATAGCTTTACCAACGGATTTCTTTGCAAACATAGAAAGTACATCAGAGACTTTACCGTCATGGAAAGGAGAGCTTGTATATTCAACCCGTTTTTCTATTTCAGGTTGCCAGAAGGAAATAGGAAGAACACTAATTTATATGCCATTGTTGCTGTCAGTATTTTGAATGACATAGAGGTACATACACAACACAGGCCTTCTGTAAGAAACTCAATCGAACCTGTGAGTTTCTGCTTCGTGATCTCGAAATGATGGCTACTTTCGTGATGATCAATTTTGGTAATGAAAAACATAGTGATAACCGCAACAGCACAGACCTGTATCAATACCCTAAGGACGAAATAGACGACCTGTGGAAGATGACTTGTTTGCCTCAATTTCATGATGTGATATCGGGTTCATCCATTGAAATGGTGTACGAGGATTGTTTACAATTGTACACTAAAGTAGATAGACTGGTCAAACAAATGCGAGACAACCCAATCGACCGTCTATTGAGAATATCTTAAAAAGATAACAATACTTGGGATAAAAATCCACCTAGTGGCATCAATAGAAATAAAATACTGGATGAATTCGAATTGAGTAAAGAGCATGGCACTATGGATGCTGATGAAATATTGGAAAATACAACGTCAACACGATGCAGATAGAAGTGACGAGGAGAAATTAATTGTTGCTATAAACACTTTAGCATGGGATAGACAGGAAATTCTGGAAGTGCCTATCGCTTATTTGAGCAGCATCCCCATCGTCCCTAGTGCCATTTTCACTCAACAACAACAGTATTCAGCATTCGGATCTACAGGCTACATTCTTGTTGATGTGAAGGCTATGAGTGCTGTAATATGTGATATCAATAATTCTTCAACGTCGTCATTGCCTATTCCACTACAGCAACAGTGTAGCCAGGTGGCCAAAGTTCATACGGATCAATTCAATAATGTTGTCTTGGAAAACAATTATACTAAAGCTACATTCGATAACTCCGGACATTTAATTCAACTTTATGATAAGGAGATCGAGCGTGAAGTGATCAAGGTGAATGAACGCGGTAACGTTTTCAAACTGTACGAAGATGTTCCTCTCTTTTGGGATGCTTGGGATGTTGAGATTTACCATTTAGAAAAATATAAAGTGGTCGAGGAGGGATCCATTCAAATCCTTGAACAGGGCCCCCTTCGAGCATCCTTGTTGATTGAAAAACGTATCTCTAGTACAAGTCGCTTGCGTCAAACTGTGATACTTAGTTCAATTTCACGTCGCTTAGATTTCGATACTGAAGTAGATTGGAACGAAAACCGACAATTTTTAAAGGTAGAGTTTGCCTGGGATATCTTTACGGACGTGGTAAATTACGAATGCCAATATGGATATGTAACACGGCCCACCCATTACAATACAAGTTGGGAAGCAGCAAAATTTGAAGTGGTTGCCCAAAAATTCGCAGATATGTCCGAATATGGTTATGGAGTGGCTTAATTGAATGATTGTAAATACGGATATTCAGCCCATGGAGATAAGATACGCTTATCATTATTGCGTTCGTCGAAAGCCCCAGATTCAAACTGTGATATAGGACACCATTCGTTCAGATATGCTGTTTATCCCCATCCGCAGCACTTTTTACAATCAGACGTAGTTCAAGAAGGCTACAACTTTAATTCACCTTTATTAAGCAAGTGAGTTCTCTCTCTGCTGTTTGTGTGTTAGTGTGTCTGAGTATGTTATGTATCCTTCCATCCTTCCATTAAAACAGGATTATACCCAAGAGCGAAGTGTCCGCTTGCTCTGTACCACGCGCTTTTCCTACATTCAGAGCTGATAATGCTCGTAATGTGATAATAGACGCAATTAAAAAGGCGGAAAACTCAGATGAAATTATCATCAGATTATACGAAGCTTATGGGGGCCATACCAATGCTAGGTTAATGAGGTAAAAGAGAGGTTTTTTTCTGTTGTACTTCTGAACGTTACTTACTGAATCATGCAATTTTATTTTCAGCTCCAAGGCAATCAAAAAGAGCAATAAAATGCAATATTTTGGAGGATTTTATGGAAGACGTATCCACTAGTATTGCATCTACATTAGATAGGACTTTCAGTACTAATTTACGAGCTCTCGATGATGATATTTTAGAATTGCAACAACAGGAGCAGGAGAGGGAATTTAACAAAGGTTTATTGATCAAACTAAAACCCTTCGAGATAGTAACCTTGAAAATTGTATTCTAGTTACCGTGAATTTTACAATAAAGCGAGCTTCCTTTTTTCTTGAATCAGCTTTGGTCCATGCACCAAAACACATGGTCCACCATAAATTACCATGGACTCGGTAAAGTGTTGTTGAATGTATTCTTTAACTTTTTCATCTTCTGCACCAGGCTGAAGCCAAATAAAGGGAATGCCACACTTTTTGGCTTCTTCCAGCACCTTCAAGGTAATCTTTGGTGACGTAATGACAGAAATGGACGTTACTCTAGGACGAGGAAGGTCTGAAATTGAGGAGCGGGTTTCTAGGCCTTCTATGATTTTTTCTTTCTATAAAATGATTGACCTTTGATTACCAAAAGTTAACCTGGTATAGGCATTCTTAAAATGATGTTACAGGATGAATGGGCGTGACATCGACGTCAAAACTTTGGTACCTGTGGTTTCAGAGAAAATCTGTAAGATCTTTTCTTAGTATGGTTTGAAGCCATTAATACGTATAGATCACTAACCATCTCAACACTTTATTTCCATATTTATCGCGAGAAGTGCTGGCACCTACTACAGCAAAGCATGAACTTTCGAAAAAATTTCTAGCTATAAGGCTCCAAGCTGCTGACATTAGGCTTTGAATCGTTGTATTGAGGAGAAACTCTTGAAAAGTGAATAAGTTTAAAGTGTGCAAAATAAATTCAGAAACTTTTAAGAGTTTTATATTATTTTAGATGCAGCTATTCGAGCCAAATAAGGATAACACATTATAAAGATCAGCAGCCTTCTTTCGCACATTATCCTAAGCTTGAAGTAAACCTAGCAATACAATGATCAATACTGACAACAATCGTTTCACAGAATTTTAGAAGGCAGACATAATCTAAGAAGTAGAGTAAAGTAGCAACAGCTAAACAGAATACTACTGCTTGCTGTTCTAGTATTGCCTATAACTCACAAAACACAAAACACAAAACACAACAACTTCAACAATTGGGCACCAAAATCGAAGAATACCCTAGCACAAACAAAAGAGGAATCAGTAAATGACCTAAGGACGCATTTTTTCAAAAAGAGATAAAAGTAACGAAGAGTCTTCTCATCATTTAGGTGATAACTACACGGAAGCTGAAAATACAAATAATACAAAGCTAACAGTATAGCAGTAAGATACAGACAAACGCTAGTAGCCTTTAAATGATGTTACTACAGTACAGCAATATCTTTCGCATCTGCGTACGGGATACCTTTCCTTTTTTTTTTTTTTTTTTTTTTTTGTGCGGATGTATGTTTTAAGGTTTTCGAGTCCTAGGACACATCAGTTACATATGAAAACAATCAAATTAAGGTACAATGCCATTTTTCAGCGGCAATTTCCGCGCAAAGTTAGGCTCAAGACAACTAATGAGTTAACCCAACCAAACCAGCGGCTTTATTATAACAAAAAAATAAACTACATCTATCAGCCGATGGTTGAGTCTGCCACAATTAACAGAACTTTCTTCAAAGCAATTTGGTTATTTTGCCGACACCTTTTGTTCGTCCTTCTCTGAAAATCAGTCGACTACCAATATTTAAATATTCTGGTTGTTTGACAAACTCGAACTCCTGGATGAAAATAAAAAAAAGATTACTGACATAAGCATTTGCAGGCACAAATGCCTGAAATAAAAACGCAAACAATTAAATGCCTTACAACTTTCGCTCGATCACCTGTCCTTAATATAGTTTGCTCAGTTGTTGTAATGATTCTTGCTGTTTGCCTTACAGCACCGCAATGCACCATGGCCTGATAATTGGATTTTATTGTAGTAGAGTGATACAGAATCAAGATTTCTGCCTCAAACCGTTTTGACGCTTTAGGCAAAGCACTGAGGGGAGCATCTTTATCATACTCTAATAATACCTGCCCTTTACGAAGATTATTCCTTCTCACATTTTTCAATGCAAATGTGACAGACTGACCAGCATAAGCTACTGGCACCGGTACTCTTTTGCGATGAATACCCTTAATGGTGGTTACTATAAATTGCCCAGCATAGTCGGGACCCAATAATACCTTATCTCCTACATGAATAACACCAGTCTTGACGACACCATTAACAACAGTACCAACGAACGGTACCGAATATGTTTCATTTATCTCAAAGTGAAAGGACTGAGAAGCATCATACTGGGTAAGCGAAGGTAGGATATTGAGGAAGTTGCGGACGAGATCAAGGCCTTGACCTGTGACGTTACTAACTTTGAAAACAGGGCATAAACGTTCACTGACAAAGTTTTGCTGTTGAATTATCAACATAATTGCGTTAGTATAACTCTTGCCGACATTGTATCCATGACCAATTTTGAGACTTACAGCTGTTATAACTACGTCTCGGTTAGTCTCAACAAACAGAGGAATTTTTCGACATGATTTCGATTTTAGAATGCGCGTTAATTGTTTGACAGTGGATTCCAATACATGAGCAGGGCATCGATCAATTTTTGTTATAACCACGAATACAGGAATATTCAATGATAAGGACAAAGCTAAATGCTCTTTTGACATACCGATCATTCCTGCATTCGCTCCGACCTGCACATAACATATAAAAATATCTATCAATAGGTATTCCCTGTATTGTAAAACAGAGTATAAGCATCATACATACCATGAGCATAGCAAATTCAGGTGCACTACCTGTCATTCCTGAAACAGTAGTTTTTAAATATTTTTCATGCCCTGCTAAATCAACAAAGCTTAAAACTTTGGCTGCCTTATCGGTTATCTCTTCCCAATGGTGTCTTCTGGTGGACTGTATCATATTGGACTTGGAATCAAACCCTAGTATTTCACCGCCTATGCTAGACGTTCTACCAGATTCAATTTCATGCTTATGACGGAAAAGATTTACTCTGGCCTTTCCGCGACCATCATCCAGGACACCTTTAGTTAGAACACCCAGCATGGTTGACTATATTATATCTGTCAAAATTCTGCGCATTTTATTCTTTCAACATACTTTGTGAACTGTACCTTTCCTGCATCTACATTGCCAATCACCGCTATTCTTATTTCTAAAGCGTTTTGAATTGACTTGGGACGCTTCCTGATCATTAGATGTGCTACTAAATTTTTGCTCGAGTCAGTGTCATCTTTGACAGTTATTGAAGATGGTGTAGAATTGGCTCTGGCATTTTCTTTTTCACACCCGTCATCTGTTAGATTAACTGCAGCTTTCTGCGTCGCGTCTGTTGTTATTGCTGCATAGTCGTTCAACTCGTCGATATTAGCAGCATCAGCGCCTAATTCGTCACAAATAGTATGTACCAGCATCAAACAAGATTGAAATTCTTTATTTGTTAAATTCATAGGACTGCCGTCGTCTATTGTAAGACATTTATATCAGCATCAGAATGAATTTTCAATAGCTGCTATAGATCGTGAGCACAGACCTTCTATGCCGATTTCAAAAAGAGTTTCACCTTTTCCTTGCTCTAAACGCTTTGATAACATCCTTTTAAAATATTCTTTCTCTTGCTCTTTAGATGCTAGTAGTATTTCCTAACATACGACAGTCCAATGTAAATGTCAATTATATGATTGACCCACTTCCGAGAGACAACGAGTAAATTTGATTATTTTACTTTTAATGATCTACTGTCAAAATACTCTCCAGCGTGATCAGTTTGTATGAGACAATCAAGGATATCATCTACTATAGTACTTTCGTTCGTACATTGATGCTGTTCATTCTCTCCCCTCGACTTTTGATCTGCTTTAATTGATAACTTTCTGCTTAGTCTAGAAGCTACCGTCGTTGCTCCAACCTCTGGTTGATTGTTGCTGGTACTATGGTCTTTTTTCTGAACCATAATAGTCATATTGATTTGGTATAGTATTGTCGTTAGCGAGGAAAAAATAAATGATAAGTGTTTTAAAAAAAAGAAGTAATTTAAGAGGAAAAAAGAATATAAATACCAAAAATAATGCAGCCTGTTCGGAAGAACAATGCCAATGACAGATTTCACCAGTTCCTCCGCAGCAAAATGAAAGGAGCTTCTTTTCACGTGCACAAACGAGAAGCCGTCTCCCTTCTCATTTGTTTGCATCAACACAGGTTCTACAGTTTATAACAATGACTCATATGTATTAACTTCGTTGCTGCGTAAAAGCTGCGGTTGTAAAGTGCGTGGAGCCATTCGAAAAAGGAGCCTATACAATTTTTTTAAATGTTTCCGAAAAAAAAAACCAAAAAAAAAAGCTTCATTGTACTGATAATCAATGAGTAGAGTTATATACATATTGTTTGAAATACAATCTTTAGATAAATTGCATATATCAAATCAAGTTTATAAATCGCATTCTTGTTATGATATTACATACGACGCCTTCACTCATTGATGCATAATGGGATCCGTGAGAAAAAATGATTGGCTAAAAATTTGTTTCAACTCATCCGTGAAGAGTACACATTAAAAAATTTTCCAGGTGCAGATTTTCCGGACTCATCTCTTCTTTCCAAAATAACACTTTTTCAGTGAAAAGGGATCATTTTTACTATGGAATTGCCAAAAGTCGATCTATTCACTCACGACAATAATCAGTTATTGACCACACTTAAGGAAAAACAATCCTCCTTTGATGGTCTAATTGTTGTCTATACCAACAAGGACGATCTTTGCAACCTTATTCCTGCTGCCAAAACTTATTTTGAATTAGACGCTTCCTTCGGTGATGCTTTGCAAGTTCTCTTTAGTGAAACTAAACAACCTCACGCACGTATGCTGCTTGCACCTACTGGCTCCCTCTACAATGACTTTGATGACGCTCGTCGTTTCAAGGATATCGCATTTGCTGCTGGTAAGAAGGCTTTAAAAATGGGTATGAAATCTCCTCTTGTCTGTTTCGCCGACGAACCCTGTCAGGAGACAAACTCTCAGTGGACGCATGATGAAAACCTCAAGGAATACCAGCACTTTTTGGAAGTTACCATGCTAGGCTTATTAGAGTCATGTTTTGAGCCTATTGATGTTCGACAATTCATGAAGAATGTAGAGACTTTTGAACGCCTCGGTTTTGTTGCCTCGTCAAAGAATGCCAATAGCTGTTCTATCGAAAGAGTGGCAGCTATCGAAGCTGGTCGTCGTATCTCCAAAGATATTGGTAATCCTGATCCTGAGAAAATGTCCCCTATCAACATTGCCAAATACATTGAAGAGCAATTTAAAGACATAGATAATGTGAAGGTCACTATCATTAGTAATATTGAGGAAATTAAGAAGAATTATCCTTTGGCTCATGCTGTTACACGCGCTTCTTTGGCTGTTGAACGTCATCATCCCAGATTTGTCCATTTTGAATACAAGTCCCCTGATCAAGCCAAAGTAAAGGAAAAGTAAGTGTTTTTTTTTCGCTTGATCAAACGATAGCACCGATTGGATTTTAGAATACTTATCTTACGTTCATGCATTCTTATTTCGTTAGTTTGTACTTTGTTGGTAAGGGTGTCACTTATGATACTGGTGGAGCCGATATTAAATGCAGTGGTCACATGAGAGACATGTCTCGTGACAAATGTGGTGCTGCTGCTGTCGCTGGTTTCTTTAAGACTATATCGATGTTATCACCCGAAAAGGTCAATGTTACTGGCGCCATCGCTCTTGTGCGTAATTCTGTTGGCCCCGATATGTATGTCAGTGATGAAGTTATTGTGGCCCGTAGCGGTAAACGTGTTCTTGTTGGTAACACTGATGCTGAGGGACGCATGGTCATGACAGATTTACTTTGTGAATTCAAGGAAAGAGCTTTGGCCGACGGTAACGGAAAGCCCTCTTTCTTGTTCACATGTGCTACTTTAACTGGTCATGCTATTAGAGCTTATAGCGGTTATGGCATCACCTTGGACAATGGTGTTGCTCGTCAGCATAAAATCAGTAAGCGTGTTTATGATGCTGGTCATATCTTTGCTGATCCTTTTGAAATTTCGACGTTGCGCCGTGAAGATTTGACTTGTGTCCATGCCGGCAGTTCTAATGAAGATTTGGTTTCTGCTAATGATAAGCCCTCTACTATGACAGATCGTGGTCATCAATATCCTGCTGGTTTCATGTTGCAAGCTGCTGGTTTAGAAAAATATGGCGTGGATTCTAAGGAAGTGTCCATCGGTTATACTCACCTTGATATTGCTGGTTCAGCTGAGACTATTGGCTCTGAGGGCTGGAGTTTACCTCGTGTTACTGGCTCACCTGTGGCTGCCCTTACTGGAGCTTTCCTTTGTTAAAAGTTCACTTATCATACAACTTATCTGTATATATCAATTGCAAATATTAATTGTAAGTCTTCGATAGACAAACATACAATCCAAAATTATAAAAACATATTTCACGTAGAACTCTCCAGCATTGACCTCATCAAAGTTTGAATAAAAAGTTTCAAAAAAAAAGACGACTTTCTCAACTGCCAAGTAGTTCATTGAGATGAGACCAGGGATTTTTATTAGTCTGTTTTCTTGAAGAATTGTTTATGTTCAGGAACAGGTGTGATCAAGGTATCCTTCTCTAATGCTGCTACCATGTTCTCTAGCACCAACTTTTCCATTTTGTATTGGGATTCGTTCGTAAAAGTGCCGATATGTGGCAGTAAAACGCACCGTGGATTCGTCAGTAAACCTTTCGAAATCACCGGTTCGTCTTCAAATACATCCAACCCAGCTGCTAAAACCTTACCCCGTTCCAGAGCATTGACCAACGCGTTTTCATTGATCACTTTACCACGTGCCGTATTAACAATGATAACGTCATCCTTCATCTTACTAAACTCTTCGTAATTTAACAAATGCTTGGTCCCTTCGTTTAAAGGACAATGAATAGATAGGATATCTGATGTCGCTAGAAAAGTGTCAAAGTCCACGTAGTTCAAATGATACTCCTTCTCCAGTGCCTCTGGTAGTTGATGACGATTGTAATACTGTATCTTGGCCAAACCAAATCCAAGCATGCGTTTTGCTAACGTTCTGCCAATACCTCCTGCGCCCAAGATACCCAAGACTTTATTCTGCGGGTCAGTACCCATACGGACACCATCCCGCCAACGACCCTCGCGTAAGTTTTTAGCTGCTGCCCAAGCATTTCGGCAAGTCATTAGAATTAAGAGGGCTGCAATATCGGCGGTTGCATCATCTACAGCCAAAGGGGTATGTGACACATGAATGGAACGCTTCGAACAAGCATGTACATCAATTGAATCATAACCAGCACCACAATAAACAATGTACTTTAATTTTTCAGGCAAATGGGACACAAGTTCAGCATCAAAGGGGCCTACGACTTGACCTGACTCGGGTGAACGATATATAATGGGAACATCTTTATACTTCGTAGCACAGTCTTCAAAGAAGCCTTGACGTGATTTAGAAGTATAATATTCAATTGAGTACTTTTGACGCAAGTCTTGTAAAATATCGGTTGCAAAATCGATACAGCCAACAATAAGAACTTGAGGTGCCATACTTTTATTATATAAAGACAGAAACGTACAGGTGTGTGTTTATATCACCTTTTATAAGAGCAAAAGAAAAGAGAAAGAAGGAGAAAAGTCAGTAAACTGCGGCATAAAACGGGAATTGGTAGAATTGGTGGTGTTCTGACTTTCAGAAACCACAACTTTTATTGTTACAGTGTTTAAATCTTGGAGTCTCGTTTGAGGCCCACCATTTTTTTGCTGACGGACTTTTTTGCATTGTATTGACGTGTGAGACCCAGATTCAACCACTAGTGCCTTTACTTATAAGGCAAGATTATAAGTACTTCGCTCCAAACGAGTGCTTATAATTAGAAACTACATAGCCAGGCTTGTACTGACAATGATAGATTCAATCTACTGTTCTATATTTATTGTTTTTCATATTATAAAGAGACATACAACGCAAACATACAACACAATAATAATAAGCGACTTGGTTTTCAATGATGGCGGAATACACTGAATGATTGGTAACAATATAGTAATACATGAAAGTACTCAAATAGTTGTTGCTTATAGCATAGCGAACCGTCCAGTCAACACCTCGAAGGATGGAAGGAAAAACCAAGTTTAAAGCGAGGGAAAAATACAGAAAAGTATTGGATTTATACATAAGGCTTTGTACATATTATATATAAACGGTGTATTAAGAAACAGAGGTTCCATGACGATGACCAAAAATTAAGCTTCTTCCTTACCGATTACGTTATGAAGTGAGGTAAAAGGTTTAGACGACACTCTGATGGATGTCCTTATCCCCGCTCGGTAAAGAAACCATTCTGGCATATGCGTAGTTGTAATTCTATAAATTAAGCAGAAATTCCTTGGCCTAAATTAAAGAAAGTTTTCAACTGCTTTTTTGCTAAACACAGCCAGTATGGAGCAAATGAAAGACATTGACTTATCAGTTACGCAATGGTGTGTAAAAGTGCAACAAGTGTCAGTATAATTGCAATCCTTTCGAAAAGGACGCTATCAAGATTGCCTACAGACTAGTTCAAGTCTTGAGCCTGGTTAATTTTTGATAACTCACAGGGTAGTGCGAAATTTCAATATGAAAAATATATATTGAAATTGTGAAGTGTATTAAAGGGTCAAAAAGCTTTACTGATTAAGCTTAAAAAAATTTTTATCGATTTTGAAAAATAATAAGAAAAAAAAAATCTATTCCTATTTACAGACATTCTATTCTTTAAACGCAAAACACTGTAAAACTCTCCGTTGTGGGTTTTAACGTAAGCTTTCGGTATTAAGAATTAAAGAAATAGAAAGATTAATATATAACACAAAGGTGTCTTTCTGAGGATACAAATCTAATAAATTACATAAATTTTGTTATTTTCACGGAAAATGATAGTGTCCGTTGCAGACTCAGAATAATTTTCAATGAAGCTATTGCGGTTATAAGATATCCATTCAAGGATAGTAGCTTTGATTTGCTCATCAGGAACGAGCAGAGGTATTTCTTCGTCTATTGGTATATTGGGGTTTTGTTGCTGACGTCGACTTTGTTGAGTATTGTAAGCAATGTGAAACGTGTATGGGTCAATGACTATCAGTATCAATTTGAGAACTACCTTTGGTTGCCCTGTTAAATGGTGATAAGCGCGATATAAATGAGGCCCCAACTTTTTGCGTGTGATGATGTAATTGTCAATCTGGTATGATTCCGTAAAGAAGAGTCCTAGATACTGCTTCTTTCTCTTCTTTTGAGTATGGATCATCATAACCGCCGAATGTTGATTGATGGTATAAGTGCTCGAAGAGGGTGCGATACTTCTAGGAGGATGAATAAAATTTGTTGGCGCAATGGAGGCGGTGGCGTTGGTTGTTGTTGCAGGGATAGCTGATGATGTGGTAGCAAGTGACACAGTAGTCGAGCAGGCGTAAAAATCTCCTTGATACTGTCGTGTTGAATGATCAACAGCAGATCCAGTGAGAGGCATGGAAGGTAGCGGCTTTTTTGAGCGTGTAAGACGCTTTGTTGACGGAGGGTTAATAGTAGATGATGGAGCTAGAGAGGAGATACGCGGTTCGGAAGGAAGAGCTTTCTTCATTCGAATTCCATCCGTCTTATTCTCCTGTACAAACGCTATCAAAATGCAAGATATTGATTGTACGTCAATATACACCGAATGCTTCAGGAATGCAGGCTATGATGGTATGTTGCTCACCCTCATCTTCGTTGTTCTCTACTTCAAATAGCTCTTGCTTGCCCTTATCGTCATAGAGCTCAATAATGGTTGCTTCCGTTGATGATGTTGGTAACTGGGTAATATAATTCTATAATATCCATGAATACAATACTTTTGCTTTTTTTGCATACTTCAAATGGTAAATAGGTTTACCTTATTACTCGATGGTGGCTGAATGTTATTGCTGCTGCTGCCGTCACTATAATATCGTAATAGTTGGATTTGATATTGCATCCTTTGAGTGATATTAATAACAGAAGTGTATGCTTCTTTGTTATTCATATCCTTTTCTTCCAATAAGCGAATATAGTCATCATATCTTCTGTTCATATTTCCATATTTCAGCTGCTTACAATGACGGATACACAGACGAGACAATAAAAAGTAAAAGGCTGGCTCACCGAGTTATAAAATTTATATTCATGTATACAGCCAAAAACAATTCTACAGGAGCTTAAATGAAAAAAAAGGGAAAGGTATTTAGTTTAAAGAGAATAAAGATAACAAGAGAAACAAAATTTCATTAAGGAGGTGTCAAGCTTTTGCTGCTGCTCTGTCCTAATCTGCACCCTTTTTTTTTTTTTTTTTTTTGGGTTAACCTTTTTAAGTTACCCCTATTCCTTGTCCTTTGCATTTGTGAAAGAAAAAGTTGCATAACACATACGATGATGATACTTGTGGGTCAATTCGTCATCTTAACTGTGTACGTGGGTATAAAAATGAAATACGTAGTACTGGTAATAGTGACAATAGTATCCAGTTTACTTACATAATCAAGCAATATCCTCTTAAGGGTCATACTTCAATAAAACTTTCTGTCCAAAGAATGGTTCCTGTCGGCGGATAAGCTTTTTCCAAGGATGGGGAAAAAAGAAAAAGTCATTAATTTATTATATTCGGGAAGACTAAGATATAACTATATGAGAACATCTCTTGCACGCAAGTATGCTGTTGTTGGTATATTTGCGAACTCAAAAAACCAAAAAAAAAAGAAGAAAGTATTTCGTAAAGGAGTCATATATGGTACATAAATTATCTACCTAGTATAAACAGCTGGCCTTTCGAAAGAAAATTATCTTACGGCCAGCGTCAGTCAATCAAATGCAGCGTTTATGACGATGCATGAGCAAAGGACAGTAAAAAGTGTAGCATAGATATCTAAAGGAAAGAACATGATAATAAGTTAGAATGAACAAATGTAGGTTTTTAAGCTATAGTTTCGGTTAGCAAGCAGTGCCAAGGCATAAGTCTTAAATTGTTGTTGAAAGGAATGTCTTAATACTAGGTAGGAATTTAACTGACACGGCAGGATTAGTGTCGGCTGTAGTGGTATTTACAGTTTTTAATGAAGAGGTGAGTTCTGTAATGTCAGTACCAGAACGGTAAATGCTATGAAAAGAAGGGACAGATGGCCGCCAAGCGAACATTGTATTATTCTCAGTATCATTAATATCTCTGATGGAAACACAGCCCTTTTCTGCAGAGCTATTCATGTCCATGGTAAGAAGAGGGGATTGTTGATATGTTGATTGAAGGGGTAATCTTGGACAAGCTGAATATAGCGATGACAACGAAGAGAATGACAAAGAAGTGTCTGTGCTGCTGCTACTAATGATACTGCTACTTGTTGAGCTTATAGTGGGCGATAAGATAGATTGGGTGGATGTACGACATGTTAAAGACCCAAGAAATGTGTCTGATTCAGTCGAAGAAGCCGTCTTTCCCTTCTCTATTTCGAATCTAATAGTAGCATTATCTACCAATGGTTGATGATTCATTTGCTGCTTAATCCGGGAAGTCACGAAAGGAATTTGCTGCCCAGGTACAATCTGATTCAATGGTCTCCATTGAAGCTGAAAATGCTTTCTCTTCTTTGGACTTGCTGATGTTGTTATTGCGGAACCATCCAAGGTGGCAATACAGTGCTTCGGCAATGGTATTCCTGGATGAGTTACTTTATGATGATTCATTAAAGCAATCTTTTGAGCAAAATGTTCGTGACATCCTTCTGCCAAGCATAGATAAGGTTGTTTCCCTGCATGGATACGCCTGTAAAAGAAAATGAACGTTATTAGCTTTACTCCACAGTTGTTACCATATAGGAATAGGTGTTAAGGGTTGAGTGATTTACCTGTGACGGGCTAAGGATGAACTATCGCTAAATGCCTTTTGACAGTTCCTAAATTCACAAATGTGTGGGCGCTCGCCAGAATGCGTCCTCCAGTGGACTTTCAAAGCAGAACGTTGTATGAAGCTTTTACCACATATGTGACAGACGAAAGGTCTTTCGTTTGTATGAATACGCATATGGCGTACTAAATCTGAGCGACGAGCAAAGGCTGACTTGTTGCATACTGGGCATGGATATGGCTTTGAAGTCATTGTTTTTGCTTTGGTTGTGGGCTTTTGATCGAATGAAGTGTCCTCATTGCTATGTATAAGCTTGCTAATATCCATTAGTCGTTGATTTGAGAGAAGATTGAGCTGCAAGGAAGAAAAGGAAAGATGACCAAAATATTAGAGTATTTATAAAGGTCTTTGCTTATCTGAACAACGGCCTCCACTTCATTTTTCCAACTGTATGACAGTTGATTGGAAGAAAGTAAGGAGAAGCGAGTAGAGACTACTTTATCATTTTGGGGGGGGGAAGAGAGCGTTAACCAAAGCGAATCTTGACACTTTGTGCATTGCAATTGGAAAAAGAAAGGGAGAACAATGTTGTATACTGGTCACTAACAGGTGAACCAAAAATGATGGATAACCAAAAAAACATACATAAAGTCCTTTGCAGCCTGGCTTACTCTACAGCACATTGTTAGTCTAAAGAAGTTATGTAGATAGATTTGATGTATTGGCGTGGCAATATCTTTGGTGCATAGAATTTAACAGTACCTGTGCTTTTATTATTCAGGAAGTAACTGTCAGGTATATAAGTGCATGCTATCAAGGCCATGTCAATTAACACCCTTTACTTTTATAAATATGGAAATCGCAAGTTTTAGCTTACAAAGCATAGGTCTTGTTCCCTTTAGGAAATGAGACATTTTATTAAAAGGAGTGAAGATTCAAACTGATCTTCAACAACAAGCTTCAAATTTTCGCATTTTTGCTTTATTTGTTTAAAATCCCATAATTATCATTTCAGATTCGGTATAAGCTGCCAGCACACTATTACCAGCCTCCTTTGATCCTCATCACACTTGTGGCTTTCCATGCAGATCTGGATATGCACGCATATTCTTCGATGACAAAAGAATCGCTGAAAGATAGTTGGCCAACCCCCAATTCTCCTTTCTACACTTGCTTCATGTTTCCATATATGTCATAGTGAGCTTAGTAACTATCAGAGATAACTCTATATCTCTCTTCTACTTGTTCAAGTCTTTCTACTTGTCATGTTCTCTTTCTAATCAAGTTTATTGGCTTATAAAGATATTTCGCGTTCTTTATACTGTTCCTTTACTGATGTATCCAAACAATCCTGTCAGTCAAAAAAGAGTAAAAAAGGGTATGAAATAGAGCGCAAACAAAAAGAACGCATTAGTCCATTTATTATTTGTTTGTAACTGTATTCAGTAAATAGTAGTAATTAAATAACTAAAATATTAGGGTTACGTATTTTGATCGCATGAATTGTAAACTGTGTCCATTGTTATAGAATTGATTTGTTTTTCCCTCTTTGACCTATGGCTTTGTAACATATATAGGATGAACTTTTCCCTTGTCCTTGGCTGTCCATTCAAGACGCTTGGCAATACTATAGACCATTCAAAGAACAAAATTAAGAAATAATAAAGCAGGTTAGCAATGTCCCAGCGTATAACGTTATGTTAGTTAGAGATACTTGCCCATCTTCAATATCGAATGCCCAAGCATGTACAGTTAACTGTTGCCCCCTCTTCCAAGCATTTTGCACAATGGTTGAATGACAAACATTTTCGGCTGAGTGAATAGCATTGAGTTCAATCAACCGACGCAGACGCTTTGTATCGTCTTTAATATCTACAAGTTCTTCTTCGTGAACTAGTATTGATTATTGGAAATGTCAGATCGGTGTGATTAAACGCTGACGTGGTCTTGCTTCACTTACGTCGGTAAACATCTTTGATATTTCTCAACCAGTTATCAATCAAACCAAATTGCTCATGACCTTGAGCGGCAGTAACACCACCACAGTTGTAGTGACCTAAACAGCACGTTCGTTCCGAACAAAAGAATTGAAAAGGAACATTAGCGCACAGAATCATCTTAACAGGATAGTTGTGTTACATCCCCATATAGGGACATGATCTCTCATACCACAAACGATAATATGCTCCACCTTCAATACCTCTACGGCATATTGTAGCACAGATAAACAATTCAGGTCGGAATGACTAACGACGTTGGCGATATTACGATGAACAAACACCTCACCCGGTGGTAAAGACAAGACGATATTGGCAGGGACGCGAGAATCAGAGCAACCTACATACCCGAGAATGCGAAAAAAAAAAGAAAATAATTTCTTCAATGAGTATCTAAAGCTCAAGACAGGTATTAGAACAGCTCATCCACACTTTACCGATCCATAAGATCTTGGGTTCTTGCTTGTGAGCGATGTTACTTAAGAATGTAGGGTCCTCCTTCATGACAGCAGCAGCCCATTTCTTATTATTCTCCAGTACGCCATCCAAATGAATATCATTTGGATCAAATTTATTCAATGTATTAAAACTGATAGGTGCAGTATTCCTGGTATTTTCAGTCATGGGTCTTTAGTGTGCGTTTGGAAGAAGAATTGCAAAATAGATAAAAAAGAAAAGCCAAAAGAGAAACAAATGAATGTCTAAAACCTGCGTGTGGGGTTCCTGTCTGGTTTTATGAAGTTTTCGTAACTCCAATCTTAACCTTAGTTTTTTGGGGTCGACGGACTTTCATTCTTATCAACAAACGTAAGCAGAATGTTGTCAGTCCATCTTAGGTCCCATTTTTTAATTTTAAAAAATAACCAATCACCAAAGTTCACAAAAACGGTTGGTTATCTCTTTTCGGTTGATTTCAAGATTAGCGGTTTTTTTTACAGATCACGAAAGAAGTCCTTTGGTTGACGTGTCTTTTGTTTTTTGTTACTCTTCTGTTGCTCATGAGCACCTGTTATGACATCATTGCTTTTCGATGAAGCCATAACAGTGTCTACATCTCTCTTTTTCTTTTTCTCACTTTTGTTTATATCAGTCGTTTCGTCATCGTTTATCGCATCTGTTTCTTTTTTTTCGTCGAATAGATATTGTACATTCCAAAACTTCAATTTCAAATCGTGTGCGCAACTTGCTAAATATCGCTGTTGTTCGTACTGGCCCATCTTTATACATTCTATAGGAAAATCTTCTCCATGATCGCCCAAAATACCCTCAAATTGGTACTTTGGTAAAAACGATATCATACGTAATAACCCATCGTTCCCGCCCGTGCAAATCGTTTCGTCATCCAACGGACAAATGGCGTCGATCGAATTGGGGTGTCCCAATAATTTTCTTGCTTTTTCGTCTGCCCCATTCCACGTCAGTTCACTCCAATTCCAGCTGTAAAGAACGCCCTTCTCTGATCCAGCAATCAATCTGCTTCCATTCTATATGTGTACACATGATATCGTGCGTGTATCAATAATTTGCAATGCTTCCATCCTCAACAGTATCGTTTTACCTCTAAGATAGCCAAGGACAGCAGTCCATCATCATTTACTTGAGAAGACATCTGAACCGTTTTATCCGATGGTTTTCTCAGATCATACACAGAAAGCAGTCCATCGCCTCTATCATCACTATAGGTTAGCTGATAGAAAACCCCATTTATTTCAAACCCTCTTGCCGTGAAATTTACCCAGTGGCTACCAAAGCTGATTTCAGTTCATTGTATTTTAAATCCGATATATAATCCTCATGAACTTTGTATTCTTGAACAGCTTTGCATGTTCGCATATCCCAGATCTACAGATAAATAAGCTATGACTCTTCCCCCATAAATTATCAACATATTCGCAATATTGATTTATATCTTACTTTGACTATGCCTTCATCGTCTCCTGTAGTTAGCAGATGGGTATCTAAGTTACACATCTTATTGATAGGGTATCTAATGAGAATGTTCGAATCGGTCAGGCTTTGTGCGATCTTAAGTAACACTCGCTCCTCAAATTCATCTTTACTTGTGTGCTTTGGGTATCTTATATAATATTCGACCGTCTGACGCTGCGTCGAGTGCCTGAATTGATTTATCGCTGGATATTGATAACACATGTGCTCCACTGGGTGTGAATTCCGCTCCTCTACATGACTTTTTAGAAACTTTCGTAGACCAGTGAAGTTGATTATCTTTGTTCACATTATATTCATAGCTATATTAAGAAAAGTATTAACCGTGAAGTTTGAGTGTTACAGACGACACAAGTCAGTGAAAACGGATGTTGATGTTAAGAAACTTACCATTGCACCAGTCCGTTGATGAGTCCTACGATGACCAAATTATTTGTGGGATGAAAACTAAAATCAAAAATATGATGTTTAAAGTGAATAGATTCAGGCTGTTGATCTTGGCTGCTGTTACTCTCAATAACAGACATAGATATATGTTAAATGAAAGTAAAGAATGGGTTTTGTTGCAGGAATAATACTAAGTAAATGCATTTTTTCAAAACACTTTCTGAGTTGCAAAACATCATTTTTTGTTGCTTTCCCTCCTTCGTGACTAGCTAAACTTTTCTTTAAAGTGCCTTTTATGCCAAACTCAACTGCTGCAACTTTTGTTTAAATCTCGAATAAGTGGCCAATGCTCTTTGAAAAACCCAAACATCACCACCGCGTAAGCGAATTCCAAGCTGTGGTATTAGCAGGCTATGGCAGCAGTAACAGGTACGCCTCAAGTGCGAGTAATACAACATTCACTATTTATCAGATCGTACTTTATTCATACTGATGCACGTTTCGGTCATTGACAGACTATATCCTATTTCTGAAGAAGAAAGCATGCCCAAGGCTTTACTTCCTGTTGGTAATAAGCCTGTTATATCTTATACTTTGGAATGGCTTGAAAAAGCTGGCATACATGGTAAAACATTATTTATTTATTTATTTATTATTTTTTTTTGGCCCTTTACTGCTTTTTTATTGTTACGATACTGACTCACCCTCGCCTATTTCTATCGAATACTACAATTAAAAAATAGACATTATCGTTGTTATACAGTCTTCAGGAAATGCACAACAAAAGTTATCAGCATATATTAGAGGATATACCGGCAATGTGCACTGCCAAGTCGTAGGCGTCGATGAAGATGACGAAACAGCTGAAGCATTAAAAGCCATAAAGGATAAAATTGATGTAAGGACGAACAGCAACAGCTGAATAATATGATGTGTGTTTGATAGAACACAGCACGTGAAAGAAACTAATGGCACCATCCACATTGGCTATCATCTTTTATGTAGAGGGATTTTATTGTAGTTCCTTGTGATCTTATCACAGAATTAAATCCTCGAGAATTTTTGGATCAGCATAGAGTCTACAACCCAACATTTAGTGCCCTATTCTATGAATCTGGAGCAAACGAATCAGCAGGCAAAGACGATGGTAAATGTTGTTTTTTGCATGAAAGAAGAGCTATCCATTTAAACGAAATGTTGCGTATTAATATATGTCGTCTGTTGGCGGCTCGAAAATTTAGATCTATTACCTTATGTAGGCATCGATCCTATTCGCCATTCACTTGTATATAAAGAACTTCGCTCAGAAGATGATGATTTCTCTATGCGCCTATCTTTATTGAACAAGTAAGTTCATCTAAATTCTGGATCTCACTGTATTGCGACAATAATATCGAACTCTTTCCCCCATTCCCATTTTGGGCGTGATATAGATTTCCTAGAGTTCGTGTTTATACCAACTTGCAGGATGCACACTTATATATTTTCAAGCGATGGGTGATTGACATGATTGCTGATAAAGACAAAATAACCAGCATATCAAAAGATCTCATACCTATGCTCGTCAAATGCCAATATCAGAGAAAGTTAGTTGAGAGAGAAGAAGTCGATAAATGTAAGCATAGCAGATGGGCTTCTTAAGGAAGCGGAAGCGCAGAAAAAGATAGAATGATGATTAACAGCCTCTTTCATCTGGATAGATACATCGAAAGATGACGATTTACTAGCCAACGCTTTATCTTTATCGACAACTCAATCGATTGATGTGGACGATGATTTACTTATTAAAGACCCCATTCATCCCAGCTTTAAGAGTCCTATTAAATCTTATGTGCATATATATCGTGGAGGTTTCTGTGGTAGAGGTAATACAACTGCCAGCTACAGTGAATTGAATCGTTATGTGACAAAGCAAGGCGCAACTATTACCCGCGTACCTGCTACCACAGAAGTTGCACCTAAAACGCAGGTGGGTAACGACTCTGTCGTTGGTGAATATACAAAGATCGATGAGCGCTCTTCCGTCAAGAAATCCTGTGTAGGTGCTCACTGCGTTATCGGCAAGAATGTAAAGATTGCAAACTCGGTGATTATGGACCACGTGCTGATTGGCGATAAGTAAAGTTATCAAAAGAAAAAAAAAAAAAGAAAAGAAAAGAAGAACAGCCTCTCATTGAAGCCAAATCGTTGCTACTTATTTTTTACTAACTTCTCTTATCCATATATAGTGTAAAGATTGATGGTTGCATTATTTGTAATTCTGCACAAATTCAAGAAAAGGCAATTTTGAAAGACTGTGATGTAGCAAGTGGCTATATCGTTGATAAAGACAGTATGTATCCTTGCAATTAGTGAGAATGAGTGATCGTCTTGGTTAATCTTCCTTGCTTCTATTGTAGGTCAATTAAAGGGCGAAAAATTGGTCTCTTTTAGAGAAGCTATTTAATTTTTTGATTCTCGTAGAAGACACCGTGAAAAAAACTGCTGTTAGTTTTATTTTTTTAAAATCTTCCTGGAATAAAAAAGTCATTGTTTGTTGTATATAGAGTAATTATTGACAAAGGTTCAATACATCAGATACAAGAGCTTAATAATCGAAGGCAGAGTTTGAAACATAATAGATTATTTAAATAATTATATAGCATGGCTATCACGTCTTCATCAATGTTTTCTACCTCTTACCGTAGCTGCTTACTCTTATCAAAGGAGCTGTGCGTCAGCACAACCCTTCTTTTGTATCCAACCACCGAGCATCGTTTCTATTGTAACTATGATATTTGACCTATGTGTATGCATTTGACATTCTTTTCAAACTTTGAAGTATCACTATCAAAACCGATAAGCTGACGCGACACTAATGAGTGGACACGACTATCTCAAGTAAAAACAGAATTGTATTTGGAAAAAGGTAGTAGCAGACCCTCAGAGGATGAGCTTACAATGCAATATTGGCATATCACTTTAGCTTATGGGCATATTTAAAGCAGAACATCTTTCACTTATATGATGCCATCAGTGATTTTTTCATGGCCATGAGCATCCCATCATTTACTGCAAAAACTTAGTTTTACATATTCGAATAGCCGCGGCTATTTATCCAGATGGTGTATTCGCATCAATTCCCAACCTTATTGCAGATGAACTAAGTTTATTCAACAAACACTACGCAACTACACTATATAAAAACATGATCGATACGCATCAGTTATCAAGTGGAAAAAAGCGTTTGGAACTAGTTCTCTTTAAGCAGTCATAAGAGGCCAGGCTCTAATGGCCAGAAAGGCCTCAAGGAAAGCCATTAGTTTTTTAGCTTATTTGGTAGGGTAATTCCGATGATTATAGCCTCTCTCTGTTGAAGCATTTTTAAAAACATTTTAACAAGAAACGAAGCCATTTAAATCACTTGAATATAAGATATCACATGCCTCACTCCGTTTTAGTCATTAGGGATTCTTTTTTCCAGAATAACTTATTTCAATTCAGGAGAGTATGGAGGAGACTATGCATACCGATATCCTTGAGAGTGAATAGATTTTTCCTATATCAGTTGAGCTATAAAATAGGAGCATTGTTCAGAGACATAAATAATTGAGACTAAAACAAAATTCAAAGCTACTCTTTCATCAAATGGATGTGAAGTACTATGCAATTCAGGAACGCCGTATTATTTAGTGCAATGGACTCAACCTCACTTTATTTTACAGTCGTACTTTTTTGTACAATTTTATTTTTTTTGTGACGGTCAATTACCCGCCAATATCCACTAGCCTAATGTAGGAAAAACATTTCAGGCTGGTCTGTTCAGGGACACAAAGAGCACGCGACATGCGAGCATAATATTTTAAAGAGCGTCTCTGTGCACAAACAGAAGGTTCTCACCTTAAATTTTATTTGAAGACTGTGCATTTCTCGAGTTCTGCATGAACATTCTGTGCAACTGCCTGCTTTTATCCTTGCTTTCGTCTACAACTTTTGTATGCCTATATAAATAAAGCAACAGAATCATTACACAAAAAAGAACATTCAGCTCTGTTTAGCACAAAAGCGCACTGTCAACATCAAAGGACTAGATTCCAGACATTCATCCTTGAGACAGCTGTAAATGGAAGGTTTGCACATCCTGTTACAACCGCGAATTAAAATATTTTACCCTTTTCAGTCATCTTCTCCTTTAACATATATTTCTTCCGTTAACAGTACTTTCCAACTACATACTCTTTCACCTTTTTTTTTTAGAACAAAAAAAATACTTACTTTCATCAATCTAAGCCTATCCTTAATTCTTTCATTCACTTTTCGTTTTCCCTACGAAGTTGAATGTTAAAAATGACTTCCAAAACTACATTAAAGAATCCTCCAAGTCCATCGTCTATTTCAGGTTAGCTAATTCTTTCTTACAAAGTATAAGACATAGCTTTTTTTTTAAGCGAGAAATACAATTCTATAATGCAGACTCAATGAAACTAGAGCAATTCCGCACACAATATGAGTTGGCCCGTAACTTTTATGATGATTTTGAATTTTGTCCACTTCCTTATATCGATGAGGTATGTAAGATTATAGTACGGTAACTTCAGTTATTAAGCATGACAAATGGTTGACATGACCGTTTTCATTTATTCGCTTAAGGTCACTAAGCATAGAGAAAAAATCAAACAGCGTCTATTACAGCAGCAACAGTCAATAGCAAATTTTAAAAGCAGCAATGACTCTGGTTTGCCGACAAGATCTCATCAAAGAAGGTCTTCGAAACAACTGTCCAACAACCAGCATCTTCAAAACCAATATCAGCAATATCGTCGCTCCTCAAACAGTTCCGCAATGCCTTTCTTGGTGCAACCTTCCAAAATCAAAGCAATGACCTCACACATTGTCGCAAGCAAAGCCATTCCTATCATTGACCCCAATAGCAAAGCCCCTGTTGCTGTGAATCAGCCCGCTTATTGTAATAGCAGTAACAGAAGTATTAGTTATGGAAAGGTGAGTCAACCTGCGTCAAGCCAGTCTTGGGCCACTATTGCGGATGAAGGCGATCCGTCTTCTCGTAGCAGCAGCAGCAGCAGCAGCGACAGTAGTGGCAGCCCTAAAAGCCATTCCATTAGTTTCAATGGTAACGATTCGTTTCATTATTACAACAACAATAATACTGCTGTGATTGCCAACTATGAAAATATACAACCAACAAATTTCTCTAGCAGCAACAACTATGCTGCCTTCGAAAACAATGAAGATAACTTTTTTTACTCATCCATTACTACCAACAATTATCAAACATATTACTACCCGCCAGCATCAACAAATACAAAACTGTATCATCAACCCTCGCAGGAGGTTGCAGGCAGTGGTGTGTATCAACAGCCTTACCAGCAGTATCAACGTCAAGTACCACTTTGTAATCAATACCAATACCATTTTGAAGGACAAAAAACAAGCCCAAATTCCAAGTTCTCCAATGTAACTGTATACTAATCCCTTTATCCTGAAAAGTATAACATTTTTCATCTTAATTTTTTTTTCTTACTGTTAATGCTAATAATATACGCCAAGGTTGCTTTTTTTTTTTTTCTTTTAATCATTCATATCAATAATTCATGCCTGAAATCGTTACATAAGAACCATTGATATCTTATGGCAGTTAATTAAATAAAGTTTTTAAAAAATCAGTCATTAACACTAGTGTGAACTGCAGTCATTTCCATTTAAGGTATTCTGCAAAATGCGGGGATTTCATGGCTTTGGCTTGGTCGCGCTTTTGTCAGTATTAACCCCAGAATATTTGTATTTTTGACAGTCTATTATCCTTACATTAAATCAAAATGGGTGCTCAGTCCTCTAAACTTGCTAGAAAGTTGCCAACCAAACCAAGGCCCGAAACTTTACGAGATGTACCACAATATTCACCTTCCAAACTTTCACCGATGAGCCAAACAGCATCAGGTAATGGAAAGCTGAGAGTTTGTGAAGTGAACAATGTCCGTTTTTCTGAAACCATAGTTGATTACTTTTTTAAAGATGTGAAAACTGAATTTATTGAATCAGACAGTAGTGACCCACATTTGCTAAATAATCTGAAAGCATTAGGCCCTGTCGTTGTTCCGCCTACCATAACAAAAATGAGGACTGTAGGGTAATCTGTTTTTAAGCAACCCTGCAAACTAATATTTTTTTAAAAAAAAACGAGTACTAAAGCGCTTCGGACTGGGTGTATGAATAGTCTGATACAATGTTGAATATTATCAAGCATCGAAAACAACTTGAGGGAGCTGAAATCAAGGACTACAAAGTGACTGACGATGCTATCTCTACCGATTCACTCTTTTCACTCTTTGAACAACGGAAGCGACTTCAGCCTGGAGAAATCAATCGACCCGAAATCAGACAATCTCTCATGAAGAAGTATAAAGTAGATGAAGAGACTTTGAACATATTGTTAAGCCATTATAATACAATAGCTGTGATGCCCGTAATAGAGGGTGATAAGGAAGAAAGACGGCCAGGAGTTTGGGTAAATGATCGATTGGATTGGGAGCAAAGCGTGAAAGAAATAGAGAAGCAAAACCTCGCGATGAAGAAAGCAAGAGAGGAGGCGATCAAAGACCACGCGCAGCAAAATACTCACAGGAAAACTGGGAAAGAGAAGAAGTTGGAGAGCTTGTTTGAGGAAGACTAACTTTATGAGATGACAGATTTTTATGAAAGTTACGGAAGGATTGAACAAGAACAAACAAAAACCCATTGGCATTGATGAATCAACATGCTACAATATTACAATTTATTGTCAATAAGAGAATTAAATTGCAGTTGAAAGACGCACTTTTTACATACAAACAATTAGGCATCCAACATTGAACTTGCTACTGCAAAGTAAACTGTTACACTAAGTTTAGTGAGGTATTTTTTCATTCATAATGACCGTGCACTGCCTCATTTGCTCTAAATGATAAATATGAGAATACAAGTGCAAGCTGAAAATGTAGTGCTGGCAGTTTTAATAGTTTATCACATCGCAAATTTCGGCTAGAAGGAAAAGGAGGTCATCTATCTCCTCAGCCAGTTCTCTCATCAGCCGATTCTCTCATGAATGAGATTTACTCTAGATAGGCGTGTAGTTTATTGGCTTTTAAGGTATAGCGTTGGAGTCTTATCTTCCGTTGATGTCCTTATCTTTAACTCGTTTGAGTAAGTAAAGTGTGGTTGCTATCATATGCCATTCTGCTGTGCAACTTGTAATTGATATGGAGAGCGGTGTACAATCCACTGATAATACTATGTATTCTGAAGATAATAAATTTGCTCAAAAAGGTCAAACATACTCGAACTGATATTTTATACGAATAGCAATATTGATTTCAGTGTCTTTTGTTGTATCACTTTTCGTTTAAGGAAGTTTTTCAAAGCTGAGATTCTCTATTTTTCTCACACCAGTGGATAGGCAGTATATATACTTTTTCAACATGCAAAGAAGACGCATATGGGAATGAGAAGGTATAGATGAGATATCCTCAAAAAGTCAAATAAGAAAAAAAAAAAAAAAACCCAATAAGGTGATGTATACTTCGGCCGACTTCCCTATATCAATTTCGTTGCTAACTATTCGAAATTGTTTTGTTTGATATGAACGAATGGCAGTTAAGTCAGCTTCTATGCGCCATTTGAAATTGTATGGGTGAAGAGTATATTGTGACCTTTCGGCCAGTCTATAATATATTTACATGTCAATATTGTATTTGAGAAGCTGTATCATTGCGTGCAACTATTCTCAATGCTGGCTTTGGATAATATCACCTTAGAAAAAATTTTGTTTGTACGACACTAGCAAATCAAGCCAGCTTGTCATTTCACAGGATCCCAGTGCTTTCTTACCACTCTCCTCTCAAAAGGCTTGATGCGGCGATGAAAGTACTAAACAGGGAGGCCATTGCAGTCTACTGATACCTCACAACAGTGATTATATTGCGCTAACTATTTGCTTAGACTCAACTATTGCGTATAATATGAAATCAGATATTGATTTTTCAAGCCTCAACTGTGACAAAAAGTGTATAACTTCCCTTGGATTTGGTTTAACTTGAATATTTTCGGTATTAGCACAACCGTTACACCACAAAAAAGTAAGGGTATCTTTAATTCGTGCATGCAACGATATGTTATCCTTTTGGGAAAAGATAACTTTTTTTTTTTTTGTTTTAAAAAGCCAAATGCCATACGGGCCACGTTTGATTCTGTCTCTTTGATTCCTTTTATTACCGTCTCTCCCGTCGGTCTGTATCTTTTCCAAGCTTGCTTGTGGAAAGTGAAACAACATCAATTTTGTTTATTTGATCTGATCAGATAACTCTTAAACCCACATGAATCACGAAAAAGTTGAGACTCCAGTACCACCACAAGACCAGGTGCACATCGACGTTAGTTCGATTCAGGAGGAAAAAAAAGCCGATCAATTATCAGACGTCTCTTTCACCAAAGAGCCCTTTGATAATATGGCTGCTGTCGAGGAAGCTGACAACGACCCATCCCGTGTTGCTGGTGACAGAAAGCCAACACTCTACCAAAGATACCGCAAATTTGCACAGTACGTTTAAAACTTTATACATAGCGAAAAGTAGCTATCCAATATACGTTGCTGGAAAATTTACTGAGCCTTCTTTAATGATATAATAGCTTAATTATGTGGCTTTTGTTCACAGGTTACCTTTGTGCTTCTTATGCCCTGCAAATTCCGAAAGGCTACAATCAAGAGTTGCTGATTCTTGGTCTTATCTACTTGTATTTTACCCTCTACTTGTTGTTTTGCTATGTTCCTACGACCATAGTGACGAAACCATGGAACTATACCCTCAATGAGATATCCCGCTTCCTACACGCTCGACTCAGCCAAAGAATCAGAACACTTAGTTGGGCATTTTTTGTGCTTGTTGTCATTGTTGTTACTATCTTTTCTCTCCCTGAAAAAGAAGAATCGCCCAGGGTTCGTCGTTTAATTGCACTTTTCGGTTTGGTCGTCTTTATTGGTGGTACATATGGTGCTTCCACGGTACGAAACATCAGAAGTTACAGAAACACTTAGATCATTAATTTCGCACTGCTAACGTTTTTTAATCGTGGAATATATCTAGAGTCGCAAACATATTCCTTGGAATACCATCAGCAGTGCCATTCTCATCCAGTTCATCTTGGCACTCTTTGTATTCCGAACTAGTGTCGGTCATGATATTTTCTCATGGTTAGCAACGTTCGCTCAAGGTTTCCTTGGAAAAGCCTGGTACGGTACAGCCTTCGTTTTTGGCGATGCCACTGCTAATGCTGGTACATTCGCCGTGGGCGTGTTCCCTGCAGTTATCTTCTTTGCCGCTACTGTGCAGGTTTTATACTACCTTGGCACTATCCCATGGCTTTTAGGCAAGCTTTCAACCATCTGTATGAAAGTTTTGGACGTATCCGGTGCTGAAGCTATTGTTGCTATTGCATCTGTAAGTTACTACTGAAATCTAGACAACAAATCCAGCCTGCCCGAACTAAAAGTTTTGTTTGTTTTTTTAAAATGTTAGCCTTTCCTGGGTCAAAGTGAAAACGCATTGTTAATCGAACCACTAATGTCACGCTTAACAAAGTCAGAAATTCACCAAATCATGACATGCGGCTTCGCGACTATCTCAGGTTCCGTTTTATACGGTTACATGGCCATGGGCGTCTCTGGACAGGCGCTTCTTACCTCTTGCATTATGTCTATCCCTTGCTCAATTGCTATCTCAAAGCTCAGATACCCAGAAGCCGAAGAATCTCAAGTGAAAAATATCAGAAACATCAATACGCAAAATGATGCCGTCAATTTTCTCCATGCCGCTGGTAAAGGCGCCTCGATTGGTATTAACATTGTTCTCCTCATTATGGCCAATCTTATCACTTTATTGGGTCTACTCTACGCTGTCAATGCCTTCTTGACCTGGGCCGGTAATTTCCTCACTATTCAAGAATTAACCCTCCAACTAGTTACTGGTTATGTCTTTGTTCCTATTGCATGGCTTATTGGTGCTGATGATAAAGATTTGGTAACCGTAGGAAGACTGATGGCTACAAAGATCTGGGCCAACGAGTTCGTAGCTTACCAAGATTTGACGACAACTTACAAAGGTCTCCTATCTGCCCGATCGGAAGTCGTTGTTACTTATGCTCTGTGCGGTTTTGCAAACCTCGGATCTATGGGTCAACAAGTGGCTGTTTTAAGTGCATTAGCTCCTAGCAAGGCTGGTGACATCTCATCGTTGGTCATTTCTGCTATGATTTGCGGATCTCTCAGTACATGGCTCTCTGCTTCGATTGCTGGTATGCTCGTCTAATACAAATTAATACACAGCTTCGTCTTACATTCAATTTTGTAAATCATGCTGCTATAATTCCAACATTTTTTTTACACCTTAATATCTCTCCCACTATTTATTTTATTAATGCATAATCTAATTAAACTTCCATTGCAACTACATGTCGCAGTCGGAACAGAATACAGTCTGATTTATTGTTGTTATAAATAATAAATGTACATGTAAATAGCAGGTGAAAGAAAAGGAATGGATATACATCTTATATACATAGTATGTATATGCAAAAATTGAAATGTTTGTTAGACACTCTGTCACTCAGAACCGTCTAATAGTCTCACGACAGTCTCGTTCACATCCCAATCAGATTCTTCGAGCAAGCGAAAAGCATCGTTCAATGTACATCGTTCAAAATCTGCAACATATTTAGCTTTTTTGTCTCTGATGTAGCGATCAAAATACTGTTTCCAAGCTTCCTCTACCTTCGGCATAAGTCTATCTCTCTTGTTTGGATCCGCAATCTTTGTTTTAATTTTAAAGCCGGCGGCAATCGGACGATGATCAGAGCATCGCGCCTCAAAACGACGATAAAAGAGGTTTTCGATTTTGCGACCTTTATAAAGGACTCGATCACACCAAGCTGGCACACGTTTCTTTTCTGATCTATCGTAAAAGTCGGTTCCAGGATCGTACTTGTAGGTAGGGTCAAAACGAATAGGAGACTCTTGAAACATGAGCAGTCTAAAGAGTGGATTATTACTCTTTTGTCTCAACAGCTGGTCCTGCTCTTGCAACTTTTCCCAGGCGGCCAGTTTGTCTGTATTCGTCAACGCCTTTAAAACTTCGTTACGGTTCATTTGGATACGATAATTAAAGTCACCGCTCATGAAGCAATATTCATGATCAAAGACCATGGCACCGTCACCACCGTGGCAAAACACGTCCGCATAATCATGGGCGGGGAAAGCAGCGCTTTGCAAGATACCTTCAGCGTCGGCATTCCGTTGCTGGACATGAGATTGGCCCGCTGCCAAATGACAATTCACAAAACATAACGAAGAATGATCATAGACGAAACGGATCGCAATGCCACCTTTGTTTCCATGGATACTCTTATTCATGACCTTTAATCCTGTCTTGACAGATGTTGAATCAATGTCAATGATGCGATCCATATCAGCTGTTCGAACAAAAATACAGCTGAACAATCCAACCAGTTGATCAGTTTTGATGACGGTGTATCTGTTGCGCCCGTAGTTTTCAGCGATCATGCGAACCAAATAATCATGCCATAACTTGTATCTGTGGGTCAATACTTCTTCCGCTTCATGTGGATCCACTTTTTTCTTGAAGAATAAGGAGCCTAAGACCCACATAAAAACAATGAATTGAGACGCTCTTCGAACGGAATATTAACAATAGGTCAAAAATTGGATCCTTACGTGCTGTTTGCTTTTTTGATTCTAAATCCACAATTTCTTGTATACCCACCACGATAATGTCAGGATCTTCCATAGTACCTAGCCATTCACGTACAGCCCTATCATCATCCCCTGTGATCCTTTCTGGCTTATTCGCATCAATATTCCAAGAGCATATCATGACATGCGCATCATCATATATACAATATTCTTCTTGATGTTTCAAAAGGTGGGTGTCTGAGGAAGCAAAAAAATAAAAATAAAATAAAAGTCTTGTTTAGTTTTGGGATGAATTCAACTCTTAGGTATTTTTTCTTTACCTTTCCAGTGCTCCGTTAGCAAACCATCCCATACACCAACATAGCCATGTGTATCGCTGGTGACGACTTGCAAACGACCCCGATGCTCATCCAACACCAAGGTGGATTCATCTACCACCATTTGACTCACAGATCCTGTGTGCGCTTTAAAACCCTTCAAAACAGACCAGTTTTCGGGACGTGTATCATAAACATAAATCATGCCTGTATTGTAGCCGGCCCACAATTGATACTCGCCTACACTGACCATGGAAGAGATGCCGTATAAAGAGACAGCGACGATCATCAACCGTTCCATGGTCTCTGTATCCCACATGCTTATCTTTCCGTCGTCATGAGAAGCGAATACACGATTCGTGTGGTATGGAACGGTGCACAGTCGAGTGATATTGCCAATGTCATTGGGTATACGTACTGTCGAAGAACCATCGTCGCTATGGCTATGATTGTTACTGCTACCAGCGGCTGGTATAGGATGCACGGCCAAGGTTCGACCGGAAGACATCCATAGTTGCGATCCATGAATGGTAGCGGCTACGGCATGTGGGGTGACAAGATAACGTCGTGGCATCGCTGTCAGTAAGGGATTTGTATTCGAGTGATAATCTGCTGAGAGCACGTCCCATACATACATGACACCACTTTCGTCAATCGACCAGATTTCTGAATTTCTGTAGCGTAAAAGAAAGTTGACAGGAGCTGTATGCACATCATTTCGGCGACTGATCACTTTATAGCCCGCACCTCTCCCCCCTCCCTTCAAATCAATCACTGTGAGCATGGTGTCTTGTCGCACGGCCCACAAAAATCGGCCTTCTTCCACAGGCGTGCGGCTGGGAGCAAACACGAGGGCGCGTACTTTGTTACTGGCTTCTGCATTTTGCTGACTATTATTCGCGTTGCTCGTGCCCGAACCTGCAGTCGTACCGTTCACGAGATCCATATGAATGGTACTGATGACAGCACCGGTATGTATATCCCGCGTGCGGAGATGACTTGTGCCGGTGACCATGACGTTTCTGTTCACAGCCAAGGCACTTAAGCCTCCTTTATGGCCTAAGGAAAAAGCTTTGTCGGCCACAATCAGCGGTGCATTTCGTGTCTGCTCAGAAAAGTCTGGGGTCACATAGCTGGTCATGTATCTCTCGCTCCGTAACAATAAACTGTTGATACTGCTATTCTCGGCTTTTTTATGGACGTAGGTTGTATTGGCACGTTTCATTTGCGTTGTGTTCAGATAGGTATGACTGTTGGTGTCATAGTGGGTATCGACCATGTCCTTCTCCATGGTATTGTTTTTGGCTGCAGAAGAAGCAGGGGTTTCGAGTGAAGTGGGTGGTGTTGAATGAGGGTGTTTTTTATGTACACTGGATGCAATGGTATGTGCGCGGGCGAGTGTGGATTGAGAGGGACGAGGAGGCAGTTGGGGTATCGCAGGAGTAGTAGCTACAGGCCGTGGAGGTAAAGAGGGCGGCGGTAAGGGGGGAGAAACATTGATGGCTTCGACCTCGGCGACGGAAGAGCTGGGTATAGGCACATGCACCACGGGTGGTGGCGGGGAGGGGGGCTGAATAATGGGCGCGGCCATGGGGGCAGCAGCAGTGGTTGGCGATAGAGTAGGAGTGGCACGTGCAGAGCTATGGTATTTTTTACTGGGTGGAGGTGGGGGTGGTGGTTTTTTTGTTGTTTTCTTTGGTAGTGGGGCGGCCGTCGCAAAGCCAGCGTCTTCATGCTTTGAACTGTCATGGTGACATCCATCGGACGTCCTATTACGGTTTTTCATGCCTGGGGCACCAATATAATGAGGCTTTTCGGATTGAGTATACTGTAAATATGCTCTTTGTACTTGTTCAATTAACCCATTGTCTCCTTCACTGCTATTTGTTTCTTCCGAAGATTCAGAATCGGATGAACCGTCTTCCTGCAGGTCTACTATTTCATTATCTTCCTCTAGACTCTCATTCATACCACGTTTATAGGGAGCAGTCTCCTCAACAGGGCGTGCGTGTGTATTATGAACAGGAAAGGAGGGCTGTGCATTATCGAGGACTGGAGGGCGAGGTGGTTTGCTCGGTCGAGGAGGTGCAGGTGTTGTTGGTAGTGAAGGCGGCAAAACAGGTAGTTGTTGTTCGGTTGGCTTGTCTGTGGCCAACCCGTCATCTCTCGTGGTGTGAATGTCGGCTTTCGAAGGATGAAGATCAGCCTGCTTCAGGTTCTCTTTTGTCGGCATTATATTTTTGGCGTCGTTTTTGTTGTACGTTGTCAGATTTTCGTCACTCAAAACTTTGTTAATGACCGAGACGGACGGTTTGGGCGGGACGGGTGGAGGAGGCGATAATCGTGCGGTTGTTGGTGTTATGGGTTGAGTGTGAGGATGATGAGGTGGGTAAGACTGCGATTGCTCTTGTGCAAGCGCTTCCTGCTGTGCCCATTTATTTTTTAGAGCTTGAAATGACTGCTGCTCATCCTGCTCGTCCATCCCTATGTTGTTATTCAAACAAGCCTAGCTTATGACTATTTCCTTTAAACGTTCTGCAAGAAAAAAAAAAGAAAGGTTAAAAGACCCACAGTAGAATGCGGAAAAGAAAAGGGTTTATGAAAAATAGGGCTAAACAAAGGGCAAAACAAAGAGCCTTTGTAGAAAAGTAAACTAAAATAAATTGAGACTCAAAAATGGTTTGGTTTTTTTGGTGCTCTTGGAGGAGTTAGAAATTGGTTTCTGCTGTCAACGTGAACAAATTTCTTTGTGAGCAAACTCGGAGATTCAAGCTCTTTCAGTGCAAATGTCAATCCATACAGTGTAAAGAAAACTGAATTTGACAAGTATCTCCTGATGAAGCGACCCATTTTCTATGAGCAGTTATTTTTTACGTTGAGTGCCTTTATTACGTTTCATTGCGATCGTGCTACCTGATGTCTATTGATAGGTAGACGAAAGGCTGTGTTTTAGGTGGAGAAAAAAAGAGGCTGGCAATAACTCATTATAGCAATGCATGCCAACGGGCAACAGAAATGTTTATACTAGTATCGTCTGCAGTTGCAGCAGGCATGTGCATGAGAAAAACCCTTCATTCCTATAAAGGTTGACGTGAACGAGGGGCCCTTAACTGGATACCAAAAGCGGCCATCCTCTTTTTATACACATATCCTCGTTTTTATTTTTATTATATAAAAATCACATAGACACCAAGGTATGAAATACAAAGATAGATTCAAAAATATTAGTGTACAATAGTTGTAAAATGTATAGATGCTAGGGTAGGGGAGGTGGGGGGGGGAGAGGAGGAGAGGCACTGGATTGAAAGCATCAGCGTTCATGCGACTTGTTTAATTTTTTTCTTCTTCTACGACTAAAGCCAACACTTCGCTCTTTGGTCTGCCTTCACCCACACCACCTACGGGGATCCATTCGTGTTCAAGAAGTTTGCCATCTCTTCGAAGAGCTGGTGGTACAGCATTACGTTGGCTGTAAAGATAGTTTCCATAAGCAACCAGTACCTTGCGATGTCTGGTGTTTTCCTCTCTGAAGGTCAGTGTAAGTTCTCCATTCTTTTCCGACAATTCACTCACTTCAGCGCCGGGCACGATATGGCTGGTAGAACCCAAAAATAAAAGTTCCTTTTGGTCTGCTGCAGAAGACGACGACGATGGTTCTGGTATATGCATAAAAGTCTTTGTTTCGTGTACCTTCAATTTGACAGCTGAGGAGGGGTGGTAAAAGAGATATTCGTTTTTATCGGGATAGGTCATATGCATATCGTTGTCTGTTGCAAAGAAGAGATGCGTATCTCTCGAGGAGGCAGGCAAATAGATGGTCTGCTCGTCGTGTGACAAGTTGGCAAAGGTGGTGTATTGGTGTTTTTTACCGTTGGTTTGAGTAGCAAATTTGATGACGAAGCAGTCATGTCTAAATTCAACCACGCTGTGTACTTGGGCAATGACCTTGGGGAAGGTGGCTGAATACAGCAAGTGCTCATCACGACTGTAAAGGGCTACATTATCTGAACTAAAGACCAGTGCGCCAAGAATGTTGTTCAGGACACACAAAGTATATCGTTCGTCGAGCGTCAGCTTGTTGTTTTGATTACGTAGGATCATGACATCAGGATCGTTGCCAAACATACGGTCAGACATGGTCCATCGTGTCAAGGTAGAAACAAGAGAATTGGCAGTGGATACGCGCTCACGTACATGAAGCAATTTCAACTTGGAGTCTGAAAAGAGAGAGAGAGAGAGAGAGAGAGAGAGAGAGAGAAAGACAGAGAGTTGGGGCGAATGAGCAATGGGGAATGAAAAAAAAAAAAAAAAAAAAAAAAAAGTCATTGGTTTCAGTTGTGATGCTTACCTTCCCACCAAGGAGCCACATCTGAGCCGATACGGCAATAATCTACTTTTCTAAAGGCGCTGGCCAGAGGTACGCCACAACCAAGAATTAACTTTTCAGGGCCGACGAGATCACGGACGAGGTCCATTGCTTCCCACATAATCTCACCACGGGACTTGCCCTGACGAGGGATCATGGCCGCTGCAAAGCAAAAATCGAGTTTAAGCATATCAAAACCCCAGTCTTGCAAGACTGTATCAAATACTTCTTTGAGATAGCTGCGTGCTCCGGGATGATACATATCCAGAGCGTAAAATCCTCCCCAATTGGGGCCTGCCACGACGGGTTTACGTGTGTCAGGGTCAATGATCAACCAATCTGGGTGTTCTTTGACGATACGACTTGTGAATCCTACAGCATAAGGAGCTAGCCAAAGACCTGCTTTGAAACCTGCCCGTTTGATCTTTTCCGCTACAGCCTTCATGCCGCTAGGGAACTTGTCGTTGATGGATAACCAGTCACCAATAGCGGTCTGGAAGCCATCATCGATTTGGAAAATGTTGATGGGGTATTTGTGCTTTTGAAGTGCTTCGACGTTCTCATGGATGATGGCTTCAGTCACATCGCCGTAATAATTATACCATGATGTCCATCCATTGACGTGGCGCTTTTTATTATCGGCTGATTTGATGTTGGTATTGGATGGGTCGCTCTTGATAGCACGGCGATCCTCATAAAATTCTGCGTAAGAATCCCAAATAGCTGCTTCGGCATCCAATCCTTGGGCAATAAACACTTTGACGAGGTCGATCTCTTCTCCCACCTCCAATCTTTTGCCAAAGACGTCTTTGTAGATGCCCAAGGTATTTTTGTTAAAGTCGCCCTTGAAATAAGTGTAACCCATATTTTCTGAAATCGAGCCAAAGAAGGAAAGAACGTTGTTTACGTCACGGAAGTGAGTGTAGCTGCTCGAGTGAATCAAACCCTTTTCTCCAGAATGTTGAAAGATATCATAATCACTACATGATGAAACAAGGTTAGATATCCGGGGGGTCCTATGACCATGATGCCTACTGAACATGGAACAAACACTCCAATAGACACACACAGGTAGGTACGCACAGGTACGTATGCACATGCACATGCACATACATACATACATACATACATACATACACACACACGGATCTTTTTTTTTTTAACTCACCCTTGAAGGTTAAACTGCGTATACCAAGCGATGCCTGAACGAATACCGGGGATCTTGTCATTTTTTGAAAATTCACGCGCTTGACTCCAACTTTGGAAACCGTTGGCCAACATACGTTGATCCTTCAAATCGGCCAAGTAGGTGGCTTCAAAATAGTTTAGCTCGAGAGGTTGTTTCAGAGCCTTGACAGAAAGGGTCAAGAGATAACCTCCTTTATTGTCACTGTGACGTTCACATTTTGCGGTGACCTGAATATATGGATTGATAAAAGGCTTGGTAGGATGAAGGAGTTCATGTCTATGCCAAATAGGATCCTTTTCTGAAGGATGAAGTTTGTAGGCAATATCGATTTGAGCCCTTGAAGTCAGAAACGACGATGGTGAAAGACTCATTATTTGTTGATGTACTATTTGTTTTGTTGGGAAAGAAGAAGGACGGAAGGAAAAGAACAGAAAGAAAGTCGAATTAAAAAATCGCACATGTGAGACAGAAAAAAAAGAAAAAAAAGCACAGTGCGTGTGTGTATGTGTGTGTGTTTATGTTGTGGGTGCATCTGTGGCTCACCATCTATAAAACCCCGCTTTTATAATGTATCTATGATGAGATTGGACTCCGTTGGGGTAGGTGCCTGAAAACATCATAAATGAGCAGATTCAAAAAAGCTTTTTTATTGACTGTGAGATAGTATGGGCAGTCTTGATAGATATCCTTCTCTCGTCTCCCTATTTATTTTTTTATTCTTTAAAATTGCTTTCTCTTTTTTTGCTCGTCATAGCTAAGCCCGCCTGGACCCGTGGCCACAAGGGTCATGAGGCCACCGATAATGCTCAGATACTGAAAGAAATCATAACGCAAAAAGTCTCTTCTATAAGTCGAATAACGACCATCCCACCAATTATTCGCTAGAATGTTGACTAGACACAAAATACACAACAGAATGGTAGCGGAATATTTCGCTTTGAATCCAATGATAATCATGCTGCACGCTGTCAAACCGACGGCTGCGATCAATAAGCGAAAGTAAACATTGCTTGTGAGGTGCTTTCCTCCGTCGCCAATAAACAGGTACGCAAAAAATACCAAGACAGTAAGAGTTCGGCCTGCCAGCTGAATGTATTGATAGCATTCTTTGGTGCCCGGATGTTGTAAAGGCATGGCGACCCATAATCGGATATCGTTACTGACTTTTGTGCGTGACAAGATGGACTCTGATAAACAGAGTAATAAGCCTCCCAGGACAGACAGATTTCTCAAGAAAAAGTACTATACATAGGGGGAGGGGAGGCAAGCATGAGCTACTGAGCAAAAGATAGGGCTATTCTCTTTTCATCTTTAGATGTCTACCGTATCAAATAAAATACCATAAGCGAATGCTTGAATCGCCATCACTAACGTCAGTACCGACACTGAAACACCCATCATTTTCCTTGATATAATACACGTAGCAAAGAATGTCATTATCTATGGTATTGCGGGGGGGTATATTATTGGATGAGCACGACTTCCCAGCACTGTCCTATGTTGTTTGCTTACCAGAACATTGGCGACCAAAAATGTGATGGCTACTGGACGGGTCAAATGATGCATCAACATGAGGTACTTGGTCTGATGGGGCCATTGATAGCAGATACGTATGGCATCTTCGTAGAACGTTGCCACAGTCAAAAACCGGCTTATGGCTGGTAAATGAGGCTTCAAAAAGGCTGTGTTCAGCTTGTGACAGATTTGCTGAAATCCTCGCATCCTTCTTTTTTTTTTAAAAAAATGTGCTGTTTAGGTAGATGGACTATGTACTTTCGGAATAAGATAGAAAGAGTAGAATGGGTTTTGCCAGTTGATTTTGTATCCTCTCCACTATTTCTTTATCAACTAGACTGTATCATTTTAACGAGTCCTTTTCCTATTGCAAACGTACAGCTGAAAATGAAATTTTCATTGTTACATAATGTGATTACAACACGGATGCTTCGTCTCTTTTTTCGCAGCTTTTTGTGAAAAAAAGGAAAAAGTCATAGAAAAGGGAATAATGCACTTGGTGAATGGGAGTTAAGTTCAAGCCTTGTCTCTTTCTCTTTCTCTCTCTCTCTCTCTCGCTTTGACACACACTCTTTTTTTTCGCACTGATTACAAAATAAAAAAAAAAAAAAAATGAAAATTCGCAACTCAAGGCGAATAAGCTTTTTGTGTTTCTTATGCAAATTCTCTTTAGAAACATCTTGCAAAAGATTCAAGCGGGAAACAAACCATGCCTTTACAATTTTGCATTAAAATCCGGGAAAAAAAAAAAAAAAAGAGACAGTTCCGCATATACTCGCGTTATAGCCATTTGAAATTTGGCATAGTTGACTTAATCACAATTTGTGTTATTGATTCGCGACTGTATACATTAATAACAAGAAAGTGATAAATAAGAAAAGCTACAAGATAGTTGCTGTGGATAAGCTTAGCAGCAGCAGCAGCAGCAGCAACAACAACAAAGACCATTCTAAATTTGCGTGCATACCCCATTATCTAACAGATTCTAATTTTCCATTAACGTTTTTTTTTTTTTTATATTCCATTTCTTTTTTGACAATTGAAATTCCATTCATTTTTTTTTTTTTTTTCTTTCTTTCTTCTTTTCTTCTTTTCTTTCAGTTTTCAGAAAATCAAAAAAAAAAGAAGACTACGTTCTGGAACTTTTTGAATACAATGTCGTTCTTTAACAAAATTATTGACAAGGCAAAACACGGTAGTGGTCACCAACATCAGCCAAATGATAAATACCATTATCAGCAACCGATCGTCGACGAGAATAACAATAGAGGATTTTACGGCATCTATACACCGCATTCATCTACTTCCTCTTCCTCTTACAATAATAATAATAACCATGTAAATGTAATGAATAATGACTACCAACAACAGTCCTATCCACAACAGCCACAGCAACAGCCACAGCCACAGCAACAGCCACAGCCACAGCAACAGCAACAGCAACTTCCAAAAATGCATACAGAACATGCTGGCTCGAATAATCCGTTTTATGCAGCAGCACAAGCCAATGGATATGTCACACCGAGACAATCACAAGACTCACATCAGAATATGGAGATAGATGCCGTCACTCCGGGTAATAGAGAATGTGACATGGACAAGACAAAAAAGTGTGTGTCTTTTATTGATAGGTTCAATTTTGCTCTCATAGATCAACCGCGTCAGCAGCAACAACAACAACAACAACAACAACAACAATCACAACAATCACAATCAAGTCAAGCACAGACATCACGACCCAGAAACGAGCCTATGCAACAGTCGCAAACAGCTCAACAACCTGAAATGAAACAAGAAAATGGTAAAAGGGTTATGCTTGTGTCCATCATGTCTGCCTACGATAGCTGACATGACTTGTTCTTTTTTTCTCGAAAAAAAGCCCGTGCTTCCTTAAGAAATAGATATCAACAATACGACCAAGCCATTATGGAACAACGAAAAAACCGACCCAAACTCAAACTAGACGATTTCCATTTACTCCGTACATTGGGTACCGGTTCGTTTGGCCGGGTGCATCTAGCACAGTCGCGACACAATGGTCGCTATTATGCGATCAAAGTTCTGAAAAAGACAGAGGTAGTGCGACTAAAGCAAGTAGAGCATACCAATAATGAAAAACATATCTTGGAAGCGGTGGCCAATCCCTTCCTGGTGAACCTGTGGGGTACTTTCCAAGATGATGCCAATTTGTACATGGTACAGGATTTTGTACCTGGTGGTGAATTGTTCAGTGTCCTAAGAAAAAGCAAGGTAAAAAAATAATAATCAAGATATCCTTTTTTTTCTTTTTATATTCTTCATTTGCGTCAACTTAGTTTTATGTTTACGCGGTATGATAGAGATTCCCAGATCATGTTGCAAAGTTCTATGCCGCTGAAGTCATTCTCGCTCTTGAATATCTTCATAAAAAAGATATTGTGTATCGTGATTTGAAGCCTGAAAACTTACTGCTGGATGCCAACGGTCATATTAAAATTACTGATTTTGGATTTGCTAAACTTGTCCCAGACATTACCTGGACCTTGTGTGGCACGCCTGATTATTTAGGTAAAAACTATCTTCAACGCCGCCTCTCCAAAGGGGGGGGGGAGGGGACGGGTCATTTTTTCCAACGAAGCGCTCATGCCTCATTCTATTGCTTCCTGTTATAGCTCCCGAAGTCATTCAATCGAAAGGTTACAGTAAAGCGGTGGATTGGTGGAGCTTGGGTATTTTGATATTTGAAATGTTGGCTGGTTATCCACCTTTTTACGATGATGATCATTTGAAACTGTATGAAAAGATTTTACAAGGCAAGATTCGCTGGCCATCCTATTTCGACCCAAACGCGAAGGATTTACTTACACATCTGCTTACTTCGGATTTATCACGTCGTTATGGTAATCTGAAGAACGGAGCTGCCGATATCAAACAACATGCTTGGTTTCATGGAGTGGACTTTGATCGCGTGGCCAATCGACAAATTAGAGCACCGTACATACCACAAATACGTGGTGATGGTGACGCTAGTCATTTTGATAGATATCCAGAGACCAATGAACAATATGGTGCGCCTGCCGATGACCCCTATAGAGAGAAATTCCCAGATTTTTAACAAAAAAAAAAAAAAAAAAGAAACGCTTTTCGTTTCGGGGGCGGGGGAAGGGTGTGATGGATACGTTTTATTCATTGTTATTTTCTATTTATGTAATGAAAGAAATAAAGAAAAAAAAGCGTTTTGTCTTTTTTTTTGTCTTTTGTCTCTATTGAACAAGTAGCATCAGCAGGCAGCAGTCAACCGAGGGACGGGACAGAAAGAAAGTGGACTCTTCAGAACAAGAAAGCCGAGGTTCTTCCCTTGGCGTATTTTTTGTAAGAATAAAGTGAGTCTAGCAGATATCAGAACTATGGTAGTTATTACATTGTGAATATCTAATATAAATAGTAGCTTCTTGACATAGTAACAGCCCTTAGGAAAGAACAGGACAACACTTTGTTGATTTTCATATGCTGCCATATGAATTTCAGGCAAAATTCCCCGGGCTATCCTTTTCTTCTGTCATACACTTGTCTTTTTTTTTTTTCTTTTAAACAAGGTTTTACAGCCCATAGAGTGGAGGCATTTTAATTTATTATTTTTGTATGCCCTTAACAAAAAGAGGACATTGGATGTGTAGGTTTCGTTTATTCATTGAGCTACACGTTGGATATGTGTTCATAATGACTCTCTCATGGTTTACAATAAACCACTTGTGCTATATTGAAATGGACATCTTTTATTCAAACATCCTTCCCTTTATTCCCGAAACCAAAACTCTTTTGGTATTTGAGTTAGATCTCAGAAGCCTGTATTAAATGAACCATCCCATTCATATCGGTCTATCTTTTGCCGAATAACAACTTTCAGTTGATCTTCCCCTGTTAAGCCTCTTCTTTTGGTGATAGATCAATCAAGCTATTATGTAGCCATGCGATCATGTCACTAGCGCGAAGGGCGGTTGTCCTTGATGACTTATCTCGCAGTTGCACGGGTGGCTTCACTCACCCTACAAAAAGTCGCTTCCTATTGACTTGGAGCCTGTTTCATAATACATGTCCGTATCTCCCCTCTCCGTTATTCATTGTATCTTGCTCTGCGACTACTTTCTTTCCTCAAGCCCGAAATGTCTCTATCCATGGATGAACAGTCATCTATAAACAGAGTCTTGCGTTCGCTTATGAAGCGTCTTTTTATTCTTTAGAGTTCATTTAATAATGATAAGTGTGAAAAAATGACGCATTGGAGGCTGTGCATGGAAGCCAACCGTTGTGAATGGTACCTGCTTCCCAAAAATACATTCATTATGCTCAGCAATGGACTCTCATGCTCTTAAGGCCATTGCTCTCATGAAAGACATTTCCCATAGATACATTCAAAAGGAACGAGTTTTGCTCAAACTACAAAAAATCCATTTTCATATTCATAAGCAATCATCGTTATATCAATGACAGACCGTGACATTCATGTTGATGCTCGTTTCATCATTATAAACTTTTTTCTGCCACCAACCTGTATTTGAGTATGCCTAAAAGGAGAGAATGCCTTATTTAGTTATGGTCCCTTTTCGGCTCCCCGCCCCTCCTCCTCTACGCTCACGTTCCCCGCCCCCAACAGCTTATTGTATGCAAAAAAATAAAGGTTTATTTCTGCTTCGAATTTGCGCCAGTGTAGGTTTTTGGATCACATGTGCGTATTTATAAAAGACTTTATCTATCCCCCTTATTGGCGATTTTTTTTTTTTGAAAGTGTAAAACCAATATAAAAAGGACCCCATTTCTTTATCATTCATTCATTTACTTTTTTATTGATTTTTTTCCCCATCCTCATGTTGACTCCAATTCGTCGTCGTACTGCTTCCCTGCTTGTCTCCAATACTGCTGCTGTTGTCGCTACCTCCAAACGGTCCATTGCTTCAACCGTCGCTCGTTCTTTTACCAATGAAGAACCCAGGTTTCAATTCGAAAAGGCGCATCATCAAGTCGCTCCTTTGACAGACCCTACTCTCTACGCTCCACAAGGTCATTTTGATGCCTCAGCATCCACCAAGGCTACTTTTACCCATCCTTCTACCACGACGGCTAATACTGCCTCTGTGACAACGGACACAGCCAACGCTAATGATACCAATACCATCTTTACTCCTTCTGTCAATGCTGTATTTGACGACTAAATGACTTGCCGATAGGGCAAGTGCGCGTTACAATGGATCACTTGTCTCTTTTGTAAATAATTTCTATTTCATCCCTCTCTCTCTCTCTCTCTCTCTTTGTTTTTCTACATGGCTTATCTTGTGTTTTTTTTTTTTTTTTTTTTTTTTTTTTTTCTTCTTCATTATCGTTTTCACTCGTCCAATAAACTTTTTCTGCTTGAAGGGGGCGCATCAAAAAATGGTTATGAAATGCAAGTGACATTATGCATTTTTCTGCTGGCTCGCATTTCTTCACGTTCTATGCACGCCAAAATAAAAAAGTAAACAGAAAAACACTTCTTTTCGGACACACGCTCGACTGCCTCCTCACGACTCCTCCACCGTTCTATCATGATGATGTGGCTAAGGAATCCACACTTTCTTTGTTTTCCACTTTTTCAGTTTTTCGGGTTTTTTTTTTTTTTTTTTTGCTTGGAAACGTGCATTGTTTAAACTTGGAACAACGGTCGATGACTAAAAAGTTGGATGATCATTTGGTACGTTGTGTATCACTTTTCTAGCCGGATGCACCTTTTTAAAATGACACACTTTTTCTCTACGGCAAGTGAAACGTTTCTCTACGTTTCCACGGCTTGATTTGAAATCTGTGTAATATAAAACTAATCAATTTTTTTTACTTTTTCAGTAGCAAATGGAACGACTGAGAACGTTTTGTCTCTCGGATGGAAGCACATGCGCCCTGTGGCGGTACCCGTTTCATCGTCTATTCCCTTGACAAAAAAAAAGGTACGCAGAGAGAGAGAGAGAGAGAGAGAGAGAGTACTCAGACTGGACTTCACGTTCCCAGCTTGAGGCCTATTGATTTGCCCCAAAGGCGTCGTTATTACCCGTTCCCCGAGGGGAGAGGAGGGGTTGTTTCAAATCCCCAAACCTTGTTTTTCAGTCTTGTCATGAGCCAATCGCCCTGACTGATTGGTCTGCTCTACGTATGCATCCCTTGATTTTACTTTTTTGATATCGTTCACATTGGCGGCGGAGGATGGGGGCAAAAAAGACATAGTATTTGGCTTTTTCTTATGCCTAGAAAGAAGAGTCCTCGAGTTTGCCCATGAAACCGTTTCTTTGCTTCGATTGCCCTCATCGCTTTTTTTTTACATTTGGACTTGAGACCTTTTTCCACGAAAAAGGAGCAAAAAAAAAGTGAACCGTGAGTCGGTCTCGATTGAAAAAAAGGGGATTTATTTCTGTGTACCTTAGGACCCTAAGATCCATCCCGCCTCCATTTTTTTGCATGAAAGTATTTTCAGTCAACTAATTTTCAAGCCACTTTTTTTGCAAATCCCGAAAATGGAGAGCTTTTGATGGGATGGGCTGCTTTTTTTGCTTGCATAGAAAAAGTTTACTCTCCATTGATAGAATGTCTCCTACAGCTGTGCAAAAGAAAGCAAAGAAAAATAAAACGACGGCTCAACCCACGTTGAAAAAAAGTAAAAACAAAGTCATCGCTAAGCCTACAACGACTGGAAAAAAGACGAAAGGTGAGAGCAAAGACAAGCACCATGTTATTTCGAGTAGATCCATCCCATCCTAGTTGCTCACATGGTCATCTTTTCGTCATCGAAAGGCAGTGTAAAGAAAGCGCTCAAGAAAGTGTAAGGAAAATTGAGATGCAATACAAGGTACCATCATCATGTTCATACTGTTTTTGTTCTCCATAGTCCATTTGAAGAAAAGGAAACATCACCAGCAGCCAATGACTCTGACAATGAAAAAGTAGACGACATTTTCAAAGTAATGCTATTGTAAAAAATTCAGATGATGGTAAGCTTTGTGAACAGTGATATTCAACAAGTAAACCCATTTTTATAGAAATGGCAGCAGCCAATGGACCATGATGATGATGGTGCATCGGAAGCATCAGCAAGTGAACACATGGAAGTGGATGAAAGCGAAGACGAGGAAGAAATGATGAAAGTAAGAAACAATAGACACAAAAAGACGCTAAACGACAGTATCATGACTCTGATTCGATATTTTGTCATATACTATTTCGCTATGAACAGAGATTCCAACAGGAAATGGATCGCAGCGACGATGACGATGATAATGACCATGATGCCGAAGAGGAGGACAAAGAGGATGTGGAAGACATAGAACAAGACATTGAACAATATAAGAAAGATTTGGAAGCATTGAAGGATACAGATCCAGAGTTCTACAAGTATTTGGAAAAGGAAGATAAAGAGCTGTTAGAGTTCGACGAAGGTGTCGATGATATGGCCGATTCAGAAGAAGAAATTCCATCGGATATCGAAGAGGAACCCGCTGATGTTGAGGATGTCGAATTCAGTGCTTCCGTCCCTGCATTATCCAAGACCATGTTGAATGAGTGGATCGATTCAATCAAAACAAATAAGGATTTCAAAGCATTCAAAAAGTTATTGCAGGCATTCAAGACGGCAGCAAGAATGTCTGAGGAGGACGAGGAAGAAATGAACTTTAGCTATAAAATTGAAGACCCTGCAGGTAAATAATAATACAATACTATGATCCCCGCTGATGGGAGGGAGGGAGGTATTTACTTTAAAATTTTTTTGTCTATGGATTAGTCTTTTCAAAGGTGATTATTTCTGCACTTCGATATGCACCGGTCGTTTTTGCACATCATCTCAAGCCCAAGAAAGAAGGCGGCTCACCCATGACCTCGGGCCGCTGGTCCTTCTTCAAGACCTATGTCAAAACCTATTTAAACAACTTGCTGCATCTTTTAAGAAACCTCACGGATGCCGATATGATACGTCTGGCCATCCGCGAAGCAGAAAAATGTACCCACCTTTTTGTCTGTTACGATCGACTTTCGAAAGAATATCTCAAGGCCCTCTTACACGCCTGGGCCAGTCCAACCTCCGCTGATATGGTTCGTGTCCAAGCCTTTTTAAGTATCAAATCTTTAGCCGTTGCGCCAGTACCTGCTGCGAACAAATATGGAGCGAAAGGATATCTCGATATGTGTCTAAAGAATGTGTATTTAACGTATGTCAAGAACTGTAAAAACACCAACATGCACACTCTACCTGTGATCAACATGATGCGAAACTTGGCCGTTCAGCTCTACGGTATCCATCCCACCTTGAGTTACCAACAAGCCTTTGTATATATCCGTCAATTAGCCATTTATTTGAGACAAGCGATGAAGGTGCACTCCCAAAAGAATCACAACATGGTCTACAACTGGCAATACATTCATTGTATCGATTTTTGGGTGGATGTCCTCAATGCTTACGCCACCGCTCGCATGGTCGATGCCGCGACGGGTGAGCCAGTCGGCGACTCCCCTTTGAAGCCTCTGATCTATCCTTTATGTCAAGTCGCTGTGGGTGTCATGCAACTGATTCCCACCGCTCAATTCTACCCGCTTCGTTTCCATTTATTACGTACAATGACCTCGCTCATCCATCATACAAATACCTATATTCCTTTGGCGAATTTTGTCATTGAGGTGATGGAGAGTAAAGTAGCCATGGACATGGCCAAAAAGACAGATGCGGGCAACCCTACCGATTGGGATTTGGTGTTGAGAGTCAACAAGAAAATCCTCCATAGCCGTATGTACCAAGACGAAGTGCTAGAACAATGCGCCAAGGCTCTGAGCCAATTTTACAAAGAATTTTACAGTCAATCTGGGTTCCGCGAAATGGTCGATCCCGATATCATTACTATCCGAAGATTCCTGAAAAAATCAAAAGCGTCTCTCAAAGGCAAAGAGAAGCTCAAGGCCCTAGTGAAAGAGGTAAAAAAATGAACCCGGATAACTCGGTCAAGGTAAAAAATGCATGGGATGACTCAACTTTTTTTTTTTTTTTTTTTTTTTTTTTTTTGTTTTTGTAGCTGGAAAATGTAACAAAAACTGCTAAAAATACCATTGAAACTGAACAATAAATCAATGTATATATAATCCACAAATCAAAAACTGAATAAACCAAGCCGTCATGAGTGTATCCCTCCTACTATATCCATTGTGGAGTGCTTTCTCATCCTTTTTTTAGCATTTTTTTTTGTCTGACACGATTCGCCCGTAGCGTTTCCGACCAAAAATAATACTGTAACAAATAGCTGAAACTCATGGGAGAGAAAATGATAGTATCCACTCCTTCCATCGACACTTTTAGCTTTGAATAACTACAGTCATTGTTTCTTTTTTTCTTTTTCAACGACTGATCTCTCTGAACGTATATATATATATAACATAATATGTTACTGTCATTGTCCATCAGAATGTATATCGAAACCATGGGAGAAAATTGACAACTTCTTGTTTCTCGACCCTTGATAAGCTTATATAAAGTTTGCATACATTTCCAAACAAAACAACATCATCTGCCTTCTTTCTCTGAGCGGCTTGAAGCAGGTTGTTCTTCTTGTTCAAACAACTGCAAATTTTTTACTTTTCTTTTATCAAACACACTTTTTCTGTCTCTCAACATCTTGGTTATAAAAGGGGGCCAAAAAAGACTAAAAAGATCTACTATCTCTGTTGCACTATTCCCCCAAAGTAACACATCAATAACAAAAACAAAAAAAAAAAAAAAAAACCAAAAGAGGATGAGAATAAACTTTCCAGGCACTGCAAAACGAAAACTCGTTGCGGGCTCTTCCATCTTTTGTTCCTATTATTCAATGACACACATTATACGAAAGAGCAATAGTGTGATTTTCAAACTATTCAAGAGCCACGATGTCTTGACCTTTTTGCTGACCATGACGGCAACCGCTGCCACATCCTCCTTACTCTATTATCTTGTGTTTTCATCCTCCTCGCCCACCAGAACCAACAAAGCGAGCCGAAAACCAACAAAAGTCGAGGATAGAAGAGCAATTATATCAAAGAGAAAAATGTTGGAGAGCCCAGAAGAGCGGTATGCCAGTTTGAGGGTAAGAGCAAAGTGACGGAGAGAGAGAGAGAGAGAGAGAGAGAGAAAGAGAAAGTCGTGTCTAGGCTATATGTCAAGCATTTGTATGGCGGAATAGTGAAGTAGCTCCCTACTTTTTTTTTCAATTATCAAATAACAGATTGGAAACCGGTTTCTGAACCCTTTTGAAGAATGGACAGATATCCCTTTTTATAAAACACTTTTCTTCTGGTTACGACGCTATAAAGGTAATGGGATACCTCGAGATGAAAAGGTAAGCAAGAGGGAAAAAATAAAATAAAAAAAGTGCGTGTCATTCAAAAGCAGACACTAGGTTATGTGTACTGATGCCGTCGTAATGCAACAGGCACTTGAACAAGCTCTACCGACCCACAAGCCTGATTTTGATAGAATTAAAAATAAAGAGAATGGAGTGACATTTACATGGTTTGGGTAAGTAGTCTAGCCTATGTCGGCCAGTACCTTATTTACAATTCTCATAGGTGCTCTACTGTTATTGTATTTGTCTTTAGACAGTCCACATGCCTGATGACGATTGACGGAGTAACCATTTTGTCAGACCCGGTTTTCAGTAGCAGATCGATCAATAACTATATAGGCCCGAAACGATTAAGGCCGATTTCTTGCTCATTAGAAGAGGTGATACATCTTGTAGATATTGTTATCGTATCTCATGATCATTTTGACCATTTGAGTAGGTATCCTTTAAAGAAAACATTTATCTCGTATGCTTGAAAAAGTTGACTCAACATACTATTTATCTATCTATCTATCTATCTATCTATCTATCTATCTATCTACCTACCTATCTATCTTTGCACAGATGAAAAAGCTGTAGAAACCCTGGGCAATTCAGTGGTGTGGTATGTCCCTCTCAATTTAAAACGATGGCTCAACGCCAGAGCCATTATAAATGTAGTAGAATTAGACTGGTGGCAGGAAACGTTTTATCCATTTTCTGATCTCATGATTGCTTGTGTGCCTGCGATGGTAAGATAGATTCATAAGTAACATAGCCATGATAGAACATGAGAGTTCATTAGAAAATGATATACATGTTTCTGTAGCATTGGAGTGGATCAAGGACACCTTTTGAGAAAAACAATACCCTTTGGTGCAGTTATGTCATCAAATCAAAAAACAACACCCTATTTTTCTGGTAAGGAGCCTTTGAAAGGCATTTCGAGATCATGCGGCTGTGGCACTAGCCTGAAGCACACTCACATGGATGTTTATTAGTGGTGATACAGGGTATTCTTCGGATCTGTTCAAGGCGATTGGCAGAAAATACACACCGTTTACATTAGCGGCTATACCTATAGGCAGCTTCCTTCCGACGCACTTGATGCAACACCTTCATATGGGACCTGAAGACGCTATTAAAGCACACTTGGATTTAAACTGTCCACGTCTCTCTGTCGGAATTCATTGGGGAACATTCATGATGTCGGATGAATATTATCTAGCTCCAAAGCAAATACTAGAAAAAGCCTGGGCAGAATGCAAAAGGACCCTACTGGCTCGTGACTCACAGACAGAAGACAGAGTGGGTTCCTCAAGTGCCATCATCGCCCCTCCTACTCATACGCGTGACCCTCCGTCCGTAAGCGAAACAAGGCCTGAAAATAGCATGACGGATCGCGCAGAACAAACAGAGCAGGGTCTTTTACTGACAGAGTTCATTACAACCGCTTTCGGTCAAACAGTCAATTTAATTTAGACAAATAACAACAGTTGACGTTCATAAATGCAGTCTTTAGTAAAATGTACTTTTTATTGATCGGCTGCCCCTCTTTTCTTTTCTTTTTTTTTTTTTGTTTTCCTGAAAAGGAAATGCCCATGTTCCTCCTTTTAAACGCGACAGAAAATTGGTTCAAAATCCCGAAAAGGAACCATCCGCGTTTTGCAGTAGAAGGCTCAATCTAAACAAAAATTTGGATTCTTATTAAAGAAAGCGTTTACCGAAAATTAGTGTATTCTATGCTTGGTTTACAAAGAAAATCTCATACCAATAGCGCCAGTAAAATTAAGCTTGGAAGACATGTAAACGATAAAAAGAGCATACGTTTGTTTCAAAACATCATTTATCTCATCGACGATGCCTTGTCTGATCAGCAGCAAAACAATGTAAGTGAAATGTTCACGATCTCTAAAACAATAAAACGTAAAACCAACTTAAACGTAACTTTGTGGCCTCGTTTTGACTTTTACAGTTGGTCAATTTACTCAATAATAATGGCGGATTACCTGCTGGCAATGATAAGAAAGCAAATCTATATGTGTCACAAAGCAAACCCTATGTATTAGACGAGAGCGTTACGTCTGTTACTGTAAGCATTGAACGCAACCCATATTTATCTCTGACGCACTGGGTGCTTGTTCTCTTCTAACCTTCACATCCAGCCTTTATGGGTGGAAAAAGCTATTGCTAACGGCTTTGTGCATGAGTAAGTCCCACACCTATGATTAGTAGAGACTCCAAAAATGAGCTTGTTTAACACTCTAACACGACAAAAAGAACACACTATTATATTCCAGGAAAGAATCAGTTTTTGTCAGGGGAGGTGCTATTATTATTGGATGTAAGTATTGTGTAGCAAGCTTACTGCGTGGTAGGAATATATCGCAATCATGTAATACCATTCCGCATTAGTTGCCCGACGATAGCGCTGTCATTTTTGAGCAGATCGAGAAATTTGGTGGACAGTACCGAGACGATATTACAGATGATCTTACGTGCCTCGTTTGTATCGAGCCAAGAGGGGTAAGTTACTGTTTGCATGAAGAATCCCTATACTACAGGCACATTGAGCTCCTCCGCTTCCCTTGATTCAGGTACAATATAACGCTTGTAAGGATCAGGATATTCCAGCGGTCCTGCCACAATGGTTAGACGACTGCTTACGTTATCATTGTAGACTAAAGTATGAACGTTACCGGTTTCCTTCACCCTCCATCTACTACCAACATAACCCTCATCAGCCTACCCTTCACCCCTACCCAACGGACATGAAAATAGTGTCGACTTTCTTGCCGTCACCTCAGAATATTGAAAGCGAATTTGGCCCATCGTCGCCGAAAGCACATTTATTCAAAAATGAAATCATTTATATCGGAAAGGACGTGATGTCAGACCATCGTAAAACGCCCTTAATACCCATCATCATCAATTATATCAAAAGGGCCGGTGGTCATGTTCTTTCAGAATACAATCGTCATCTAGTTACCATCGTCATTTTGAAATATCGATCCTCTTTGGAATACAGACAAGCGTTACAGGATGGGAAATGGGTAGCCAGTTTTTGGTGGCTATCCAATACCCTAGCGAGAGGATATTTATGCGACCCGCGGAGCACTCTCTTAGACTATCCTGTACCCAAAGTCGGAATACCTGAAATGCGTCATTGTGTAAGTTTACTTTTTTTCCATCTCCTAGTGAAAGGCTTTTTGCCACAGAAGAGTTGGCTGCTGACCTCGTTTTTTGTTTTTATACATTTTGCTAAAAAAAAAAAAAAAAAAAAAAAAAAAAGATAATTGCAGTGACAGGCTTTAAAGGAGCAGCCAGGTCGTTTATCAATGTTTTGATCGTTGCAGCGGGCGCGAAATTCTCAGCAGAAATACAAGCTGATACAACGCATTTGATATGTGGAGGGTAAGTATCATAAAACTGATAGGAGAGAGAGCATGCAAGAACTTTTTTGTTTTTGTTGACTTTTTCAAAATTGCTTTATTTATTATTGTTTGGCTGTGCCCAACCCTACAGTGGATACGGGAACAAATATGCACAACTTTTTAAATACCCTCACGTTATCAAGGTCAACCATTTGTGGTTGGAAGATTGCTATACACATTGGAAAATGCTCGATCACACCAAAGATCCACGCTATACGTACATACCTGACGACAATTCACTTCTTGCAGACACCGTTGGGAAAACAAGCCTTTTACAGCACGTTTTAGATCACTGGAAACATGACACGATAGAGGCTGAGCCAAAGGTGATTTATGAAGAATATCAACAAGAAAACGTGAGTAACAATGACGACGGTTTTGTGAGAGAGCGTAAACCGCGAAAAGCAGCTTTACGCGCATTAAGTGTATTGAATGATATTGTGATACCTGATGTAAATGCATACGAAAAGGAGCTCAAACAGAAACGTTAATACCTGGGCCCACATTATACTCAAAATAAAAGAAACATGCGGGAATTTGTGACAAATGCCACACGTACAAAATAGAGAGTACCTAATCAAATCATATAAATATCTTTGTATTTCTTTTTTTTTTTAAAAAAAAAAGAAAGAAAAAAGATTCATCTGTTTATTGATTATTGGACTTGGGATTTTTTGAATTACTTAACTCGAGGTTTTTTTTTTTTTCTTTTTTGGCATGTGATAAGCACAGAATATACAAGTTCTCGTTTACCAATGGATCTCATCCACTTGTTTCTGGGATCTAACTTTGCCAAGGTTGATGAGGTGTAGATTGTGCTTGTTGGTTATAATAGTCAGCACCATAGGTAGGCGTGTAGCCAGCTGAACTATAACTTTGAGCTGGGGAATCAAAACGTGCTTGTTTAGCAAATCCATAATTAGGATCGTCAATGGCTGGCCTTTTCATAGCGGCAGGAGAAGGTAATGGATCTTCTCTGTTAAATTCTGTTGATACAGGTAAGGACATTCTGTTGAGAGCGGTGATGGAAGTACCTCGCTGTAACAAATAATCTCTATATTGTACGCGAATGGAAGTATGTGATTCCTTTGGTAGGTATTCGAGTGCTCTATCAAACACATTTACGATTCGTTGTTCTGCTGCTTCATCTAAAGAAAAAAAAAGGGGGGGGGGAGGCGAGTTAGACGAACAGATAATTCAACATTTGGCTAATAACATGCTGTTATCCTTATTACCATAAAAACCTAGTTCGAAATTGATATAATTGATCCAGAAATATTTGCTTTGTGGGTACATGGTCGATCCTGTAGCATATATTTCTCTTGCTTTATCCGGTTGGTTCGTCTATCAATTAAAAGATGAATACAGTTTAAGTAACTCAGTGATCGCCTCACTATTCATACTTTCTACTCACTTGTTGCATGTATTTAGCGTGTTCAACCGTGAAAAATGCTTTAGCAGCATCATTGATTTGATTATACTGTGTATAGCTGTTGAGATAACCTTCATAAGAAGAAGGATCTTGGCGTCTTTCGAAATGAATATAATTCAAAATCGCTTCAACATTTGAGGGTGCTAGCAAGAAAAAAACCAGTCAGCATGCGATTGAATATAGGCGGGAGGTTATTTCTGTCAACTCACAGGCTTCTAAAATAGTTCTATAGATTTTTCGAGCATCATCTATCTGACCCTCTTCTTCAAGAATCTGAGCAAGCAAAATTTTAACTGTAGGTTTTTCTTTCGGAAGGAAAGTATAGGCAGCTCTTTCGTAGGCATGTCTTGCTTCGACAGTCATATTATTCTGCATCAGCCATTGACCATATCTGAACCAAAATTCCTCATATTGTGCCTGATGACAGGAAGGATCGATTAGACTTCACTTTTCTTTTCTGCGGGTGTTTACTAACATTGCTCCTACTTACACAAGGGACAAGGCACCGTTCATACAATGCACGGATGCGAGCTATATCACCTACCGATTCCTCGAAATCAAGGTATTTATTCCAATTTTGCAATTGCGGTCTGTCTAAGGGCTTCACATGGAAATAAGATCTTTTGATCTCGGCTTCATAGACCCAGCGCTTGTTGGTACCTTCTTGGGTATTTTTATAAATAGCAGCTGTTTGTGCGTCCATCTTTTCTCTGAGAGCTTTATCAAGATCCTCTTGAGATAAGTTGCCTTTTTCCTCTTGTATTTCGCGTGTAAAATTATTTAATGTTGTGACATCAAGGACTTCAGATGGGTTGTTGTTGCCTTGTGTGCGAAGAGCGCGCCACTTTTCGTAGTAACGAGCATATTGGTGCATAGGAATAAGAACAATTCGGTCGAGTAAAGCAAGTACACGCTTAGAGTCGGCAAACTGCTTTTCGGCAAAATTTAAATATTTGTCCCAAAAAGGATGAGCAAGGAAGTCCAAACCAACATTAGAAGCTGCACGCTCCATCAACCTGAAAAAGAAAGCAACGCAGGTTGGTTCACATTAGGAAATAAAGCTTTTCATCATCGTGTTTTCTTCGAATATTTCTCATCTATATACCTTTCAATTTCTTCATTAGATGCTGACTGTGCAATCTTGTAGTCAATGTAATGATTCCACAGATCGATAGAATTGTGAATAGCTGCAACACCTCTTTCGTACGTCTAAAATGAACAGGAGCATTGGGGGGAGGGGATCAGTCAGTAACTCTATTGATAGTACAGTTGACGATATCCTTTTTTACTTTTTCACAACCCTCATCACCGTGAACGGCAAGCTCCCAATCAGCATATTTCTTCCAGTAACCAAAGCACAAAGGAAATTTGGCTAGGAAACTGTCATAAACACTTTCTAAGCGTGCTATATTTTCTGGAGGTGAATCTTTTGTAAGACCACCTTCGGGTGCCTCTGCTAGTCGTATGAGTTGTTCCCATGAGGTGAAGTCGTCAGGCGCATTACGGACTACTTGCCAAAGACGGTCCCATTCAGTTGAGGCTGTAGCAGCAATTTCAGCAGACATTTTGAGTCAAAGGTGTGGAAAAAAAGGGACGATGAATTTGCTTGAAGAAATACAGACACACACACGAAAGGTATTTTTTTTTTCCCCTACTTGCTCCTCCCCTATAACTACAAAGTCACACTTTCCGGGTTTCTCTTTTTTATTTCAATGGTCCGGCTTTGGGGGAATCATCTTACACACCCCCCTTGTTGAGAAAGAAAGTTAGAAGAAAATGAAAGAGCTTTCATCATGTTTAGAGTCTGCATATGTCCCTCATTAAAGAGTAATCGAACACATTGTACCGCGAAAAAAGCTTTTGAGTTTATACGACATTATAAGATACCAGTGGGTGGAGCATGGACACCTGAAGAAGACGCCCTTTTACGCAATTACAAAGGGTCGAAAGAAAGTATTCCATGGAAGGACTTTGTTGAACAGTATCTACCGAATCGAACCGTGTCACAGTGTAAGAGTCGTTGGAACATGCATGGAAAAAATGCATACGGTGGAAGTTATTTTAATTTGCAAGAGAAACAGCAACTTCTGGATGCCGTACAAGTGCTTGGTACGGATTGGGAAAGAATAAGTGCGACTGTACTGCCTCATCGTCCCCCAGAGAGACTTTGCGATGAGTATCGCCATTTGACCGAAAAAGCAAGCAATTGGAAACGTAGGGCGTGGAGCTCAGAAGAAGATAATATCCTGCTAAAAGCTGCCAAGGAGCATGGTCCTGCTTGGACTCACATATCTAGAAACTATCTACCGTACCGTGCCCCTGCCGTGCTTCGCAACCGATATTGTCATTTAATGGCTTCAAAGATGGATTGGCCAGATGAAGAGGTAGCTCTATTAGAAAAATTGGCTATACAATTCGACTATGATTGGTCAGAGGTGGCCAAAAAGTTTAGCAATGGAAGACGACCAGAACATTGTCTACAAAAGTGGCTTGATGTCCAACGAGGTTTCAATCTCAAAGATAAGAGTAACAATAGTAAAATTGACGCATGGACAGAAGATGAAGTGAGAGTGTTTTGGGAGACTTTGGATAAATGCAGTGGTGATCTATCAAGGCTGGCACATCAATTGCCAGGAAGGAATGATCATAGTTGCCGATATAAATTCTGGGCTACTTTATGCGACGATGATGAATTTCTAGAAGCTCATGGAAAAGAAGCCGAGCAATCCAGACACGAATTCCCATCGATGTACCGCGCCAGAATAGCAAGGTTATACAATAAATGGCTACACATCAAATCAAGCCCCGTTTGGCCAGAAGATCAATTAGAGAAACTGCAGAGCCTTGTGAAAGACCAGCAAGCGATGAAGAAGGAATTATTGCAGTCCGATTGGGAAGCCATTGCAAAAGAGTTCCCGTACAAAAGTATAGCGGAATGCAAATATCAGTATAACCATTATGTGAATGCAACATTTGCTGAAGGGGGGTGGAATTTTGATGAACTGCTAAAATTAGTTGAGCTTGTGTATAAGTACAAGATGAAAACTCAAGACGAAGAGAATCTATGGGAACATGTGGCAAAAGAATTAAATACAGGACATTCAGCAAATGCCTGTCAAGCGAAATACAATTATATGAAACGCATAGGCCGTCGATTTGTGATTTAATTTATTTAAATGTGAATAGCATTGATACATCTACAAATATTTATGTTATGTACATTGTACAACAACAAAAAAAATAAAAAGGATAATAAACTATAGTATACACTTTTTTAATTCTTGCCTGCCAGAATCTTATTTTTTTTTTTTTTTTTTGCCGAGCTTAGAATCATTGCGTATCTCACATATGGAAGAAATAGAGCCTTTCATTGAATCTTTCGAAATTTCTTCTCAAACATGTTAAACCCAGCTTCATCGAATATGTCAAAACTAATTGTCAAGTCATCATGCCACCCAGTTTAATGAGGATTGGTTTTGGTTTGCTCTATATTGTATGTGCAACGCGAAAAACGATATTTGGATGCGCAAAAACTGATAATTCTAATGGGCAAACTGTGAGCGTTATGCCCAAATTTATTGGTTGAAGTATGCCAAAAGTAATAGTATGACATGCAAAACGTCAAAGCAACAAAAAGCAATGCAGCAGCTAATCCTTTTTGGCTGCTTTGAACATGAGTCTTTTCCTTTTTTTGTGTAATTTCGGGCCATTCAATTTATGTGATGGGCCGCAGAGAAATGAAAAAAAAAGGTAAAGATCTTCCAATATTCTCCAGACGTCATGATTCATTCATTGGGTTTACTTTTATTATTTGTTCTTTTTTTGTGTTTCAGCTTTTTTTTTTCTTCTTCTTTTTGCTAGTATTCTGTAACTCTCTCTTTCTATTTTCATTATAACAGAAAACAAAAAAATGCAAGTGGCGACAAAGATTGCCAAACAGAAAATACTGGGACAAGTAGCTGACCGTGTGCATGAAAATCAGCCCAGCTTTGAAACTGATCCTGAAATCATAGCTGCTACACAAGAAGCCGCGGCGCAAAAAAAGCAGCATTGGTACAATATCAAAAAAGTGAAAGCGACGCCTGACCTCTTATTAAACAAGGAAGAGCGTAACATTTTGTTAAAGGTGAAAAAGAGAGCATGGTATTTGGATAAGGGGTGCCATTGTTGCTGCTTTAATATTGGATTGGACGGTATCATCGGTTTCATACCTGGCATTGGAGATGTACTGACAGCTGCCATGGCTCTGCAATTGATCAGAACAGCATCTAAAGCCAATTTACCAAAGCATATCCTAAGCAGAATGATGATGAATGTTATGTTTGACTTTATGGTAAGCGATACAAAGACGACTATGATCTCATTTTAGAAAGAAAGATATTCATGATGAGTTTTACCCTTAGCTCGGTCTGACACCTATTGCCGGTGATATATTGGACATTTTCTTCAAATGTAACTGGCGTAACGCTATGTTATTAGAAGAGTTCTTGATCAATCGAAGAATGGATGAGATCAGGTTAGAAAAAGGAAACAGGAACGCACAACCTCCGCCTGTTGAAATTCATGATGATAACACGATCATTACAAAACCACGGTATTTGGATGGTGGTGATGGAAGCAGTACTGCTGATGCGACATTGAAAAAACCTGCGCCGCCAACAACAGCAAAGCATCACCACCATCAATATGGTGCTGTACCAGAAGTACCACCTAAACTTCCACCCAAGGATACGAGATGGCCTCGATCCAGTTAGTAAACAACAATTGTTTTCAGTCTCTCTCGTCCGCTAGCATTTGCTTGACCTCCCTTTTTTTTTCCTTTCTCTCTTTTTAATGAAGATATCCTATACTGCTTATATACTTACATAAACAAATTTTATATCTATTGTTCTATGGATATGTTTTTTTGTTGTTTTTTTTTTATTATAAGTGTACTAATGAAGCAAAAAGCACTTGATTGTTGGAACAGTGTGTTGAATTTACGCGGCTCTTGTTGGGTCGGAATGAGTAATTGCTACCAATATAAAGATGGCTCTATGAATTGATTAATGTAATTGGGTACAGACTGACTTCCTAATGATCTTATAGCATATATTACTGGAGCCATCAAAGAAAAATGATATATTCGATGTTGTCATGGAATAATACTAGGTGACCTGTATATGAGAGCAATTTACTGCAATCCGACAACTCTTTCAAATATTATTAGGCAGAATTTAAAATAGTAGGGTGTACGAGGGATAACAAAGGAAAATCACCACTCTATAAGGTGGCAGAGATAGAAGGCTACAAAAACTGGATAAACCGTCTCAGTCATAAGTGCCGGACTATTGGTGGCAAAATGTCTTTATTTAAATCCCTTCCATCGTGGCGACGAGCCTTGGATGCCGAGTTAGGCCTAGGCCTAGCTCGGTAGGGCAGCTATTATGACAAACCTACACTTGGTGCTGCCTGTTAAGTTTCTATGCCTAATGTATAGGAATGAGCCAATATGTCATACCATTTTTTTCGTAGTTCTTTTTTTTACTACCTTTATTTGTCGTTATCATGCTTTGGCCAAATAAAACTGTCTTGATTGTCTTGGATTTTTCATAATGGAACTCGTTTTTCTTGGAAGCAGTTCAGTGACAGAAAAAAGGACATTTGTATTGCCTGGACAAACTTTTATTTTAGATTCTTTTGAACGCGTCTATTTGCAAAAGCTATATCATTGCTCTCAAAAATAACCTATCTGTTTGAAGAAAACAGATTCGAAGGGTACATTCGGATGTGAAGTACAATGACGGATAAAAGTGTACCACCACTATCACAGCATTTGTCTGTTAGAGTGAATCGATAGATAGAAACGACAATCACGACTTTTATATTTGCATAGGAAGAAAAGAGGCTATTAAAATCTGGGAATTTCTAGTGCTATGCAATTCTCTGTTAACAATAAAACCAATACAGTAACGAGTGGATGGTCTTGACATATCTCTTTTTTTTTTTTTTTTTTTTTTTCTTGAAAGACCAATGCTTTGTATTTAAAAAGATCTAGCTTGTAACTTTGTCAAGGAGTCTTGAAAAAGTGTTTCTAAAAAATATTGATGACTTTTTACACAATTGAAGGTACGTGCAAGATGTTGAAATCTCAAAAAAACGTATTCAAATAGAAACAGGTACGTTCTGACGTTTATTCGAGTATATAGACCTTTTTCATCAAAAAACAAAGAATACTAGATTTTGGAAGGTGCGTACTCAGGCATTAGCCTATTGGAAAAAGAAACATAACAACTCATTCATTTTCTTTACTACGTTTATGCGAAAGACCAGTTCTTGTACAAAATTGCTGACACTAATGATCGTCACCACTGCAGTTTTCTTGTCATGATGGATTAATTGAAACTGCAACTTTGCCCGTGCCATTATAATGACGAGTCTTGTAAGAAACTACTGTCTATGATGCACCTCTTTCCTAAATTTCTCAAAACTGCTAAGGAACTGTGGTCACTCTTACGGAGGCAAAAATCACTCTCATCAGCCAGAGTATTCTATTGTTATTCTAAGTTTATCCTTTCTGGCACAGTTTAACTTCCTTTTACGGTGAACCTCACTTGGATTAAACAGAAAATAAAATGACGAAAAAAAGTATCCATGCATTTTTGAAATAATAAAGGTTGTGATGAATGGATGCCGAATATTGTGAGCAGTTTACGTCTATTGTTTTGTTTCCCATTCACTATAGTTCGCTGCCGCTTTCATTTTTTCCATAAATTCTGATTTAATGCATGAGTCTGTATTGATACGTGAAAGCAGTTGATTTTCGTGCTCCGTTAAAATGACTGATTTGGAGTTGTCTGTATAAGCTGTGATTTTCATCTTGTAGAGTTTGCAACGTAAAGCGCCAAGAGCTGGCGAAAGGAAATAATAACGTGGCTTTTCAAAATCATTGTTTCCTTCTGTGGGTTTGAGTTGTATAGCGGGTACCACGATGGGATGATCGGGATCAGTAGGATTCTCGAACGTAGCTTCGATATATGGCCGACGCTGTTGAGGTTGCGATGTTACTTTGAAAGGTTTATGTACTTGTACTAGCCATGAATAGCTTGGAAACAATCAGTCTCTCTCCACTCGTACAAGTAGAGTGAACAATAGCGTTGATGATGCTTACTGTGCTCCTAATTGTTCGTTTTTAGCATTGATAGCGAAGCTTGCACTCAAATCTTCAAAATGTTTCGTTTTCTTGAAGTGAGGTTCTTTCACTGCTTTGTCAAATGCACAACCACAGGAGAAGTTCATTATGCCTTCAATTGTCCTATCCAAGTTTGCGAATGGAAGGAATCTGAAAGCAAGAAAGAGAGAAAATCAAAAAATAGGCCTTACTTTTTAAAAGCTTTTCTGGGTTTGAAATTACACTTTAAGCACTTAGCGTTGCTTTGATCTATAACTATTTCAATATGGTAGTGACTGAAGAATGTTATTTGTAAGTGAGACGAGTCTACAGTAATGGTAATGTCAATCATTGATTGAAGTGTCACGTCTTGTTGTTGTTCTCATTTTTTCTCAGTTTTATATTCAAACCTTTGTCTCAATCTTTTATAGCTCTTGTCTCATTGACATACCTTCGTTGACGGGGCTTGTTCAATGGATATGTAAAGTTCTTTTTCTTTTTGACGGAAAAGTTATAAGACTTCAATGACAAGCCTATCTTCTTTTTTAGCATAAGCATTCAACATCAAAGGAACAAATTTTTCTTAAAAAAAGGTTAGATGCAAGGCTTTCCAAAGGTAGTACGTTCTTTTTTCTCTGCTGCGAAAGCCAATGTACACTAAAGCAGTCAGTTCAATAACCTCTAACTTGGGTAAGTTCAAGACAACTCAAATGCTCAGCCATTGTTTCTCATTTAGCAAACATTTCAAATTTATCACGAGGAAGCGGCCGTTGTCTAACTCAATTGTACGATTTATGTAGTATAAAGGCTCAATATCACGATCTGAAATCAATAGACTCTTGCCCTGTTGGCTTTCACAGGATTGGCTTTATGATATCTGGATTATTTTGTCCCCCTTTGTAATGCTGTATAGAAGAGAATGACATTAAACCGTAATCCACTCACACCTGAGAGTGGCTACATCATCCTATAAAAAGAATGTGTTGGCATTCTTGTTCTTTTTTTTTTGACCTTGTGGTATGTGAGAGACTTGCAGGCAAAATACAAACAAAAGTGGATGCTTTTCAACAGGGTGGTACCATGTATAACATGATTGGCACATAAATGCGTGTTTGGGAAATTACCGTTTTTAGTACTTTTTTTTCTTTTTTTTCCGAAAGGAAAGCTTTGCAACCATGGGTTATACAATGATGGATAAAGACAGTAGACGATTATCAGAAAAGAGAAATTAGATGCGGCTATAAAATGGACAACGAGACCACTCTATTTTTAATATAGAACTCCTCCGTTGACTCAACAGTGCTGGGATAAGAATAGCTTGGCTATGCTAAGAGGATTCCGTTGCTACTGTGGCGTGCTCTCTTGGATCCTATGAAAGCTGTGATGGGTTGAGACGTTGAAATAAAGTGACATCTTGCTTCTGAGCCGAGGAATTCGGAATCTCAAACCAAGCCCTTTCCTTTTTTTTTTTCGCAGAGTATTGCTTGGAGTGAGTGATACAGAAGAATATGATGACACTTTCTTGTCATCCATGCATGAACAAATTCTTAAACGATAGGTCTGCGTTCCTTTTAAAGAGGAAGAGGGGTCGACCAAGGGACAGAACAAAGAGGCACGCACAGTTTCTTGTTTAAATTAGTGATTTTTCAATGGGTCTTTCTTTTTTGCTTTAATATTCTGTCTTAATTCTTTTACATATTTTTGAAACTTGACTGAAACGCGCTTTTTCTATTTTTTCTTTCAGTGCAAAAGAAAAAGAGCTCCGCAAATTTTGATTTATGAAAAGGATAGTGTCCCTATTCCGGTTCATTGAAAAAGAAAGAAAGCATGTTTCCAAACTAAGCAAGGTCTTTTCTTTCTTACTGTGAGAATGCATGATTTAAGATTGTACGTGTGTGTGTGTGTGTGTGTGTGTGTGTGTGTGTATGTGTGTGTGTATGTGTGTGCCTGTCTGTCTTCCTATCTTTGTATCTATGTGCTTGAATGGATGTGTTTAGGAATTATAATCGAACTGTCAGATCCATTAGGAAGGGGCAATAGGTTCCCAATTAATTTTGGATTTTGATAGAGATCTGCTTGCAAATGGCCAAAAATTGGTTCTAAACATTTTTATGAGTTGTATCAATATTAATACAAAAAGGGCTTTTTTGCGTACCTGGATTGCCCAGCTTAACCGAAATGTAATTAATAACCAGATCAATTATAAGACTATTTTGCAGGTTGGAATCCCAACAACAGCCAAAAACAACACAAAAAAAAAAAAGAAAGAATATTAATATCACAGCTGTCTTTCGATCTCTTTTTTTGTTTGTTGTAGTCTATGAAATTAAACAAAATGTATGACTTGATTTATAAATATTTGTGTCTTACAAGTTTGTTGGCATAGGTGAACCAAGGCAAGTCTTATTCTATGATGACAAATACAACAACAATTCATAGTCTTATTATGCATCTTATGTTTTCAATGTGAGGGGTGTGTTCTGAATAAAAAGATCAGAAAGCTTACTGCTTTATTTGATAGAAATAGATATGCATATAAAGTACGTGGTTTTTTTTTGGCTGTTGTTACTTTTCTTTTTTCTGACATAAACTCCGAGAAACATTTCTTTTTAACAGCTACGGAAAAAGAGAGACAAGCAAAAGAGAAGCTAAACTTGAACGGAGCTTAGATTTTTATCTCACTTGGCTTCCTTGTTTGCTGTTACTGCTGCTGCTGCTACTGCTGGCGATTTGCCCTCTTGGGTCAATCAAACAAAGGACTGGAGTCACTCCACTTTTGCAAACCGTTATTTGCTTGTAAATTGGAGAATTTTAGGGTTTTGTTTTGCCGCTCTTTTTTTTTTTCATATATAAATAGGGTCCCGATTTTATTTCAAGCATAAAAAGATTCCTTTTTTTTTTTTTTCCTTTCCCCTATTTTAAATATACGAAAAAGTAATCATTTAATCGTCTCTTTCCTTTTTATCTTCATTATTTCAACTATTGTTTTTTTTTTATCTCAAAATATCAAGAAAAAGAAAACCAAAGAATTATCGTCAAAAAAACCAAAAAAAAAGCTCCATCATCCCACTCTTTTGAATTATTTATTTCATATTTATTTAGAGCAACTACCATTTTATTATTTGTTATTATCATTTAAACAATGTCTGGCACAACATTTGGATTTCTCGCTTCTGTCACCAAGGAGGAGCCAACCACCACCCACAGTTACGATGAAATTGACGAGCGTTTGTTTGACAGTTACTTGGACCTCTCTGGACGTAAAAATTCATCCAGCTTATCAGATCAAAGTGATAAATCCGCGTCGTCGTCTTCTTCTTCTGATGTGACTAGCAATTCCAGCTATGGTGACCAGGAACATAGTGGCAGTGAATCCTCCTCTTCTGTCAAGAGTCGCAACTACAATAAGCCAGCAAAGAATAATAACGCCATCAAGAAGCGTGAAACAAAAAGTAACGTATCCTCTTTTGACAGATTGATTTTTTTGGGGGGATGGGGGTTTAAAAAGAAAAAAAGAGCGAGAGTGAGAGAAAAAGAGCGAACGCTGTGTTTTGCCAATGAAATTTGCTTAGCTGACATACAATTTTTTTTTTTTTTCTTTTTTCTTTCTTCTTTTCTTTTTTTTTTTTCCTTTTTTTCTTTTGACCCTTATGTTTTACGTTGCTTTTTTATAGCCTACAATAATAAGAAAGAAGACATGGATTCTGACAACGACTCAATTCAATCGATAAAAAAGTCACCTAAGAGTCTAAATAAGAAAGCCTCTTATCATAGTGGCAACAGTAGCAGCAGTAGCAGTGTGACGAGCCAAGAACTATCTGAAGCTGAAAAGAAGCAAAAAAGTCTGTACAAAACCGAACTCTGCCGCAATTGGGAAGAAACCAACCACTGCCGTTATGGCTCGAAATGTCAGTATGCTCATGGTGCTGCTGATTTACGTGAAGTGGATCGTCATCCCAAATATAAAACGCAAAAATGTCGCACCTTTCATCAGACCGGTGCCTGTCCTTATGGTTCTCGCTGTACTTTTAGACATTTCAGTCTTCCCGGCGATGCACTTGAAATGAAGAATCTTGAAAAAGAAGAAGCGCAAAAAAAGCAACAACAGCAACAACAACAACAACAACAACAACAACAGCAGCAGCAGCAGCAGCAGCAGCAGCAGAAACAACAACAACCACAACAACAAAACAAGGATATGTTGCATCATCAAAGACAACAACAAACCAACGGCTTCCTCAACACAACGAGCAGCAAACAAGCAGTCGAACGTCCCTCTTTCTTTTCCACTGAAAGTCAAAAATTGCTCCAACAGAATTGGTACATGGATCTCAAGAATAGCAGTCGTACGTCTTTTGCTCCCGGCGTAGGTAGTATATCTCCTGATCAAGCCTTTATCCCCCACATGATGTTTAGTCAGCCTCCTTCTCATAACGCCTTGGACTTTGAAGATTCTCTTCTTCCTTCCAACGCTGAAAGTCTACTTCCTCATGAACTCTTGTTTAATCTGGATAAGCCTGGTGAAAAAGAAGATCCTCGTATGATGAATGCTCCTGCCACGACCACCACAACCGCGGATGCTGCTGCTGCTGTGGGTAGCCGCTGTCCTTTGCGCAACTATATGAATTTTTCCAATTTTTCATCAAGCCATCTTCATACACCTCCATTTATTCCCCAATCTCATCCCATGCATCCTCATCAACAACAACATCCCTTCCAACAACAACAACCTCAAGCCGCTACGACGGCTAATCATTGTAAGAACTTTTTATATCCTTGGTATCTCTAAATAATACTTATACTCTTTTTTTTTTTTCTTCTTTCTTTCGGCGTCTACCTTTTTGGCTATTTATTTTGTTTCTCTCTTTTATAGTTATTTATTATCCTTAAACTGTTTAAATCCGTTTAAAGACTATACATATTGAAATTTTTATTTTTTTACACACACCAAACACACACACACACTCACACTCACTCACAAGGAAAAAGGAGAGCTCACTTATACTCTTATATATATCGCATCATTTGACCAATTCCTACATGCATTTATTATTGTTATTATTATTTCCATTGTATATATGTATATACGCATATATATATATATATATACTCTCTAGATTTTTTTGTAGCATTTTTTTTTTTTGACAATATTCATTTTTTGCCTCACTGATCACCCCTCTCCTGACTCTCCTAAACCTTCAATCTTGTTCTTATTTAATTTAATTTATTTTCATTATATAAAAAAGAAACAAATTTATTTAATTCTATATTGTTATTTCTCCATCGAATCGCGCGATTCCCCTTCTGGATGGCTCGACCATCAGCTGTAAGAAGCATTTTATTTCTTTGCTAAAAGAGAGGGACAGAAAGACGGTTGAATGACGGCTTCATGACAAAAAGGCGGTTTGAAATGGTCAGGGCCTAATTCTGAAATGAGATAGCCGTCTTTATAGATACGACGCTGATAATAGTCAAACTCGGGGACATAGCGATCCACGCCTGTGCTCGTGGTGGTGGCATAAAACGGGGTACGATTCACGTAATGCGATCGAGGCAGCATCCAATACCGAATAAATAGTGCGCGCAAAAACATGGTGGCTCGAAATAAGTAAGTGATCAGCTTGGATTCGGCGTGAGGCAAACGAAAGGCGACGACATCTTCTGTGTCCAGCACAGACGGCAGTACGTAAAGGGAGAGTGTGTAAGCCGTTTCTTGAAGACAGCGTGGTAAGTTGGAGAGTAAATGTCGGACGGTTGGCTCCCCACATTTCCAATTCGAGGGTGCATAAGCAATCTTCTTTTGTGCATACATCTTTTGTGATAAATGAAATGAATGAATGAATAAAGAACGTGAAGGAGGGTTTAGAGTAGGTTGACTTACATTCTTAAAAGCAAGCATTTTCTCGGGTGTATCAGGCACATCTTTCATTTTCATGGCAATGCCTACATCATACCAAACACGAAAAAGAGCCTTGATGCGTGGGTTGGGGGGGGGGAGGGGGCGAAAAAAAAAGTAAAGTAAGTAACGGTAACCACAGGCTATGATCCATATTTTCATTATCTACAAGGCAAAACAAACAAAATGTTTCTTTTCTTACATTGATCTCTCTTTCATCCAATGTTCGCCATTCAAATCGGTTAATCCAAGAGATGGGCTCAAAGATGAATAAGGAGAGCGTGTAAATATAGTCTTCATTCAATATAGAGTACTTTCCATGCAGTTCATTCAGTCGCTCCAACGCTAATGTCGGCCTTTTCCATTGTGCCTGGATATCCTCTTCTGGCGTGTCGGGGTCTTTTTGTAATTGTTTCTGGATGCGACCATATGTGTCCACAATTTCATTCAATAAGAGCTCGGTATCTTCCGCACGACGACTTGCATCGTGTTCGAATTGCTTTGTGGCCACCAACAATTTACTAATGGTAGGTATGGTGAATGTCTTGAAGAGCGCCAGTTCGGTTGCTTCTCGTCCTAGAACTAAAGAGTCATCGATGTGAGTAAGTCCTGGTCTTTTTTCTTCTTGTGCAAAATCCCATTCTATTTTTTTTACAAGGAAATTCCTTTTTCATGGTAGTAGCATGTATTTCTTGAGCAATCTCTGGATTATTCAAAACGTCAAGTGGATTGGGATACTTTTTTCGAATCATGACAATGTATTTGTATCGTCGATAGCGCACCCACATCAAATAAGACAGAATGCCGCCGCCTACAATGATCCACTTTTTACGTTGCAACCCCTTCTGTAAAAAGCCTTGTGCAAGTCTTTTATTCTGTGCAAAAGCAGTGAAGGCTCGAAGCCATGTTTCAACTTGTACCGCAACGACATCCATGGGTTGTCTATAGAACTCTCCTATAAAGTTTAGAAAAAGATTCAGGAAAAGAAAGGCAAGAAGAGGATTCTAACAAAAAAGAAAAAGAGCAGCTGTTACACAACCATTAAATGACTACTGATGCAATGCATGCAAATGTGGCCCTGTTTTTGTCTTGTTGCCTTACATTTCCCTTTTTTTTTGTGACAGTAACAGGATCATTATCGTCCAAAAGGGTAGAGACCCTTTTACTGTTACACCAGCATGCAGATGAGGATAAAGAATTCTTAAAGAATGAAAAAGTAGCCTTCTGCGGATCCATCTGTACTAAAAAACAAGAGACCAGAGAGACAAAAGTGCTACTATGTTTCATAGTGGCCTTCAAAAAGTGCCGCCATCTTACAGTAAGGATGTGTCTCTTTTATTAGAATAGCCCAAAGTACTCACATTGTAGATAAAGGATGATATCGTTATGCCTGTTAACTAGATCATCCGTCTGACTTTTTCTTATGTTCAGTGCACATATATCAATCGTCCGCCTCTGTGCCCTAACAGGCCCCATTTTCTTTTTTCTTTTTTTTTTTCACTTTGTAAAATAGACTCTGAGCAATGCGGGATCAACCCTTTAGGGGAACGTGCGCTCTTTGGACCATCGAACAGAGAAAAACCAAGTAACACAATAGTAGGCATATTTACTCTCCTCTTTTATTTTAATGATGACAAGGGAATGATCTCATCCTCATTCCATTCAGGCGAGCTAAGCTTTACTTCTTCTAGATCCATCTTGCCTTCATCACTGATGATAGCAGAGGCCATCACTTGGCATGGGTGTTGTTGTCCCTCACGGCCATCCTTGACCACTGAAAAGCAGACAGAAACGCGATGCATGTGCTTATTGTTCGTCAATCGAACCACTTCTGACCGCGACACATCTTCCCAACTCAGTGAATGACTGTTATTGTCCGTAGGGAACATCTGTTCTAGCATGGCCTGTCCTTTTTCCGTCTTTTCGAAATAATCTTGCAATTTTTGAACCACTTCATTTCGAACAAGGTCCACAGCGTAATGTGTGCCTATTTGAGACAACAAAGTGTCTGTGATGGTGCTATGCGTGGAACTGCTATCCGCGAGTGAAGCTGCTGCTGCTGCTGCTGTCCCTCCCTTCAATAAGCGTTGTCCCACGTCGTTCGCTGTCATCGTCGCCGGTCTTAAATACGTCCACCATTTTTGTGCCTTTCTAAACAATCGCCAACACACAATCGAGGCAGTACCACCTACCGCCACCCAGACCACCGGCCCAAAGAGGGAGCTCAAAAAAGTCGCTACTCCAAAAGCGCCTAAAAGCCAGTGCCGATGTTTCTTGTTTTTAGACCCGTTCAGCTTGCCTGTCAGCAGATATTTAGGTATCGTCCATAGGCTGATCTTCTGCCCAGAGAGGAAGAGCTTTGGGATCGTCCATAAGGACAGTGTGCGTTTCGACACGCACAGCGAATACGTAGTAGTGCAGTGCATACCAGAGGAGGGCCATAGCAGTGGCCTCTTTGCGTGGCTCAGGCCATAGAGGGTGCAAGATGGTTGTGGCCAGCCCAGAGGGAGTGGGGAGCGTCCATGGGGTGGATGACGGCTGTTAGGCGACGACAGCGTACTATAAACACAACGACGCCCCTTTGTAAGCAAGGATAAAGTATTTTTAGATGGTTTGATGCCTAATCGTATCGTAAGCATTATCTAAAGTTCCGAAAAAAGAAAAGAGGATGTGTGTACTGGAGAAAAGAAGCGAAACAAAACATGGCAAAAAAAAAAATTTAAAATGAGACGAGTTTATTGATTTTTCTCTTTTTGCTAGAATGAAACCAAATAGAAAGCGTATGATGTCAAATAGTGGGAGTTAGAGGACGGGGGAGAGGAGCGGAATCACTTTGACACTTTGACAGATTACGTAACCTGAACATTAAAATGGATATTGGGCAATTCATTCTCTTTTTGACAAGAGAAAAAAGGAAAAAAATTAAAAAATAAACGAATCCAACAACTAGTATGCTAAACTAAATATACGTCAAGAGTTTACTTTTCTTTTTTTTTCTTTTTTTTTTTTTTGGTGCTGTTGTTGATCGCGGCTTCTGATGACATGTGCAATTTGTTTCTTTCTTTATTTTAATGTATTGATCCCTTCATGTATTGAAACAACACGAGATTCATTCTACACAGTTTGTTCTTTTGCCCATAAAGAGTCAATTATTTCTATAGCAATGCATGAAAAGGTAGCATTATAGATACTCAGCGATGTGTGACTAATTTCATTTATTGATAAAAAAGAAAATACCATCAAAAACGCACGCCAGAATCCAATTCCATACTTGTATTATCTGAAAAGTTTCTATAGAATAACTCTCATGGGAAATGTATATCAAGTAGCAAATCTTGGAGCACCCTCATTGTGTCTTTGCTAATGGTGTGTTCGCGGCTGCGTTGAAAGCTGGTATGAACGAGTGAAGTAGCCAACAGTATGCTGCCAAACCCAGGAAATTTGTTATGGGAGAATGCAGAGGCAAATTCTGGCAAACAGAGTGATTAGGCAACAAAAGCCATCCGCTCTCGAGGAATTCTTAAGTATGGAAATCAGAAGAAACTCTTCATCAGAAAGCATTCGTTTTACTTCTTGCAGTCCTTTGAAAAGCATCCTGACGCGACTTTCATACAGCATCCAGCTGCTGTGGTGAACCTCTTCCTAGCTTAACTATTACAATCCTAGCTATTGGCAAGCATCTGAACAAGTACTGTATCTTGACAATGAATATATCAAAAAAGCTACTACAACTCTGCAATGATATCAAGACTTTGGATAAGAGAAAGGAAAAGGCACCGAGTAAAGCTTCCTGAAAGACTTTAGTTACATGGAAACTTGCTTTTGCGTTGCCGAGGCAGATTTCCACCTGCATATCAAGAGAACGTTTAAAAAGATCTTTGCATCATACTTCCTGCCAAGATCACAATGAACAGCCAAAGAGGCGTATTCATGACAATGATCGGTGCAATGTGTGAGAAGGACATCCTTTGCTTGTCTTTTTGAGTAAAGCAACACAAATTATTTAAAAATAGAATAGAAAGCTAGAGTTCTATCAGTCCATAGATGGGCAATGAACGGCCATACTGGCGTCTGGGCCTTCCATTACGTTGAGTGCCTCAATGGTTGCACGAATATTTATAAGTCAATAACACGAGCGATAAATGCAAAACCTCATTTCCACCTACTCTCAGATCCCAACTCCAAATCGAGCAGACGTGGTTGAACATCAGTTTGGTGTGGAAAAGGAAATGTGGAGACGACAAGGCTACAATCTACAAATACAAAAAGCTTATGGAGACCACTATGGTAAGTTGCGTATTCTATGTTTCCAACCTTGTTTGAACGTGAAAAGTCCCCTCTGAGCCTTTTCTTTTGTCCTCATTCCTAAGTATACATAAAGAAATACCTTTTCTTATACTTGATCTAATTGAATAAACACTTATGCTCTACTCATTCTTGTTGGTAATGTTCAGCCTTTCTTTTTGCTTTGGTCATTATAACATTTTCATTTCGATCTATGTCTTGCAAAACTAAAGCTATAGAACGAGATATTTCATTTCAGAGACCACAATTAAATAGCATAAGGCTGAAAGTTGGAAAAAACCTGTTTACATTTATGACAGAGTTATGAACGAAACAAATGTGTAACCTGTTCCTTAAATACAGTTTTGGTTTGGTTTTCTATCAATAAACGTAAACAAAAAATTGAAAAAAAAAAAACGCCATACGCCTAATCTATTAGGTTTTTGTATCTATCGTCAGAAAGCTCATCGGCTTTATCACAAAAATAGTTTATTTATGATAAGGAACCGAAAACTTTAATGCGCGCTAGTTTTATTTTGCTCGATAGGTTGATTACTGATATTTTATATTACTCATTTTAATAGCAATAGAGGATGTTATACCTCGTATAATCAAGCTCTATTCAACTATCTATCTTATATGACATTACGAAATAAACTTTCCGTTATACGATGAGCTTGTGAGACCACTTTAGAGACTCAAATAGCTCTGATCTTTTGCCAGATTTATACTACCTCCCAATTGGAGAAATAGCTATTTTACTTTAGAATTCAAAATTGAAGAGGAGTTGTGGTTCCATATAAAAAAAGTGGAGAATCTGGGGTGAACCTATCGTTCTCTGCCTTTTGAAATCATAACATCTTCATGATGTAAAAGCAAAAAGAAGATGCCGTTTCAAGTTATAGAGCCGTCCATTCAAGTTATATAAAAAGAGGAATTGAAAATAGAGAAGAGAGTTGCTTGAGATTTCTTTCAGGTGTAACACGGTCTGTGCAATTGCAGCCATTATCAATAGCAAATTTGTTCTGGCCCCTCTCAGGCTTTTACGTATATTCATTAGTAATGAAAGAATGGGAAGAGCTTGATTACAAAAAAAAAAGAAAAAAAGAGCGATGATTTGATCTGGATCTTGTCAGCTATTTTGCATTAATGCAGCACTTCATTGGATATAGTAAACAGATATGGACAAACTGAGAATTGTTGTTGTTCTTCTAAAAGACTTTTTTTTTTTGACGACCACCCCTTGCCTGGCAGCACGAGCGCTATTCCAATTTCGATATCTGCCCCTCATTTTTTTTTCCTATAAAAATAAAGACAGATCTCAGTTTCCTTCCTTTCTACATTACACTGTTCCTACTCCATTCTCAAGTTTCCTATTTTATATACACAACCGTTTTCGCAGCATTGAGAAAAACCGCAAAAATCAACCATGATGCAGGCAGAAATATGTGTCGATTATCTATCACATCAATGGGATTGTGAAGATTTGATCCAGACATTCAAAGAAACTCGCAAACAACATCAAAAATACATTGTTGAGAATATCACCACCACCACTTCGTTATTAACAAGAAACGAAAGAAAATTGAAGAGGTCAGAGCAATACAAGTTGTATCGATTTGAAAATGCTTTATGGAGAGCTATGGCAAGGCACTGTACAAGTCAACTCAGTCAAACGAACCAATTGGTAGATCCATCTACTGTTAGCTGGTAAAACAATCTTTTGCGCATTGAAAATTTATAAGAATTGCACACTTACATTTCAATGTTATCAATGCTGATAGGCAAAAGGAATCTGATATCACATGTAAGAAATGAACACCTTGAATAAATTCCATTTCCAAAAAAAGGCGAAAGATTTCAATGCAACCTTATCGTACTTACTTTATCTTTTATCATTGCATCTGATAGGGTTATATGGTCCTAAATACACCAAATCAATCATTTTAAGCAATAACATTGACCAGCAACAGTCTGCAGAACATTTTACGCAATCTGCTATTTTGGAAAGCAAGAATATGAGTCGTACTATTGTTAGCGAGCATGAAGATGACACAATAACATATCACAAAGCACAAACTTTTACAATTGAACGACCAATAACAACAACAACAACAAAAACAACAACTTCTCTCCAAAGTCTAAAGCCTGTTTTAAAGAAACACAGTAACGTCACTCAGATGTTACCGACTTATTCCGAGTCCATCTTTTCCTATTTCGACTCACCACAAGTACTTCTCACATCGTCTGAATATAGTTGTTATTCTATAGCGCATTCTCCTATATTACTTTCCGATTATAACAATCAAACACGCAGTAGTATCAGTAGTATCAGTAGCAGTGATAATAGTAGTATCACTAGCATCAGCAGCAATTCAGTATCAACAACAAATAAGCCAGGCGTTCATTTCAATCCGGAAATTATCGAGATTGAATATCAACCAGAGCATCCAGTATCTCTTGAAAGATCCTCACTTATCTCTGCTCGTATATACCAAGATAAATACAACTGCTTGAGCGACGGCGATGACTGTTATGTTCAAGAAGAAGCAGAAGAAGAAGATGATGATGATGACGATGAACTATGGTCATTGATCGCTGAAGCAGGTGCATCCATTAAACTATCCACCACTTACACTCGACTTGCTTTCCTTGTTCAATATTTATTTAGTTATCACCATCACCGTCCTCATAACAACAAGACTTCTAAAAAGTGTAGTAAAGTCCAGCAACAGCAACATCAAGTGAAAAGCGTCGCTGCTGCTACTACCACCACGAACGTTTCTATTGTTCCGTTATTTATTTCTATGATGAAGTCAGTTGTGTCATTAACGACTACATGGCTCTTATACCAATCTCTCTCTCCTCTGACTTGGCTGGCTAAAAAGTCAACTTCCCATCCGCACCATCACAACCACACCCATCACCGCCGTCATCCCCATCGCCGTTCCACTGCTACTTCTTCAATAACCACGCCTGCTACTCTTTGATTTATGCTGCTGGACAGGTTACAAAAGAGCAGTAGTCATAGTTGCCAGAATACCCTCCTCTTCTCACTACCCTTTCTCTTAGCTTAAGAAAAAAAAAAGGCTTTCTATGGTTCCTTACGGTTGTAAGCCAACTCCTTCTGTAATATATACCTGACATATTATTTATTCACCTTCCCTATCCTATACAATCATAAATTTATGTAAAAATTCTCCTTTCTATTTTATTTAATTCCTTGTCTGAAACCTGAATAAAAAAATATCATTTCTTAGCGGTCAGTACGCAGCCTCAATAACGATACTATTGAACCACATATCTGCTTTTTTGTACTTCTGCTTAACCTCGGCTATTGTCTGATAATGAATTCATGGAGCTTTTTATATATTAGAAGATAAGGCTTATTTACAAGACTCTGTATCTGATATCTTAATTAAAAAGATAACCACTATGGTAGTATGCACAGAGATAACAAAAATCCTAAGCATAAAAACTATCTACAAATTAACATGTTTCAATGTCTTTCAATTCCCTTTCATGTTCGGTCTACTACCGATAATCATTGTCAAAAACTGTTACAATGAAAAGATAAGCAGTCTGTACACTCATCATTATAGCATAAGAGTTGCAGATGTTATACTTACATCTTCATAATTAATAAGTACTGAACCTCTGTTTTCGTAGTCTCTTGCTCGAAATAGTTTGGTCAATGTTTCCAACGTAACACAAGCTTGAACAAAATTGTCAAAGGTCACATCACCTCTGCCATATTTATCAAAACTCTGGACCAGAATGCTCACAAATCTATCACTGACATTAAATCCGAATGCTCTTAAAGCATGAGCCATTTCCATACAATCAATGCTCCCTGAGTGATCATTATCAAATTGCTTGAAACACCGACTCCAATCTTCAATGTACTTCCATAATCCTTGAAATTCTCGAAAGTCAATAGTACCATTGTTATCTAAAACAATACCGCTTTGTAAGAAAACAGTATAGATTCCAGCAAATGGAAGCTAGCTTTCATCTTTCTACCTGTATCAAATATGCTCACCATCAACCGAACTGTTTCTATATTAAACGGTGACCAGTCGCCGTTCACGAGAGCTGACTGTAACTCATGAACAGTAATCGTTCCTGAACGGTCTGCATCTACTTTTTGAAATATTTCCCATAAATACTGTGTTCGACTATCCAACATTTGTGGTAACACTAGAAATGAATGCCAATATATATATATATATATATGTGTTATCAATTGCAGAGTAACATTACTGACTGTAGACTCGAACTTTCTTTTTGATATTTCTCTCCATTATATCTTACAGTAGGTGCTGCTTCTTTGTAAAGAAGAACTTTGTGCAATGGATGGGGATGCAGGTGCTAATGACGGATAATGATGCTCTGGCGAAATGTACGATTGCCGTTGATATACTTGTTGCTGCTGTAGGGGATGGATCGAATGATTACCATATGGGCTATGAAAAGAACCAGGTTGGGCAGTAGGTGTGATAGGGCTGCTATTCTGAGATAGGAAAGGCGATGGATGACTATTGTATCCCTGTCAATAACTGTTTTAATAAGGTTCACTTCTGTCGCAAAGAAGTTTTTATTTTATTTTTTTTTTCTAAAAAAATAAAGCTCCCTTACTTGTTGTCGAAAAGGATACATAGTTACTGTTAGGTTGTTGTTGGTAGATAGAGAGAGAAAAAAAGTAGAAAAATGACTTTTTTTCCCCAGTTTGATGTGGGTGTGCATTGTACTACAATTACTGCTGTCACAACAGACGTAATATAGCAAAATTTACTTGTGCTCAGCTACTCCGGATTGCAATCAATGTTCGCTACCAAATCTAGTTACTGTTTGTCGATTGCTATTCCTTTTGATGAAGGGAAAGGTATGATACTGCTTAAATCCTCTTTGAATGTTATTTCAGAAATAATGCATCACGAATTAACAAAAAATACAAGATACAGTTGGTACGCCAAGCAAAAGTTTTATTTTATCTATACATAGTATTCCAGGATTATATCATTCATTGTCGTCTTTCATGAAATCAGGTAACTCCTCAATACCATCTTTTTGTTCGTTTGTAGTAGATGATAAAATGCCTAGTTCCTCAGCTACAGATTCATCATATGTGTGTCGAACTAACTTATCATACAGATCGTCAGATATCTTTTTACAAAGTGACTTGGTAAGGTGAACAATTTTTCTGGCACGCAAAGGAGGCAGCACCCTGAGTAAATTGGCAGGATGGTCACTATGAAGAAGTTCAGTTCGTATCAAAGCAAGCTGAGCAATGATGAACAGAATGTTAAGGTGAAGGCCATACGAGAACATGAAATCCCACAGGTATAATAACTCGGAAGAGGGGGGTGTGCACGCAGATAGTGTCATGACAGCTATAACAATCCAGAGAAAAAAAAGAAAAAGCTTTTAGTAATCAATGAGCCACCTGAAATGTTTGAATGATTGCAAGTTCATCATACAGGCGAAAGCATAGGTTCTGGCAGTTATATTTTTTCCGTACAGAAAGCCATACAGAACTGGATCTAATTGTAGGAGACATATATCTAAAAGCTATCACAGAGAAAAAAAAAGAAAAAAAAAAAGAACCCATGTATGAATCGAATCTATTCTGCAATTGGCAGCTGTATCTTGCAGACTTACTTTGAGACCGCAATGAACACCTTTCATGGTTGGATGCACATACAGAGGACACCATTTTCGTACCAAGATGGAAAACGAGAAAAACGCTTCCATTTCGGGCATAGTCATCAAAAAGGGTGCTGCAAGTATATTCATACCTTGAACATAAGTGACAGTATCTAATTCCTCGTTGCCATTATTTCCTGGATGAGAACGAAAAAGGTCAGGGCATCAATATCACATTCACTGAAACTTCTTTCTTATTGAAAATACCTACCTTCCTTGTTCCACACAAAAGCATTCAATAAGCGTACCAACATGTCTTCAGATACATGTTCAATGAAATTCGTATCGGTCGTCATTGTACGAAACGTGTCTTGCCTGATTTTATCGTCAAGAGAGCTTGAGCCTTTTTCGACGAGACTTATATAGGTAGATGCAGATACTCGATTGACTCGAAGCAAAAGCTTCCACGCTTTGCCTCTTAGCTTTATATAATTTATAAATCAACTATTTCACAAAACGACACTGATATCTGTTATTTAATTTTACCTCTTTGGGGCAGAAATGCTGCAAAGCTTCACGTAATGCAGTTAAACTCTCTTCAGAAGCTTCAGAATCTGTGTGCTTACGAGCTAATATACTTTCTGTGGTAGGCTGAGACTGTTCCACTGTAACGTCCATAAAAAATATCACGCAGTTTTTATTAAAGTAAAAGACCGTTTTAATTTAGAGAAGAAAGAAGCAGTAAGAAATTAAAATAAAAGAATGCTGCTTTGAAGTCTCTTGTTATCCAAAGTACAATAAAAGAAGGTGTATGATTAATTACTGAAAAAAATTGCCTTTATTCATTATAATTAGTCAATTTCATTGTTCTTTGAGCAATGGAAGGTATTAACAAATGTATGATGTTATGTTGGGTATAAACGTGGTTAAGCCTATCGCTTAGTTTTTCTCTTCTTGGCAGTACTGCTTGAACTGACGCTTTTGCCTGACTTTTGTTTTTCCTCAGCTTTATTGGGTGCAGCAGTAGAAGAACCTGCTTTACCGTTAGCATCATCTTCTTGATTGGAATGCTCGTTTATTGATTGAGGTGGAGTTGATGTTGCAGCAGTTGTTACCGATGTTGTCTGTGCTGCCTTTCTCGCTCGAGTTCTTCTAATCGGTTTTACAGTTTGAATATCTTCATCATCTTCGTCTTCCGCATCTTCCTCACTATCAGGACGAATCGTTCTTTTGGGTCTGGTAGTCGTTGTAGGAACCAATTTCGTTTGAACTTTACTCCTTGTTTGAACCGTAGGAGACGGTTTTGTTTGTTCTTGATTTTTTGTTTCAGGAGGTTTTGTACCAGTGCCGATATGCTCGTCGACTGCAGCAGTAGGTGTATCGGCTTCTGATGTCGGAGATGATGGGGTGGAAGAGGACGCCCTTTTACCTTGCTTTTTCGCTGATGACGTTTTTTCTAAACCACCTTCCTGTTGTTGTTCATATTCTTTCAGTTTGCCTTGAAGGGTTTCAATTTCAAGTTTGAAGGTCCTGCACCTTTCCGTCATATTTTCAAGATCTTTCCTCGTCCTCTCTACAATATCACCACCGTATTTGGCTTGCTCTGCCTCTCTCACCAACTGTAAATCTTCTTCAAACTGCTTCATCAACTTTGCTTGCTTTGCTTTGTAGTGCTGTTTGATCTGCTCCCTTTCTTCTTCACGTTCGTTATTCAGCTTCTCGATGACTCCAGTTAACATCAGCTTATACTTATCCTTCACCTTTTTAACAGCGGCTTTAATCTTTTCTTCAACCTCTGTATCCGTATTCGCTCCTGCCAATTGCTGCTGCTGGTGCTCACGCTGTACTGTAATGAGCTTATTCTGTGCTGTTCTTAACTCCTCTTGCATGCTTTGATACTTTGTCTCTAACTCAGAATTGTCTCGTTCAAGTCGTACATTTGTTTCTTTCAAGTGATTATTGAATTCTTGTAGTCTTCTATTTTCGGTGCGAAGGCGTTCTAATTCTTGACTCTGCTCTGAAACTTTGGCTCGTTGAGATCCTTGCACTGTCTCGTACTGTTGTAAATGTGATTGAAGCTTTTGTATTTCTTGTCTAGCTTCTGTTAGCTTTTCCGTCAACTGAGGTACAATAATGCTCGTCAAGTGTTCTACTCTATTACGTTCTGTTTGAATATCTGCTTCTAGATTCTCAATTTTGAAATTTCGCATGCTTATGACTGCTTCAGCATAAGCTAACAGAAGATTAAAGAAACCCCCCCCCATTATTCTTAGTAAAGGCTTGAACGAACGAAAGTAAACGCTACAGTTCTTAATGTACCTAATTCTGCTTTTGATTCAATTGCTGCTTGCTTATTGACTGTTGTAGATCTGAGTTCTTCATTCCTGATTTCCAAAAAATTCACTTGATTTTGTTTACAACTTAAATAGTCTTCTATTTTCTTCTTCTATTAAAGAGTTCAGACATAGCATTCTTTAAACATACATTTTCTTTTATTCGTCCCTTTACCTCTTCTGCAAGCTGTTTATAGCGTTCTCCGATGACTATGACTTTTTTATGTAGTCGTTTATACTCTACTGTATTTTTCGTTTGGATGGTGGGACGCGTGCGAATAGCAATCTGACAAAATTTTTCTATGAGATCTAGGCACGCGGTCAAGTCATCTAGGGCTTCCTTACTCACGCGCGTCTTAACAGCCGTAATGTGTTAGTCAATATACTTCCAATCAAGAGGTGTCATCGGTATTCAATGAAAGGGTACTTTACATTATAATACGCGAGGATGGTGAGCTGTTCCTCACCACACAATGCTGGTGTCAAGAGTTTAGTCAAGATAATGCCGTCTGTATCTAAGCGTCCTTCGTATGAATCTGTTACGCTATCAACGACTTCGCCTGCCAAAGAAACGAATAGAGAGAGTAGCAGTAAATAAAGGGAAGCTCTATAAAATTATTCTGAATTTGAACACATAAAGGCTATGTGTGTGCGTGCCATTGATGATTTCCCCTTACACAAGGCTTTGAATGAGTAATAAATCGATCTGTTCAGTTGGTTATTTGCAGGGATTGTATTAAAAGGAGGATTGATGATATCCATGATTTGTAGTCGACCTTGAACCCCATCCACATTATTCGTCAGTTTTATGCTTAACAATGTAGGCATTCCTATTTCATGTCTCGCTTTTGACTTTACATCGTCAAAGTTTTTTACTGCTTTCATCAAAAAATCAATGCCATTGTTCTGCTGTATATCCCCCACTGTGGTAGGACCATAAAAAGAAGGGAGGCTGATGAGGACGACTCCAATTTCCTTTTTGTGTTATCACTGTAAAATTGTCCGGGCCTTACGTGTATATTCTTCATCTTTTCTAATATCGATGATTTGCCTATCTGAAACAGCAAGATAAGCATACTCGATTCTGAAAGGACTTTTTAGATCGGGATCACTCTTTTGTTGATGCTGTTCTTGCAATTGTTGTTGCATTGCATTTATCCTATCCATCAGCATATCAAGCAACAAACGGGTATCTTTCTTTCTTTGTTGGTATACATTCGTGTCCCTAAAACAAATGATATAGATGTTAAAAACCAGTGCTGTGTTTCTCTCTCCATTGTTATCAATGCGTTTTATCATTACCCTTTTCCTAACATCAAGATAGTAGAACTATAGCCTTGTAAGCATATGAAATGTATATGATACAATGTCTTTCAATTAAATTTTTTTCCCGTTTTCTCTTTGTTCACTCAACATGGGATAGCCTACCGTGCAAAACAAGGTCAACGATAGCTTGCTCCTTCTCGTAAGTGTTTTCGACCAACTCGGGCGTTATGCAATGGCTATACTGATATGATCTCCTAATCGACAGAATGTTGACAACGGGTGTGAACAAATAAGTTTAGAAATTTTCTACACTTTAAACTGATGATGCTTACTCTTCAGTGCCATCTATATGAAATTAGAAAAAGTGGTTAGGATGATGTCCGATCATCTTACTCGCGTTGCTACCGATGGATTAAACAAACCTCCTAGGTATACTTCAACACCTGCATCGTTAGGTGTAGCCATTAATTGGTAGTTGTCACCCTCTAATGGGGCGCTGGGGGGTACTAAGCATGCTATACTTTTGACAAACTGGCATTCCATTGTTGGGCAATTTGATGGTTGAACAAAAGAAACAGGAACCTACTTTTTTTTTTTTGTTTCCCGGTGCCTGATTTGAAAAAATTTATACAAAATCAGGAATAAATATATCAAAATCTATCAACACGGTTGATTTTTTCTTTTATTGTTCGAAAATACGAGAGTATAATTACAGTTTTTTTCCGGAAATCTATGTATAAACATTGACTTCCTTTACGGGAAGCACATTTGGGACGGTATCATTTTCGGTTTCTAAAGGAACACTAACAACCTTTGAAAATGGGCATAAAATATCGGATGGATCAAAAGTGGGAATCGTTTCTTCTACATTGTCATTGTCTTCTTCTTGCAGCGGCAGCTCTTCCAATAATAAGTCGTCGGGAGTGCATGCTGATACCTGTAAATGAAGGTCCAGACCTTTTTTCTTCAATTGCGACATAGTAGCGGGCTCGCCCCATATGTCAAATAAAGCCATGTCAGTCTGCGGATGTTCCTGTAATGCTGTTGCTATTTCAGCCCATTGACTCGTTTCTGTCAATAAAGGTACATTGTAAAGTGAGACGGCATCCTCAAAATCCTTTTTCAACGACTTTTTCTTCAATTCAATGTGAGCGGTCGAAAGGGAGGAGCCAGTAGGTGGATAAAGCATCACATAGGATCTTAAATAAATCAATTCCTCGAAATAACGCCGCCACGTCGATTTATAGCTCCATTCGCTCGAACGCAGATTAGGTAAAGAGATATCTTGTAACTGATAGCCTTGTTGATCTGCTAGTCTCGCTGTGATGTAATCATGGAATTCCCTCCAATGCTCTGGAAAATAGACAGCTCCTAAATAACTAGGCCATTGCATCAAGTAAGGCTGCTCAGTACTGTTACTGCTAAATAACTTTCTACCGGAAAGATCCGTTTCTAAGAGTTCGGGTGAGTACAAACTGATGCCAAAAAGACGGTGATTTCTATGTGTGTTTTTACTGCTATACCGAGTACTCAGAATAGTATACTTGGCCCAAATATAGTAAAATTTGGACAACTCCAACTCATTATTCAAGAGGATGGCATATTCGTGATTACTGGAAGGATACCATGATTCAACAAAGATGGAATTTTTGGGCGCAGCAGCAATTCGATGCCGGAGCTGCTTTTTGTTTGTCTTTTGTGAAAGATATTGACGGACGAGGTCTTGCGTCTCCTTACTGGAACTATGCTCCAAGAAGACGGTGATATCCATTACATCACCTAAATGATAGGCATTCTCGATCGACTTTAATAGTAGCTCCATACCGCTTGCTTTTTTGTCTGTGGTGGTCACCATGAGTTTAATATGAATATCGTTCCATTTGGATAAAGTAGTGAGTGGTAAATCGGGCATCCATAGTGCATATTGTATTTCTTCGCTAGGCAGAAAGACGGTCGTTAGGTGAAGCAATTTGGCAGCTGTTTCGAGTTGCTTATACACGTGGATCTCTTTCTCCTTATTGATGGAATGAATGATGAGTGTAGGCTGACTCATGGTCAATAGGGGCGTTAAAGCATAGAGTGCATGATGAGCCACGTCTCTACGACTAAAGTCATGTAGGATAATGTTGTGGTTGCTTTGTTTCGGACAGAGAGATGGAGTAACATCATAGTGATAGTTTGCAACGATATGTACAGCGACTTGTCTCTCACTGAATTTGCAAATTAACGGTTGGAAAGAAGACAGTTCAGAGGCTGAACCTGCATAAAAGAGAACAGTATTGCTGCTGGTCGTCGCGAAGTCAGAAAGAGCGGCTGTTGGATGGTAATGGTGCTCTGATTGATAATAATGCAAAAGTAATTCCTTCGTATCCTTCTGCTCCAACGACTTGCATGTCTGTGATTTTTGCGTTTTTGATAGCCTGACATCACCCCAATAAGCACGCTCAATCGGATCGATGGGTATGGCAATGGAGGGTATGCCTGCTTCATATAAAGCTTGACTGATCCATAGACCTAAAGGCAATGGCTGTTTTGAAAGAGATGCGGCGCCTGTCGAGGCGAGTAAATAAGATAACCATGACCGATGGAGAAGCCAGCTATCGTTGATCATGTCTACAATCTGGCTCTTCATTTGACTGTCTGTTGCACGCATTGAGTCCGGGACACACTCTATATGACCATTTTCTTTATTCACGTTCGCAGCTTCTGTCCCTAAAAGTGACGACTGATATTGCTGTGTGAAGGATAGCTTTAATATTTTCTCCAAATATCGTTTTCCTGGTGCAATATTTTGATCTATGATCCAAACAAAGTCTGTCGCCACATGAGGTAAGACCGACGTCAGCCAATCGTTTCCTTTTTCTGTGGTGGATGTGGTTGCTGTTAAAACACTCACTCTCCTTCGATCCAATGTCATAATTCTTGCTTCCACTTCTTGTTTCTGATCGGGTTGACATACGATCCAAATAGTCTGGGGTAAAGCCGTTTGAGTTAAAATGGATTGAACTTGAGCGTAGAGCTGTGATAGAGTGCGTGTATGTACTATGGCAGTGACAGGCACTTGTCCACTTCGTTTGTCTGCTGCTGTTGACGATGCATCAGGATAAAAGATAGAAGATAAAGAGATACTGTTGGTAAGGCGTCTCAATTCGTCAAACGTATGACCCTGAATGATGCCCTTGGAAAGTAAATGGATAAAAGAGTGTCTAGGATGCGTTTGCTGAGTGCTCATTTGATGCCAAGGATCGGTGAAAGTATCCATCGTCATCGTGTTACTCAGATGAATTGGCTTTTTATTTCTGCCTTTGACATTATCTGCTGTTGTTTTCTTTTCACTTTTGTCATTCAATAGTTTAGTTAACCGGTGATAGTCTGTCAGCTGTGATGCATCCTTATATTTTGCGCCGGGTGTTGATGATGCTAGAGCGTCGATTTTCATTGATTCAGTGGATGAAAAGTCGTTTGCTGTCTTGCTTGTAATGGTCGTTAGTAGAAAGATAGTAGTGAGCAGGAGTAACATAGACGCTATGAGCACCGTTTTTCTATTTTTAAGCAGCATTCTGCGTAGATTTGTATGATATTTTATTGATTTTGAAGTGGATCGAGGACCAGCCTTTTCTAAATCCTTTTCATCCAACCTCATGATAAGAAAAGGAAATGTATAAAAGAACGAATAGGTATAAAGAAAGGAAAAAAAAAGTGGAAGGAGAGAAGGGAGGAAGAGTGTAAGGAGGAGAAGAAGAATTGAAAAGAGAGAATATGACTCGAAATCCTTTACATTTTATTCATTGTTAGAAATTGTAGAAAAAAAAAAAGCTGGGTTTTCTACTTTGATTTAAGGGGTGAAAAACATTCTTTTTGCATCTGATTTTTTCTATTTTTTTCTCTTGAAATTTACCTTACTATTGCAAAAAGCGCTTTGGGTTGCCATAGAAACAGTCTCGTTGACAACGGTTGCCATTGTATCCTTTTCTTCTTATTTAACGATTCCTTTCTACAGTACATAGCTGATTTTCGGTGCCTAAAAAATGATAACTATCTATTTGGTATGAGAAATGAGGGGGTATGACAACAACATATTGAAGAAAATTGAATTTCGATCATGTTGACCAATCACAAATTAGGTACGTGCAACTACATTAATTCGAAATCAATTAAACGGGAATGCTTCATTTCCGTTTGTATTTAAGGCTGCATGAACAAAGCAAACACAAAGAGAAAAAGGGTATGTAGTTTACTAAATAATGGAGTTTAATACAAGCCCCTAATATAGAAGCTGTCACTTTATCCATTGCCAACAATCGTAATGGTAACTTGCCACTTTATGAAACATTGACCCTATTGTCTATAACCATGGCTTCAACGATCCATGACTTTACGAAAGCCCTACTATCATCATCATGAGTGAATTATTTGATAAAACAAAAATAGAAAGATCGACTGTTGCGGGTTCTTCCGTATGTCGATCCGTGAACCCAAATTTCTGCCTTGAAGCACCTTCATCCAATGATACAGGATGTGTGCCTGTTTATTATGTCATCCGCCACAGTTTATCCGAATCTCTGTCTGCAGTTGCAGCTAATAGAATGGCACTCTCAATTCACAAGGAAGGGAGATATCAAAGCCTCAATGCTAAGCCTATTTTAGCAAATGTAATTATAGAAATAGACTGTGGCTCATTCATTATACTTTTGGTAATCCAGCATGTTTTTTTTTTCTATGCCTAAAAATACAATCATTGCATTTTGTTTTACAGCAGATTTTTTTAAGCGCCACCTTGTTGTCTTCTTGGCTGTAAGCCTGGGGGAGGATGAGTTGCATAAACGGGAAAAAGATAAAGGTGGGGGAGATGACGTGCATGTCTCAGTAAAGACATTAAGTATTGTGCAAAGATATCGGGAGATTCTCCAATATAAAAAAAAATGTCACTCCTGTAAAGAAGTGCACATTTGATGAAGAGATCAACGCGTCGTCCACAAGAAGATCATTCACTGATTTTGTAAAAGGGACACACAACCGAGGAGGGTTACCTAAGACATCATTGAAACTCAGTTCAAATTGCATACATTTGTTTATAATTACACGCTGAGTGTAAGCTAGACGACAGTGTTATTCTTAGTAACAAGGCATTGTCTGTGAGCAAAGTGTAATAGGTGAAAAAAGAGTATATATATATATATAGAGGCCATAGTTTCTTGTCAAGACTGTAATAGCAGGCAAAAAGGCAAGTAAAAGAGATTTCCAAATTTGTACTTTTCCTTTTGCCTAACTACCCTTTTTTTTTTCTTCTTATTTTTTTTCAGGCTGAGAAAAATAGTAGGAAAAGGAAAAAAAAAGAAAGTTTATTTTTCTTATACAACACAACTGTTTTCTTGGTCTTTTTTTTTCTGTCTTTTCTATTAGCATCACTGTCATCATCTGCAAATTATACTCATTTCAACATCCTCAATTATTCCTTATCCATAACAATATACCCCTGGTTAATTACATCTTTGTGTTTGTAATTACGATATCTCTATGTCAATAGGAACAGCAAAAAGCATAGAAAGCTTTTCAATACGGACCTCTTTTGCACCACCATTATTGCTCTTTCATTACTATTATTACCTACTATTATTATACTCAGCAACCATCAGCACCACAGCGAGCGCACAAGAAGACAACGGTGCTCTTGATTGTTTCCCGTTGAAAGGTTCAACTACTTGCCCAGCTTTTCAAACATTTTACATTAGTGTGGAGGGCAACCAGAAAAGATACCCATTTCTCGCCAATGTCACTGACATTGCCTCCTTTGATGAAGCATTGACCCAATATGTTCAATCATCAGACTTTTATTTATCTGCTCTTGGATGCAATTATAAAGCCAACCCTACCACCAATATACCCTATGCTCGATATTCCTTCACCTATATGTGTGCTACATTAATACAAGATACAACTACCTCTTTACCGTGTAATTATCAATATAATCTATCACCACCGGCCTTATGTCAGAGAACGTGTTTTGATTATGTCGCCAGTGTCAACCAGTTAACCGACAATAATATTGATATGTGTCCAAATCAATTTGAACAGTCTGAACAAGTGCTCAATTTGAATACCACTTGTCAATATTGGAGCGGACTCAATGGTACACACAATTGTATCGTAGGCTTAGCCAACGAGCCCAATTATTGTGGATTTGGTGGATTGAATGCTGCTTGTCAATATTGCAAGACAAACAGTACACAAGATGCATGTTGTCAGCAATTAGTGGGTTGTAGAACACTATCGGTAGGTGCTATCATTGGCATCATCATTGGCTCTCTTGTTTTCGTTGGCGTTGTAGGCTTTTTTGCCATTTGGATGTATAAGAGACGAAAGAGACAAAGGAATGGTGGAAACAACCATTTTAATCGTCATCGTAGCGGTCCTGGCAAACACCGATCGTTCTCACTCAAAAAGAAAAAAAGAGACTTCAATCCGATGATGGAAGATGACGATACAACCTCCTTGGGATATGAATCATTGGTCACTCATTCTCAAAGAGGCTTAGTAGCATCCAATGTCAATCCTACTACTCACATACAGCAGCAGCAGCAGCAGCAGCAGCAGCTTTTGCAAGTACAACAACAACAACCGCAGACGATGATCAATGGTACCATGACAATGAATATGGAGGAGTTTTTTGAAGTCAAGCATCCTTACCCACCACAAATGGGAGATGAGTTGGCATTACATATAGGGGATATAGTATGTGTAGCCATGAATTTTGATGACGGCTGGGCTCTCGGATTTAATGTCACTACAGGGTTAAAAGGTGTGTTTCCGCTCGTATGCGTAGTGCCTGTCAATAAAGAGCTACTAGAGCAATTACTGAATATCGCCAATAGTAGCAACCAAGGCCTACCACCACCACCTCAACCTCCCCCTCATCAGCTCTTACTCTCGCCAACCGCATCACCTTTACCAACGAATAAAACATTGATCGAAGAAGGGTCTCCGGAATACGTACAAATGCAACAACTACTATCTAGAAGAAGTACAGCCACGAGCACTAGAGGAACGGATTTTATCAATGAGAGTCATGAGAGCAGAAGGGTGGCTTCCGAGCAATCCACACCCATCACGCAACATGAATCCATACCAAGAAGAACAGCGAGTATCATGAGAAGTTATGTAGATTATGGTCATCACTATGAAGACGATGTACTGGACTCTCCCACTTCACCCAATTTAAATACGCCATTTTTTGTTGATGTACCTATATCACAGCCAGAGCCCATTTTACAACCGCATCACCCACAGCATCCTATTGTCGAAACGATCGAATTACATCAACAAAAATACCGTTCACCATAGAAAAATGTAACATAATACAATGATAATAAAGACTAAAAATAAAAAGAAAAAAGAAACGGGGCTTTTTTTTCGGAATTTCCCATTGGTTGGTTTTTTAGTGGCATTCATGCCATATCCCAGTGTGCTGTTTAGGGACTTTACTTTTTTTCTGCTCTTTCTTTCATTCCTCCAGATATCCCCTCAAGTACATACTTGATGCCATTGTTAAATTTGTAGTCCAAGAGCCACGTACTGTATATCACACATCTTTCTTTTTGTTCTGTCCTAGTTTTTTGCACAGACGCACACATACACTTATATATACAACAAACACACAAATCACAGACACACACAACAAGTTTTCTATTTAAAGCAGAAGAACATGGATATTGTATGTGAAAAGTCTTGCTCATCATCTTCATCGTCCACGAAAGCCAAACAAACATTTTCTTATATATCTTCGACTTCTATATCCGTGGAAGATACTCGAAGGTTTTGGACAGCCAATTGCAGCAGTCCCTCTCAAAGCATCAGCAGTCATTCGATGTATGATATCAGCAACAGCAATGACATTGACATATCCTTTGGAATAACCACAGACGATAATATGACGGATACTACCACTACTTCTGCTATACCAGGTGAGATCTTATGATTTGCAAATACCATAGTTTGGACTTTTTTGATCCTGTTATCGGACTTTTTTATTAAAAGTGTTATATACAAAATTTGCCTGCTCAGGTGCATTAATTTTTCATCCATCCTCCACTCACGAACCACCACCAGCACAGCAAAGAAAAAGACAAAGAAAAACAACGGAAGAACGCGCATGTAATGCAACGACTACTTTATTACTATTGTCCATCATTGAATCCCTTTGTAAAGCCCATGCTGCTGATAATAAAGGGAATAATGACGAAGCCGCTAACCAGCATTTCTTGCTTATTTGTCAAACCTTGAAGCAACTGGGTGTATTGAATGATGATGATAGCAGTCTTAGCAGTAGTAACCATAGTAGCCGTCAACACTCGCCCATCTCGCCATCAGCAACGGAGGGTCATCCTTTCGAAGGTGATAAATATGCTAAATTTCGTTCAGCCTCTTTAGAGGCTTTCGAACAGTTATTTTTCAATGCAAAAAAAAGGCAGACCTTTTCCAATATCAGTAGTGCCAGACAGCAGCAGCAGCAGCAACCGTCGTCTTTCAGCAAAGGAGTAGAACGTAAATTACTACCTTTCTCACCTTCATTAGATACGTATTCAATGGAAGCAGCTGAAGCGCACGATAGCCACAGCCATATTTATTCTTTATTCAGTCTTACCTTCGAAGGTGTTCGACCTGCCCGCTATCATCGTGACTTTGTAGAACTGGATTTGCTGGGACGTGGTGGATTTGCGAGTGTGTGGAAAGCAGAACATAAATTAGAAAATATCCACTATGCCATCAAAAAGATACCTTTGCGGACCTATTTGAAAGATGGCTATGAAAAAATATTTCGCGAAGTGAAGCACTTGGCAAGATTACAACATACCAACGTAGTGCGCTATTACACTTCTTGGACAGAATTTGTCAGTGATGCTTATTTAAAGAGAGGGACACAGGACGACGGAGACGACGACGACGACGACGACGACGAGGATGATTACGGTTCTGACGGAATGGAAAAATCAACACAAAAACAACATGCTGGCGGTACCTTTGTTCTTTTCATCCAAATGGAGCTCTGTAATACAACTTTGCAGGACTTTTTAAAGCTGAGAAACCAAAAACCGAACGAATACTTTGATGAAAAGCAGAATGTAGACATTTTTCGACAGATATTAGAAGGCATCGATTATATACATCAACAAGGCATCATGCATCGAGACTTGAAACCAGGAAATATTTTCTTGATGCCTCCCACAACAACAACGACGAATGGAACAACATCTGTCAAGCCGACTGTGATTCCGAAAATTGGCGATTTCGGTTTATCAGTAGACATGTATGCTTCATCCGCTGTTTCTTCTTCTACTACTACAACGACTGTGACAGATTGCTGTGCTACGTTATCCACGCCAGCGATGAGTGGCAGCAGCACAGAAAGCGTTGTCCTTAAAGATGTCACGGGTTTGTTTGGTTCTCTGACAGGAAAAAGTGAGGGCTCGACATCCGATGGAGATTCGAGTACAGATAATGCAGTCGATCCACCACAAGGAATGATTTTATCTGATTTATCTCGGATCAAATCAGGTGCTAGAACGAGTGGAGTAGGAACACGAACAGTAAGTTACCCGCCTATGTGCAGTACAAATGGAGGTTTGGCCATAGGCAGATATCCACTATGGATCAACAGCGGCTTACCCTTCTGATTCTATTTTCTAGTATGCTTCTCCAGAACAGTTGGCAACTCGCTGTAGAGTGACTTACAACGAGAAAGTGGATATCTACTCGCTTGGCATCATTCTTTTTGAGTTATTCCAGCCCTTCTCATCTGCTATGGAACGCGCGCGTTCAATCGATCAATTGAAACAAAAAGGCATCCTGCCTTCAGCCTTTCAGCGAAAATATCCTTATATTGGCGACATGATTCTTCATATGCTACATCCTGATCCTCAGCAAAGACCAAGTGCGGTAGAATTGCTTCAAAATGACATTTTCTCTTCTCTTGACTCTATCAGCAGCGACAGCAGTAGCCATAGGCAACATAGATCGTTGACTTTATCACATTCCCTAGTGTCCAGGGAGCAAAATGAAAGATTGGGAGGATTACGCCCATCCTTACCCGCATTACCGTCACCTAGAAGCATCGAGGCAAACGAAATGGACGGCTACCGTAGTAGCCATGGTAGCCATTACAGTACCTCTGCAGCCAGCAGCGCGAGTCAGATGGAAAGACTTGAAATGAAATACAAGGAAGCAATGATGGAGAATGAGCAACTTCAAACGAAATTAAGACTGATGGAAAAGCAGCTATCACAGATAAACATGAAAAGTACCCTACCAACGTCCTCTCAAGATACCATTACGACCACCTTTTTGGAAAAGGTGCCTTCTGTGACCAATAGCAACGCTGGAGATAGCTATGCTTATGATAAACGAGCTGTCTCAAAAATATTTTCTAATTTCATCTTATCTTCTCATCATTAAACATAGACATCCCCTTCCCTCTTCTTGTTTTACCCCATACCTTTCGATATTCCATTTCACGTTAAATTAGAGGTTGCTTCCTAAAAAGAAAAGGAACCATCATGCGTCATGAACAAGAGTGCAATGCAGATTAAGAATAAGAAGAATAGTTTCACTCTCAAAATGCGCCTTGAGATCGTTTTCTTCAGACGCCATGCCCTTTTCAATGTTGGATGTTGGGTTTCTAGCTTTCCAGTTGCGTTCAATGGTGTATTTCTCTATTGCAGCTTGTTTCTGATTCTCTGATCTTTCTTTCTCGCAAATAAAAAGTCCGCTAGATTGAGTACCTGAATAGAGTAGGACACCATTTTCGTATTTTGGTACCTGTTAGCTTCAACTTGGAAATTAAAAACTTATTGTCATAGAGAGTTCAAGTACCAAAAAATGAACTGGTCTTTTCTACTTGTTTTCTATATGAAAGCATTGTTTGTTAAGAAATGAAAAGGGAACCTTGCCGACATTACTGTTTCAGAGATCGAAGCTATTCCAAACGGAACTGTATCTGTGGGCAGGGGACCGTCCAAAATAAGCTCTGTTTCGCGCTAAACTCAAGCAGCAAATTTATGCAAAAACAAAAAAAGACAGAAAATTTGACACATTCATTAATTACAATTTACTTCCGCCAATATATAATTTAATATCAAATTACAAGAGTATATGTAAACATGCGTGCCCTTATCCAAAATTTGAAAGTTTCGAAAAAGCAAGAAAGAAACACTAGATATTTCCTTTAATTAAAAAAAGTACGGAAATGTTAATTGTCGAAATCGTATAAAAAGGACAAACAATGAAATGGGAAACTGTACCCTTTCTTTTTCTCGCTCCCTTTTCTAAACTTTGAGCAATCTAATTTGTAAAACTTATTACTTACTACCTTTTACAATGAAGTTCTCTGTTGCTGCTGTCTCTGCTTTTGCTTTATCAGCTCTATCTCTTGTAGCTGCTGATTCCTACGCGGATGCGATAAAAGCATGGTGTTCTGGTAGAGTATACATTTCAAGTGGAGTGACCTTGACATAGGACGTCGAAACTTAGGCGTTTCCAATTTTGAATAGGTCTTGAGGTCACTACTCCTGACTCGTCAGTTATCGCTGTTGCTGGGCAAAACATGAAAATTACAGTTAGTAAGTAACAATATTGAACGAGCAAAGAAAGAGTTTGTTCAAAACCAGAATTTCATGGAATAACTTATACTCTGTTCATCATCCCTATTCACAGCAAGAGAAGAAAATGATAAGGAAAAAACCATTACTGGTCTCGATGTAAGGATCTTCATGGATAGATTGTTTGTTGCAGAGAAGAACGATTCATTGAACTGACTTTCAACCCTTATTTTTTTATATAGTTGTACTCAGTTTCAAGCTCTGGAGAAGCCAAATATGTCCAAAATGTTTGGGCTGGTGATTACAAATTAAAGAGCACTGCCTCTATCACGGATGATCTTCCTTCTAATGTTTCTCCCGGCCTCTATTACTACCGGTAAGAGATGACGCCTATTTTCCTTTCATATGCATAGCGAGTACAAGTTAACTCATCTTCTATCTACCAAACGCAGTGCCTGGATCACTAACTTGATTAACGGTCGACACGGCCCTGATTGTATTGAAACCTCTCATACCTTCAAGGTCACCTCTGGTTCTCACAAGAATGCGGCTGGCATTGTCGAATACGCTGAATCTATTCATGACAACAATCTCTATAACGCTGACCATGCTGACGGTTGCTTTGGCATTTCGGTCGACTATCCTCAAGAGGGAAGTACTTTTAAGAACGGTGATCATGTTCATATCCAAGTCAAGCGCGATGCTTCATCTCAAACAGATGCTCTTACAAAGATCGAACTCTACAAAGGTGACCAATTAATGAATACTGCTTGGCAAGGCTCCGAATCCTTCCAAAACTCTTTTGTCCTGAAGGATCACATGAATCTTCCTGCTGTGGATCCTAATGCCAATGATTACCACTACAAACTCTATATTACCTCCAAAAAGAATGATCAAAAGACATGCACTTTCACTTCCAGCAACTTTAAGATTTCTATTTAAACAAATAATTATAGCAACAACTTGTATACAGACAAACACGACCAGCTGATGTTTTAAGCTTTTTTTCATTCTTCTTATGAAAACGTGGCATTAGAGCAGCCCATATTTTTGTACATTACTCTTTTTCAAATATACATGTATATCTATTACAACCCTCCCATATTCCCCCACCCTTTCTTCCATTCGTTTGATTTTGCTATTATAATAAATTTCAATGTATTACTTGATTTGTGCTCTTTCAAATTGATTTTCTTTGGCCGCAAAGCCCGATTTTTAATTCGCTTCATAGATACACCACAGTTTAGATGGTACTCATCTAGTATGTATTCACTGGCATAGTAGTAGATTTGATAAAGCCTAAGTTACATCTTACTTTTGCAAACATTGTAGCTGCAAACAAAGTGTTGTGTGGCCTTAAAAATTTGGTATAGGTATAAGTATTGTGTACTTGATTTCACTTATAAGCAAAAGCATAAACGAGAAAGTAACCGACGGAATGGACTTTCGCTTTTCGTTCTGCCGTCTGTTAAATCTTCATCCAAAACATTGTGATTTTCTCCGTATTCGCGATTCAAATCTACTAATATAATATAGTTTAACGCGCGCGCGCAAAAATTTACAACCATCAATAAAAAAAGTTACACATGTGCTCAGCATAGAGAAGCTAGTAAAGACATCATGTGAAGTAAGCTACTTACTACTGGTGTTGGGTCTATAATTTGTTGTGGAAGGCATTTGATAAGTGGTATCTTGCTCATGTTTCACACGGGAGGGGACTTGCTGTTGTTGACCTGACTCTGTCAATAACGGATGTTGGGCTGTACTATTGCCTTGCTCAATACCATTGATGGTAATACGTTGTCTGCCATCACCATAGTCTTCGATGATTTTCGTTCCATTTTGATCTATTATTTTTGTAATTGTCTGTTTGTGGCCATTGATGATTGTAGTAGTAGTAGAAACACTTCGTGTGTTTCTGATAGGCTGATGTATGCCATTACTCATACTACTGCTACTGTTACTCCTGTTCAGATGAGTTGATATCGGTTGTGAAGGATCATGAAGCGCTGAAAACAAGGGAGTTTGTAACACAGATGCTGCTCGTAGTCCTCCTGTTCTCGAAAAGCCATCGTTGAAGAATGGGTCATCTGTAGAGAAACATGAATACTGTTAGAAAAAGCAATACTAGGAATGGAAAATGATCTAGTGAAAGACTTACTGGCAAACATTTGGAAAGGGTCTTGACCTTGGAAGAACTGGTTAAACAAATCTTCAGGTGTTCGAAACTGCAAAATCATTTGATATGATAGAGTTAAATGCACAAGGCAGGCGGCAAAGAGTACCCTACTTTTTTTTTTGCCCTTAGAATGATAAACCAACCTGGAAGGTGGTGAAAATGGGATCTTGTCTAAAGGCTGCTGTCGTACTATAATGTCTTCTACCGCTATTCATATTATATGCTGTATTATCACGGCCATCGGTATCAAAAGCCGTTTCATAGCTTTGGTTATCATAAGCTCTTCTTTTCTCAGCTACATGTTGCAAGAACAAAGAACAAGGATCAGTCATTAAACGTCACTTTTATCATCCTTGTACCTAGCTGCTTGTCAAAGTATGTCAAGAGAATTTGAAATTTTACGATCTGAAAGTATTTGATATGCCTCACTATAAATAATTGAGTAAAAACGTATAGGAAGTCCGCTTGATCTTTCCTGCTTTTATAACGCAACTACCTTATGTTCTTGAACTTTTACGTGAAGAAGGATATGTACATTAATAATCTTTGAAAAATTAAATGTCATAAAAAGACTCTACTTTCTCGGCTGCTCCAGGTTCTTGGTTTTTATCTGGATGGTATCTCAGGGCTAACTTTCTATAAGCCTTTTTAATATCTTCTTCTGTTGCGTTTGTCGGTAATTCGAGTTCTTTATAGTAGTCCATATTTTTAATGCATCCAAGAAATGGAAAGACAGAAAGAAAAAAGGAAATGTGGAGAACAATTTCATAATTTCAACCGTACAATCGACTGATCAATGCAAAATGCACTAAAAGTCATTGAGTTTTAAATTTTGAGCATATTGTAGCTACTGTGTTACAATACAATTTAGCTTCGGATTTGGACAAAGCTGCAATGTAATTGTAACGGAATGAGCGAGATTTTTGAGACATTTGAGTTGGATGGATGCCTGAACTACATTAAAAGGGAGACGTATACCTGCAAAAAATCGAGCCAGTTCGATAATAGGAAAAGAACCAAGATAATGTCTTTCCAAATAGAAATGCTGATAGCCATCATGTTATTTGCCGTATTGACATCGCGGTTCCAAAGTGCCTTACAAGTTCATAGCAAACCAGAATACTACAGCCACGGACGGTATTTAATGCTTCGAATGTGGCTGAGCGACAAAATGGATTTTTTTTTACCCTAATTCTTATGCTTTCTTTAAAAGATCCATTTTTCTGTATAATAATACTTTCGATTAATAGGGCTAGAAATACACGAAAAAGAAGGTATTTTTTCTCCGTTTAATAGAACCTCTTCATCATGCTATAACCTTTGAAAACAAAAACGCGAAAGAAGTATTGATGAAAGACACGTCTCAAACATTGTATATCACCTTTTTTTCGATTATCCACAAAAAAATTAACGAATATGATTTAAAATTTTTGCCCAATTATTCGCGAAAAGAGTAGCAAGTGATCTGATATACACCTTTACTCTATCTAACAAAAATCAGACGTTTCTCTATCTAAACCAGAAAAAAACTGTGATTTGGGAAATTATTATTTCCTGAATCTCGAACGTGATGTTTTGAAATTGAATGACAGATTTTTATACGCCTTCGCGGAGACTAAATATGAAAAGCCTGGAGAGGCTGTATTGTCTAAACTGGAATCACTAACATATAGTTCCATAGGCTGTAAAGATGAAATAAAACGAATAGCAAATATAGAAGGCTAGAATAAATATAAAAAGAATTAGATACTATTATTCATAATTGTATTGTTGAGGTTTATGATATAGCAAAATGCGTTATTGTGAAATATGTAAGGGAAGTCGTAAGACGGAATCTAGTAGCAAAATAAGACGAATGAAAACAACCATTCCAAAGAGTTAGAATACATACAACATGTGTACTTGCCAATTTACTGTTGGAGAGTTTTACCTTTATAATGAGCGGTATATAAGAAGCAGGTAATGGTGTCAAGCTCTTTTACTGTTTGATTAGCGAAATGTCGGGAAACTGCTGCTGCTAGTTCATCTTTGGTCGCCTTTGATTTTGTCTTTAGTTTATGCACTCTCACATATTTTCGCAGAACTGAAATATCCATGGAATTGAAATCAATCTAATGGGAAAAGTCAAGCTATAGTCTTTCTATGACGCTATTATCAGGTGTAGAACATGCGAAAGAAAGTACCACCTACAGTTTGAAATTCTTTCCCAACATTACTTTCGGCAGCTCGTCGTTTCTTTTCACGTTCTTTATCTTTATCGTTATTTTGATTTAGTCCGTTGGCATTTGTCGCTTGTGAAGGTTTTTGCTTAACACCCATTTCGAATGTTGCAGGTAGTTAAAGAAAAAGGGAGGAGGCTCGAAATGAAAAAGGTCAGATTAAAAAAAATAAAATTGCTTTCTCAGTTCTGATGATTCATTGGAGAAAAGACAATGACATTAAATTTCAGACTTGTAAAATTTGTTAAACGTTTTGTTTTTTTTAGTTGTTTTAGCTTCTTTTCACCTGTTCTTGTTTATGCTAAATATACATGGGAATTGAAGACGAAGGTAGTCAAGAAAGCAACAGTAGACTATCGATTAAACCAAAATGCAGTATCTGTTTACAAGTCTATAGTAACAGAACGTATACCCGGCCTTGTTTTCATTCTTTCTGCTTCCACTGTATCTGCCAATGGATAAATACGGCCTCCACACTATGTCCCATTTGCAGACAAACGATCGATTCATTTGTATATAATATCAACGAAGAAAAAGAAACGTTCAGTGAATATTTTTTGAAAGACAAAGGCAATAGGAAGTTGCATGAGCCGCCTTTACGGAAAAAAAATTATGTTACCTACGAGCAAAAGAAGCGAATAGAGAGAAAACAAATGTATGAAGGCCATTTGCACGTCTTGCATTATCCAGAGCCATTAGATAAACATCGTCAATTAACTGTCATTGAACCTCAACATATACCACGCGTAAATCAGTGTTTCAGAAAAGGTTCAGCCCAATATTTCAGATGGCCTAACTAATGCGTCTTTTGCGTTTTGTTTTTTTTTTTTTTTTTTTGGTTTCTAGTCACGTATTTTTCTGCAACGTGAATTGAGGATCATCCTTACTATAGACGAGGTAGACGAGTTTGTCTTACAGCATATGATACAGTTACTACTGTTGCCTTTTGAGCAGAAATGGCAGACGATGTATGATCCTTCATATCTCCAGATGGTCGCCGAATGGCTTAACAATAAGTTAACTCTTGCAAAGAAGCTTATAGACGAATTGTTAGCATTTATAAAATCTGGCCTCTCTTACGAACAGTTTATTACTACGATCGAATATAATTCAATTAATCAACAAAAATGATATGTATTTAATAGTAAAAGCAATAGCACTAATACTAGTAATAATTATAATGACTTTGGGGAAATGTACATATGATTTATGGGTCATGTTTTAGACATATATATATATGTCTATGTATATACAAGTAGGTTGATATGCATTTAGTTAATGATCTATCATCATAATGCTGCTATAGCTCGGTAAGGTTGAAAAGCCATAGTCGTCAGCTTGAGTTGCTACTCCTGGATGTTGACATTGTTGTTGATGTTTTTGCTGTCGCTGCTGCTGTAATAAGAATGTTTCAATTATACGTTGTTGAGATTCAGTCGTACCGTCATTATTTGTCGAATTTCCCAGCAAAGCCATCATTAAATTTGGGTCATAAGGTAGTGTTTGCCAAATATCCTCGTAAGCCGGCAAAGTGCATTTTGAAGTGTTGATAACGATGATGACCGGTAAAACAGCCCTTAATTCTGAGATATGGCCGTCTTCGTTTTCGATGGACATGATAAACTTTAATTTATGCTTTACTCGAACGGATTCATTATGGGCATCACATTGAATATCACGTAAAGAGTCAGGCACCCTGATTTCCATGGAGAAAGAGAAAGCAGGCCTTGTTGCGCTCAGCACTTGGTTTTGCTGCTGCTGTTGCTGCTGCTGCACATCATGACGCGTGTAGCTAATAATGCGTCCGTGCGATTTATTCTTACCATTAAACCAGCCGTTGACCGCTTTGCAGATCATATATTCCTTGAATAAACACGAGACATAACGTATTTTTAGATTTGGTGCTAATGGAACGGCTTGGATGGTTATCGGTATGGTATTCCCATGGCTATAAACTTTTGCAGGTAGAGATATGTCATAGTCCAGTTTGTTCTCCCAATGGTTGGCCAGCGTCATTGGATCTAGATAGTCTGAAGTAAGTGTCGACTTTTGTCTTGATAAGTGAATGTCTTTTCGTGCAACATAGTTGGGTGATAAGAAGCTGGATCGTTCTGCTATTGCCTTTAATTGGTATTGGACGAGATAATACTTGGCCACGTGAGTAGATTCAGGCAAACTCCCAGGGAGGACGAGCTCAAACTCATAAGAATGGTTTCCAGCTCCTAATAAATAGCCTTTCTTGTTATTGGGTTGGGAAGGCAGAAATGTCCAAGTATGGTGAATCAGAGTTTGATGATCACTGTATTTACGTTCAGAGCCATTGCCTGCTACTTCATTTTTCAAGTTTTTCTTCTTTAATCTTGGGACTGAACACTCTATCGATATATTTGTGTACTTAAAATACTTACATTGACTCCAATGGACAGTAATTGCACCACAGAATTTCATTGTCAAGGATTTGAAATAGGTCCGTTTTCGAAGCTGCAAACTCAATGCACCTCTTAGCACACATCCAGATGATTCTGAAGTGGAGCCATACATGATTAATCTATCATTTTCTAGATGGATCTTTAATTTTGTGTTTGCTTCGATCTTGGATCGTTGTCCTATTAGTTTTGACTTCATTGTTATTGAAAGATAGAATGATTGTAGTATGCCCTTTTTTCTGTTTTATTTCGTTTAGCAAGGATGATTACAGGGAAAATGTAAAGAAAGGAGAAAAAAAGAAGAAATATCTATAAATCTGTATCATTCGAATGGGCAACTTTTTTTCTTTTTTGCCTCACTCCGTTATATAAATCAAAATCAGGTTTTTTCTCTTTTTTTTTTCTCATTAAAAGCGTTTATTTATATGTTATCTCACGAGGGTATACAAGACTTCCAAACAAGGAATAGATGATAAGCGAAAAAAAAAAGGTTATTGCTTCATTTGTATTTGATTAGATTATACATTATGTATGCTTATGTACGCCCTGCAACGTCCGTTAATGAGATTTTTCGGAAGGAAGTAATACGATATATCACTCATTTATACTATAAAACTCACACTCAAGCAGCTGCACATACATTTTAAATCTTTGTCCATATGATGATGCTTACTGTTTTTCGGCTTCCTTCTTTCTAATTTTTAAGCTTGATCTCGCGTGGAGGCTGTGAAGTGACATTTTGCGATTGTTTATTGTAACCTTTTTTTTTTCCCTGTACGTCAGGTGATCCACCTTACACAAAGAACTTTGTTTAGAAGATGTTGATCGAAACGGCTACTGTAGTCACCCACGCACCCATGGTTAATTTGATTTGCCGAGAAAAAAAGACGTCTTTGTTCGCACAACCTAAATTTCTATATCTTTTCTTTTTAGGCCAAATAAAAATTAGGAAAAGTAAGTGTCTTTGTTGTTCAACAGAAGCCCTTTTTGACGTTGAAAAGAAGTAATTATGATGCTTAGAACAAACAAACAAACATACAGACAATCCTTCACTTCAAGTTTTATGTACATATAATATGTATACATATTACAGTTGCAATATTACTTCCAAATGCTCCAATGTTATTTAGAAAAAGTACACTTTCTCAGAACATTGATAATGTCACACACAAAACAGGCATACACACGTCTGCTTTTCGAAAAAAAAAAAAAAAAAAAAAAAAAGGTTGTAAAAAACGATGACGTTTTTAACAAAATGAACACAAATTGTTAGCTGTAAAAAGGTACAATTTGTATTCTTTACCAACTTGTTCGCTTTGTGCAAGTGCCTTGAAGAATTAAAATTATTGATTCTCAGCGACAAAGGAGAAATGTCTCTGTCTCGCTCTCAAACAAGCCTTTTTTAATCGAAAAAAATGAAACGGATACAGAGTGTTGGGGTGACTTCCCCTTCAAATTTGGTCAGCCCTTACATTGTTAAATGACATGATGGTAAGCGTTCTGTTCTGTATCGCTGGAAAAATATTCCTTCTTATAACTTTTGTCACGACTCGACAGTGTCAATTTTGTTCTCTATAGACATGTATATACTATGTCCATCATTACAGTTACACTTTATTTTCATGGTTCTGATTCGTGTTATTTACAGTATTTCCATTCGTCAACGATGCATTATTGCTACTGTTTGTTTCATTACAAACATTTAACCAAGGATGTGCCAGCACTTCTTTGATTGTATATCGCTTTTCTACGTCTCTATTTAACATCTTTCTAATAAGTTCCAACGACCCTACCATGCGAACAACAAAGATAGATTAGGATAACTGTTTTTTTTTCCCCTTGTTTGGTCTTGGCATTGCATTCACTTACCTTCGGATAGAATAAAGGGAATCCGCAGATCATGTTCTAGAATTTCGTCTACATTATAAAATGGGTTTTCTCTATAGATAAGCGTGTATAAGAGGGTGCCTAGGCTCCAGATATCTTGGGGAGGACCTGCATAGGGCATACCCTTCAGTATTTCTGGTGCGCAATAATCCAAGGTTCCACCAAACGTATCGAACGTTCGTCCTTCTCTAAAGTAGGCAGCGCTTCCAAAATCAATCAGATGAACACAGCCTGTTTCGTCCAACAGGATGTTTTCATCCTTTATATCACGATGCACTATCCGTAAACTCTGAATGTGGTCCACGGCCAAGGCCACTTGTCGAAAGATATTCCTGATCTCGTCTTCATTGATATTTTCATTCAATTCGATGTAATCGAAAAGATCCATACTGCTGACGCCGTACAGTTTCATCACGACGTAATAGGTATCTTCATCCTCCATGTAGGTTTCCAAAGCGCAGCAATTGACTTGTGGCTGTTCTTTTAGTTTTTTCAAAATGTGTATTTCAAGTGGTATCAAGCCTAATTGACGGTCTCGGATCCAGGAATCGACAATGATTCTCGACTTGGCTATGCATTTGATCACCACTTTCGTTTGCGTCGGATCATCGATACGGTAAGCCAGTTTCGCTGTACCGTAAGCTCCCTCACCCAATGTCCCGATGATCTGATAAGCATCCAGAGGATGCTGTGGCGTGGTTGTCGGTGGCTGAAGTGGCAAGGAGGAGGATCGTCTTTCAGATGCAGACTGTCCTGCTTCCATGAACTGACTGACGTTAGCTAGCGATTGACTTTCTTGTCGTTTTCTATCTTGGACGCCTTCAGGGAATAAGGCTTTATTTTGATCGACTGCACCAAAAGAGGCGATGCCATAGGGTCTGACGGGTGGTCGTCTTCTCGATTCTGGTTTTGGCATTTCCACTGGTTCGCGTTTTTCAGGAGAAAGATTGTCTTTTTCTTTGTTGTTACTATCTACATGGGGGGTCGATGATGTGAAACGGTTCACTCTATTGATGGTGGGTATAGGTGTCGCTGGAGGTTCGTCCGACAACGGTGTAGTTACAATCGGTGGCGGTAATTGGCGTGGAGCCGCAGAGGGGTTGACCGAACTTAGAGGATGAGACAATTGATCGGAAGCCAAGGTGGCCATCGGTGTCGTTGTGCTGTTCGTTGCGCTATCCCAGTTTTTAGGACGACTAGGCGCTGGGGTGGTCTTTTGAAATTTTTGCTTGACTTGCTGCTGCAGCTGAGCTGCTCGTTTTGCTTTTCTCACCGAATGAATACGATCAAAGGTCACCCATACAGTAATGATATCCTCCTGATCGCTTTTCATCAAACGTAATTGCAAATGCACGTCAAATTTACTGCCGTCACGGTGGATAGCATAAATGATCGGTAGGGTCTGTCCGTTGGCGCTCACGGAGGGTTGACGTTCGAGCGACTTGAGCGATTTGTCGACGGCCATGGATTTGTACTTGTCGACGGCGTAGAAATCCGAAATAACCCATCGACAGGCGTGGTTGTTGACCGTACAGGCGTACTGCAGAAGGTGGCAGCGACGTAAGCCAGCAATGATGTCGGAGAACTGGGGGATGAGCTGGTCAATATTGAATTTCTCGACGAGGGCATCCGGAGCATAACCAAACAGATACTTTGCTGGTACAGGATTGATGCTTTGAATTTTACCGCTGCTGCCATGCACGTTGATCATGCCGGCGATGGAAGGCGAAGAATAGATCTTGATCTTGTGCGGCGTGCTTGCACTCGGGTTGACCATGAGAGGGAAGCAGATCCCTAGTTTGGATCGACCGCCAAAGAACTTGTAGGAATCTGCCGTTCTTTGCAAGTCAGCAGCAGGTGGAGTATCGCTCTTGGTATAAGGTGATAAGGCGGGTATCAATTTGGTGATGGGTTCTCCGAGGATCTCATCGGACTCGTATCCAAAAAGATCTTTCGTTTTTCCTTGAATGTCGCGCACAATGCCCTAATAGATCATTTGGATTATCATTTACATGACGCTATGAGCATGCCAAGTCACTGACTAAGAGAGAACAGCTTGCTAGGGGGGTCTTACCTCATTATCCATTCGAAATGAAAGTGAAATTTCATAAATTTCCTCAAAAATCCAAATGTAAATATTCTTTCCCTCATCTGTCTTTTTCTCTTTCAACCACAATGAAGCGGCAGAAGATTCACCTGTCATTTTAGCAATGGGGACAACCACACCACATACTAATACATGACCCTTATTGGAGGTCTTTGTATTGCTGGTCAATGATATAGGAAGTGACGGTGATGATGAAGACGGGGAGGATGGATGTCCTCTACGTCGAATGATATTACCAATCTGCTTTTTGAATGGCTCTTTCAGCAAGTTTAAAATACATTTGCCGATGTAAAATTTATCGATACCGAAACACAAACTGGCCATATCGTTGAATAATAAAATGGTAGCATCCGCATCGGTGGTTAAGATGGCTTGATTTTGGGGCAAAAACCTGGAAGGAGCATGTAGTGCTCTGGAATATTGTATAAAAGCTGGAAAGACTTCCTCTGTCGTGCCCGAAGGAGTACTGGTAGCAGTCGCAGTAGTCGTAGTAGTAGTAGTCGTTGCATCACGCGGACTCTCATAAATAGGAGGTAAATTGTTGTACACATCAATGGTTTGTCGTCGAGAAAGATGAAAGCCGTCATTATCATCTGCATCATCTGCATCATTTTTTGTATGCGACGAAGCCAAAGGTGAACGAGTAGGGTGTCGTCTGGCGGCGGTAGGAATGGGTGATGACAGAGTAGGGGAGGATGGCATGATAGAATTGTTTAGTGCATTTTTGAAGGTAGGCTTTGGTTGTTGTTGATGGCGTTGATCGTTGAAGGAAGGGTTCAATGGAGAGGGCGGAAAGGCTGAGTTGCCATTGGCAATAGCCGTGGTGGCCATACTCGTTGTTGCGAGTGGCGATGGTGGCGATGAAACGGCGGTTGTGTCCATTTCACGGATGACAGGATATTTATTGAATCGTAGCGTTTCACTGGGTGTTTCGACCCAATCGTTATTTTGGTCCAGCACGCCAATATCCGGCTGTGAGAATCGCCTGCCGGTATCACGCTCGCCTGTTTTCCATCGAATACGCTGCATGTAATCCATTCCACGGCTTAGAATCTGTCTTTTTATTTTGGCTGCTTTATGCACTCGTGAAAGAGGTGTGAAACTGTAGCTATAAAGTGATTCTGCACAATATTCAGCAATGGAATCATTCGGCGGTGGTGGTGATGTGGGTGCTGCTGTAACTGACAGTGGTGGCGTCTGTGTGGATGATGAGGAGGACGATGATGATGTTGAAGTGGATGTTGTTGCTATGGCTCCTGGTGGGGTCGTAGAACAATGTTTATTTTTGTTCCCAGTGAGTATTCTGGTCGCGTCTTCTGCAGAACTTGTACTATTTTCTCGAAAACGCTCAAATCCTTGAACGGCAATTTCATTATTGTTATCATCGCTGTCTGACATTTGTGGAGTAGAATCGTTGCTATCCCTGGAAAGCGAGAAATATTTGTATTTTTTTTTTCGGTTTGATATTCAATCATTGTTGTCTTTTGCTTAGAAAAAAAAAAATACTTTGATTCTTTCAGTCGAGTTACCTTGTGTTCAAATTATCTTCTTTTTGTGAATACAATGGTTGATCTGACTGTTTGACATCTAACATTGTGCGAAAAAGCTGACCATTAGTTAAATGAACGGGGATACGTAGACGCCGATAAAAGAAAGCCAGTGCGGGCAAAGAAAAAAAAAGTGGCAACAGTATGAAGATCAACACCCTCCCTTTCTCCTCTTGAAATAATGAAAATGGTGATACTACTGAACCATTTTACCTTGATTATCTAGTTTTTGAAAACTCATAGGTATATTATAGATATATTAAAAGAGAGTTAATGAAGCCTAGTAATAATAATGAAAAAAAAAAAAAGCTATTTTGATTCGTGAACAAAACCCTTAGTTATCCATCTTTTTTTTTTTCTTTTTTGCATGTTTCGCTTTTTCCCTGCATTGAATAGAAACAAAACCGTCACATTTTTTCATCTGATAAGCATGTCAGTTTATTTTTATTTTTGGAAATGGCACCAGAGAGGAGAGCTTTTTTCTCCATGTGGTTGATTCTTGGAGACTGTTCTGAGACACCTGCTGTCCATAGGAGTAGCAGTGGTATAAAAGATTAACACTAAAGCACTAATTCATATGATTGTCGCGGTCCTCATTTTATCAACCAAATTGGCTGCGTTTGGTCCACGCTTTGGTCCTTCATGAAAATGGCATTCTTTCTGCAGTTTCTAAGTGTCTACATATTATAAACTCACATTATATTTGAACATAATATTCAGACTCATTGGTGCTTTTGCATGTAAAAGTGATAGTTCATTTTTCTTGCTTTAAGCAGGCAAAACTTATTTGGGACACAATTGTTGAAAACACCAAATACAAAATTGAGATAAAATTCCTCATATAAATTACACAAATGATCATAACAAATTGACAAATCAAATAAACGAAACTGAAGACCATTGTTGTATCAGAGGATTCCTTATTGATTGTATTATAAATCTTGATCATCCAGAGAACTCAATCAGGAATAGGAACATCTTCTTATTATCGACTTTCAAGAGGGTACCATTCCAGTTACATCTGCTTGTTTTGCAATATTCACTCTCAATCCGTTCAAAAGCAATCAAGACATTTGTTTGCTATGAATAATTGGTTCATAATATAAACAATTGTATGGATACATGCAGTTCGTTCTCCAATTCAATGTGTTATTAGGGCTATTCATTAGATCTAGTCTTTATTAATAAAGATTAGACAGAGTTTTATGGCTTTGATCAAAGAACAATATACTAGCAAATGGCGAACAGTTGTTTTAATAAGGCTTGCATCATGGTTTAGAATTAGATTGAAATTTTGTTTAAAGCCGACTTCATACGGGAGACTTCTCAATGAAACAGTGGCCAGCTCTGAACGACAGAGGGCATTAAACAGCTCTTGCGTATATGCTGCCAGTAGGACTTCTGGTAGTGTAGCATTTTGTAAAATTTCGGTGAAATCTTTTTGAGAAAGATATTCCTGTATCATTAAAACAACAGTGTTCAAACCGAGGTCCAGAACTCCTAAGCAACCAACCCTTATTACAATATGATTAGTCCCAGAATATGGTCGTACTTTTGAAGACAAAGTAATTTGAGCATCCTATCTGTCTGACGATGGTTTCGCTGCCTGCGACACAATTTCCGCAAGTGATTCGTCTGGGCTGCTAGTGTTGATAATATCGTTGTAACTGCTGTCCATATCAAAAGTGGTATTGTTGTTGTTATAGATGCTGACGTGTTTGGAGAAATAACAACTACAATACTCGAGTATGTACAACCGAGTAGGGAATATACTCCACCACGGTCTATCTATATTGCATCTAATAAAGGTTATGTACAACATCTAATGAAATACAGGCCTAAGTATAATAATCACACATCGAGGATCTGTACCTGAAATTAGTGACTAGCATACGCATCCTCAAATAATATAGTTCTACTTCATCTGAAGAATAATAAAAACACTTGAAGTTCATAGTCATCGACTTATAGCAGTTATCAATTTTAACTAAGCAAATACCACACCGGTTCTAAAAAATTCATCAGTTTAATGAATAAATAAGTAGCAAAGTTTAAATGTAAATTTTTACCTTCAACTTCGACTTTGCTTTTTCAGTCAAGTGAATCAATTTTGCTACAGTCCTGTCAAATACGTCAGCAAACGAAAAGTAATTCAGAGGATCCTGTTCATCTTGCAACGCTTGCTGCAACCGGTTTTTAAAGGCATAGTTCGCTGGCAGACTTGTTATTCTTCTTTGGAATACTGTCTTTGGTATAATTTTTTAAGAATCCAAGCAAAGAAGAAAAGAAACTCAGTTGGAAAAACACTGTACCTTGTTTTTTAAATGACAAAAAGGCATGTTTGTCCTCCGAGGCTTGTACGCTTCAGCTAATTTATACGTGCATACAACCTGTCGAAACTCCTTATGTACGACAACTGATATAAACTTGATATTCTGTAAACAAGCTTATGTGGACCACTTCCCCCTAGTGTTACAGTTTATGGAAAACCTTTCCTTTTATGCCTCCTCGCATTTCATGTGGAGAAACTACACATATGCTATGGTTCCGTATGAGTGCGCTTAAGAGCATCCGTGATGTATGGCTAAATTGAAAGAGTGGGTAAAGCTAATGATTTCTGTGCAAGTAAAATCTAATTATTTCTAACCATAATCAAAAGAAAAACAATGAAACCGTGAATAAGAAGTCTCATTGTATACGCGTATCGTCTAATGTTTACGCTATTTGCACCAATTACATGCACTCGTTTACCAAGATAATAGAACAATTGACAAAAGCAACTGTCAAGGAGTCAGGAGCCCCAAGCCCTGTTTAAGAATGTAAAAATACACACTCATCCTTGTAGTCATATCTGCAGTAATCTTCTGATGACCCGCTAGTAAGACATTCACACGGAAACGTCAATTTTAAAACTCGCTACTATTTTCAAATGCTGCGCCCAAGAAACTCTAACTATACTCAAAGCGAACGAACAAAATAGATTGGGATCCTCATTCCTGCAATGCACGTAAAATATCTTTTTAGGGCTGCAATCAATTGTCGTACATGTAAATTTGGGCAAACTAGTGGATATAAACTAAGAACACCCCATTGGCGCTATTAAAAAAACTCTGTGGTTGGAAAGTACTTTCACGTGAGAGAAAGAGATGGAGAAAAAACAATGGTTAACGAGATTGGTAAACATCTACGCTTTCAACATCAGCAGTAGGTTTAGACAGCCTCGTCCCCTTTGCAAGCTATTCACGATTCCCACTTGTCTCCACATGCTTCTACTTGTGCTGCTTTACTTGTGCTGCTTGATTAGTATGTCGCTGCCTCTCCTAGAACGTTGGGATTAGAGATGCAAAGACGTCCTCTATCTTTCTCCTCTCTCTTTTCGCCTATGAAGGAGTTTAGTATTGCGCTCGATATAGTTTACATTATTCAATGATGAACGCTTTCTTTCCAGTCTAGGGTTATACTTAGCCATTGGCCCGTCTCTTATGATAGCTACCTTGAGGGGCAAGATTTTCATGATGTTCTCTGGCTGCTCTTGCTATCAACCCGTTAAATTCTCGAATATTGAAGTCATAAATACTATGTATGAAGCGAATCCTCAGTTGATCATCCAAGTTCTACTTGAGGTGAAGACCCTTTCAAAATAAAAATACATTTTCAAATTTGTTTGAAAGTTACACTATAGTTTTCAAGCGTCTTTTATAAAATCACTTTACGCACCTTCTCCCGCCTCCTTCTCCCACTTGTTTTAATATTTCAAATGAGCATTCTTGCGTAGACAGTTTATGAAGTTGGGAAAGGGAGACTGCGAATTGCACAAGATAATAATGGAGATTGACGGTATGAGAGTTCAAGTGAAGATTTTGATTATGAGGGATCAGTATTCGTTTCGTCCACCTATTGTTCATATGAGTTCGCAAACAAACCTTATCAAGGGTACTGTGCTGGTCAAGGAGAAGAAAAAGTATACCAGCTATTCAGATCATAAGAAGAAGAACTTCATTTTTGCGTATGCTAGCCAAAGAATTGTAAAAATATTGAGAATTAATAGTTTATACACGAACAAGTTCAATACTGATAATATCAGTACAAAAATCCGGCATCGTTCTATTTTCTTCAAAATAAAAACACGAACGATCGCAGAACAATACATGAAGAGCATCAAGACTTTATGATGGTATTGCTAGACAAGATTTCCCCCTACACATGTTGATCAGGGGTTTGGAGCAACTGATAAGTATGAAGGACTAGACAATGGAAAGTTAGCAGTCTTCGACTTCATTACAAAAGGTATGGGGTTGACTCTAAAGGAGCAAGAGCTTGAAAGAAATGATGAAGGTACGCCATTCGGTCAAGGTGGGTTTGGACAGAAAAGCCGCCGATTCAGTTATAGATCTTCTCGAACTGTGTATTCATTGAAGAATCAGACTCTCATGTAAAGTGGAAGTGTGGAGAGGCTTGGACTTCAAAGGGAGAGGTGTCCATCTGTGAAGGTTGAATCCCAGGGCTGTCTCCCATACCCTATTGAGTACAGTCTTAATTTATGCAGTTTACAAATTTAGGTCTGTGGATACAACGTTGACAGACATAAATATTCTGACGCTCAAAAAATGGTTAAAAGCGAGGCTATAAGTGTGTACATTGACTTCCCTTTACTCTTGAGTTAGATCCTAATGTATCATTCTGTTCGGTTGTCAAAATTGAAAATGAAGAGGGATGACATTTTTCAAAGAAGAAACAAAATAATGGAGAAATAACCTTTAGAATGAGTATGATTAATTTGTATTATTTACTTTTAATAAGTTCAAAAAGTAAAAGTACAAACTTTATCTATAAAAAATGAAGGATTGCTGAGCTTACTTTTCATGATGATTAAGACAATAGACCAGAATTTTTAACCAAACTCTCTGCCAAAATATGAATTGAATAAATGCCCTTTGAAAAATCCAAAATGCCTGCCACATTTGATTAATTTACTCCAAAATTATATCATAATCTCTGCCATACGTAAACTAAAAGTTTGCCAAAAAACTGCCGCAAAATCCGGAATAAAGGTTTTGCTATTCTATTTAAAATAAACATATTACCTGCGTGATACATTTCGATGTGGATTCTTGAGATATGTATGTCTATCTCTATGTATGTGTGCGTGTCATACGTCAGTTGATGGCAAATGAGCTAACCAAATGTTCACAACGTGTCAAATTCAAAATTCGTTCTTGTCTTTCTTTTTTTTTTAGTCATGCTTTACTACAGTTTTACCTTGTCCTTCAATGCGGGCAATGTTACAGTGCACATTACACGTCTACTTTTTCCTTTTCCTAAACAACCATTGTTTCCATGGTGCATAACTGTTTGGTAATGAAAACCCCGTCTCCAAGGGTAAGCTGGTCTAAAAAGTAAAATCTAAAAATAAAGTAAAAAAGGATAAAATCTAAAAATTGATTGTCTCATATCCTTTTTTAGGGAAAAAAGTAAGTTAGAAGGGGGGGGGTGGGATAGATGGGCTGTCAAACTTAAGTTTGTTATATAATATATGAGTGTGCACGCACGCGTGTATGTGGGTATGTATATGTGTAATGCAATTGTGGTGTGTGCACTCAATAAAGTAATGTTTTCTCTTTTTCTCTCTTTTTTTTTTTTGTTTTTGACGCACGTTTTTTAGCATCATATTGATTTCATTAATGGACCGTGTCTTTCAAAAACGCCTGTTTTTTTTTGGTTGCCTATTTCATTCATGTAAAGGGAAAGTATAGCTTACGTCTTGGCATGATTCAGACTACGTTTCCATTCAATGAGATAAAGCAGGCTATCAACGCGTACCCGGATTTTCCCTGCTTTAAAAGAGAAAAGGAGATGTCGTCAGGCCGCGCTCTGTTTCTCCATCCGCTTGTCTCTTTTCGTGTGATATCCTTTTCATGCTGTATTGTGTAAAAAGTCAAACAGAAAAGCTGGGTGTGTGCCTACAAAAAAAGTCAAACATGGAACTGCTGGGAGTGAATCTACTTCTAGAGGGTCAAACAGGCCGTCATGGACACGTAGTTGGTATATTAACGATCAGGAGATATTATTTTGATCGTACTTTTTTTTCTTTCTTTTTATCACGACGGAAACTTATTCCATGATTGGGTAGCGCGCGTTGGATAGAGCAATTCAAGAACCTCTCAATCCCATATTAAGCACACACGCACACTTTTTCTCTTTCTCCTTTTCACATTATCCACACTTCTCCGCTCCCAATAACAGATATTGGTGTCATGAGTAGCCAACAGAGATTGGCCGTTTATGTTTACTATTACCATTCACTTAAAACGGGGAACTTGAAAGTGTTTAAACACCATAAACAGACAATTGTGTAAAAAAAAAAAAAAATTAGAATAGCCAATGATGATTTTGCACACTTTTCTGCCAATCAGATTCGTTTTTTGGGGGATAGCCCATCTGATTTTTGCCATTCTTGATTTGGATAACAAATAAAAAAGCCTTCATGTTTATTTCGTTTCCCGACGCTAAGACAACTGTTTGTATCAGTCAACATTATGTTGCAAATCTACGTCATGCTTCTCTTGGAAACGATGATACTGTGCGGCGGTGATGTGCACCTCTCGTATTGCTGCGAGAAAAGGGCCTTTCAGAAATGCTTTTTGTTTTTTCAGAGTGCACCCGTTCATACAAGCTGAGACCTGGATAGAATAATCATAGCAATTTGAGTATGTATGCATATGTAAGATATATACTATCTCCAAATTGAGCTTAGTCATACGCTTTTTTTTTTTTTGAAAATAATCCTTTGTTTTTGGACAAATAGATCCCACATACACTTGGTTTCATTACATGACGACACCAGCCAAGTCTCCATTTTCGCTCGTTCACGAGTTGTTGATCCCATAGGACGGATCTTTCTTTTATAAGACGAGGAGATTTAAAACAAAAAAAAGGTCCCCTCAGCTTCCTCTTCTTTCCCTTTTTACTAAAGGAGTTACGTCGCCCTCTCTTATGATTCAACTTACTGCCGCCATATGCACAACCAGCATGCTATTGCTGCTAGTGACTTTCTTTTGCTTTTTCCTTTCGTGCCCTCCCGTTTCTTTTATCAGGTATCAGAAATTCGTCCAATAGAGATACATTTAAAAACTTTTTGAACAATCCAATGTCCATTAATGAAGAAATCAAATGGTTTACCCTTCACGATTCCCGTTGGTTGGATTCTTTGTCAATATCGATGCTGAGAATCAAACAAGGTACCGTTCTCATTGATAATCAACATTCCTGAATATAACATACAAGAATGAAAAGATAAAGAAAGACGGAAAAAAGGTGCTGTATATACAAATAGATAACCATGGACTGTGTGCATAGTGACAAAACTCCGAACAATTTAGTTTTTGCATAGGATGGTCTGTGCACACAGATCGTCGTCATACAGTTTTACCATGTACGACTTGTAACCGTAGCAAAAAAAAAAAAAAAAAAAAAAGAAAAAAAAAGCCAATGTTGGTTACTAATCCTCGGGATAGACAACTGTATCTTTTAGCCTGATCGCAGTCAATGATTGAAAAGCGCTCTTGTCTTATTAGATTTGAATTACTTGGAAATTGAACTGATTTTGAAACATCTGAAACTTCAGTTACCTGAATTTTAAATAGCCAAAAATAGGAACAGTTCAACAAAGAAAAAAGACAGCAGCTAGACGACACCGGGAGAGAGGGGAAAACTCATATAAAAAGGCCAAATTTTTTTTGGGTAACTTTCTTTGTTGAAAGATATCTTTTTTCATAAATCCTTTTCTTCATCATGCGTTTCTCCTCTATTGTCGTTACTTTTTCTTTGGTCGCTTCTGCCTTTGCTTTCCCCGCTCAAAAGGTAAGTGAATGAGAGATAGATGAGATCGTGTCTTCCAGCTTGTGACTCATAGATCCGTTATACGTGTTGTATAGAGAGGTGATTTGCCTACTGGTGACAATGTTGAAGATGGTGTCTATACCTCTTGTAACAGATCGGGTGTTTTTGCTTTCACCTTTGATGATGGACCCAACGAATGGTCTTGGGAATTGGCCAAGACCCTCCATGAACAAGGTGTGAAAGCTACCTTTTTCTTGAATGGCAATAACTGGGTGTAAGTTTGTTTTTGTTTTTTTTCGTTTATTGACAAGGGAAGAGTTTATGATGACTTGTGTGATGCTTATAATGATTACTATTTTTCTTTTAGTAACGTTGAAAAGGATACCCTTAAAACCTCTGATGGTGAAAAGACCTATATGGACGTGATCAAGCACTACAAGGATATGGGTCACCAACTTGCCAGCCACACCTACGAACACAGACAAATCATCGGTCTCAAAGAAGCCGACCTCGATTTCCAAATGAACAAAGAATCCGATATTATCTACAAGGCCGCTGGTGTCAGACCCGCTGTGATGCGTCCTCCTACCGGTTCTTATGATAAGAATTCTTTGGAAATCTTAAAGAAGCTTGGTTATTCTGCTGTCAACTGGGATATTGATACCTTGGATTGGCAAACACACGACTTTGATTATGAAACCAATGCCTATAAGCAAGTGATGGATGCCGATACCGATGATTCTCTTGGTCACATTGCTTTAGAACACGAAGTATATGAACAAACCGTCAAGCAATTAGTTCCTTGGGTTATCAAGTATGTCAAGTCTAAGGGTTATGAATTTGTGACCGTGGCAGACTGTATTGGTGTCGAACCTTACCAATAGATGTATATATACATATCATACATACATACTCATATCATCATTATCACCCACACGCATCTCAGTCGCGCTTTGTCTCTGTCTCTCCTTCCTTATGACACGCGATCTTTTTTTGTAATTTTTAATACTTTTGCCACTGAGCAACCGTTTCCTTATTCTTATTTTTGTCTGTTCTTTTTCTACAATGTAATTATCATGTTTGTTAATAAATGTTCTGCATTTTTCTTGGAAGCTGTTTTCAGAAAGTCGACTCAACAAATATCGAATAGTTTACATGAAAAAGGTCCGTTTCCCGTCTTTTTTTTTTTTTTGAAAAGCGATCTGTGCGTTAAAAAAGACAGCACGGTGTAACATTCTAGACCCACATTCGGTTTTGCGCGCTTGGTCGGTGGTTTCTTTTTTTGGAGGTTTTTTTTTTCGACAAACCACCCTGTGCCTTCAAGCAAAGGAATACATCTTGTGATTTTTTAACGAAAAACGCGTCGTATAGATCTTTCTGGTTTTGATTGTTCTCTCACAGTTACTCGTCACGTCATCAGTATGCCGTCTAAAAATATCAATTGAACGTTCTAATTTTAGCTCCAGAGAGATCTCCCCTTTGATACCAGGAAATCAGTCATTGGCTACCAATTCATTGTCCTTTACCACCGCACGTCTTTTCTGTTCTCGAACATTCTTTTTTTTTTTCCTCACTGCAAACGCTTCCACTTGGGTTGACACTTTCAATGTTATCATTAATAATTACGCCTAGGTGGCCCACATTGTATGGAAACATCACTAACCAACAGCGTCTGTCTACCTTATTTATTAGGGAAAAGTGTCTTTATTCTATAAAAAAGTTTTCCATAAAAAAGATTCCGTTTTATTCTCAGTATTTTTGTTTCCCACTCTTTGGTTTTGACAACAGCAAATTCCTCCATTTGCCATATCCCGAATGGCATGAGAATGGGAAATGGTCTTTCTATTTTTAGCAACATGGATATCATCATCTTTTTAACAGCGAAGTTTTCTCGTCATTTTGCAGGAGCTCATTGACAACCTTTTTAAAAAGAAAGTGAGTGATTGTATTGTACCATGAATTTGCGTTACACAAAAAGGAGAGAGAAAAAAGCAGTGGTCAAAGGAAAACTGAAATTCGCATAAATGTTGGTTATTGGCATCCGATGTTGGCTTATCCCGCAAATCGCTATAGAAAAAAGAGCATAGATTTCACTTGCATTTCAGGTGATGGATCTGTAATGCCTCTCCTCTCTTTTATCGCACTTTTTCCCGCTTGAACGGGAAACTGTATTCAGCAGAGTCTCTTCTTCTTTGTAATAGGAAAGTTTTCTATCTGTCTCCCGGATCTCTTTGAAAAAAGAAAAACCAAGGGAACTTAAAATTTTTCTTTTCACCAGGATTACAGTATTTTAGGTTTCATAAGAGACGATTTCGAAAATTTTGTGGACGAAGTTGGTACCTTAATTGGGACGTTTCTTTTTTTTTAGTGGACTATAGATTTTTGATTTTAGACGAACTGGGCTTTTACGGTAGACGAAATATTTTGAGTAGATTTCGTTTGCTTTAAAATAAACACATCCCTGCAACATGAATTACATAAATTATAATCCTGCAAGTGAGCCTATGCTTTCCGAAAATACTTTTGCTATGGACTTGGATGAAATTGCTGTTACTTTCGGGCAAATGGAGAAGATCGTCGACTATGATGAAATGCAGCGGCGCCCTGTAGTCGATGATGCGAAAATGGAAGAAGCTGTTGAAGAATTAACAACAGAATTCAGCACTGTCGCATTAACGGATAAGTCCAAGAAGCGCAAGCAATATAGTGAGCACAGCATTAGACGGTTGATTCACTTAATCCAAGAGGCTGGGCTTACAGTTCCCAAAGCTGCGGTTGAGTGTGACATTCCGAGGTTCACCGCTTATAAGTTTTCAGATCAGTGGAATGTTAGTGATGGTACAGTCCTTCCTGGTAGCAAGCCAAGAACCGGCATCTCTCGACCAAAGAAGCTTTTTGCAGAACATACTGAGTTTCTTATAGCATTATTTGATGCGAGACCTTTGACAACAATTCAAGCTGCAAGACAGGAGCTCTGTGCGAAATTTGAAGGTTTGAGTAGACGTCTCAAAAATCTGGTTTGTACTGTCCATTCATATGGCAGCTTTGTTTAAATCCAACGCTAAATTACTGTATCGGATCAAATTTTTCAATATCTGCGTATTTTTTAAATGTGACATTAAACGCGTAAATCATACTGTTATTATAAATGTTGTTAAACGAAATGTTATGTTGCCAAAATTTAGTGATCATTCTTATCTTTCACCTTTTTCAATTATTTTCTTCTCTTCTTCTTTTCTTTCACTTCATTACCTTCAAACCAACGTCATTTTCTACACACATGTACAAGACAATCATCATAGATAAAATCAATTCAGTGAAAGAAAATTATACCAAGAAGGAAAATCCGTCCGGTAATGGCATATCACTATACAGTGTGTAGTTTGAGACATTAGTAACCTTATTGTACACTTTTCAGAGCATACCAAATGTAAGGACTGTAATGATTTGGGTCACTTTAATAAAAATTACCCGGGATGCAAGTACCATAAAGCTATATCCGCCGATGATGGTAAGTTGAGCCTCGACCTGCCTTTAGCCACACAAGCCAAGTAATAGACCATATCTTCCACATATAGTTGGGACTCGCAATAAGAAGAGAAAACAGAGCGCCAGTGTTAAAGCAGAGAAGAAAGCAGTGAAAAAGAAGAGAACAGCATCACAGGCTGTAGAGTGTTCCAGTTGTGGGAATGATGACCATGCTTCTCCTCGTTCGCCTCTTTGTCCTAATCACATACAATCAAAGGACGAGGCCATTTCATCTGTCCTTGGCCATGATTCTACTGTTTTTGCAAGGAAGCTTCCTATCGACAGTGCCGTTTTACCACAGTTTCGTGAAAAGTTCAAGGAAAAGGTCATCTCCTGCTGCAAGGTCATCAGAGCTATAGTGTTTCGCTGCCAGCTATTTGTTAATGCCTACCTCGTGCATAATAAGAATGCCATTCCTTCAGAAGTCTTCACACAGCAATTTTGGTATTCTGTTGGACAACTCGTTACGGGCAAAAAGGTTACTCACAAGAAGGCGCTGAACGACGACATCAAAAATTATTTTGATGACTTTAAGGAAAAGCATCCGACAATAGTAATCAGTCAGAGTTTCACTAAAGGTTACAGCCACTGTCTCACAGAAGCCGCCAAGGAGATAAGCGTTTCGTATACTAACTCTATTGTTGAGCTTTTTGAACAACGAGTGCTTAAATATCTAACCTATAAGCTGCAAAACATGTTTGTTGTGCGTATTGTTATCACTACTATAATTTCGATTTCTTAGTTTCTAACCATTTGTATTTGCTTTATAATAATCAGAGCATGAAGAAGACCGACGCAGTGGAAATATCAAAAGAATACTGCTACCAAGTAATTTGCAAAGGCGAACCCAACTGGCCTGATAGAATCATGCTTAGTAAAGAAGACAAAAGCAAGATAGAGATGCTATGCAAAAGCTTTGAGAAACTTATAACGGAAAAGGTTACGCTGCTTTCCTTATCATCCGATCCCGCCAAGTTTACCAAAGCATTATGGCACATCCTATCCTCGTATGAAAAGGAACATGACGAACATGCAGCTTACGATGTCCGTAGATTACCGTTACCGAAGCGCTTCTTCCCTTTCCCTCTGCCTTCGCTCCATTGGCGTTTCATCTCCATAAGCGTCAACTCGCTCCTTCCATTCATGTTTCCCGGTACAGCTCCGAAAGGCTATACAAATCAACTCGAAAAGTTTTATCAAGTGTTCAGCTTTAAGAAGATGGGATTTGATAGGTAAAAAAAAAAAAAAAAAAAAAAAAAAAAAAAAAAAAAAAAAGGTTTGGCAGAAATGTTGTCATTAGTATTTACTGAATTTCATTTTTTGTGACAACAGTTTGAATGACCTCAAGACAAGCCAAGAGACCCTATTCCGTAATATCGTCCGCTCGGATGGCTTCACTGTCGACTTTATTTTTAGTAAGAAGAGGAAATCAAAAGAAGAGAAAACCATCGAAGACCATCGGTTGACTTTGGAAGATTTTGATTATGCCGAAGTCGAATCTGGTTATAGACCCTGCTTCATTGATCCTGGTAGAAGAGACGTTTTCACAGCAGCAATTGGGATAGACGTAACGAAGCACCAGGTGCGAAGCTGTTCTACCAAAGAATACTACCATATGACTGGTAGCACCAGGTACTCTGCAAGGCTAGAGAAGAAGAAAGCTGGTACCATAAAGAACATCGAAAGTGATATACCAACTGCCAAGACAGGCTCCAAAGCCCAATATCACTGTTATGCAGCATACATCCTACAGCACTTGGAAGTCTTGTTTTCTTTCTACGGTGATGACACTGCCAAAGATCGATTTCATTTATACCAAGGACGGAAACGTGCAGCAGCCAAAATGGTAAATATGCTAGTTAATGGCAGTACAAAGTATAATGGGGATCTCAGATTGAAGAAGAGAGAAGAAAAAGAAAAGAAGGGTTCAAAGAAGAAGAACAATGGCAAGGCGGTTTCTCAGAAAAGAAGAAAAAAGAAGAAGAAAGGAGCACCAGAGAAAAAGAGTATAAAAGAAGGGACGCCAGAAGTTAAAATGGAATTAGATAAGAAAGATAGGTAAAGTTCATAAGCAATCATCATCAACAACTTATAGAAAGTAACATGTTTTTTGTAATAGTAGTTCAAATGCCAAATGGAGGCCCCAACCTTTCAGTGTCGGTGATGTCAAAAAAGTGCCTCTCATTGTATTTGGTAATGGTATGTTCGCTAAAGACAATGTCGCATTGAAGGGTCACCGATGTGGAACGGTGGGTGTTTTGTGGCGTGCACTAAAGCGACGTGAAGCAAGCGGAGACTTGGTAGTACTTGAAATTGATGAATACAAGACATCCAGAATATGCTCCTGCTGTTCGAACGATACTTTGGAGAGGTTGAAAGGCGTTGAGACTTGCAGTATACTTGTTTGTAAGACATGCCATATACTGTGGAATCGAGACGTCAATGCTGCTAAGAATATGATGAAAATTAGTTGTGCTATTTGGAAGGCTTTAGGAAGGCCAAAAGAATTCACGCGGACAAAAATATAAAATCTTCCTCTCCCTCAACATCGCTGGAACGAACCCAGTTTGATAATTACAGGTAAAAAGAATGAAAACCTTATACTTTCTAGTGTTGTGCAAACTGTCTAACATTTTATTCTTAACGGTCTACTATTATCTTACATCCGCTTAAACTTAATTTCCTTATCGTCTAAAAATTTTGTGTGTGTTGTCCAAATCTAAAGTTAATAAACTGTAGTATGAATAAAAACTCTCACTTGTTGCTGGATATGAAAGGCCTCTCTCCATTGGTGTAGAGAAGCGTTATTTTTAAACAGGTTTAAAAATAGTCTTTTACGTAGAATGTCATTTGAATTTCCGCCAAGAAGACATAGACTTTAGCTAAACGTAGTGGCTAATGAAAGAATAAAAAAGCTGCTGTCCTTTTTAAATCATAAATAAGGTCACAACGTAGAATACGGATGAGAAATATAGAACTGTTTTCTTGCACGTGTGTCTGTATACAGGACAAGAAGCATAACCTCTATAAAGAGGCAAAAATACACAGTTATCGACACGTGTCAAAAAAAAAGATCAACAATGGATTATCTACGTCTATGTAAATTCCTCAAAGACGCATCTTATCATCTCACCGGCTATAAGCTTGATTTCCCTGACGCTGTCAAGCAACTATTAATAGTGCGATGACCCCTTTTATCTAGAGTCCTACGTGAACTCTCTTAGAATGGAGGGTGGATCGTATTGATGTCGACATGATAGATATATAAGTAAGAATGAAACTTATTAGTTTATTTGTATAAAAATAGGTCACTGTTTTTAACCTTTGTTTGGTGATTTTTGTTTACAAATCGCTGTAGTATGGCTCAGCAAGCAACTCGTTTCCTGTACAGGATGCATTTCACAAGCCGCGTTCCTTTGGATGTTTGGGTTTTTAAATAGGCGCTGTGAGATTAGTAAACAAAGAGTAAAAATAAACATCTCCACGTAGACACAGAAAGAGATATAAAGAGACGTACTTTTGGTCTTTCTTTTCCTCTTCATTCCTGCTTTTTTCCAAACCAAAAAGATTACAAACATGCATACCTCTGCTTTAATTCTCAGTCTTTTTGCGGCTATGGCTTTCGTCTCCGCGAAACCTCACGGAGTCAAGACTTACTCTAGCTGTAAGAAACCAGGTACCTTTGCTTTGACTTTTGACGATGGACCTTACAAATACTCTTGGGATCTCGCTGAATACTTGCATAAGGAAGGTATCAGAGCTACTTTCTTCACCAATGGTCTCAATGCTGTGTAAGTATAAACAAATGTTTGATAATCAAAAAAGAAATGGCTGTTCGTTCTCACCGCGTTTACGATAGTGATGTCCTTCACGATAAGATCAAGACAAAGGACGGTAAAAAGACTTACTTGGAACTTCTCCAACACCACGTCGATATGGGTCATGAAGTAGGTAGCCACACCTACGAACACAAAGATCTTGAAGGTCTCTCTGAAGACAAGGTCGCCGAGCAACTCGATAAGCAATCCGATATCATTCATAAAGCTATTGGTAAGCGTCCTCGTTTGTTCAGACCTCCTGAAGGTGTCTACGATGCTGTGGCCGAAAAGCTTCTCAAAGAACGTGGTTATGTCAACGTTTTATGGGACGTGGATACCAAGGATTGGAAGTTGAAGGGTCTCAAGTACTCTCAAGACCGTGTCATGAAGGCCCTCCACAAGAAAGATGCAAAGAGAAACGGTCATATCTGTCTTGAGCACGATATTCATAAGCCCACAGTTGAAGAACTTATTCCTTGGTTGATCAAATACGTCAGAGATCAAGGTTATGAATTTGTTCCTATCTCTGAATGTATCGGTGAAGAACCCTACCAATAATTTCTTTCGCCCTTTTCTTCCTTATCAGCAATAGCAGGTCTATCATTTACCAACCCATTCATCATCATCTTGATTACCTTCTGTCATTCTATACTCGCCCATACCACCCTCCTATTCATCTTTTTTGTACGTAAAAAAGACATATTCCCTTCACCATGCCTATCCCATCTTTGCGCAAGTTCACTGTAAAAGCTTCATTGTATAAATCATAGTAAAAAAAACAAACAATACATATAAGGCTAAACTAACTATGTAACGTGTAGTTTACTGTACTTTTTGTTATCAGTCATACCTACTACGGTTCTGTTGATGAGAAACAAAAAAAAAAAAAAAAACATACACACACACACACACACACATAAAAAAGGAACAGCAAAACGTGTATGCAGCTCTTTAGGAAAATGGACCACCCAACCAATTTGGAATCTTTTTTATCTTTTGTTGAAACCGAGACAGGCAGCAGTAGTAAAATAGATGCTGGCTATCTTTTTTCTTTTCCGGCGAAAGACCAAAGCACAAAAAGGGATAGATCGGTTTCACTCTTCTTGGATGAGACTTCCACATCGCTTACTTGTTTGTTTCAACAAACACACTGTATTTGTTCTGTTAAACAGGCTCTTTTTGTATAAATAAGAGATAGCGGATCATGAAAAAGATGGGTGCGCTTATAGCTCATATCAACACTAGGTGCTTATTCAATTTCGCATTCTCAGTAAAGATGATTTAGTCCGAGGAAGAATTCGTAAACAAGCGTCTCCAGCTCCCTCTTGTAAAAGAAATCAACACGGATTTGACATGACCATGGTTAATGCCAAATATTCATTGATTAAAAGTTATAACCCCTTCCCCCTCTCTCAAACACACACACACACACAAGCATACGTACAATATTTCAAAAAGAAAGTGTCCCAATCTTCAAATAAAGCTTTCTTGAAATGTGCCTGACTTTACACCAAAGCGTCGCAAAATGAAGACAATTGCTTCTGTACATCACGTATTTGGTGGTGGTAGGATAGGGGAGGGGGTTCCCTGCCAATTAAACATTAAAAAAGTTTAAAATGCGAAAGCAACCTACAACACATGGAATAGAAAATAATAAAAACTTATCATTCAATACATGTACAGACATTGTCTACATGCTTTAACAGATGCAATACACTCTATAGTGACATTTCAAAACGGAAAGGCTTTTATAACGCTGATAAAAGTAGCAAGTGATGGAGTAACAACAACAACAGCATAATCCTCTATCCCATTGTTTAGCTATGTATACACACTTTGAGAATAAAAGTTCTATCTCACACACTTTTGTCCTAGACCTCATCAAATTGACTCGTTTCTCGTTTTATCAATAAGTTGACCCTCGATTACAGTTTCGAGCTATGATAATATTACTTTACATATTTTCATTAAGGGACTCCCACATCCGTAGTACTGTTTGTCCAAACAATGCACGTTCATCATAGTCGGTTACTTTCACGTCATCAACCAATTCTACTTTTACGGTGTGAATCATGCACTCATCCGTGTCTTAAGCTCTCTTTTCTTCATTCCTTCTTATTGGCAACTCAAATCTCTAAATAATGTCCGATAACTCTATACGATAGAACCCTTGTAGAAGGGAGAAGGCTATTTACGCACACAGACATGTGGCGAAAAAAATACCATCTAGGCACAGAAAATGTCCAGAATCTTTTCTATGCTGATTTGGCTAAACTCACAAAAATGCCGCTGATGCAATCTCTCTCTCTCTCTCTCTCTCTCTCTCTCTCTCTCTCTCTCTCTCTACTGTCTCTATCTCTGTCTCTAACTCTCTGAGTTTCTTACTTTCTCTTTTGATCTCATGCATAGGATAATTTCAACAAATAAACACAAGAAATCTCTCTTTTCTCCTTTCATATTTTAAAGTACAATAAAGGGCCTCCTAAAAAATGCTTAGGATAAAAACCGATGAGATGAATTATTTGACCTATTAAATGTGTATAGTCCTTCATTCACTCTCTTTTTTTTAATCTTCATCTTTTGTGCTTTCCTTACCATTGCCCTTTTGATCCATATTACACATCATGAAGATAACAGCCACCGTCTTGCTGTTGGCATATACTGCGGGTACAGTGCTTGCTTTGAACCCAATTGTTATCAAAGGCACAAAATTTTTCGACTCTGTCACCAAAGATCAGTTCTTTATCAAAGGGTATCATAAGAAAAAGACAGTGGAAGGAAGGATTCCAACCGTCAATAGCTGATGGGCACTGACTTGTTTTTTTTTTCTTAGTGTGGCCTATCAGCCTCGAGGAAATATAAAAGAAGCAACAATGGATCCTCTAGCAGATGCAGCTGCTTGTGCAAGAGATGCGCCATTAATGGCTAGACTAGGGACCAACGTTGTTCGTGTCTACGAGGTAAATCGATAGAACGTATTTCCTTATTCATTACCCCCACTGTACCAACCCTCTTTCTTTCTCTTTTTCTCTGTATCTTTTCTCTCTCTCATGATATCTCCTTTAGGTCGATCCCCGAAAGAACCACGACGCGTGTATGAAATCATTTTCAAGTGCTGGCATTTACTTGTTATTGGATATAGCTACACCTCAGAACTCAATCAACCGAAACCAACCAGAATACGGTGTGCAACTTTATAACGCCTACAAACTGACGGTAGATGCCTTTTCTCGATACGACAATGTCATTGGTTTTATTGCAGGCAATGAAGTGACAAACGACAAAACCAATACGGTCGCGTCCGCTTACGTGAAAGCCGCCCTTCGTGATATCAAAGCCTACATCAAAACTACAAAGTCCCGAGCCATTCCAGTAGGTTATGCAAGTAACGACGATGAATTTATCCGTGATGCTATCAAGGATTATTTTGCTTGTGGTGACGAAGAGAGTCAAGTAAACGAAAAAAAAAAAAAAAAAAAGTACACTAAACATGTTTCATTATGGAAAAACTCATTCCTCTCTGTCCGTCCACCCTCATAGGCTGACTTTTATGGTATGAATTTATATGAATGGTGCGGTGAATCCTCTTTTGAAAAATCAGGCTTCAAGGAAAGAACACAAGAATTTTCAACATACAACAAACCTGTCTTTCTCTCGGAATATGGCTGTAACCTGGTGACGCCTCGCCCCTTTTCCGAAGTGGCCGCTATTTACGGCCCTGACATGACGAATGTCTGGTCTGGCGGCGTCGTCTACGAATGGACGCAAGAGAACAACCGATATGGTTTGGTAAAGATATCCGACAACGGGGCAGCCGAAGTGCTGACCGATTACAAGTACCTGAAAGCCCAAATCGATCAAATCAGGCCAGTCGGCGTCAAGATGGACCAATACAACGAGCAAAGACAAGCACCCGACTGTCCTGCCCAGACCGAGAACTGGAAAGCGTCTGTTCAATTGCCACCCACGCCTTCCGAAGGTGCATGCGAATGCATGGTGCAGAATTTGAATTGTGTGGCGTCTGACAAGATTGCCAACACGGCTGCTGTGGGCAGCAGTGGTGTCGTGACCAGCAGTAGTGTTAACAGTACCCTGGGCGGCCAATTAGATACCATGTGCGGTTTGGTGTCCTGCCAAGACATAGCAGGCGACGGCGAGAAGGGTGTCTATGGCGCCTTTTCCTTCTGTTCACCAAGAGACAAACTTAGCTGGCTGTATAACCTCAAGGCAAAAGAATTGATGAAGACACAGCCAAAGACAGCTTGTTACTACAACGGTTTTGGCCAAGAGATTTATCCCAAGCGCAATGATCTCGCCACTTGCGCTCATGTGGCACCCAACTTGAGTGGTGTGTTGGATAATAAAGCAAATCCCTCAGATGCTCATTCTGTCGCATCCAGTGCCTACAACCCATTCACCTCTGCACATTATGGAGACGCTTTCGTGGCTTCCATTATTTGTCTTCTTGCTGCCATATTTTTCATGTAATTAGATCATCTATTTTATTTCTTTATTTTTCTATAGAATAAAAAAAAAAAAAAAAAAAGGAACTGCATACCTTATTCTCATCATCGTTATCTTATGATACGTCAGTCTAGGTCACTCTTTTCTTTATTAGTATAGGCAGGGGAAAAAAAGGAATAGATCGCAAAGCTTCGAGGGACCAAATTGCTTTGAATGACAACGTACCCACTAAACCAAAATAGGTGCCATTTCCATAGCAATGAGAAGCCCAGGTAAATCCTGAGCTAAGTTCCCTATCAGTATCGTACTGTTCGTTTTCATCTCTAATACTTCCTCTCTTTCTCTCTCTCATCAGCAAAGAAGTGATCAAAGACCTTCATCTTGACTTCTTTTCTTGTCTATGTATTAGTATGTGTGGTATATTGATTTATTCTATAGTCTCGTTTTGAAGCGCTTTTTTTTTGTGAGAATGACCCACTTCACTTTACTTTCTCATACTAATGAATAGCAACAAATCTCTTTCATGCTGTTTGAAATACATGAAAAGAGTTTTATTCAGATTCGGTTTTTTAGGGTAAAGTGAGCATCTATAAACTCATTTATTTTAGAGATCATCGTCAATTAAATCAATTGCTTTGGAGTATGCTTGACTTATCCCTAATTTATTACTTGCTCTTTCTTGACCATCCTGTAGCACGTTCAATATACGCACTTTTTCTGTTTCTGTCAGCGATGGGTGTTCGGCAGAACCACTCGTGGTACTCGTCGTACTTCTTTTAATGACGGAGCACCATGCAAATTCCATGGCTTCAAAATATTCTTTATACTCATGGGTATCTGTATCTTCCACAAAGGCCTCACAAAAATCATGAAAGTCGCCCGTATAATTCAAAAGACGTTGTACAACCACTGGCGTTGACCTCAAGTGGATCGTGTTGAGAATAACAGGCGCAAAATCTTGCCACAAATCCGGTAATGTCTCGTAGCCTCCCAACTTCTCTGCCCTTTTCAAATTCGATTGACTTCATTTAGGAGGGCGAGAAGAGGAGCGGATCACAACTTTTCTCTTTTTACCTTTTCCGAAATTTCCTTATGACTTTTGTATATGCTTCCTCTATCCTTTCAATCTTTCTTTCCTCTAATGACTCTTCTGTCACGTGATTCTCTTCCATTTGGGTTTTGTCTTTTCTTCTTTACTCTTGCTGCAATAATACGCACGCAAAAATTGTTGAAAAAGAAAAAAGAACAGAAGAAAGAGACCACCTTATGCAAATAGAGAAAAATTAAAAAAAGTCATTCCTGTCAAAAAAAGAAAGGTTGGTAAAACTCCGCTGTCTCACTGAAAAAGAAGGCTTCTCGCACGCCTGCCCATCCCCACCCCACATTTTTTCATTGAACACTTGTATGAAAAAAACCATCGACATAGACAGAAAAAAAAAACCACCATTTAAATGTGTTTATTTGTTTAAATATTATTGATACAAGGAAGCAGGGAGATATACAATTCTATAAAAGTCAAGATAATATAATAATTTACAGAGTTTGAAAAAGGGAAAGGAAGGGCTATGAGATGAAATAAGAAGGATAGATTATTTTGTCATATCGTTAGGTTTTTTAATGTTTTTCATGATGGCCTAGGCCCTCAACCACATCTAACGTTTGAGAGGAGGGGTTTTCATGCATCAAAGAGTTACTATTTACAACGACCGTAGGAGACTCACTACTGCTGAAACCGCCATGTTCAGTAGCATCACTCAGTTCAGTAGCCTCACCTTGACCCGGCACTTGCGGCTCATCTAAATCCATTTCATCTTGATGCCAGTCAAAGTCTTTTTCACCACGAGCTCTTGCTATCAGGTAGCGGATCCACAAAGGAACAAAGGAACGACCGAGCACAGCCGTCCACCAGTCTTCACGTTGAGAATAGTCAGGATGAATACGTCCACCCGACACCTTATCCACAATTAAGACAAAACCATTGATGATAATGTAAGCAATAATACCGCCAATGACACCGTAAGCGATGGAATAAGTAAAAGGCATCACCGCCATCGTGATAAACGAAGGAATAGCATCCCCAGGATAATCCCAGTTGATATTACGTGCACTTGAAGTCATCATTGAGCCTACCAGAACCAAGGCGGGCCCGGTCGACCAAGGAGGGAAACTGGCAAAGATAGGTGAAAAGAAAATGGACACAAAAAAGCCAAATGCAACCGAAATGGCGGTAAGGCCTGTACGTCCACCTTCAGCAATACCTGCACCGGATTCCACAAAAGTGGTGCAAGAGGAGGTACCGAAGCAGGAGCCAATAGTAACACAGCAGGCATCGGTCAAGAACGCACGCGTGGAATGCTCGAAATCGCCCGACTTGTCGGTAAAACCACCATAACGGGCCATTGAGTACATGGTACCTGTGGTGTCCAAAATATCGACATAAAGGAAAGTAATCAAAGCAATCCAGATATCTTTTGAGCTGAGGTTGAAATCAAAGTTTCCTAGGACATGCTTGAGCTTGTTGACGGTAACGACCTTTTTGAAAAAATCAAACATTTCGTTGCCAGACGGTGTGTAAGGGAAATAAGTGATGGGGCTGTTTCGAGGCCAGGCTGTAATGGCAATGACCACGATGCCGATCAAGATGGCACCACGCACACGATACATCAACAACAATGCCATCAACAATAGACCAAGAATACCCATATACATGGTGCCTGATTCCATATGGCCCCATTGACAGACACCGTTGGCATCCAGCGCTGCTTTAGGACAGCCACCTAATTCAACCAAAGTAGATAAATTCAAAGTGACAAGACCGATACCGGCCGAGGACTGTAAACCAATGAAGCAAAGGTAGAGACCGATACCACACCCCATGGCCACTTTGATACTCATTGGGATCAAACGTGCAAACCATTGACGCACACCAAAGAGAGACAAAATAAAGAAAATGATGCCTTCGATGAACACAGCAGCCAAAGCGGTTTGGTAAGAAACATTACCGGAACCGTGATAACCGACAATCGTATATGTGAAATAAGCATTCAAACCCATACTACATGTATATAAAAAAGAGGATCAATAAACCCATAGCCTAGTGGACTCCATTCTCTCTATCTTTCCATATCTATAATAAGCTAATTTACCCAGGTGCCATACCCAATGGCAAATTTGCAAAAACACCAATAAGAACACTTGAAATCATAGCCACGATGGATGTAGCCATAATCAGATCCAATTTGACTTCATATAAACAAGACATATATTCTTGATTATTATCGCAGGTAGGATCCTCGGGTGTAGGCGTGCAAACACAAGGACCACCACTTTCAGAAATGATGGAGGCATTCACAGAAATAATGTAAGCCATAGCAAAAAAGACAGTGAGACCGGCACGTATTTCAGTAAGAAATCGAGTGCCTTTTCTTTCTCTTCTATGCCCGGATCCTTCTAATTGAAAGTGTTTGCCAATCCTTGACCTGGCAACTGCATTATTTATTCTTTCTGCCCAATTCGACTTCATTGTTTGATGACTGAAATAGGATGGTGGGGAATAAATAAAAAATGAATAATTTCACTCGACTTTTGTTTCCAATCGTTTCTTCAATAGGGAAAAAAAAAACTATTGTAGTCGTCGTGTATTCAAAGGCGTCGATGCTATTGAAGAAGGTGGAAGGTTTTGACGTTAATAAACGTAGAGAAAAAGAACAAACTAGTTTCCAAGCAAAAGGAATTCTTATAAAAAAAATGTCGTGGTGCAAAGATTGGAAAATTTTTTTTATTGGTGCCGTTCAATCAGAAACAAATAATGCGCTGAAAGCGGTCTGTGTCCGCAAGTGTGTGTACCTCGGGTCATTTATGGAATGGTATCTTTTTTTTTTGCCCACCTTGGTTTTTCTGTCAAAAAGATGAATAAAGTTAACTTTCGGTTACACGTCCATCCAATTCAACTGTCAAATACACGAATTACATAAATATAGACCATGTGGCATTGTTATGTTTCGAGAAAGTCATAATGCTACATACTTCTATTTTATAGATGCTCTATTGTAGGCATACATCAAATGGAAGAAAATTTCGAAGGAATGAATGAGTCATGATAAAGAGATAATCATGAAAAAAAAAAAAAATTAAAAAAACTCAGCTTCCACCGTTTGTCCTCGATCCTTTTATTTATCCTTTTCTATAACATAGAACAAACCGTTTCAAAGCGTGAACAGTAAACGCATGTTTATAGATGTATAATCCTATTTGTAATATTAAAGTAAATAACCCTTCTTTTGTTCCTATTTCAATACCAGCCGGCCTGCTAACTTTCGCTTTTACGTTGTCTGTTGTAAACATTAGATTCTTTCCTATTTTTGCTCTCTGGGCCGTATATTTTTTCCCTTTTCTTTCAAAAAAAAAAACCCCAAAATTCGTCACTGGTATCTTGGCGGCCCATGAAAATTGGCTGTATTCTGATACGGGGAATAGCCATTAAGTATGGTAAAATAGTAGGGTTATTTATCGTAATTGCTTGGAAGAAAAAAAAAAACTATGATGGATGGGTATAATAGCATTAAAAAGAGGTATATTCAAACTTGAAAGTTTGTTATGAACGACAATTGGAATGCCTATGTATTAACTGAAGGCACAAAGTCTTCTGCCAATAACCACTCACAGATAGTATCCATGAACTGGAACGGAGCAGTATACGCACCGGGGCGTGTTTGGTTCACTTGTACGTAAACGCTAATTTGAGAGACTACATAACATAGGAAAAACATCAACACCCAAGAGAGCCAAGAGAGTACATTTTGAGTTGCCGTCTTTTTGGTGCCGGTCAATAGTTTCTTTGCGTCCTCCAATTCTTCTTCAAGCTGCCTGATTTCAGCAATGCGTTGTTCTTCTACTGCCTCTAAGGCTTTGCTTTGTTCGCCATATTTTTGTTGAAGCATATTGAGATCAGATAATTGTTCTTGTAACTGTTGGAACTCTTGATCAGCCTTTGCTTTTACTGCCACGGATCGTTCCCCCTGTTGTCGTATAATATCATTCAAATGAGCTTCCTGTGCAATTGCTTTCGATTTAGTAGCATGCACTTCTTTCGTCAGGTCTTCATTCGTCTTTTTTAAGCGAGCTATCTCTTCCTCAGCAGCCTTGGAAATTTTAGCGGAATTTTGTTCTTGCTCTAGTAATTTTGATTCCAGTTCAGTGTTTGCTTCTTTGAGCGACTCTAACTGCTTCTTCAGATCTTTTTGAGACTCCATTTCCTTTTGAAGCTCTTCATAAAGCATTTTGGTTTCATCAAACAATTCGCCTGCTTCAGTATTTCCTAATGCCGTCTTTAACTTATTGATCTCTTCGTCTTTTTCTTGAAGCTGCCTCTCTGCTATCATACTTTTTGCTTTATATTCCTCAACCAGCTCTTGTAACTAAAATGAACGGTATCAAGTCAATCTCTCTTTTTTTTTTTTTCTTTCCTTAGTTTTATCGGTAGTTGTGGTAACATACTTCTTTCAATTTTTTGAGATGCTCAAATTCTTTTTGCTTTAGTTCGTTCGAAAGTATTTTTTGCTGTTCCACTTCTAATTCCATCTGGCCCACTCTCTTATTAAACTCTTGTAAACGAGTTGTTAATTCAGCTTTGTCCCTTTTTAGCAAATTCAATTCAGTCAACTACTCGGATAAAGAGGTATATTTAGTCATATTAAGAGCCTATCGTAATCATCCTTTATAGTTCCATTTCTACCTGCTCATAATCAAATTCGGGTTCTTTACTCTGTCGTCGCACTGGTAACAGGAACTATGAACGAGACAGTAAACATCAGATAAATGAATGATAGATCAAGGCTTGGTTATTATTCAATACTTACGTTAGCTGAATCAGGATGATTCAAACTTTCTTTATCCTCAAAAAGACTTGAAGCGCCTGCAGAGGAGAAGGCCCTTGTAGCATCCAAAGGCTGAAAAAGATCATGTCGATTTTGAAACGAATGTAGTAAAGCTCTATTACTTTTGCGTTGTTGTTTTTGTTTTTGTTGATCATTTTCTACATAGTAAGGCTCATATTGTGTAGGATCTTCTACTTCTTCTTCCTCTTCCTCTTCATCATTCATATTGTCATTATCAGTTTCGATGTCCTGGTCGCTGTCTAATTCTGCACTATCTGTGCGTTGGTCGTAGATGGTGCTCGGGACTTCCTTTTTCACTTGGTGTATCAAGCGGTTGAACTCTGCGATTGTCATGTCAACCTCTTGGTTTGCAATGGCGAATCGTGACAAGTGAACAAGTTGTCGGTCAGTAAGAACAAACATGGAAGGATTGATGTGTTCCATGAATTGCAGCCATTCGGCTGCTTTGGCAGTCTTATGCGTCTTTCCTTTGGCAGTACTTTTGAAAAGTTGAGTGATAAGTGCCTCTACTCTATCGTCAGGAAATTGTCGCTATAAAGAAAAAAAAAAAGTCTTTGTCAAACGCGGCCCCTTCCCCTTCTTGTCAAAGTTTGAATTCTTGTTGAGCTGCTAATTACCCTTCTTGGTGTTATTGAGGAGAAAGGTGATTTCGACGCTTGTAACATTTCGACGATCGATGAGTCTCTTTAGGAGATTTAAGGGAAAATGGTAAGGAAAGAGAATAGTTGATTTTTTTTTTCTGCAATTTTGGTACCTTTTATTTCCTGCTTTTTGATTGTCTGATTAAACCTATATTAGGCAAATGATTTCAAAAAGGTTTGCTTTATAAAGTGATTATTTACTATGCATTTGTATTGATTGATAACAAAAGAAGCTAATAGTATAATGAACCCATTTAGAGTGAGCAATAAATGCTGTTCAAGGGCTCATTGTTATGTCATAGATCATTATTCTGATAGATGAGACTGATAAACAGCCACTTTAGTTACTCTTCATATACAAAACTCTAAGCCGCGATGATTCTCTGAACAGTCGTCAAATAGTACATTGAAGGGATGAGACTTACTTTCCTGCTGTAGTATGTATGCGCAGGGAGAATGTAGCATGCATGAGCAGAGTTATGCTGAATTGCTTGTAATAGCTCTATACCTTATTAATTATGGTTGGGCCTCGATTGTTCTTCGTAATTTATGTACGCCTGAATCTTCAATGTAAAGGCTTTCAGTTTCGCATTCCGAAGATATTGCACTGCGGCTATTGTCAAACAGCCTACTTTTGACTGTTGGTAGTTCATTCTGGCAGTTGGTCTTCTTGTTGAGGATGACTGACTGACTTGGGGAGTCTCTACTTTCAAGCATTTGCTTGACTACAGCACCATCTTTCCATCTTTAGTAGAAACGGTGAACAGTACCGAATATTTCGTTGGTTGTAGTTTTCCGAAACATGAGCGGTAAGGTTCCTTTTGCCTATCGTCGGGCTAAATTGCCGGTTGATGCTTCAGAAACAGTAAGAATAACTAAGGTAATCTATTCGAAGCAAAGTCATAAATTGGTTGTATGTGCCTATTGTACAGGACGCTTATGTGAAGCAATGATTGCTATGTTCTCAAAAACTACTTTTGGAAGACGACTGATCAATCGATATCGCTTTCAAATGTACATGGTGTGGGAGATATGTATGCGGAGACATTTTGTTCTTTTTACTAGGAGTCCTATTTTCTTATAATATGTTGGCCCTTCTTTATTTTTTGAATGGATGCTTTACACTTGCTGTATAAAACTGTTTCTTATTGTTCATAATAAAGCCTTCAAAATTCTTCATTTTGTTTATGCTTTACGACGTCATTCTCATTCTAGATGCTTCCTCAGCCATATTTTTCTGATTTTGACATATTATTGCCGATGTTGAGAAAAGAGTTCAACCTCACAGAATTACTCATACTACGTCCAATATCTGCAAACAGTAGCATTATGTAAGATCATTACATAATCAACGTTTAGAAGCCCTCTCCGACAAAGGGTGAATGAAAAAGGGTTCCTGTTTTATTCAGTGTCAAAAGCTAAGACTTTCCCTATATGAAACCTTTTGTAGGGCATATCTTTTTCACACAGGATTAATCAAAATTCGTCGGCGTTCATTTTCTCTTTTTTTTTTTTTTTTTTTTTTTCTTTGCGCTACAGAGAAGCTACCCGAGATTTTCTCACAACCCTCACACAAAAAGAATATAAGAGATCTCTTTCAGTTTGTTATTTCCATCTCTTTTCCGTCATAAAAGAAAACCAAATAGATAAATTGAGAATGGAAAATGACTTTCCTTTGCCTCAGCAGCAACCTTCTTCAAAACAGTTGGATAGTTCACAGAAATTGATGATCACTGACAGTAACAGCAGCAGCGGCAACAGCAGCAGTAGTAGTAGCAGTAGCATTAGTAATGATACTAAACCTGTCAAAAGACGAATTCGAATGGCTTTATCATGTCAAAGGTACAAGGAAAAATGGAAAAAAATAAAAAATTCAAAAAAATTTTCCCCTTTGTTGCACACTTGTATTGTATGCTACCCACTCATTGTTCGATGTCACTTCTCATTCTGTAGATGTCGAAGACATCGCTCAAAATGTTCTCGACAGCGACCAATGTGTGAGCAATGTCTTTTGGCAGGCGTTGAATGTGTATATTTGGATTTGCCCGGTGATTTGGAAAGTACAGCCTTACGAGATCGGTTTCAGGGCTTGGAAGAACAAATCCACTCTTTGACAAATCAATTTAAGCAACTAGAAGACTTGGTGCAAAGTATACCTCAGCAGAAGGAAGCATCTACGAATACGTGTAGAACGCTACCAACGAATACCCTAACGAATACCATGAATATATCAGCTACTATCTTTAATGACACTGATATTCAAATTGGCTCCTTATCCAAATGGAGAATATACCCTTCCACCATTTATAATGGTCTAACCATTGACACAAACATATTTCGCATCACTGATATTTATTCAACTCTGATACAATTTGCAAAAGACAATTCCTCACAACAACAACAACAGCAGCAGCAGCAGCAACCACAGCCAAGTTTGCTGGACAAGGGCGATGCTGGTGGCAGCAAACCTGTTTGGCTTATCAGGAACAAATCTCTCTTCCCGAACGTTAAATTTAGTCATTTCACTAGCCTACGACCTATTCTTTATGAAGATGATGAGGAATATCTGCTGGAGAAAGACATTGTGACGACAACAACGACATTTTATGATAATATCGATGATACGACAGCCACCGCCACCAATATTAATACGTTGAATAATATGCTGTCCATCACGTTGATACAGAAAATCTTTACCTTGTACAAAGATTGTCTGCTTTACGGAGCCCTGCAGCCGTTCGATATCTTATTTAAGGAACTCTTCCTTGTCAATGATATCAGCACTCTTTCACCCCAGTTACAGTTACTCTACGCATCGATTATCGCACATATGTTGCCGCACACTTTTTACTGGCATCCGGAAATTTTCCAGGAATCGACGACGTCGTCGTCTCTACCGTTGTCTTTATTCAATGAAGAAACCTGCATTCATCTGTCTCTACAGTATTACAAATTCGCCAAAAGACTGCTCTCCTCTATCTATTTCGACACGCCAAGCTTGATTACGTGCCACGCCATATGCAATTTGGTCCTGTACCATATGGAGAATGGAAACACGTCCGTCATCTATATCTATTCTGGCATGGCCGTACGCATGGCGCTGTCTCTCCAGCTTTACCGAGAAGATAGTTTGGACTCGATCGTAAAGAAAGAGTGCGAGCTATTTCCCGTAGACTACAAGCCTGCCAAAAACTGGGTGACGGTGAAACAGTATGCGCGGTCACTTTTGTGGTTCATGTATTTCTTGGATACGGCCTCTTCTCATTACCATAATAAGCCTTACGAAATCCATTTAGATGATCATGTCAGTACGACGACTCTGTTCACCACGACGCCAGCGACAGCCGCGATGCGATCGGATCAGCAGCAGCAGCAGCAACAGCAACAGCAACAGCAACAGCAACAGCAACAGCAACAACCATACGAAGATGACGAACAGCATCAGGCTTCCTTTCAATATATCGAATTCATAACGTGTCAGATCACAAGAGAAATCAGGCGTGCATTATTTACTACAGAATCATTGCAGACACCTTATAAAGAAATTGAGTTGATTGAACAGCGATTACTGGAATTTCAAAAACAACTGCCCACAATGGAAGATGTTTTGTCTACCTCATCTTCTGACAATATCTGGAAAGTACGATTTATCAAGCAGTGGATAAGGCATTACGGTCACTGGATTCTGTTGCACCAATCTTTTATACCGACGCCCATCTCCATTCAACGCTGTACAGCAGCAGCTTTTGCTTTGGTAGAATTGTTTACTCACTGGAGCCAATTCGAAGATTGCTATTTTAGACCATGTGTTCACGAATTGAAGCAAGCGTGTGAAATATTGCTTTGGCATGTTGTCTCCAATAGTGACAGTGCTGCTACGACCACGATCGATAGCAAACGTATACCCATCGTAGTCAATACTGAAGCAGCCTTACAAGGCCTAGTGAAGCTTATTCATGTCTTGTTGAAAACTCCTGTGGGTGAAATAGCTAAAACACGGCCTTTTGTACAACGTGTTTTGAAAGCACTCCAAGCTTATAATAACAATAAAAAGTCATGAGCATCAGCCAACGGTCTGTGCATTAGCAAAAACAAAAAAAACGTTTAAACTCAGACTCTGCCCCTTTCATTTTTCTTTCCCATTTTGTTTCAGTCGCGATTAGAGACACGACCTGAAATTTTTCATCGAACAAAAAAAAAAAAAAAAAAAAAAATCGAAAATTGTGCTCTTCGTCTAACAGCTGCCTTCTATAAATTGAATGAGTGGTTTCGTAAGCAATTGTATTGAACGATTTGGATTCAAAAGAATGCAGTCCAATTAAAGAAAAAATCTTTCCATTAGAATTTTATACTGCCAGGCGATGCACGTTATCGTAACGACCATTCGATCAAGAGAAAAACAATAAAGGAATCAAGCGACCACAAAAGCCATGGTAATCATTACAACCCATCGTAACTGGCATGGGATAGATCTACAACATGGAAGAGCTAAATCTTGATTCATTCTATTTGTAGAACTACTCGTAGATAAATACAAACCAACAACTGAGGTAAATGACAGCAATGCTGACGAGTTGAATGGTTCTTGTACAGTCTTTCTCACTTCCAATGACACTGGTCGTCTAATAGACTGAGATCTGTGTACCAGCAGCAAAAGTGACAGAGATAAAGAAAGCCATCAAAACATCAGCTTTATATTCAGATCAGTATCCTACAACGAGATTTATCATAGTGTCAGGGCCCACAGGATGTGGGAAAAGCTCTTTGATTCATCTACTCAGTAAGACGATGGGCTTTGATATTTTGGAATGGGAGAACCCCTATCGTCAGAGCTATAATCCAGAAACATACAATGGCCAAAAATTTGGTAATTTTTTTTTTTTTTTGGTTTTTCTGTATAGATATTAACGACGCTTGGGTAGCCGATCATCTTACACTGCTTTTTGTTCCTGAACGTCTATAGAATCAACCATGACTAAATTTGAAGAATTCATGCACTTTGCTATACGATTCGAAATGCTAAAAGATCCGCAACATACACCAGAAACAAACGAAAAGAAAGTAATTTTACTAGATGATATACCCGATCTAACTACGGATAACGTAAAGCATCACTTTCAGCACATTTTACAAACGGCTCTGTATTCAGATGCACAATTTTTAGTCATTATGACTATCAATGATACCAACGACGCCAAAATCAACAATGCGAACGACATTATACCCAAATGCTTTCATACCCATCCTCATGTTAAGTTTATAAAGTAAGTTTGAAGCTGGGGGAGGGGGGCAGATGATGAGGAGGCATTTCAGACAATAATAGAAGAAAGAAAAAGGGGGGAAAAAATTGCCTTTACATGATAGTCAGTCCACTTATTTGTATCCATTAGACTTAATCCTGTTACTATAGCCAAAATGAAAAAGATTCTGGACAAAGTGATGAAGGAAGAGAACTTGTCCATATCAGATGATACACTAGAAGATTTACTTGTATTAAGCAACGGTGATATACGATTGGCTCTCAATAACCTACAATTTCAAGCTCGCATTCACGATCATCATAGTGTCAAGAGGCTGAAACCGACGAAAAGAAAGAGCAAAAGTAGTCAAAGAGAGTCGAGAGAAGTGAAGCGTTTTGATGAACATGTTGGGCCACTGAACCTATTCCATGCTATTGGCAAGGTTCTCTACGCAAAGCGGTTAGCCGACGGTTCCTACGAATCGGCCCCGGAGCACATTCTTCATAAGTTGCCTGTAGATCATGATTTGTTCATTTCACATCTCCATCAGAACTGCTTGGACTACTTTGATGATAACGATATGGAATCTCTTGCTCGCTGTTTGAGTTATCTGAGTGATGCAGACACTATTCGGTTACGACATGATCGACACGAACCGATGTTGGCAGAATATCGATGCGAAGTGTCTATACGGGGCATGATGACAAAGCCTCCCGCTGCGTCTGTAGGCTGGCGGCCGTGTGAAGCCTTGGAGGATTTTGAAGTGAGGAAGAAAGCACGAGAAACCAAAAGAGAAAAAGACATGGAAGAGTGGATGGCCTCTGTTCAAAGTAGGAACACGACTGCGGACGAAGTACAACGGTTATTAGAAGAGGATCCCGTGGAGGCATTTAGCTCTGATGAATTTGACGACGAATTTGGTGATGGGTCTGATCTACAGGATTTTTTAGATTTTTAAGAGCTGATGGTATGGTTCATGGACATTTTTCGTGAATATCTGGAAAAGTTTTACTTAAAATGGCTCTTTTTTCTTTTTCAACTCGATGTAGGCAAAGTGACGGTTCGTTACCTGTGATGCAGCCATCGTAGGCAAAAAAATGATACAACAGCGAAAATCACCTGTCTATTAGCACTGCTCCTGATAAAGAAAGAGTATAGTCTCACACAAAAATTAGCACACGATGGCAACTATTTATGTCATTCAAAGATGACAATTGCTAAGCAGGTAAAGGCAGTAGTAGCCTTTTTACTTTTAAATTTATTTATTGGTTTAACCCAGTTGGAAGAAGAAAGCATCAAAGCCGTTGGGTCTTTTTTGTTTAGTTAAAGTCAACGTCTTTTTTCTTTTTTTTTTTTGTTTTTTTTTTGTGTAAATAAAAAAAAAACAAAAAAAAAAGTATGAAAGAAAGAAGGAATCAAACAAGTGTGCTCATGATCATCATTATGGCTGATATTAAAATGGTGCTGATTTGCTACATTTACTGTTTACTGGAGGGATCTGTCGATGTTAGTTTTTGCTGTGGTATCATGGATAAGGTATTATTATTACTATTATTAGAGCTGTTGGTGCAGACTGGCGATGCTGAGTATTTGTGCTGTTCCTGTTGATGTTTTGACGTTGCTGTCGTTGGGTAATAAGGTGATCTTGAACTCGATACAGAAGATGAGGATTGACTCACGTATCGGCTTCTTTTCTTTCTGCTATTGTTACTACGACTCCGACTACAACTACTATCGCTGTAACGGCTGTCATCTCTTCTTCTCACTCCTCGCGGTCTCGCTCTTCTGCTGCTACTATGACTATGGTCTTGATAGTAATAGTAGTCAACTTCGTCACCATAGTAATGACGACGCTCATGATATCGCGGATAGGGCGAAGGTGGAGGTGATCTACCTCTGAATACAGGATAATCGTCGTGGGGATAATGGTGGTGACGATGTGGATGATGTCGATGATGACGGTGGTTAGCATATGGGTAAGACGAGGAGGGAGACGGTATACGCGAGGTTTCCATAGATGAACGGTAACTGCTGGTGCTTTCATGTGCAGCGTAGGATCTTCTTTTATGAAGAAACATCTCATCGTCGTAAACAGAGCTGGAAGTTGTCGGTAGTTGTTGTCTTGTTTGAGAAGATTCATTCGTTTCAGAGGGTGCTGTTTTGATAGATATGGAGGAGATGGAAGAGGTCGCTGATGGAAGCACTGTGGTTGTGTTTGAGGATGGAGGTGCGTTTGTTGTTGCGTGACTTCCAGAAGATGATGGTTCTGGGAGCATTGGAAGCTCATTTTCTGCCATTGGAGGCGGTGGAGGGTGAGAGGGCCCTAGACGCCAGGCAGGTCCTGGTGCAAAGCGTGCCCACTGTTTTTTGCGAAATGGATTTCGACGACGGTTGTAAGAAAGGTTAATTTTTTTAGAACAGTGTTTAAGAAAAGTCCAACAAAAAAAAAAAAAATTTGAAATTTTTATCAGATGTTGAAATTATTAAGTAATACCTGGACGCTTAAAGTACATTCTTCGAAACGCCTTCCGTGCATATCACGAAAAGCTTTTTCTGCATCATGTGCATCTTCAAATTCTACAAAGGCATAGCTACGGGAAATGGGTTGTTGTCAAAACATGTCAATTGTTGTCAATTTCTCGGTTTTTTTTTTTCTTTTTCTTTCTTTCTTACGGTTTAGCACGTAAAGATTTTGGAGCTGGAATATCGCAACGTATCAATCTTCCATATCTATAGGTGAATTGTCGTGAGTCTATGCCCCTTTAAGTACGACGATTTTCTGCTTCGTATGGAAATGATACCTCTCAAACTCGTATGCAAGATCCCGGGCACGCGTCCCATGGTAGAATCCCGCAACAAATAGAGTTGTCTTCATTCCTTTTGGTAAGTGTAAAACAACAGTTTGAACTGCAATTGAACGGCGAAGGGAATTGAGCTTCGGTAAAAAAAAAAAAAAAAGTACGGGCAAACAATCAGGGGAAAGGAACGTTTATCACTGTGGAAAGGAGAGTAGAAGCAAGAAAAAGAAAAGAAAAGGAAAAAAAGAGAAAAAAAGAGAAAAGCCAAAAAAAGGTTTAGAGTTAAAAACGCACCAACATTACAGACAGATATAGATATTTGAAATAGATTGATAGTATATGTAAAACATAAAAATACATCATCCGTTTACTTTGAAGCTAAAAATAAGCGGTTTTTTAAAAAAAAAAAAAAAAAAAAAAAAAAAAAGTGGGCATAGATCCATCCTCAATAGCTCTATAATAGCTCGAAAGTGGATCATTTTTCCTTATTGTAATAGGAAGTAAGGAATGAGAAATCTCTTTCCTCTATAAATTTTACCAAGGGTTTGAATAATGGAGTTCTCTTTTTTAATTGTTCTATCGATACCCATTCCCATTCTCCTTTTAGTTTTTCAGGTTCCATCACTTTTAAATTTTTCAAGACAGATTTATCTTTAATGGGGCACCAGACAAAAAGCGTGATATAATGTCTATTTTCCTCACGCATGATACTGTTGACAGCAGTGACAAACTTCATGTCCTCCAGAGGCAAATCCAGATTCGTTTCCTCTAGAATTTCTCTTTTTGCACATTCTTCAAAGGTTTCCCACAATTCGACATGTCCGCCTGCTAATTGGTAGGTCCCATTGCCAATGGACCCTTTACGTTGACCTATTAATATACGAATTCCTTTTTCTTTGGGATCAATGCTGTAAGGATCTTCTGTTTCTTCTTCGTCTTTGTAGGTGACAAAGCAGCCTACTCCAACCATAACATTCTTTTGTTGATCTGGCGTAGGTTTGTCTTGAACAGTTGACATGGCGTTGATTATATAAAAGCGTGCAAAAATGATATTAGGTTTTAAAAAAAAAAAACGGTACTCGATTTGGCACCGTCAGGAAAACAAAAAGATGTAAAGTATTGTGGTACACACCTTTATGAAAAATTTGAAATATCACAACAGTTTCGAGTCACACTAGAGATCTCAAGCTTGACAGTCTCCTCGCTTCTAAAAGCAATAGCTTTGACTGCTTTAATGATACTCTCATGGGAGCTATTAATAATGGTGTGTAATGAAAAGAAACTACACTCCTATATTACGTGTATTTGTAAGAGATGGCAAGTAAGCTTTCGTTGTTCCTTACTCTCTCATTATATAAATTCAATGTTCCTGCAATTGAATAGCCTATCTGTGGCATAACAAGAAATTATTATGTCTCAACATCTGTGTGTTAGTCAGTCTTTAGCTAACCACTAGATCGCTATTGTTCAAAGTCAACAGCTTATCCAGCTTTCTCTTATCAATAATGTTGGCCTTGCTTTATTGATAGGACGATATTATATAATGAGTCAATGGTATTTCCTTGCTATTTTTCATTTAAATAAAAGGAGGAACTCCTTCACCTCTCTACATATCCTCAAATTGACGGGCCAATTCATCCAGCTCGTTCTTTGCATGATTGAGTTTTTCGAGTAATTCTTCATAATATTGCTCCTTTTCGGCCAGTTCATTTTCTAAGTTTTCAACTTTCTTCGCAGCTTCTTCTGCCTTTAAACCAGCATCATTAAAACTAACATTTTGAAAGAAAACATGAGGGATTTCTCTGTTAGACATATAAAAAAAAAAAAAAAAAAAAAATGCGACTTACTCGGAAGAGACAGTTTTCACTTTGGTTTCAGTCTTTTCTAATTGCGCTTCCAAGTTCTTAACACGGATATTGAGGGATAGAATTTCATGATCCTTTTGTGTTTGTTCAAGTTCTAGTGCCTTAATCTTGGCAGTATATTCTTCACATAACGCATTTGCATTTTCGGTTTGCGCACGAAGGTCAGCGAGTTTCTAAAGTGAACATATTGCCATCAAAAAGGGCTGCTCTTTCTAATGATACCACTACAAACTTTGCCTCGCTTACCTCTTTAACTTTTTCCATTTTTTATAGGAATAAGAAAGAAAAGAAGAAGAAAAAGGGAAAGGGGGTGACTTAGGTGTCTTGGTTTTGGTTTTTTTTTTTTCTTGTTTTTAATCATATTCAATACTATGTGCAAGGCGTTATAAAATACGATTGGGTAAGGAGCAATTTTGGTGTAATCCAAACCAAAATAAAAAAAAAGGGCGTTTCATAGTGATCAATAGTGCAAACCCTTATCGTCAAATGAAGAGCTTACATGCCTTTTCAATTTAGGAGAAAATTCAAATATAATATAATACATGTACATATATCAATTAAAAATGATACTACAAAGGTCAAGGAATCATATGACAAAGTTATCTAAGTCGACATATATGCAGTATCTCCGTCGATGCACAGGATCGTGTGCTCCTAATCCAATGGACCAGCTTACGATGCGCTGATGGTCTGTTCAAGTTACACCATTTACTGATAGCTGCAAATGTGAATAATAGATGAATGCATTTGTTATGAAAAGCGGTTTTTTTTTCTTTTTCATTGTAAGATTAAACTGAGATGATTTATCTGTCTTTGTCTGGTTGTCTTTTTGAAAGAAAAAAGACGGTTTTTTCGTTAATCATCACTATCACGAACAGCATAGGCGAACGTGGTTCCTATTCACGAAAGACATCAAAGATAAACTGCTCTGAGAAATATACAGCTAAAACAATCATTACCGTCATCGCGAGTTTATTTACTAATACAAATAGAACGCAACTCAAAAGGCAATCAAAATTCTATCGCGGAAGGGTCTCTATTCCTGAAGATATATAGTACAGCGCATCATTTTCGAAAGAAGAATTACCAAAATACAGTTCGCTACAGACGCTCGGTTTCTGTTTTATTTGAATAGTATACCTTTTTCGAGACGAAATTGAAAACGTGCAAGCCATTGCCAAATTTTTTATACTATTTCCATCAAATATTCGGTGAGATTACAGCAGTAAAGAGTATCACCATGCATGCTCTAAAGTCGTCTTGATTCAGCTTGGAAAATTGTGAAATATCTGCTCCTCGATTAACAATTAATTGTAGCTTTAGGCTAACTGGTTGATTTACCTATTGATGACGATTACTAAGCTTCCTTTGTTTTTTTCTTGTCAAGTATAATTTGTTTGATGTCTCTTTATCAGATACAGAGAAGGAGTGTAAAAAAAAAAGTTTTTCTCTTTTTTTTTTTTTTTTTTTTTAAATTCCATAACTCGATATTTTCTGATCTGCCTTCTTTATCTAATCCTCTCTTTCACTCTTTCCCATTCAACTTTTTGATTGAATATATGAATTACAATTTACAATGGCTACGAAAGTTGACTGATACGAATTCAGCAAAATACCGCTGATGTAGGTATTGATACCCCATCCATCGCTGGTACAGATGAAGTCATAACAATAGAATCGCGAACAAGTGCTGTGTTACCGCCAGTAGACTAGATGTAACGCTTTACGAATGTAAATTGTCACAAATGATATCAATCAGCTTCTTTACACAGTGCTTAATAGAAGCAAAAAAAAAAAAAAAAAAACCAAAAAAACGTCAAAACCAAAAACGTCTCACGGTGTATGGAACGAAAAAAGTTTTGCGTCCTCGGGGAATCGAACCCCGGCCTTCACCTTGGAAGGGTGAAATTCTACCATTAAACTAAGAACGCCTCTTACTGAAGTTTTAAATTCAGATAAAATATGTAATGTTAGTATCACGTGATTTGCTCGTGAGTATTTTTAATTTTGTGAGCCAATCAAAGTTCTGCCTTTAAACGGTAAGTTCGTATTGTTTGAATGAAAAAGTAGAAATGTCATTGATTTATTATTTAAATAAAACTGACGGTTCAGATTATGCTTAACGCAGCAATATATATTCTTTGTACAGAATGAACACGTCTATTATTGATTATTCTGATGCATCTTCTTCGGATTCAGAAACTTGGGCGTCTGAATCATATTCTTCTGGTACTTCACTATCACTATCAGGAGCAAAGTCTTCATCAGCTGGTAAAACAATAATCGGTTAGAATTTCAGTGCTTCCAAAGCAAATGTGTGTGCGGTCTAAAGAAATTGTATGACTTACGACTTTCTTCATCTTCGTCGTCTTGACCAGCAGTAGCTGGATTTGTATCGGTTCTTCGCTTCTTTCTAGAGTAATCTTCATCTTCTTCATCGTCGTCCTCATCGTCTAATTCAGCTAGATCATAGTTTATCAGAGTATCACCATTTGACTCAGATTTGATCTTGATCTTCTTTTGCTTAAGGTAATCTTCAATATTCGCATACTCTTCTCTATTGATGCTTGAAAACTGTATGTCATTGCCACTCTTCATACTGAACTTCATATCAAAAGTACGTGAACTTCCACCTGTCTGGCCCACACGCGAGAAGGTAACGACACCGATTTCATTTAATGGAATGAAAGTAGGAGGTTTGGGTATGAAGAGTAAACTCTTTTCCAAAGGATAAAGGAAACCCTCATTTGCTTTCATTGAACATTTGAGTGCTGTTGCGCCATGATGGCTTCTATAGCTGCCAGGTACTGTTACTTTTCTTCCTGTTAAAGCCTTGAATAGGTTGCTGACAACTTCGTATGTAGGCGCATCGTAATGTTTTTGAAGAGCATTCTCAAACTTATTCAAAGCTTCGTCTTCCAGATTTAAATCAATCTCGATCTCTTCTTCACGTACAAATTGGAATACTAAGAATGGATATTTAGTTTGACCTTGTCTTAAAGGTGGATCCAAGCCGATCTAATGATATTCGCCAATTGTATGTGAGACTTTCATTTTCCATTTCTTTTCACCCTGACTACGTTTTACGCTTTTTTTTTTTTTTTTCTGAAAATCTTACCACAAATAATACATGTACTTCATCTGGCTTCAATAATAAGAACAGTTTGATAATATTGGAATAAAGAATCTTGTAGTCATATGTTTTACCACGGAGACGTAAGAAATCTTGGTACATATCGATATTGTAACGACCACGAGGTGTTAAACATAACACTTCTTGGAACTGTACAATATTTTCTGTAGTCATCTGGCTGAGCTCTAGCTTTGATTTGATCGTTTCGTGGAATACAACATCTGCATTGACTTCTTCTTCCTCATCTACTTCCTCTTCTCCGCCTTCTCCTGCTTCCTTAGCTACTGTACCAGGTACATAAAATGTTATATCCATCAACTCATCCATATCTTTAGGGTTGATGCCTTCGGGTGCTGATTGTCCAGGATCCACAAAATTGACAGCAACTTCATTTTTACCGGGTTTGTTCGCAGCAATTGCTTGTGCTAATGGTAATTCAAACATGGTTTTATTACCGACAGTGAATGCGAGATTAGATCCTACAAAGATGCAGTTTCATAGAGAACACATGAGTACGACTGCTTCCCGGTTATCACAAAAAACTTTCTTATCTCCAATTTACCATGGAATTCAGTTTTTCCCCAATTCCAACCCTTCACGCTAACTTCCTTTACTTCCACTGGCATTTTATAAAATATCTTTACTGCTTCTCTCAAATCCTCTAAATCCTATTCCATCAAAATTAAATAGCATGCAGAAGAGGAAGAGTTAGAAGGCAATTTTATGTAATACATCAACAGAACTCATCACGTCTTTCTTTTCGATCAGTGGTTTTCAAATTGGATCTGTTACATACTTCTAATTTAAAGCCATCAAATCTGAGTATATTATCTTCCTTTTGAATGACTCTCAACTCATAGCCTCTGGCCGCTTTCATCCAAGTCAATTTCTTTAGGTCGTCCGTAGCAACAATAATGGTACGATCTCCACCTTTCCAACCCAAGCCATTCTGAGATAATCGGAAACGGCCCACCTCGGGTCGTAGGCCACAATAAATCGAGTTGAAGTCAACGTTTTTTCTATCTGACATTAGGCAATGGGATTTCTGGTAATTGGCAAATGCTAAGTTGATTTCTAGAAGAGAAGAAAAAGAGGCGGCTAACGATCTCGAATAAAATTTCAGTCATAGGAACGTGTTTTCCTCATTTTTGAGTCTGAAAAGCGCGTTCGGTGTTTTGACATAACATTTGCTACTGCTGCTGCTGCTGGCTTGCTGCATGTTTGTGACGTATTTTGATTGGAGGTAAAAAGGTTGAGGAGAAAGAAAATGATAGATTGAGAACAGCATAAATTTCGTTTATTCCTTCTTCCCTTTTATTGACTTTGTTCTTTCACTAACCCTACCCTCATCGTAGGCTTTTTTTTTCTCCAGTTTTTTAACTTGAAGGCGGGAAAAAAGAAAAGAGAATAAGATTATCTAGAAGAGAGCATATTCGCAGGAAGATGAACTTTTCTCCTTATTCACCTTCGCCAGACGACGACAGACATTCTCGAACACCCAAAGCTTCTTCATCGCGAGCAACACAACAACACCAACAGGCCAATATCAGCTCTTATCAAGCTGGAAGCAACCCTGAGTCATTTGCAGAACAAGGTCTTCTAGGCAATCATAGTAGTAGTAGTAGCAGCAGTGGTTTTGGAGGACAACCCACCGTTCGCGTGAATAAGTATGAGACATCTCTACCTATTCGGGTAGATGTCGAAGCATCCTTAGCCTATCTTGCTGGTCCGATCACAGGTAAAGAAGTACACAGATTTACTTTCTGGTGTAAGCGGCATAGAGTTTGTGAGGCTGATTGAAAGACTTCCATGTTTTACGTAGGTTTACTGTTATTAATTCTTGAGCGACAGAATGATTATGTTCGCTTTCATGCTTGGCAGGTAAATTATAGTACTGGAATAAATACACTAGAGGAAAGATTTTCTTCAGTCGTTATTCATTGCTCTATGCCACTTAGTCTTCTTTAACGTTTTCATCGTTAATGGTGCTTCAATTCATAATGCTATTTATTTCCAACTTTTTATCTTGGGTTTTATTCTTTTTTTCAATATTCTTATTGATATGGCTGGCGTAAGTTGAATGATGTGTTGATATTCGAATGACATTGAGCAAAGTGATGTAAAACAAACAATACTCACTCAGATTATTATTCAGGTATAGAGCCTATTTAGATGGAGTGTCGCTGGAAAGATATGAGGTCCCCTATTTTGGACCCATGGCCTCGGAATATGTAGATGAAGAATAATGCTATCACTACAGCATAAATGTTCAACAAAGATACCTTGGTGAATAGAGCTGAAGCACAAACACTACTCCATTAATCACAGCCATATTCATTTACGTCTACGACTATACATTTATCAGTAAAACAAAAAAAAAGAAAAAAAAAAAGATAATAGCACTTTCTGTTTGTTAGAGCTGATCAACAGCCATAAAAGAAACGGATTTTATACAACTTATCAAAGTGGCATAGTTTTGTTCATTGTCAGAGCATAAAAATATAAATGGAACAGTAAAGATATGGTTTTTCTGCATGATCTCGTTGGGAAAAGGAATAAAGTAATGGGGGTCTTAATGAGAGGATAGGGCGGTTATGGAAGCGGGTATTGAAGAGAAATATATTGATGTGAAAGAAAAAGAACAGAGAAGGACCAGGTTAGTTACTAACTAGTATACGTTGATCCTCTAGAAGAAGAGTTCTCATCCGCAGAGGACGACATCGAATTTGAACCAATGCTTCCTCGAGGCGCTCTACTATGCATCATACGACGTGTTGCTTGGGCTGATTTACAAGCGTGTCATCAAAGGGTAAAAGATGGCAACACAACAATAAGAAGCTGTATGGAAATGAAGTGATACATATTTTTATTTTCTCTTACCATGCTTAGCAGCTGCCATTTTGTCAAGATTGACAATCACCTTTTCCAAGGCATATAACCATCTATTTCTATTTTCTTCCGTATCGGCATGCAAAACATGGACAGTAGGAGCTCCGATAAATGTAGTGTTAAGGTTATCTACACCTGAAAAAGATGAAGTGATTTCAATACAGTTTGGAAAACCGCCAGCTTCCTCTTTTGTTAAGGGTCGTATACGGGCTCGTTCCAAAATCAAATGTCCTTTATATTGCAGTTTAGTTGTCTTTGCCGTAGAAGATTTATTGCTAGAATTTTCTACCTTGGTTCTTACGAAAACCAAAAAATCACTAAATAACAAATAATATCGTTCTTCGCTCGATGACTTTGCATTAGGCATAATGCGCGACAGTTGGCCTTCCATAATGAGCCTTCTCTCCGCTCGTACACTGAATGGAGCACCTATTAAGGCTTGATGGATCATTAACACTTTTTCTACATTACTCGCATCGACTAGTCTGTTGAGGGAAAGATATTCATTGCAGTTAGCTCAAGATTCATTTTTGAATGGATCATTTTGTGGTGATGAATGGAAATATTTACTTTTCTTTAATAGAGCTGTGAAATTGCTGAATCCATGCTTTTATCTTTTGTAGTCCAGTATAGTCTGGATGCATTGGACTCGTCGATTCAGCTATTTGCGCTATGATTTGCACATAGCGGTCGATACAACCAATGGGCAACTGAATCAAAGATAATAAAGTGGACCCTTTCAGTGATTTATCTTTGTGAACACTCTACATGAAATGGACATAGATTGGATTAGGGTTTCCTCATTCAGTACTAAACTTGCCTTTTTGTACTTTTTCTTACATCAATAAACTTTTTGAATGGTTGATATCGCGATAACCTCTCATAGGTTGTAAGTGTAACAGCATAGTTACTCAAGTAAGTATGGTAGCAATCTAGACTTGGAAGCTTAAAGATTGTATATTAGAAATTAAGTATTGGCTTCTTTCTTTAAAATGTAAGAATCTTCATTTACCCAAGCCTGGAATACATCTGATAAAATCTGAGTGGGTCCCCATATTTTTAATCTGGCAGTAGAAAATATACGGCAAGTTTAGCAATTATTCCATTTTTTACTTTATACATATTCAGCACTGATTCCATTACCTTTCTTGAAGACTCTTTAGGGTTAAGCGATGCACATGGACTATCTCCTCAAAGTTACCAAATAACCAGCGAAATTCTCTTTCTGTACAGATCATCTTTTTCATGCCAAGAAAGTTGAAGGAAGTATTTGTAGAGTCTTTTCTGAGAGGTATCAAAAATAAACTCATCACTAACTCAAGTGATTGCACATAGGCTTCTTCTGATCTGAAAAGCTTATCTATCAAATTTTCTCTGCTCCGATGTACATCATTCTCGTGGTCTGTGGTTTGTACAACAAAAACATTTGCCAAGTTAGAATGTTTTTTCATTGGAGGGTCTTTATCTTGAAAAAAAAAAAAAAAAAAATTAAGAATTCTGTATGTGCCGACCTATGAGATCATCATCAATATCTTCATAGTCCAAACTATCAATAATTCCAAAATCGTCCATTGACTGAGTCAGGAAATCAATTGCTGACGAGTTGGATGATAGATGGCTTTGTTTATCGTAATCGTGACATGAAATAGTGGATGCAGCAGTCAGCCCTGTAGTTGTGTAAGCACCTGTACTTGAACTTGTGATGCTACTTCTAGGACTTCTGGTAGCCGCTGAATTTGAAGTAGTTACAGTCGCAGAGGATGATAGTAAAGTGTTACTTTGGCCGCTAATGCTGCTTCTAAGACTACTTATACTGCTGGTCTTTCTTTGTGGCGTAACAAGATTATTGATGTGATAGTTAGTGCTAGAATTGAAAGATGTTGTTGCTGTGGCTTGATTAGTATTATTAGAATATGACATTCAAATAGTCAAGGGTAAGAAGATCAGGAGCAACAAAAAAAAAAAAGAGGGGAATAAAAAAGAACAGTATATGGTATACAAGTATATATATATATACTTGTACAGTCTAAAAGACTTGAAAGCACACATGAAACTTTAACCTTAAAAAAAGATTTTCTGGAGGGCAAAAGCTTGATCTTTAATGGTCTGAGGAGACAAAAAAGGCGCCCTTTCATTTTTTTGTGGGTTCTGTACAAAGCATAGCAAACCTTTTATGCGGCTGTACTACCTTCTGCTTATTAACGTGCTGTGCTTTGTGTTAATTGTGTAGCAATAGTAAGAATGGTCACATTCACCTGTCACTTTGAACAAGAACAGTTTCTAATAGCAGAAAAATAAAAATGTGCAATAATTGCATGCTGATTCCTCGAAAAACGGAACGGTATACGTACTATAAAAGAGTGATATCCTCTATGTTAATTAACCGCCTGAATCATTTATAGTTGACTCGTCACTTAACTGTTACACCACATTGCGTTAAGGAGACTGACATGATCTCCCTGCAAGTGGAAACCGTTATATCTGAATAGAGATAAAATCCATCATTGTAGCAGTAATTGACAAGAAAAGTTCGCTTTTCTTTTTCAATAGGGGACCGCCGAGCATTATGTATTTATCATTTACTGGCTTTCGTAAACGGCTTGTCTTAGAGTTACTTCAGCCATTCCATGACCGAAGGAAATGTCAGGAAAAATGTACCCAAAGTGGCGTTTCTAGTCTTACAGTAACTTTCCATGGAGATAGTGAGGTACATCTTCTCTCAAATCTTGTCGCACTTTCAAAATTAAAAATGTCCATATTTATCAGTATTAGGGTTCTAGGTTTAAGCAATCACTGAAGCGCCTTTACGTATTAGCGCGCAAAACCCTTAAAAGTAGTTACAAAAATCTTCTTGACATCTTTATTGATACGCTCATGAAGCGTATCTTTTTCAAGTACACACCTCTCTTGAGAAACTCTTTAAAACTGACCAGAACTGCTCCATAGGATTCAATTCAGGTCATTACAATAGAGGCTATGATAACAGAAAGAGGTTATGAACGCATCATGGCTATTATGTGTATTAGGGATATTACCTTTGATACGCACATTAAGTGTAATAGGAGTAGAATTTGTTTTGTATAATTCACATCTAGAACAGGGTGTTCAACGAAAACGTCCACTCAACAATGGGAACGAGTTCGGGAAAAGGCGTGTATTTCAGTCCCTTGCCAAGGCTCGACAGGTTGCTAGGGCTTTTAGGCTAAAGTACAACGTTATTTTTGTAACCGCCAGTTCTAAAGGAAGCTTGCCCTTCATTGTAATCCCTGGAATACAAAAAGAAAGCCTAAAACTGATAAAGCTCATCAGCAGTCAGGCTCAGAATCTGAAAGTCTTGTACATGAAAAACGAGCACGATGAAGATAATCCCGTTGCGTACTATCCGCGGGCAAATATAAAAATATAGTTAATAGCCGTTTCTTAGCTGACTGACAATCAAACGTCACTCAAAATCATTCATTCGATCAGTTCAGTTGCTCTTTAAGAAGTCCGCTTGTCCGCTTGAACGTTTTGAACTAACATTGGCCATTGTAAATGGCATTTTATTCACATTTGACTTCATTTGATATAACTTCAGGTAACTTGCTCAAACTTAAGAATGTCTTTATGGCCTATCAAACAGTACTGACTCAAAGAATTCTAACTTAGAATGATTACTGATACCCAACTCTCACTCATTGCTAATTTCTTGGGAGTCATCACCATGATTCTTATCGTTGCATATCACTTCATCTCCGTGAATGACAAGTCAAAGAGCTCATGAATACAAAACCAGCAATACCAACAATATCAAACAAGCTTTATATTCACTTGACGAAAGAGTTTCGATTTTATTTTCATAGACACAAAATGATAGCTATAAATACAATTATTCTCAGTCGAACTGCATATCAATAAATAAATAATACATCTTCTATTTGAAGATGAAGTGTGTGTCAACCAGTAGCAGTTTGTTCATCTTTTTTAGAGCTTCAAATCGTGCTTTAAATCCAGGAACCAGCCTACAGCTTCAGTTCTCCTCAAATCAGAAATACCAGGACCACTAACAGTTTCAAAGACTATTTTCATCGTGGCCCTTTGTATCTCTTTACTCTCTTGAGAATGTACCAGCATCTCTATTTCCTTCAAAATAAAAGGGAAGAAAGGACCTAAAGATAACGGCTTCAAGAGATCAATCAACGCGGTAATATATTGATTTCGAAGCGCAACGTTCTTCTCATTTGCCTTAAGGGAGTCGATTTTCTGAATCAAATGGTTTACGGTAAGCCAAGCCAATGCATCATCCATTTCGCAAAGAGCTTGTACGAGTGTATTGAAACCATATCTTAGTTGATCTAAAGTCATTGGTTCAGGAAAACCCTATCAATTGCATCAAAACAATGGTTGTAGAAACATGAGCATGGTAAACTCTTGTAAAAAAAAAAAAAAAAAACAAAAAAAAAGTTACCTCAATAAGAATCTTGCCATAAACTCCTGCTAACTCTTTCGAAACGGCCTTTTCAGATGTGAAAGCGGATATAACACAAGAGTGCGCACTTTCGTACAAAGCCTTGTTTTCGATCCTCCTCCATTTCAGTATAGGGTATATGACGGGCAAAATGTCTTCTTCGAATAATCTTTCATCGATAGCTTGCATTACTTGCTCAGATAAATCAGTAAAGAAAGTCAGTCTGGTCTGTTTAACCATAGATAGTAATTCATAAGATTCTGTATTATCCGGTAGGTATTTCTGTGTAGCTAATGGATCGTAAAGTAATGGCAGAAAGTGAACGAATATATCAGCGAAATGAGTAATGATCTTGAAGACTATTGTTGTTATTGCCTACCATAATCTTTGAATGCTAATGATATAAGTCTATTCAATTCGCAACTATTTTCTTTGTTCAATAAATAGGCTACCGCATTTGTCATAATGTCTTCATATGCTTGACGTCCTTGTCCTTCAGGCAAATGCTCAGTTACAAAGTTTAGATTAGCATAAATGCTAACAATATCCTGCGCAGCATGTTTTACTCTGATCAATCCCTCTCCGTTAGGAACATCGACGGCAACCGATTTCAAGATTACTGTAAACGAGAAAAGCAAACTCTTCAATATTGTCCAGACAGAGTTATCAATCTGTTTCATTATGTCTGTATCGTTAGGATTTAAGGGGATGGTTGCTGTATTTGCTTTGTATTGATCCCAATCAAAAAATGTATTGTAAGAAAATCCAACTAATCGGTCAAGCATAATTTCGATTGTTTTAGCAGCATCCTTTCCGTCCATTGTCTTGCTGTCTTTCTGCAGCATAGCTGCTATTGTTTTTGCCATGGCACGAGAAATGCGACCAATTTCTTTGAAAAGGGGCGATTGATGTACCAAATAGTTCACTTCATCTTTTATGTCAGGACTCACTTTGAGTCGATGCATGATATCACAAGAATTGAAAGTTTCAGGACTTGTGAGTAAAGTCGAAGTCATCATTTTGAGTAAATTGGGTAGTTCCTTGAGTGTTGATACTCTATCTTCAGGAATTTGTATGAGAAAACATGAAACCAAAAAGGTAACCGTGTCTAATATGTGGACTTAAGCTGTTAGATAAAATACGTTTGGGGTCTTCACTTTCTCGAAAGTCATTACCTTGATATGCATGGTATTGCTTCAAATACTTCGCAGATGATAGTGTGTTCACAATAGTATCTACCTGGCGCAATAAATACTCTTCGGCTTCTTCACGTAACATTGAAACCTTCTTTGTCTTTTTTCCCTGATTAAATTGCAACATCCGCCTATTATCCTCTACTCTGTTAGCCTACACTTGCTGTGATAATATATTGTCATTTGACATCCAGAAATTGTACTTACACTGTTCCAGCCAATGCAGCTACTTTTGCAATTCTGTTCGGTGAAAGATCGTCTTCCTTCCCTTTTTCATTCAAGTCTATTACTAAATGTACAAGTGTACTCAAATTGGCTTCGGCTCGTGTTCGGGGCTCTTCCTTTGACCGTACGTCGACTACATGTTCGAATGTATTCACGACAGTCATGGGGCCTTGTATTCCCAATATATCGCTTTTACTCTGACTTTTAGGGGAAGTAGAAGTAGAAACGAAATGCAAAAAAGCCTGCAGCAACCGCTCACAATGGTTTACTTCAAATTCATTCAGTGTGCTGGTTTGCGCTAGTGCATGAGCTACACCCGCACTCAAAGTGTCAGAAAAGGGTGTGTTCTTCACTATATTATGGCCGTTGGCTGTAAAGTTCTCCAAAACCTTGGTCATGCCTTCCAACAAAGTGATATCCAGTACTGTACTTTTACCAATCAATGAGACCCAACCTACCCAAGCATCCTTCTGTAGCGGTCTATAAGCCTCATCTTCCATTTTAAATACATCAGATAGTACTGAAATAACGAGGGATAACTGCTGTTGATGCTCTTTTTGCACAGAGGTAAGTCGTCGAAGCCAGCTGGAGTAAAGTGCAATGATGGATTCCAAAATTTTTAGTTGTAGGTCAGCAGCGGTTATGAAGCGGCTTTTTAGCTGAGCTAGTGTATCTAAAAGCTGAGGAGTGAACCATGATGTTGGCAAATCGTTACTGTACTTAGCAAGTTGTTGTAGATTGTGAATGACCTTGAAAGAGATGAGTTTTGTTAACCAAAACTGATTTCGCGGCCACTTTAGTTTGAAACATAGCCTTATCACTGTTTTAGTTTAGTACCTGCTCTTGGTCCAGAGTAGCGTATTGTAATGTGTTATAGTAGGCATCGGATAGCTTTCTCGCTAAATCTTTCAGGTCTGTTTGCTCATTGTTCGCCACACTTTGATTCGACATGATTATTGCTGGATAACGACAGGGAAAAAATTTACCTCAAATGTGGAGTAGAAGGAAACGAAAATAAAAGTGATGGAAAGCGGATCAAATATTTTGTGGACGAAGTCGGAACCTTAGTTGGGACGTTTCTTTTTTTTGATTTTAGACGAAGTAGGCTTTTATGGTAGACGAGATATTTTGAGTAGATTTCTTTTGCTTTAAAATAAACACATCCCTGCAACATGGATTACATAAATTATAATCCTGCAAGTGAGCCTATGCTTTCCGAAAATACTTTTGCTATGGACTTGGATGAAATTGCTGTTACTTTCGGGCAAATTGAGAAGATCGTCGACTATGAAGGGATGCAGCGCGCGGCGCCCTGTAGTTGATGATGCGAAAATGGAAGAAACTGTTGAAGAATTAACAACAGAATTCAGCACTATCGCATTAACGGATAAGTCCAAGAAGCGCAAGCAATATAGTGAGCACAGCATTAGACGGTTGATTCACTTAATCCAAGAGAGAAGCTGCGGTTGAGTGTGACATTCCGAGGTTCACCGCTTATAAGTTTTAAGAAGGCGCTGAACGACGACATCAAAAATTATTTTGATGACTTTAAGGAAAAGCATCCGACAATAGTAATCAGTCAGAGCTTCACTAAAGGTTACAGCCACTGTCTCACAGAAGCCGCCAAGGAGATAAGCGTTTCGTATACTAACTCTATTGTTGAGCTTTTTGAACAACGAATGCTTGAATATCTAACCTATAAGCTGCAAAACATGTTTGTTGTGCGTATTGTTATCACTACTATAATTTCGATTTCTTAGTTTCTAACCATTTGTATTTGCTTTATTATAATCAGAGCATGAAGAAGGCCGACGCAGTGGAAATATCAAAAGCATACTGCTACCAAGTAATTTGCAAAGGCGAACCCAACTGGCCTGATAGAATCATGCTTAGTAAAGAAGACAAAAGCAAGATAGAGATGCTATGCAAAAGCTTTGAGAAACTTATAACGGAAAAGGTTACGCTGCTTTCCTTATCATCCGATCCCGCCAAGTTTACCAAAGCATTATGGCACATCCTATCCTCGTATGAAAAGGAACATGACGAACATGCAGCTTACGATGTCCGTAGATTACCGTTACCCAAGCGCTTCTTCCCTTTCCCTCTGCCTTCGCTCCATTGGCGTTTCATCACCATAAGCGTCAACTCGCTCCTCCCATTCATGTTTCCCGGTACAGCTCCAAAAGGCTATGCAAATCAACTCGAAAAGTTTTATCAAGTGTTCAGCTTCAAAAAGATGGGATTTGATAGGTAAAAAAAAAAAAAAAAAAAAAAAGTTTGGCAGAACTGTTGTCATTGGTATTTACTGAATTTCATTTTTTGTGACAACAGTTTGAATAACCTCAAGATAAGCCAAGAGACCCTATTCCGTAATATCGTCCGCTCGGATGGCTTCACTGTCGACTTTATTTTTAGTAAGAAGAGAAAATCAAAAGAAGAGAAAACCATCGAAGACCATCGGTTGACTTTGGAAGATTTTGATTATGCCGAAATCGAATCTGGTTATAGACCCTGCTTCATTGATCCTGGTAGAAAAGACGTTTTCACAGCAGCAATTGGGATAGACGTAACGAAGCACCAGGTGCGAAGCTGTTCTACCAAAGAGTACTACCATATGACTGGTAGCACCAGATACTCTGCAAGGCTAGAGAAGAAGAAAGCAGACAAAATCAAGGGCATCGAAAGTGATATGCCAACTGCCAAGACAGGCTCCAAAGCCCAATATCACTGTTATGCAGCATACATCCTACAGCACTTGGAAGTCTTGTTTTCTTTCTACGGTGATGACACTGCCAAAGATCGATTTCATTTATACCAAGGACGGAAACGTGCAGCAGACAAAATGGTAAATATGCTAGTTAATGGCAGTACAAAGTATAACGAGGATCTCAGATTGAAGAAGAGAGACGACAAAGAAAAGAAGGGCTCAAAGAAGAAGAGCAATGGCAAGGCGGCTTCTCAGAAAAGACGAAAAAAGAAGAAGAAAGGAGCACCAGAGAAAAAGAGTATAGAAGAAGGGACATCAAAAGTTAAAGTGGAATTGGAGAAGAAAGATAGGTAAGGTTCATAAGCAATCATCATCAACAACTTATAGAAAGTAACATGTTTTTTGTAATAGTAGTTCAAATGCCAAATGGAGGCCCCAACCTTTCAGTGTCGGTGATGTCAAAAAAGTGCCTCTAATTGTATTTGGTAATGGTATGTTCGCTAAAGACAATGTCGCATTGAAGGGTCACCGATGTGGAACGGTGGGTGTTTTGTGGCGTGCACTAAAGCGACGTGAAGCAAGCGGAGACTTGGTAGTACTTGAAATTGATGAATACAAGACATCCAGAATATGCTCCTGCTGCTCTAACGATACTTTGGAGAGGTTGAAAGGCGTTGAGACCTGCAGTATACTTGTTTGTAAGACATGCCATATACTGTGGAATCGAGACGTCAATGCTGCCAAGAATATGATGAAAATTAGTTGTACTATTTGGAAGGCTCTAGGAAGGCCAAAAGAATTCACACGGACAAAAAAATAAAAGCATCCTCTCCCTCAACATCGCTGGAACGAACCCAGTTTGATAATTACAGGTAAAAAGAATGAAAACCTTATACTTTCTAGTGTTGTGCAAACTGTCTAACATTTTATTCTTAACGGTCTACTATTATCTTACATCCGCTTAAACTTAATTTCCTTATCGTCTAAAAATTTGTGTGTGTTGTCCAAATCTAAAGTTAATAAACTGTAAGAGAGTTTGGAGATAATACAGATATTCAGGGTGAGGCAGCCATAAATGGAAGAGCAATTCCTGATAGTATTTAATTAGATTTTCTTTGATTACGGGGACATGAGCGATAGGGACGAGTTAAGGCTTTCCTTATTTAACCTTTACAAAAAAAGCCAACAGACAGAAGGGTCATAGATGTCATGGTTAACCTGTGTGGTATTTCCATACCTCCTATAATATATAAACACGAATTAGACACACCTTCAAACACAAGACACGTTATTATGACCATAGAATCAGATGCCATTTTGTATAGAAAGCCGCATATATAATGCTGCATTCCTAATGGTTAAGAAATTAAGGAACGAGTATTTAACCACTTTTTTGTTTCTTTTCTTTTCCTTCTTTCTTTTGTTGTCAAATATAAAATATTTAGTTCGCCATGAACACTCCCCTCTCTCTCACTTTCATTATATAATAAAAGGACTAGTTTATTTCAACTATTAAGTCCTGTTCACTTAATAAGAAATCAACCACAAAAATCATAACCTGTACGTAATACACATAAGTTTTAGGAAATACAATCTACTACTAACAGGTACTAAATTTCAATTTCTACTCTAAATAAGCTTCCGATGGAAGACATTAAAGAACATGGCATTGAAGACGAAGAGTTGATAGTGAACCGTATCGATCCTATTATCATTTCTCTTCTACATGAGTCTGGCGATGACAAGATATTCATTTGGTGAAGAAATATTTATAGTAAAATATACTTGATAGCAATAAAGATTCTGACTCTTCATTCAATAGTCAGGAATCGTACTGCATTGCAGAACTACGAGACACGCCCTAATGCTGGCTGTGTCGCTCTAAAGGAGAAAGACTTGATACGACTGTCATTGTTTGGCATGAACGCGCTTGAAAAACATAATTCAAAGTGCATTTTGTTGACCAATCACTATGTCAATTTTATCAATGACGTTCTAGCCGAGATAGACAAATTTCCTGAAATGAAGGGACAGTATCTGATCATGGATAATGCGCCCATATATACAGGTAAAATAATTGGTGAAATGATTGAAGAATGCGGCTACAAGTGCATTTGCTTGCCATCTTACTCTCCAGAACTCAACTCAATAGAACAATTTTGGTCTGTTATTAAGAGTAGTGTGAAAAGAGAGTTTGTACTTAAAAAGACACTATTCCTTAAATAAGTACAGATACTAGCAACCAAGTTGCCCAGTCATCTTTTGAAGGGGTTTCATGCTATTTCACTAGACGTTGTGATGACTGCCTTGCAGACCATCCTATCTAATAAACAATTATGTATGCGACCTATTTTTATTTTACTTTATTCTATTTTTTTTTTTTTTTTTTTTTTTTTTTTTTTTTTTTTGAAAAGAAAACACGACACTGTTTTTCTAAAAAAGTGCGACATTATTTTCCTGAATTATGCGATACTCTTTTCTAAAAGCATACGACATTGTTTTATTTAAAAGCGTGGACACTTTAATTTTTTTTTCTTTTTTGCAAGTGGCAAAAGGTGTATATGGGGATATAGAATATAGTCTGATGGGAAATAGAAAAATATCTCGTAACCAGCCGAGAATATGTTAGAGGGAATATATATAAAAAAAAATGGTTGAATTTTTGATACAGTCTTAGTCAAGCAAACCATCATTTCAAAAGGATATGCCTTAAGAGATGAATTTCAAGCTTTCCGAAACTGGTGCTTGGAAGACACCGGATGTAATTTCACCCTCAATAATTATATAGACAGCCATTGCCTTTCCTTCAGAATTATTGTAAGTTATTCTCACTTTATTACCTTTTTGAGATACCTTGCCATCGACCACGTTGGTAACCTTGATATTGTCAGCCACTTTGAACTCAAGTATGATGGTAGAGTTGAAGGGCGTGCTGTTGAGACGACGAGCATTAATAAGAGCCTTGAAGCTGTCGCTGTCAATTTCTGAAACGGAGAATTGAGAAATAACATCATCAGACTTATAAGCCTTGGCAACGGGGCCTTCATGAGTAAGAGGAGTATTTTCATCATCACTGTCGCCGGTTTCAGAAGTCTTGGAGCCAGAAGCAACAGCTTTCTTAGATCCGGAAGCACGGCAAGTGTTAGCGCTAGTACCTTCACCACAGTAAGCGGAAAAGCCGTCAGTGGTTGTGAAACAAGTGAGAGTTGGAGGACATTTAGTAAGGACCCAAGCACCATGATCACACTTGGCAAAGAAATCGCCCGAACAAGTAACAGCACCATCTGTAGGGCACGAGTCACCTTGTCTAACACACTTCGAGGCAAGGGCTCGTGAATCATAGGAATTTTCAGAAGTGGAAGAGTCACTGGTCGATTTCTTATTGTTGGAAGATTGATCTTTGTCGTCCAAATCACATTCTTCGTCGTCACTGTTGTGCTCAGTAACATTGTCCTTGGAGCTTTGACTGTCGTGGCCTTCCCATTCACAATTTTCGTCATCATCATCATTATTATGCTTGGAATTATGTTTCGTTATTGTTGTTTTGTTTTTGGAAGTCTTGGTCTTCTTGGAGGATTTATGCTTAGTCGTCTTTTTAGTCTTCTGAGTAGGCTTGGTCTTGTCAGTTTTGCGGGTCTTGGTAGTCTTGGTGCTCTTGGGCGTCTTATACGCGGGATTAACCGATCTAGTAGTCTTGACGGGCTTGCTGGATCTGCTAGACTTACTAGTTTTAGGATGCTTGCTGTTTCGAGAACATTTATCCACCGTGTCTGTGATTGAAGAGTTCTTGGAGGCATCAGAAAGCCCATGCACCAAATTAGCAACCGCCATATGATAATCAGGTTTGACGTCAGTGTTGGTATAAGAAGTGGAAGCATCTATTATCCAAAAGCAATTAGCAGAGAAAGAGAAAACACCATTGAATTTAGCTATCCATTGTATTTATCAATTTACTTACCCCAAATCATCACACCTGCAAAGCTTGAATACTTTTCATAGACATCTTTGACAATTGGTTTAAGCTTGTCTAACTTGACATAACCACTCCCAGCAGAATCCTTTGAACCAGGAATACCCATCAGAACCTTGACATCTTTATTGGGCGAACTTTTCTTTGCCCAGTCATCCCAAGTATCAAAATTGAAGCTGCTACTGGTAGCAGAACAGTAGTTGTTATAGAACTGAACATTGACAGCATCAAATTTGGCTTCGTTAATGACATCACCCAACATTTCATCTGGATAAGGACATTGTGGAGTAGCCGTCATGTAGTATTTCTTTGATTTATCCTTTTCAAAATGCTTACGAAGTTGGTTCACCATAGCCTATGCATCAAACAGAGAAAGCATATTAGTTATGTTGCAATTCATCATTAAAAATAGATAAGACTGGATTTCAAAAGGATCAGCTTACAACGTAACCGGTAGGTCCACCACCTTCGATGTCGAGGTCGAATCCATCGACAATAGCATCATCAAAGGGGCGCGTTTTATGAGAGCCGCCGCCAAACAGATTCCAGAGAGTATCAGCGAAAGCTTTAGCATCTTCATCGTTGGCAAAACCATAGCCACCACTATCGCCACCAATGGATAGTAGAACGGTTTTACCCTTTCCTTGACATGCCTTAATATCTGTTGAGAAGTTGGTAAACAATGTTATAATGCAAACTCATAGGAGAGAAGAAAGAGGCATTTTGTTTGTTTTTTCTACCTTTTCCGACATCGGGACAATGCAATAGGTTGGTGCCTTTGAAGAAATTCCAACATGTATCAGCTAAATTGAGTTCAGGAAGACCTCCATCTTTGAAATCAAGAATGAAGGACAGAAGAATAATATCAGCAGAATCATCGCAATATTCAGCCAGAGCTTTTTGTGTGTTATGTCCGTTTTTTGAATTCTAATGAATAATGATCATTTTTTAAAATGTGACCGTGTAGGAGAATGTGAACACTGAAGCAAAGTGTATTGTACCTGTCCCCAATAAGTAGCAATAGCTGGTTTATCAAGGAAAGCTTGAGTACTTTGAATTGCAAGTAAAATGGCCGATGATATGCCAATAAACTTATTCAAGGAAAGAATCATCTTTATTAAAGGGTATTGGTATAGAATGAATGGAGAAAGATAAAGAAAAGACGATCTTGTGAGGAACAACAAGAACAAAAGCAAAATGGCCTTTACTGTTGGATTTTTATACTGACTTGGTAAGTTGTCTTTCCAAACAGCAATAAATTACATCAATATTTGACACAAAATGACTTCCTGACAGCAATTTACGTTGAAACGAAAGATTTTATTATAAATATTAATTTTTTTTTCATTTTTTTTTAAATTTAAAGCCCAATGGACACGAGATATTAAACTTATCTAAATTGCCCTGGGCAGCTCCAAAGGCTGAAAAGAATCTAAAAACCCCTTCGGGCTCAAGGGTAAAAAGGATTATGTACTAAAGGATTGTGGGAGGGGAAGAGGGTAACCAGTCGAGCAATAGGTGCCCTAACCGAGGAGTTGTAAGCGGCACTTGAGAGTGGTGTAAGTAGTCGAGTTCAAACAAAATGTGAGAAAGTGCTGGCCATAGAAAATGCCAGTGCTGTATTTGGGATGGGTTGTTGATCGGATGTGTAGGAAGACGGTTGAGGACATAGGATATGGGATCACAGACTGATGTGGGGAGTCGTAGGCGGTGGTGCATGTTTAAACAGGAGATAGCGTGGAACTTTGTAAGTAATTACGAGGGATGTTTAAGGCAATAGGTTCGGTGGCCTCCAGGAAGCCACCCCAAACGCCATCGGATACATCGGCTGCGTTCATTAGTTGACATTGGGATATAAAGGATCGGGTTGATCATTAATCGAGAACGGCATTAAGAGATCAGTTTGGAGTTGGGGCTGTTCGATTGTTGGATGTGAAGGAGACTAGTACGGAAGTTAGCAATACAGCGTCGCAGAGCAGCTGATTCAGATCGTTGATTGAGCGGAGAAGAAGTGTATTCTTGCCAGATCGGAGAACAAGCAAGCTTGCAATATAACGATTTACTCTGATCTTTTGAAACAATCTATTTTTACTATAAATTGCTAAATTATTTGCTTTACACTCTTTTCCAAAATCAAAGTCGTAACCCGCTCCAGTTCTAAATTCGCATGTTTGCCAAAATCAAAGTCATATGCTTCTATTCATTACGGCTAAAGATATCTCTAAATATATCGAGTCTCGAGGATATCAATGTGCCTACCTTCCGTCATACTCTCCTGAACTCGATCTATTGAGCAATTTTGGTCGGTTGTTAAGAGCACAAAGTTAAATGCAGTAGGTTGTTGGGAAAGCGAGACGTTGATGACACGAATCGGCGAAGCTTCCAATAGCTTAAGGTTGAGTGACTTCGAAGGTTTGTTTCTCATTCTTATAGATGCTTAGACAAGTGTCCTAATAGAGAACAACTATGATGCTCTTTTTTTTCAGCACTTTACGAAGGAAAAAAAAATTTGATGAGAACTCTAGTAGTAACTGATGTCAGCTTAATTGGTAACCGGTGTCTGCTTAATGTTTGTAACCGATGTCAGCTTAATGTTTAGACCGGTGTCTGTTTAATTTGTAACCGATGTCTGCTTAATGTTTAAACCCATGTCAGCTTTATTTGTAACCAATATCAGTTTAGTTACGAGTTTGAGCTTAATGTATGGAGCAAGTAGAAACCATATGTTGGATAATTTGGGCAAGGCAGATGATGAGAAAAAAAAAGTGTGTTTTGTTGGTCATTTCATATATTTGTTACATTCAGCTTGTCGATCAATCCAATTGATCAACTACATACTGAAACGTCTATTTTTTATAATTCATGTAACTATCTTAAACCCTAGCTTAACAAGATATAATATATACAATAGCTATTCGCGTATTAATAAAATATGAACTTTTTACCTCGTTTAGTTCGAATATTCTGATGAATCACTTGTATTTATCACGGGTGAGGCCTTGCGGGAAATCTGAAGAGGATATTGGGTCAGCAGCCCTGTTCATATTGTTGATACGTTCTTGTAGGTTGTCAATTTGACGACGGGCTTCAGAGAGTTCGTTTATCAGGCGTTCAACAGTCTGTTATAACTGTTGGACAAGTGTTGCTTGGTTATTGCCAGTATTGGGATCGGAGGAGGTGATGGTCTCCTTATGCATAGCTTGGGTGGAAGTCCATGAAGCTCGAGAGCTTCCGAGAATGGCGTGGACTATGGGATATAGTTCAAACGCTTTGATGGTTTTATGACATGAAATACATGCTTTATATAAATTTCTCCTTTTTAAGCAAGCGACTCAAATAGACGTTTACACATTAAACAAAACTACATATCGAAAACAAAACCTTTGACAACTGTAATGGGACCATTAAGAGGCTCCTACAATAAAGCTGCATTCCCCACAGTTCTCAAACACCTAATATGTCCTGAATGTTTTGAAACTACAACGTTTCACAAACACGGTTCCTCGACCAAAGAACCCTTTTGGAAAGCGGAAAAAGGGTCCGGTTCGTTACTTAAACAAGGATTTTTATTACTGACATTTTTTAAGCCCAATAGACACGAGATATTAAAGCTTATCTAGATTGCCCGGGGCAGCTCGATTTGAGAATAGAGCTATGCATAGTGTCGGTCAGGGTGCCGTGGTGGGCGAAAAAGCATACTATCTAAATGGGGGGAGAGGGAAGGGGCTAAACTAATCATTATAATTGGTAGGCTAAGACTTTGGGTGCGGTTCGTGATCTTGCTTAATTAAGCCTGGGCGGGCACCGCAATTATTTATAACTTGTTTTAGACACCAACACCGACTGAGAACCACCTTGATAGCGGCATTAAAAAACCCTAGGAAGCAGAGAGAAAGGGATCAAAGCTGAAAAAATATCAGCGGCGTACAGGAATCAAACCAACAATCTTTGGTTTGGAAAGCCAAGGTGCTAATTACCTCCACCGGGGGCTAGGCCCCTTATAACAATATAAGTTTATACAGAGTTGTTTAGACTTGCTGTCTGGACCAGAGATTATCCACTATACTTGTATGGCAATATGCTTTTTATGCTTTACTTCTTAATGCGTTATTAAAATGGTGGAAAATTGTACGCTGACTTGAGTATCAAGTCTCTATGTGATCACTGTTGCATCAAATGTCAACCTTTTCAGCATGAATTAAACAAGTAAACAATTGTACCAACGAATAGAGGGGAAGGGGTTACGCGTTATCACCGCGTAATAATTTATTCATTTTTGGAAATTTTAGTTTCCCCATCGGCCTTTCCGTTTTACTCCCGGAGATTCAACACAAGCATATCCCAACATCAATTATGTAATTGAACCCTACTGCTATTTTAAATCATTATCCTTTAGTTTAATATTACAATAATCATAATTAACGGGATTTGACTGTTTACACTGTGAGTGTATGCAGGAAAGGATTTGTAAATCTTTATCTCTCGATGGAAAGCCAACGAAAGGATATATAGCAGTCGGTCTGCTTTACAAAACTTCAGTTTTTGTGCTTGCACTTAATGATCACATTATTTTAATCTTCATATCGTTGCTGTTTGTAGTAGATGGTTCAGAATAGTTTGGGAAGTCCTTGTTTGCAAGTTTGATGGAGTCTGAAGTTCGACTTTCCACCTGACAATGCAGCTAAACTGATAATAAGGGCAAATAGCTTACTGTATTTTTTCTTCTATTGAAAGGTTTCTATTAAATAAATACGGAGAAATCAGAATTGACGGTTGGTTGCTGAATTAAATTGCGAACAAGCAGCTCTAAGCATTTTGCTAAGCACGTAGCTATTTGAAGCTGTTGCTTTCAAGAAGTTTCTCTTCTGTGTTCTCATGGAAGCTTTGAAACACGATGGTCGGGCGGCAATTTCTCATCACACAGAGCTTCAGATTTTCAGCATTAAGGTTTCTTCACCACAACACATCACAAGTGTTGCAGACGTGAATACATATGATGTTGGTTTAATTAGAAAGCTATATTTGTTATGAACAAATCTGAAACAAATTATTTTGAACTGCGGAACTTGCCAATGACTACAACAGCTATTAAAGGGCAGCTTAGTCTCTGTAATAGCTACTTTAAGGTCTTTCCATTACACCTGTTTTACCTCCTTGACTTTGGTAGGCAACCTTCCGTTCATAACGGCACTGAATTAAGGGCGAAGTTTTTTAACGATGTTACTGCTATAATTGTATTTTTCCTTTGAAAGTAATTTCCAGGCTTCAAATGAGTAAATTACCTGCTACTTTCAATGGGTTTTTATTTATTTTTTTCGAAGCATTATTATGTTTTACTTCTTTTTGAACATTGATTCTATCTGCTTCCTTCGTGTGCGCTTTGCTCTTAAGCATTTATTTTTCCTGCTTATTTTTTTTTTTTTCAATTATTTGCTTCTCCATATTGTATTGCTTGCCTTCATCATTTGCATATGGCTATCTCGTCATCAGTCATTTTATCACCTTTTTAAAGTTATAAAATAAAGGTGCAGGTAGCGTATGTAAAATTTGAAACGTATATGTAAGGTACTGCTTGTATCCTTCATCAGTTTAAGCAATTTTGCTAGTTAAAGCATCTTTTTTGTCGTTGAGGTGGATAAGGTCAAAGTATTAGAACAGTATGTTCATAAAATTATGCTTGGCGCTTAGAATCGCTGACCATTACATTTTGTAGTTGAATAGTACAAGATTGAAATATTGTGAAGCGTCTTCAGACTGTTATGCACCTATTTTCATCTTTCTATCCTTTCGAGCAATTTAGAGCTTCCAAATAAAGTCAATGAAAAGGCAGTTTCTTGATATCCACAGCAATAGAAACTGGCTAACATTTCCATTTGAGCCACTACCACTACAGAAATCTTTATAGACCGCGAGCTTTTCTCTCGCAAAGCAACATCTGCTTCATATTTGTCTGGATTTAATTATAGTAATATGCTTCAAAGACATGTTCATTCTCTGATATGTAACAAGTAAGCGCGTATTTAAAGGTGGTGCAGCAACTTTTTCATATTTTACAATACTGTAACCTAGCATCCCTTTTATATTTGATTATAGGTTTAAGGGCGGTAAAAAAACTGATCAGATGCTTGTAAAAGCTCGACTACTGCAATTGCTGGTAAACTGTGAAAAAAAAAAAGACAAGCTAGAATCGTACGATGATTAGTTGGAGTTACCTCAAATACGTTCTGAATATCAACTGGCCTGCGTGACCCCCCACCAAATGGGAAATAGTAAAGTCTGTCCAGGCAGTCTTTCAGCTTACCTTTCATTGAGATTGGTTCCTTTTGGCATACAATCATCATGTAGAGGCGGGTTTTTCACAATCTATTGAAACCGTAGGCAATTTTTGAGTTCTTTTTTAAGGAGTTGGGAACTATTTTTCATTAGATGTCACAACCATTGAGCAGTTTCGATCTTTGTAAGAAGAATATTGAATGTAACTTTAAACGATGCAATGTTTTATTTTTTTCTTGTTTATTTAAGGAAGATCCCAGTTTAATCCAGGTACTTCTCTGTATTTCTCTTTATTCTTATACTCTAGTCTACCCCTTTTGATAATATTAATAGCAAGAATGGCCTATAATGAACCAACCTCAGCGTCATTGTTTCCTAAAGAGTAACCACTTATTATACAATCGTTATATTTAAGAGCCTGCTCATTTAAGTTGCTGTATGAACTAATCTTTCTTTATCCATCTTAAATTTTTTGTTCTTTTTTGCTAGACAGAATTACACGGTTTACCAACAAAATCAGCATCAATTTTTCTCCCAGAACCAGTCTATTACCAATTATCGACCTAGTACATATTATCGGTCACCTGAGAAATCCACTATCAGTTATAGTAGTCCAGCCGCTAGTCCACAGCTACCTGGTTATTTCTCACCTTCGTCACTATCCACTGCCTCTCCCAAAACAAGTCCCACCAACAATTCTTTCATTATGGACCACCCCCTTCATTACAGCTCCACTGCTTCTCCCCACCAGCAACTCTTTCTCGCAAGTCCTAGCCCACCTACTAGCAATAGCAATAGCCTGCTTTCACACATGCATAAAAATTCCGGGTAAGTCTCTTACTACACTAATGTGCTATTCTTTATCCGGGAGAGTAATCCGATCCAGTACTTCTTTAATACTTATAATGTGTAACCCATGCAGAAATTGCATTGAAATATAAAAAAAGAAGAAATGGTTAAGCTTCTTGTGATACTGACGACAAAAAACTTTTTTTTGGATAACTTTACTTGTCATTTAGAGTTATACGCTTTGATGCTTGTCTAGAAGGTATTTGTGAATAAAAAGAATGACATCAGATAACCGGAAGCTTAACAGACGTTCTAAACTTTAACTAACGGATAATAGCACCTACCGCTGCGTCACAGAAATTAGAGGAACCACCTCTTACCTACTTGAATAAAGGACAGTATTACACCATCAATTTACGCGATAGAGAAGGATTTGATGGTGATATCATCAGTACCATAGCAATCACTTTCCATGATGAAAATCATAGAATAAGCGCTGCTGATTACTGGAAATTTTGGCTGACGCAACAAAAAAATAGCGAAGAGGCCAGAGCGGTTGAGTTGGGTAAGAAATAATGGGACAATATACCGTGGTTTTTGAATTGTCAAGAACTCATGAAAAAGGTTGTAATTTTAGATTTGACAAAATCAAGTGGTGTACAAGCAATTGAAAATCGACAGTTTGATCGAGCATCTTTCAAATGGAACGGAAAGCACGGTGCTTCAGTCCAAATTAGGTTTAATTGTCTATCAACAGATTTTTCTAGAATTAAGGGCGTAAAAGGCATTCCACTAAGATTACAAATTCATTGTGAGCAAGTGTCATCATCCCCACCTCAGCAACAACACGGGCATCAGTTACATTTGACTGAAAAGACTTATTGCCGAATCAAACTATTTCGAGACAAGGTAGAAGCAAGCATGCATATTATGAAAGAGCTTATCTTTATATATTATAAACTAACACTTTTGTATAAAGGGAGCTGAGAGAAAAAATAAAGACGATGCGAAGCATATCGAGCGCCAGCTCGAAAAGATAAGGGGCAAGAACGGTGAGCCCCATCCATTATGGTTAGCATTTACTCCAACATCTGCAATTACACTTTTCCGTGAAATTGTACCACCAGATGAAGATGATAGCCTTTACCAACTTCAGGCTCTCATGGACGAGCGAAATTCACTATTACAACAGCAACAAAGACAGCAGTCCTCTTTAAATTTCAATACTGGAAGTCACCGTATAGCGCACCACCTGTCAGGAAACATTCTATTACCACCACCAACATCGTTGAAGCGAAGTATTCATCAACAACTGCACCAAAAAGGAGTCTCTGCTTCTGATGACAATTGCTCTATAACTGATGGTGGTCCTACAATAGCAACAACCGTAGACATCGACCCGACATATATACCGCAAAGAAGACGTCGAATCGCCAGTAAGTATTTGTGTGAATTTTAACGCTAGATATACAATTCAAAAAAAATTGCTAAACGACATCATTTGTAAATGTTTGGCAGAATTGAGTCTTCTCGTCAAATTCTCTCCAGCCTCAGATATTTACAGAGCCATCTATCTAGAACATTTAACAGTGAAGGAATTGATCGATAAACTGTCACAAAGAATGGACGACTTCGATCCTAAAACGACAACTGTATCCGCTGTACTACGAAAAATAGTACCCAAAAAAGATGAGGCAAACAAAAAGCCAATCTTTGTGAATGTAGATGATGAAGTTATTCAGGATATGAATGAAGAGCAAGATATCCTGATTGAAACAGAGAAGAATCCGGGCGATAAGAGCATCAAAATCATTCTCAATTTTTAGCTTGCATTTGAGCTGTTCATTCCTTTCTAATTGCATAAAGACACAACTCACGACTGTACAAAATAACAACTTTGCTCATGTTAAAAAATCATTTTTCTGTTTATAAAGTGGTGAACGAAATAGTCAAAGCTCAGCGATGTACGCATTTAGTACTGAGTTTAAAATTGTCGTGAGGGGTTGCTGTGTTCTTTTTTTGAATCGCTTGGTTTGTGGGGAAAGCAATTAAGCATGCCGTGGTTTTAGTCATTATAAACACATCCTGAGCGAAAGATGCAAGGTTTCGAGTCTACAGAAAGACTTCTCATGTATACAGTGAGCTATAATTATATCAAATGTGGGGCCTGAATGTTATAGCAATTGTCACCGCAGAGTTTAACTTAGCTTATGACTGACGTCACCTGCTAAAACTCACCGAACTTTGCCCCTTCCACTTTTCAAAGTCCTTTACCAACCTGGAATTGCCATCTTCCAACCAGCCCAAAGGCAACAACTACTTTTCCCTAACTTTCAATTTAGAGATTTGAGCATATAAATGAACGTTCTCACTAGATCAGCCCGTGCAGCATTGAAGCCTCTTTCTATGGGTAAATGCTTGCTAACCAATGTTGAAGCGCTGGAATGAACGATTGACCAAGTCTTTTATTATTATGTCACCTATAGCCCGTTTTTACGCTACTGAAGCACCTGCTGCTTCTGAAGCTCTTCGTTTAACCTTTGTTGTTCCTCACAAGGTATGAATATTTACACTAATAGTCCAAAGCTGATCAGGGAACTCAACCTCATTCAAACAACATTTGCTATTCAAAACAAAAAAGGCAATCTACAAAGGTTCTAATGTTCAACAAGTCAACTTGGCTGCCACTTCTGGTGACATGGGTATTCTTGCCAATCACGTTCCCTCTATCGAACAATTAAACCCTGGTGTTGTTGAGATCATCGAAAGCGGTGATATCACCAAGAAGTTCTTCGGTAGGAGTCGCAACCAAGCACCTTGACTGATATTCTTACCATTTATACACTAACTTAATTTGATCTGCAGTTTCTGGCGGTTTTGCTACCATCAACCCTGACAACTCTCTCAACATTAACGCAGTGGAAGCTTTCCCTCTTGAAGAATTCTCTGCTGAGGTAAATCATAAAAGAACTAACCCAGACGTCATTTTTTGACACTGGAAAATGGACGAGTGAAATGGTACTTGTATTAATGTACTTACATGCTTTCGATCTGCGTCAATAGCGTGTCCAAGCCGGTCTCGCTGAAGCTCAACGCCAAGCAGGTAATGCTAGCACTGATGCTGAAAAGGCTGCTGCAAAGATCGAAGTTGAACTTTATGAAGCTCTTCAATCAGCCTTATCCAAGTAAATTAGTCGATCGTATTTAAATTGTAATTTATAAAATCCAGCTACGACTACCAAATGACAGCCTATATCTCTCTTTACCCCTCTCTTCTTGAAGTCAACCAAATGATATTACAATGTACAAACAAAGGATTTTGATATAAAGAACATTGTGTTGGTTTTGATTGTACTGGAGATTAATTTTTCAATTGTTTCAATAAAAGCAAGCCTTATTTGGGAAGAAAAAAAAAAGGCTAATCAAAGAAAATCTTAGCTTTTGCAATGCATCGTCCTATGTCTAAATTATTTATTATTTCCTGATATACAGGACAAATTCGTATTCGAAGTGCTGATACTTTTGCCTGCCAAACGGAATATTTTTATCTTTCAAAAACGTTTTTAATTCTTCATGTTGAGCCAGCCGAAACACTTTGGGGTCAATTTCGGGTATAAATCTATCGCAAAGGATTCTAGTAGAACTGTGTATTTCCGTAATCAATAAATGCGTGCATTCAGGAAGTAACAGGCTTTGTCTATAGATTTCTTCACCTCCGAGAATGAATATGTATCCATCATCCTTGGATAATGCATAAGCTCGGGCAATTGCTTCTTCCAAGCTCGTTGTCAACTCCACATTGGATGAAACACCGCTGTAGGTAGCGATTAAATAAAGAGAGATACGCATCTCATTGTCTCTTTTTTTTTTTTTTTTTTTTTTTTACTTAAACTTACACGTTATAATCCTTATTTCCAGATATGATGATGTTATACCTATTAGCCAATGGTACACCTAACATTGGATGAGCCTCGAATGTTCGACGGCCCATGATAACTATATTATTCCAATCCGTTGAGCTTCTAACATTATCGAAAACGACATCACCGTAAGATTTTGTAGTGGTTTCCTCAAAATACTTCCAATCTCCGGGTATATTCCATGGAAGTGCATTATTGTAACCAATGCCACCATTCTCCTTGAGCGCTGCTGCCATAATAATGAGCGGCGGCTTTTTCATATCTGCTGAAATCATTTCTGATTTGAGGAACAAATGGAAGAAAATGTAAAAGTGAGGTACCTCATCACTAGAGAACTGCACACCTATCTTATTACCTATTTCCCAAATTAGCCAATGGGGAATAAGCACACCACAAGCTAATATTGTACGGAAGAACAACCTGCCACTTAAACGGATGCTAAAAGCGGGCAATAAAATAGAAAGAAGCGATTTTCGTTGTGTGCCAATACAGGACAAAGTAAACTTCTTTATCAAGCTATATTCTTTTGTGCATACACTTGAAGAAAACCACGTGGGGGCTTCTTCCTAATCTCAAATTTAAAATCTATTTCTAAAAAGTTAGAAAGAATGGCGACAGATCTCTGCTATACTCTCGTTTATCAGGACGACGCGACCGAAACGCCTTCCATTCAAGAATTTCAGAGAGCTTTTGAAAGAGGCCCTGATGAAGTTCGTATCGAAACGATGAAGAAATTACTCGTCATTATGCTGAACGGTGACCCTATGGAGAAACTCCTATTGCATGTCATCCGTTTCGTTTTACCATCCAAAAACAAGCAATTGAAAAAGTTACTACAATTTTATTGGGAAATCTGCCCTAAAACCAAGCCAGATGGAAAGCTCAAGGATGAATTCATTCTAGTTTGGTAACTTATAACACTTGTTGCTTGAATAGTGGCCCTTACGTATTTGCTAAATTTGCATTCATCATTCAATTCTACTTCAGTAATGCGCTTATGCACGATCTACAACATCCAAACGAATATATCCGAGGTTCGACTCTTCGTTTCTTATGTAAAATTAAGGAAGCAGAAGTTTTAGAACCACTTGTTCCATCCGTGAGAGCTTGTTTGGTAAACTAAAGCAACCACCCAACATTATAACCAAAATATGGTTCGCTTACTAAATTGTTTTTTTTTTTTTGTTCTTCGGTACCTCTAGGAACATCGCCATTCCTACGTCAGAAAGAACGCCGTTTTCGCCATTGGTTCCATCTACAAAGTCTTCGACCATCTTTTCCCTGATGCACCCGAAGTCATTCAGTCTTTCTTACTTTCTGTAAGTATCCAAACATGCTCGAAGAAGTATGAAGCAATCAGCAATTTCAATAACAAAGCAAACATTTCCTACAATATAGGAAGCAGATACGACTTGCAGGCGTAACGCTTTTGTCGTTCTTTGCAGCATCGACCAAGCGATTGCTGTAAACTATTTGATTCAAGTTATCGACTCAGTTCCTAACTTTGACGAGTTATTGCAGTTGGCAGTCATCGAACTTATCCGTAAAGACTCTAAAGTTAGCTCTGCTAACAAGGTAATAAGGAACCTTTTTTATTAAGCTATGCTTATTCATCCTTCTGACTTGCAATCGTTATTATATCCAGGCTGCTTACATCCGCTGCCTATCAGAACTGCTAGCAGCAGCAGCTCATTCAGTTAAATATGAAGCTGCTGCAGTCCTTTTATACTTAACCACGAGCCCTGCAGCTGTCAAAGGTAGTGAAATTTCCATGCTTGGCATCATTCATTCGAACCATAACTAAACTTTGAGCTTTATTGACATATAGCTGCTGCATCTTGTTATATCGAATTAATTGTCAAGGAATCGGACAATAATGTCAAGCTTATCGTTCTTGACAGATTGGAGGAGATTCGAAATAAGCATGACCGCGTTTTGGATGATTTGGTTATGGACATTCTACAGGTTTTATCGAGGTATAGTCTTTAAAAGTATAGAGTCTACCACTTTTTAATAAGAAGATAACTAAAAAGTGACTTTTTCATTTGGTAGTCCTGACATTGAAGTGCGTCGTAAGGCTATTCGTATTGCAATGGAGATGGTTTCATCGAGAAATGTTCAGGAAGTTGTTCTTTTCTTAAAGAAAGAATTGACAAAAACTCAAGACGATGCGTATGAAAAGGTTTGGGTCGATTTCATTTCTTGTAAAGTATTATTCTTTTTCTGAGCAGGAAATAACCTTTCACCATCAACACATTTTAGAATACTGAATATCGTCAATTATTGATTCAATCAATTCACACATGCGCTATCAAATTTTCAGAGGTTGCAGCCAATGTTGTTCATGTTCTTATGGAATTCTTGGGCGACTCGAATAACCCTGCTGCCGTCGACGTTGTTGCTTTCGTTAGAGAAGTTGTCCAAAAATTCCCAGGTTTAAGAGAATCTATTTTGGAAAAGCTGTTGGATACTTTTTCGGATATGAAATCAGCAAAGGTTTTCCGTGGTGCTCTTTGGATTATCGGTGAATATTGCGAAAGTGCAAAGGAAATTGAAGATGCCTGGTCCCAAATTCGTCAAACTTTGGGTGAAATTCCCTTATTAGCTTCTGAGCAGAAATTATTAGATGCTACCGAAGCTGCCGAAAACAACGAAAACGATAAGAGTGCTGATAAATCCAGTGCTATTCCTTCAGGAAATGCAGCTCCTCGTCGTATCCTTGCCGACGGCACTTATGCAACTGAAAGTGCTTATACAGAATCCTCATCTGCTGCTTCAAGACTTGAGGCAGTCAAGGCTGCTAAGAAGCCTCCACTTCGTTCTCTCTTATTAGCTGGTGATTATTTCCTTGGCACGGTCCTTTCTACTGCTTTAACAAAATTGGTCCTCCGCTATAACGAAGTTGCTAATGATACAGCTTCTGCAAACGCTCGTAAAGCCGAGGCAATGTTGATTATGACTAGCATCTTACGTATCGGACAGTCCAAATTTGTCGCTTTCGAAATCGATGAAGATTCTTACGATCGTATTATGCAAGACCTCCGTGTTGTCGGTTCTGCCGGCCAAGATAAGGAGATTGACAATGTCTATCTTAAGGAAACCCGTGAAGCGTACGCTAAACAATTACAAGCCGAAGAAAAGCGTTTGGCTGATGCCAAAGCAGAAAATGATGCTGGTGTTCAAATACAGGTGGATGATGCGATTGTCTTCCGTCAATTCACAAAGAAGTCCGGTGGTGTTGCTGATGAATATGAACAAGATCTTTCGCGTGCTACTGGAACGCTTGACGATAAGAACGATCTCATGAATAAATTGAACAGAATTGTACAATTGACCGGCTTTTCAGACAATGTCTATGCCGAAGCCATTGTTAACGTTCATCAATATGATATCCTTATGGATGTATTGATCGTGAACCAAACCAATGAAACTTTACAAAACTTGACAGTAGAATTCGCCACTTTAGGCGATTTGAAGCTTGTCGACCGTCCTTCAACGTACAATTTAGCTCCACGATCTTTCTTAACAGTCAAAGCGCCAATCAAGGTTTCGTCTACTGAAACAGGTGTTATCTTTGGTAACATTGTATACGACTGCCACGGATCAACAGAAAACTGCGTTGTTTTGAACGACATTCACATCGATATCATGGACTATATAAATCCGGCGTATTGTAATGAAACACAATTCCGTTCCATGTGGACCGAGTTTGAATGGGAAAACAAGGTTAACGTGAACACCACTGTTGGGTATGTACCTTTAAAAGCCTTAAACTATCATTCAGCAAATGTTGAACTAACAACATGCATCCTTTCTTTTCTCGCAGTGGTCTAAGAGACTATTTACAACACATTATGGACTCTACTAATATGAGTTGCTTAACACCTAAAAAGCAATTGGAAGGAGACTGTGGTTTCTTATCCGCTAACATGTATGCTAGAAGCATATTCGGTGAGGACGCACTAGCAAACTTGAGTATCGAAAAGAGTGGAGATGGACCTATCACTGGTCATATTCGTATTCGTTCCAAGACCCAGGGCATCGCATTGAGTCTCGGTGATAAAATTACATTAGCGCAGAAAGTTGCAGCATAACAAAAATTCATATCCCTAATTTCTTTTTTCTTTTTGTGAATAAAAACATTTTTTCTTTGAAGATTGGTTTTATTTTTATTGCGGGGTTTCGCGTACTTTTTTATTTTTGCATTACAGAGTCTATTTGAAAAACGTTGAACTCTAGTAGGATTGAAAAGCTAGTCGTGGTATCTTACTCTTTGCGAACACCATCATCATTTAATGCTGTGGAAGAATGAGCCAATGATCAGTGTGATCTATCGAAATTGTTCAAGAGAGCTTCCCGGTGACTTTTCCACAGTTTGACGAGTACCACCTACCCCTTGCTGATTCAATTACCGCGTAATTTCTTTTTTGGTGGGGTATACAGCCCAATACCTTTGTTTATTTTTTCTCTTTCTGTACATCTCTTTCGCCCGTAAACCATGTATATATCTCGTGCACTTGGGTTCGTAGCTGCTCAAGCTACTCGTGCTCAAGCTAGAAACTCTGCCAGACTAGCAGCCTCTCAAAGTAAACATACTTTTTGTACCTGACAATGGCATCGTCCATATACTGATTACCTTACGATTGAATAGTTAGAACATATGCCTCTGCCGCCGCTGCCGGTAAAATTCGGTAAGTTAGGGTTATATACACTTTTCAATTAAGTTTATAAGTTGCTTATAATACTGTACCGTAGTTCTGTTATCGGTGCCGTCGTCGACGTCCAATTCGACCAAGATAATTTGCCTGCTATTTTGAACGCCCTTGAAGTTCAAAACCATGCCGGTGGTCGTCTTGTTCTCGAAGTTGCTCAACATTTGGGTGAGAACACCGTGCGTACTATTGCTATGGATGGTACAGAAGGTACAATAAAAGTAACAGCACAATAGTTTGGGATGTCAAAAGCGTCAAATAGATAAAGTTTGTACACGCAAGCTAAAAACTTCTCGAAAATAAATATAAATAGGTCTTGTTCGTGGACAGGAAGTTGTAGATACCGGAGCTCCCATCACTATTCCAGTTGGTAAGGAAGTCCTTGGTCGTATCATCAACGTTATCGGTGAACCTATTGATGAACGTGGTCCTATCAATGCTAAGGCCACCCGTCCTATTCACGCCGAAGCTCCCGAATTTGTTGACCAATCCCCTACTCCTGAAATCCTCGAAACTGGTATCAAGGTCGTCGACTTGTTGGCTCCTTACGCCCGTGGTGGTAAGATTGGTCTTTTCGGTGGTGCCGGTGTTGGTAAGACTGTCTTGATTCAAGAATTGATTAACAACATTGCTAAGGCTCACGGTGGTTACTCCATTTTCTGTGGTGTCGGTGAACGTACTCGTGAAGGTAACGATCTTTACCATGAAATGATTGAAACTGGTGTCATTCAATTGGAAGGCGATTCCAAGTGTGCTTTAGTTTTCGGTCAAATGAATGAACCCCCAGGAGCCCGTGCTCGTGTTGCTTTGACCGGTTTGACCATTGCCGAATACTTCCGTGATAATGAGGGTCAAGATGTGTTACTTTTCATTGATAACATTTTCCGTTTCACTCAAGCTGGTTCTGAAGTGTCTGCCCTTTTGGGCCGTATTCCTTCTGCTGTCGGTTATCAGCCTACTCTTTCCACTGATATGGGTGGTATGCAAGAACGTATCACTACTACCAAAAATGGTTCCATTACTTCCGTCCAAGCTGTCTATGTCCCTGCTGATGACTTGACCGATCCTGCTCCTGCCACAACTTTTGCTCACTTAGACGCCACTACTGTCTTGTCCCGTTCTATTGCTGAATTGGGTATTTACCCTGCTGTTGATCCTCTTGATTCCAAGTCCCGTATCTTAGATCCCCGTATTGTCGGTGAAGAACACTACAAGGTCGCCACTGAAGTCCAACAAATCTTGCAAAATTATAAATCTCTCCAAGATATTATTGCTATTTTGGGTATGGATGAATTATCAGAAGAAGATAAGTTGGTCGTCGAACGTGCCCGTAAGATCCAACGTTTCTTGTCTCAACCTTTTGCCGTCGCTCAAGTTTTCACTGGCTATGAAGGTCGTCTTGTCAAATTGACTGACACCATTCGCTCATTCAAGGAAATTTTATCTGGTAAGCATGATGCTTTGCCCGAATCTGCTTTCTATATGCAAGGTGATATCAGTGATGTTCAAAAGCGTGCTGAAGAACTCGCCAAGGAAATGGGTTCTCAATAGATTAACGGCTAAATCAACTAGCTCTCTAGCGCCTTTAATTTATTCAAGTAAAGATACATTTTTCCAAATCAAACAAAAAAAAAGAAAAAAGTACTGTATATGTAGCATGTGTGTTTAAAATGTGTGTGTGCGTGCGTATATTGTGTCGCTGCGTTATTAGATGTTCAATAAAAATTCCAACTCTTACTCTTCAGAATTAGATAACCAGAACGTAATTGTTGCTAAACGACTTGAGGCGAAATGTTTTCAGATGCTTTCTCTCGACCGAATATTACAATGTTACTCTAGCTTTTTACCTAGTGGCTTATTCAATGCATTTTCATGATACGTTTACGGAGACACCTCAAAAACCAGCTGCCTCTTTTTCTCCTTCCGACGTTTACATCTTTCAAACTAAATACTTTACATCATCAGCTAACCATGACCATAAAAAATACGTCTTTAGCAAAATTGCAGGATATAGACGAAGCAGTTAAAACGTTACAAGATATAATATTGAGACAATATGAAAAGAAATTGAATGTAATCGATCTTCAGTTCAAAGAACTTTTTCAACCATTAAATTCGTTCTACAACATTATATTGAATAAATAACCAATAATCTCGTAGGGCAGCTTAACAGAGAATAGTTATAGTGAAATTGACGAAGAAGAGATTAGTAGGCATTTTGAAGCGATAAAGGATCTGGCAGTAGAGTCTTTTACGGCAATTTTTCAAAGTAAACAAGCGACATTGGAAGCAAGAGAACGAATGAATGAGAAAAAGCTCGCACTTCAAGAAGTTATGTATGAAAAACGGCACATTCTCGAAGAAATCGTGCAATGTCAAGAATTTAGATCAGTTTTTCAAGACATAGAGCTTATTCCTTTGGAAGAATTTCAAGAAAATGCAGGAGAAGAGTATAAAAGAGACGTTGATAACCCTCATCAGCTCTTTATCAATCGCTTAAAATATGAGCTTGTGATCAGATCAGCGTAAGTTTTAATGGCTCTTCAGTAAATTAATTGGCATCCTTGGCTTATCCTGCTAATCAATTTGTGGTCCAATATTTGTATAGCCTAAAAGAACAACAAGAAGCATTACAAATTCAAAAGACTCAATTGATCAAAGAAAATAGAAAAGCACAAATGAAGATAGATCAAATTGATAAGTTGTTGGATGATTTTGTGCAGGTACTAATTAAAATAATATACATCCTTTGAAAGAAGTATCTTGCTTATAGGACTTTCTTCATTTAATCATGTAAAGGCTGCCTCGCCCATACAAGAAGCTTTGGCAGCTGCTGAGGTAGAGCTTAAAAAGCTACAGGAAGAAGAGCAGCAGATAGATGCGGACAACAGTAGTAATGCAAATCTAATAGCTATGGAAGAGGATAATGATAAAGTTACAGTTGAGAACGGAGGCACTGACTTAAGTAATGTCAATAACACCACACCCTCCGTACAGACTGCTACAGAAGCGATGGACACCACCAGTTAAATCGACTTTGCAAGTACTTCATTTTTTGTACATAGTTCGAATAAATAATCATACAATTATATTGCCTACTTTGCAAAACCCTATCATCTCTATATACTGTCAAATGCTTAAGGTATATATCATCACAGTTCATAATAAAAGACAATGTTAATGCGACTTGTTCATTTTCGAAATGTATATGTACAGGTCTATGGTGAGATTTATTTCATTAAATAAGCGAGGACTATCTACAAGTAAATTTATGCGTCTGCTTTTTTAGAAGCGATGGTTTGCTGATTAAGAAGATATTTTAGTGTGTATTGATTATTATCGCATCTAGAGTAATGGAATGAATAGATTAGAAAATTTGAAAATTACTTTAAGCATAATTACGCTGTTTGTATACTTACAATGCCGCAATATCATCTCTGACACGATTGACGCCTTTGTGTAAAGCTCTAAAGACTGGTTGGAATTGACCGCGATGGTCGCGTAGATATCTACCATGTGCTGTCATAATATGCTTTACCCATAACAAATGGAACTCAATATGCGGACTTGTTTCCATGTGCATACCGATTAATGTCAGTAATCTGAAGAGATACTTGTCTGGCATACTGCGAGCTATAATTTCAACAGAATCTGGAGGAATGCTTTCGAAAACTTTGTGGATCAAAGGCTTCTCATTTAACCTAAATGCCATACATAGAGACTTCAGGTATTCTTTTTCCTTCAATGCTTCAATTACTGTATCGGGAGTTATATCAACTTCTAAATCAAATGGATCAAAAATGATATCTTCATCTAGAGAGTAAATCATAAGGCCAACTGTGGTCGCTGCTGTCCAAGCACGTCCAGTTGGTGAAAATCGGACAGCATTTGATTTCACTTCTGGTCTTGTTCGTCTGACGGAAAGATCGCCAGTTCTGGTACCTGGTAAGGATAAGTCACGTCGTTCTTCTGTATCTGACGACTCGCTATCCATTTCTTCAAGACTACCAAATTCAGTCATGTACTTGGAATTGAGTACTTCCTGTGTACCATCCAAAGAAAGATTTCTTGAAATAGTGAACTTCTTGATCAAGTGAGTGCTAGCTACGTCATAAATACAGACATATTTGCTGGTGCCGGAGCCGATAAGGCTTGCTCCATCTGCCGTGTAACAAAGAGAGTTGAAGCATTTACCGGAGGCTGCATTATCTGCTGAAGTGCGGTCGTTTGCCTTACGGCCACCCATAATATCTTTACGTCCCTCAATAGTGTTAATAATCTTAGCATCTGCGATATCCCAAATGGTGATCTGGCCATCCAACGTAGCTGCGGCAATTTCATGTCCATCTGGTTTGAAGGCTACTGCTAATACTTCAGTTTGATGCACTAGAGTTTCAACGATCTTGTTACGTCCAAATACATCCCAAGTACGAGCTGAATGATCCCAACTGCCACTGACAAGTAACATGCCGGTGGGAGAAAAGGCCAATGAACTGATAGGTCCAGTGTGTCCCGCTAAAATATCGAGCAATTTACCAGTCTGTACGCTCCAGACATAAATTTCAAAAGTATCCATTGTGCCTGCACAAACAATTTCTCCACTCGGATCCACGGCCAATGAAGTGAACTGAACAGGATTAGGACTGGTAAATGTTCTAAAATTACGGTATCGGATCAAGTCGAAAGCACGCACTGTGCCATCTAGACTAGCAGAGAACAAAACTTGGCCCTGTTTGGCAAATTCAACTGCCTTAACACTGCTGCTGTGCTCGCTGAAAGTGATATAACAAAATCCAGAAACTGTATTCCATACTTTGACTTTGCCGTCATCTCCACCTGTGACTAAATTCTGTCCATCTGAAGAATAAGAAATTGAATTGATATCGTAATAGTGTCCTTGTTGCTTTAGAACGTAGGTTTCTGACTGCCATTCCCAAACCAACAATTGACCTAATGTTGCCGAGCCAAATGCAAGCCATTCACCGGTAGCATTGATAGCTACTGAATCAATTTTCTTTTGAGAAACGCTATATCGCAAAATGGCTAATGTATCAGTGACTGACGCGATTGTATTATCAGAGTAATACAATGTTACCTTAGGGTATGAATAGTTGTGAAGTTAGGAACTTCATAGATGCCGAAGACACCATTGGCAAAGCCAACTACTACCAAATTACTGGCAGAAAAGAACTGTGCTTCTGTCACTTTGACACTAACTTGATTGAAATAATTCTTCTTCAAGATTCTCCATCTAACTTTATCCAAACGAACAATCTCATTCCCATCCTCGTCCACCTCTACCATTTCTGTATCAGAATCTCCATGTAATGCGGCATAAGTTGAGTTAACCCATTGGAATAAAGACCCGTCTCTGCTAACTGAATAAATCTACAGAGAATGCATAATCTTCAGCGTCCTGTTTCGTATATATTAATTGGAAAGTACAATTCTTACATTTTTCATATCTGAAGAGAACCAGGCATTCACAATATAGTCACGGTGTCCTGTTAAAACTGAAGGGACAAAATCTGGAATTGTTCGGTCTACTGTAAAGATACGACATGTCATATCCTTTGATGTTGTTAAAAAGAACCTAAAGAAAGACAAAAATGAATGAGTAAATCGGCCGCTGGTATATTGAAGGCTTTATGCTGTTTACTTTGAATCAGGACTCCAGCTGATATTTGTGATTTCATCATGATGCCCTAAAGCTTTGAAATACAACACGAACGGCGCAAATTCTCGTGTATGGCCTGGTGCTTTCCATATATCAACCGTTCTTTCATTCGTAATGGCAACGTACTTGCCGTCAGGACTAAATTGTATTGCTCTCGCTCTGGCTTTGAAATTCATGTGATGAAGTACAACTCTACGATTCAAGTTGATCAACAGTGCTCTACCATCTAACGATAACCGATGAATAACGTTGTTCAATCTTACTCAATACTGCATTAACTGGATCTAGCTGCCTTTACCTTTATCTACCGTAATTAACAATGTGCCGTTGGGTGAAAGTGCCATGCGATCGATGTCCTTTCTCATTTCGACAGGAAGTGTATAAGAAGTATTACTGTAGATGTGAAGATACAGTTAGAACTACGAGAAAGATGCAGTACATTCGACTCAACAATGGCTTACTTGACTAGGTCAAAAATTGATACTCGATTACCAACGGGACTCAAAACAGAGTTACCGTCGGGAGTAAACAGGACATTGCCACCTGTATAGACTGTACCTAATAGATTAGAAAACTGAATTCGTAAAATTAAGTATAAATAAGCTTTATTTCACGTCAACAAATATACTGATTACTTTAAAGGACGATTTCATAGTTGATGTTTTCTACAGTGGCGCCCAGACTATTTGAAAGTAAAGACTTTGAAACAGTTCATCAATTCCGTTTTTATGTTTTTGACAGGTGGCTTGTTCTTTTTCAAATTGGCCAATCATGTGCATGAAAGCAATTTTTACTATGAACCAGATTCATGCTAAATAGATCAGCGTTAAAAAACTGTACAAGCTATATATAACAACTTACTGAAATAGTGAGATCAATATTAGTAAACATTAACAGGTTTTTTTTTTTATTATTGAGCATATTGTAACCTTTATTTATTGAAACTGTCGGCAAAAGCCTTAAAATCGATCAGTTCCTGAGATGATAGAAGCGATCAATTATTGTAACAAGCCTGATTGGGTCGCTGCTGAAATTGTATGAATAAAAAGAGGCAGCAACTTTTTTGTCCCCTTTTCCCAATTCTATTACTTCTATTGTTCAGAACGAAGAAACCAGCTTCTATGTCAGAACTACCAAAAAAAAAGACAACGCTATTAGATGTATTGGATAGCAAAAAGAAAATTACTGTTTGTGCACCTATGGTACGATACAGTAAATTAGCCTTTAGAGAACTTGTTAGAAAGTAAGGGCGTACATCAGCATTAGTAAACATTTATTCGAATTCCTGATTGATCGTCAAAATTTAACTGTAGATATAATACTGATATTGCATATACTCCAATGATATTAGCCGATGTATTTAAAAATTCAGAGTTTGCTCGATCGTCAGATTTTACTACAAATGAGCTTGACGATCCTGTAGTGGTCCAGTTTGCCGCAAATAAAGGAAGCGATCTCGCAGATGCAGCAGAGCTTGTAGCACCCTATGCGGGTGGTATCGACTTGAATTGTGGCTGCCCTCAAAAATGGACGTATCAGGAAAAGATTGGAGCTTATTTAATGCAAGATCCTGAAAACGTTAGAGACATGATTCGTACAGTCAAAGGAAGAGTTAATATACCCTGTAGTATAAAAATAAGAGTACATAACGATTTAAAGTGCGTTCACTATTCACGGATGTTCTTACATATATATATAGATAGATGCTAACATGGTTTTATTTCAATTCAAAATATTAGAACAACGTACGAATTTGTCAAAAGAGCAGAATCTGTTGGAGTCGATTTCTTAGCAGTCCATGGACGTACAAGACATCAAAAATCAACTGAGCCTGTCAATTTCGAAGGGATTAAGCTAGTTAAAGAATCAATCAATCTACCAGTAATAGCCAATGGTAGTATATTTTCCGTTAAGGATGCTGATGAGATGTATGAAAAAACAGGTGTAGACGGCGTCATGTCAGCAAGGGGTCTGTTAAAAAATCCTGCTTTATTTGCCGGATACGAAACTACACCTTGGGAATGTATAGAAGATTATGTCAAATTAGCACTTGGATATGGTACAAACTCGTTTATTTTTCACCACCATTTGATGTTCATGTTTGAGGATATTATGAGCAATGCAGAAAAGAAAACATTCAACACGCTTTCAAGCATACCAGCGATATTGGACCATTTAGAGGAATATTGGGGATTGGACGCAACGAAGCTTTGTTAAATGCCTGCTGTACACTTTTCAACGACTTTTTGACTAATTTCTTTGAACAGAGGGAATAAATTGGAATTTTTGAACGACTTGACGTAAGACCCGTCACCATCCGTTTCAACCATGCTTGTGAAAGCAGGATCAATAGGAACTCTACCAAAGAAATCAATACCATATTCAGTAGCCATAGATTCTCCACCGCCAGATGAAAAGATATTTGTGCATTCCTAGAGATGAATAAAAAATACTTAATATATAGTTTTTCATTCATGCAGACAAGCTTGGGCATTTTTTTTCGTTGTGATCACTTACAGTACAATGTGGGCATACAAACCCACTCATGTTCTCTAATACTCCCAATACGGGTAAACCGACCTTTTTACAGAATGAGATCTCTTTACGAACATCAGCAATAGCAACGCCCTGAGGTGTGGTCACAATCACTGCACCGTCAGGGTTGAATTCTCTAAGATATTCGACCACGCCGATATGCTCATCTGATGTTCCTGGTGGTGTGTCAATTAATAAATAGTCTAAATCTCCCCAATATACATCTTGAAGGAATTGTTTGATCATTGCATTCTTTTTGGGCCCTCGCCAAACAACTGAATCGTTTTTATTTGTTAGTAGAAACCCAATAGACATGCAGGACAGTTGCTTCTTTTCATCAGCGTAAACTGGTACCCATCTGTAATTTTTCATTCGGTTAATAATTAAATACTTTATAGTCCATTGATATTCCATTATACTACCCTTGGGAAGCTTGGTGAATTTGTTTGCCGTCCAAACCCAACATTCTTGGAATGCTTGGTCCTGTCAGATCTATATCCAAGATTCCCACTCTATTCCCTTTGTCCACTAGACTAAGCGCTAACTGTGTCGTTACTGAAGATTTTCCTACACCGCCTTTACCGGACAGGACAAGGACAATATGTTTGACATTCGACAGATCGATCTCACCACCAGCCATGATACAACTTATGCAAATTCGAGAAAACGAGCTTCGAGCTTAGTAATGCGTTTTCGCTTCAGCTTCGGGACTCTCTGTTAAATCGGACCTTCATTTGGACATGGTTGTGACTGCTCTGGGTTGTTTATAGACTTTTTGATTCCCAATCAGGGAATTAAAAATCTCACCTACACAGGAACAAAAGATGTCGCCATCCTTACATATCTAAGGGTTATATTGTATGTAAAAAAGGAGCGAGCAACTTAGGAATTACATTTATATTCAAGAGAAGAAGTCAATGTACTGCAATAGTTTTCACTCAAGTAATAAACATAAAAAAAAGGAAAATTCATATAACACGAATAGTATTTGAGACTTAATGCCTACTCTTTTAATTTGAGTGTGGTTGCTATTTTTGTAGTTTTATGGGAGTAAATGAATTGATTTAGAGAACGCTACAACTTACGATAACACATATATTATACTTGCATTTGATGCAAAACACAATGGAATTGTGTTGCGTCCAGTAAGAAATCGATGTCTCTTAACTATTTGTGAAATACTTCTATATGCAAATGACTCTATATGTATATTCGCACACGTGATACGCTCGATAACTATAATTCTGTCAGTAAATCTATACATCAATCTCAATACACAGAATGTGCGTCATACTATCTTTTATTCTCCTGCTGCTTCGACTCTTCGAATGGAAGTCCTCAAACATCATTATTAATTACATAGACAAAACTGACTTTATGCTTGAATCTTTGCTTTATCATATGCAAAAAGCGCGTTAATAAGATCCAGCGACGTATGCAAATGTACCGTTTTGATATTATGTTATAGTTATAGCTTTAGCGCTCAATCAACTTTCAACCTGTCATTTGCTCGATTAATTCAGAGAATACATATATCAATGTAGACTCCACAATAAGAAATTGTAACCGAAAGTTCAAAGAACAAAATTTAGAGGTTGAAAGAAAAAAGAAAAGAAAAAAAAACCATTGATGTAACAGTCAATCATGAGAGAATAGCACCAATCGGACGTAGTTTGCGACCGCCACAGTACAATATATGCAGCTATTACTGCTGAAAGCGGTTGGTAATTATATACTTCAATCAAGAGCTGGACAGAGCTGGAGGAGATCAATACAACTACATTATTCGCCTGACTGGTGCTGAATATTCATACAAAAATACGAAGCAGGCGTTCGTTTACCATAAAACACATCTAGATACTCTTACTTCGAAGCCTGTTCATCGAGGATATGTATATATGCGATGATATCATCATGTTTTTGGTAGGTGAGAACATGATATTTGCGCTTTTATTAGAGGTTGTTTCTCTACCAAAAAGTTCTTATACAATTTTAAAAAGAGAATGTTGTTCAAGACTCTGGACTGCTTCCTTGAAAATAATATAAAGGGTGATATTTTTTTTCTGTCTTTTGTTTCTATAACTGCTTTTTCGTTTTTAATCTTGATCGACAGCAGAGAGGTTGACTTTGGGATTGAAGAAGAGGGATTCTTTGCCCCAGAAGAAATCACGACCACGGAAGTTGATATAAGGGTATTTAACCCATTCCTTAGGGTGGTGTGCCAAGTGTTCGTGATGTTTTTGGTAGAGATTGTAAGCGTTAAAACCAGCAGCAGCAAGACTATGTGAACGTTTAGTGATTATCAGTGAGTGTGCAGGCTTATTGCAAATACTCGTTATTGCTTTAAAAAGATAAAAATCTTTACGCTGGGATGCAAACGAAAATCGAAATCTTCTTCCAAGTGGCAGCAGCATCTATTTTAAGGGACAACGGTCGATTTTTGTATAAATAAACAGAAAAAAAAAAAAAAAAAAAAAACTACTACAAATGTTGAAACAAATCATTTGTTCTATCGTTATTTACCAGCAGCATGGTGCTTTACGGCCTCACGTTGAGTGAAGAATTCATTTTGTACACCGGTTGTTTGAAAACGAACGCCAGCACGTTTGAGAGAGGCGGTGAGTTGTGAGTTGACAATGCGAGAAGCCATTATATATATTGGTTTTTTGTATTTTTATGAGATTAAATAGGAAGATACTAAGAAAAGAGAAGGGTAGTATTATATTGTGTAGTTGAATCGAAAAAGGGAAAAAAATTGCTTTTTTGAAATCATTGTTTCTTTTAGAAAAAGTGGGTTTTCACCGAATCTTTACCCCGCCCTATTGTTGGTGTTTATTAGGGGCTTCATCTCTCCACGTAAAAAAGTGACGTCAATGGGGTGTGTGTCTGCTGTGCGAGAAAACTGCATTTTCCATCAAAATATGACTATGAAATACAATTTGCAGAAATACAAAAGGAACATGTATACCGGTGAATAATTAGTTGTAGATGATAGACAATTCAGCAATTAAATGTTCTAATACTGTTCATGAAGAGCTGTTGCCGTAGCTCATGATACAGTTGATCAAAGAACTAAAAAGCTTTTTTTGACCAAAAGGCGATTGTAAAGGTGAAGTGTTTTAAGATTGTAAATCTTATCAATTAGGATTATGGTGGACTAAATTAAGTAGCGAGACTATAAAAAGATATTGAATGTCTTTATTTCGAGTTAACGTTTGGGTCTCTTTTATATCTTTTGAAATAAGTAATTTGTTTGGAGAAAAGGCATGTCTGAGACCTTGTAAATAAATATGGGCAGATAGGAAAATACATGTAGTGTTGTTTAGGTGAGTAATTACATTATATTTGGCTTAGGAAATTATAGAGGACATCACAAAGATACAGTATCATAAGTGGAAACCCAAAAAAAAAAGTGAGGATAAAATAGGGATGAGCTGTATTTATCCGTATGATCAATGGATGTTCCTGTGTTAAAGGTTATTGAGAGATATTTCTTTAACAACAAGGCTTTACAACTTATATTGAAAGGATAAAAAAATTGTAATAGAACAGTCAATATAAGAGTGTTACGTAAAGGAACAATTCGCAGTGTTAATTTTGCCATATTGAAGAACAGATTTATATAGAGGCAAGAAAATGATACACTGTAATGATAAAAAAGATGAATTATGCATTATTGCAGACTATAAAATGAATAAAAACTTTAAAGAACTGGTATCAATTAGCACCGTAACTTAAGTGTTATGTTAAGTTGGAAAGCATCGGATAAAATGAAAAGCTCGCAAGCCATAGGTTTTTTGTCTTTTTTTCATATATTTGAACCATAAGTGCATAATTTAGACTAGAGTACTAGTATATAATATATAGTTAATCTGCTAATGTTATATTGATAGTTACAACAGCATCTCTAGTTATGAAAGAACGATCTATTTCGAGCATTAGCAAACAGATTAACTCAGCGATAGTTTCCGGCCCGTAAAAAAATACCGATGAAATGTCACATGACTTTATTATAGTTCTTAACCTGATATTTAGTTTTAAAATTATGAAAAAATTGTCAAGTGAGGGGGCCCTATTGTGTCAGAATTATCGGTTAGATAATTGGGAACCATTTGAGTGTGTATCCCTCCCCCTTAAGCGAACCTTAAGAAATAGAAAAATAGTCTAAGTAAAAAAAATTTAAGAAAAAAACTTTTGCGGTCGAAGAGCCTATTTTATTATATTAAAAATCCTAAGTCCTTTTATATCGTGCAAATTGCCCTAAGTTAACATAAACATAAAAAAAATATATATAAATAGTCATTTGTGTAATTTGATCTTGAATTCATAGTTAAACATTTTCATAAGCATAGAGGTAAATACCATAAATAGCAAAAGGGAAGAAAGACAAACGAAAGGGTGCATGCCCGGATGGCATGGACCGAAGGAACAAGTGCCCGAGGGTTTTGACATCTGACCTACTAAATTGGGCAAGAATTTGAAGCCCGCTGTAGTGAGCTGATAAATTAGCTACGGGACTTATCAAAATATCAAGTCGCTTTGTCCGAGTGGTTAAGGAGTGAGACTAGAAATCTCATACGCTCTGCGTGCGCAGGTTCAAATCCTGCAGGCGACGTTATTTTTTAATAATTATTTGATAGTAGTGCGTGGAGCGTAGATCTTTTTGGCTCACTGTTGCGCACTGGGCTTCTATATGCAACCACTGGAGGATCCAAATCAGTGCTACTAAGGCATTCTCGTTCATCAAACTGACTACGTCACGTATCTTACGGCAGTATTGGTCACAACGTTACCTGAAAGAGAAGCTGGCAGGTCCGTCCGCTACGCTTGGCATCCCACAGATTCCTTATCTTTGCCCATCTGGTTTTTGTCATCCTAGGGTTTGGAAAGTTTTTTGGTCTTTGCCTTTGCCTCATAAAGTCGTTACATGTTGGTGGCGGTTGTTACGTGATTCTCTAAGCACTCAGTCATCTTTACATCGTCTCCGTCCTCGGCTTTGGCCTTCGCCTACATGTAAATTATGTCCAGCCTCCATTGAGGATGACTTTCACTTCGTGGTTGGCAGCCCTATGAAATGGTCTTTTTGGTCAGCTGCTTTGTCTCTGTCGTATTTGAGGCACGATGGTGAGTAAATTACTCAAAACGTCTAACGAAATGTAAAATAAAACTTGATCTCAGATATGAGTACTGCTCATATCTTCGTTCCCGTTTGGTAAGCGGTGTGTTCGATTGCATACATTTGAACCTTAGATCAAATGTATAACACATAAAGATAAGATAAGAAAAGAATACGGATTAAGGATAATTCTTATCTGAGATTAGCTACCTCACATAAGACTTGAACAGGTTATCTTTATGAAATATATTTTACTTAGGTTATCTATGGCTATATGACATTCAGGTATATAGCAGGATTGGTATATGTACTCGTAGGATATATTGATTCAACAACCAAAACATAGTAGGTCACGGTACTGCTCCCTGTTCTGGAAATAAAGTATGGTTGGAGATAAAAAAGGCTCAATCACTCTTTATTAACACAATAACTGTTCACGCAATCAAAAGAACACCACGCACGAATATCTCTTCCTAGCCAACATCTATAATCATTCCCACAGTATCTGAGCTACACAACTGGTGGCCGATAGATATTGGATTATAGATGTAGCTGCATGATCACCCTGGATCTGCCAGGATAGCACATTACAAATCAATCCGCTCTGGGATGGACGAGTAATTATCCACCTAAAGGGAAGACCTATTCTTTTACGGAAACCTCTGATTCACTGAGTATTATTTGACCATAATACATCAGTGTCAGCTATAGATCCCGATACAGTCATTTCGTAGACAGCAAACACAATAAGTCTTTATTAATAGCAGTAATTTTAGTTTTCTTTTCTTTTTCTTTAGTTTGTTTTTGAAAGAGAAATAAAGACGGTGGTTTGATTTCGTTAAGCTTTCGTGTTTATTTTCTCTTGTGTTATTCTTTACCTTTTACTTCATAATTAAAACTAGCGAATACCACAGTCTCAGCTCTCTCTCTCTCATGTCTTACGGTCTCCTGAAGACGTATGGCATGTTTTGCTCAATTTGAAACTACGAAACGATAATACTTTTACAGAGAACTATACACTAGAATTAGTAGGCAACATATTGGAAACTCTATGGAAATATCACTGGTACACGATCGTTAATGTCGAATCCTGGTCTACTGACAATGTTTTTCCAACGACTTCAGTCCTCGGTTACCCTTAAGATCACTCTACAAAGTGGAGAGTCTTTATCCCAGCAAGTTACAGGCTAGCTGTCTTGCTGAAACTTTATATACCATATGTGTACTACTTCACCTTAATGTTTCCTTTCTCACATTTAAATACTTAACTATTTATCTACCGCCCTTTTGAATTCATATCAAATAATAAAATTGTAACCTGAATTTAAACAAAAAAAAAAAAAAAAAAAAAAAACGATATAACGAGGTACTCTTTTAATAAACACTAAGTTTTAGAAAGGAGATAAAAGATGATTCTTTATTCTCTTCAAAAAGTTATGTTCCTTTTATACTGTATATCAATCACCGTTATTACACGACACACACCCGGGTTTAAGCTTCGTCTTTTTTTGCCGTCTGCTGAGTATACTGAGAATTACACATTAGAACTGGTAGTAACATCTTGGAAGCTTTATGAAAAAACCATTGGTCGACAGTTATTAATCATGATATCTGGTCTACAGATAACGCTATTAACCGATTGATATCTTCGGTAACTTTAAAGATAACCCTTAAAGATGTAGATCGCTTATATGAGCAACATATAGGCTAAAAGTCCACGTTATTTTTATGTATTCTGAATGTACGAGGAGCATTCTATTATTTTCTGTCCCATCAACCCTAGTGTATACCCGATTCTCTCTTTTGTCCTCCTTTATTTATCAATCCAGGAATCACAATAAAGCACTTGAATTTAAAGAAAAATAAAATCGTCTTTTTTCAGAAGATACCTAGACTGATAGTTCAAGTTAACACCCATTTATCAATGCTGATGAAATGGCGACAGATGAGAATACAAAACTTCATATGATAAAGAAGCTCAATGATGTTATCACTTTGATGGTTCAGAAAATTATGTCGAATACTACGTACGGACGTTACAATAAAGAGCTATAAGAGAAATGATATGAACATATGTAGAATGACAATTTCTTTGTGGTAAAGATGATATGTATCGAAGGAGCTTACTTAAAAACTACTTGAAAGTGTTCATATAATATGAGGTAAACTGAGCAATTTGGAAGCACTTAGATGTTCTATATCAGAAAGAATGACATAGAGTCTATATAGCTTGGGAGCAACTAGGTCATACCGAGATTTTGATGAATATACATTCTCGTTGCTGTAATTATGTACAGTTACACTCATAATCCCACCAATAGAAACACTCACTTTTCTTTAACAGATAAAGCCGGTTGTGATTACGGTTTATTCGATACAGTCAAAATAACATACACTATTTGAATTACACTAAACGGCTCAAAAAGCAGCTAGTAACTAGTTATCTATTGAAAGCTTCATCACCTCTAGCTAACTTCATTAAATATGTCAAAATACGCTCTCCATCGACACGTAAGCCACTAATAAGGAATAATGCAAAGCCAACGACATGAGAAATCTTCAACTAATAACTTATAGAACAATTATATCTTACTTGTGTGCATATTCATTTGTAATCCATTGTTGAAATCCTTTGACTTCACTAGCAGTATGCTCGGATAGTTTACGATCAACGTACCTAATTATCAATATTTGAGTAATATACGAGTGAGTAAGATTTCAATTTTGTACCAAGGCTTCAGTAAAAAGCTGTGTGGTAATTTTTACATATCGTCAAAGTAACTAACACCAGCCACTTGAACACCTTCCAAATTGTTTAATACATGGATATCATAAAGTTGTCCCCAACGCGTTTCCGCTAATCGGTTAGCCACGTTTTTCAGGGGACGTAATTCTGCATAATCATCCAACATAAAAGGATATATCATTTCACCTGTAAAGTAAATAGGACGGTTATCATACAAGTTCTCAAGACGCCACTCAAAAATCTTGGAAAAAGGCGCTTCGTTGAGGATACGTTCGGCAGACCAACGGCTCGAATGTTTGTTTTGACAGTAGATTGCTTCGTGCAAAATGGCGTAAATAACATTTGTGTCCCAACTTTGAGTGGTTTGAATGGTACTAAGAGTTCGGAAACTAAGCTTTCCAAGCCGATCAAGATCGTTTGCAGCAGACTGAACAATAGCATGCACAGCATCATAACCTCCGGAACCTCCGAAAGCTAACCCTAACTGCAAGAAGCGGCGTGCTGATAGGTTACCACCATTCGGAAGGGTCACTCCATTTGTAGATAGGTATTTGTGAATCTTTTGAACCCGGGCGATATCCGCAGGAAACTTATTGTAATATAGTACGTTTTTTTTCAATATACGGGGATAGAGGGCTCTATAAACTTTGTCAGGATCATCAACCAATGGTGGGACACCTCCAGTAATGTAAGCATTTTGAATGGATTTGGGACTTCAGACAAATTACATATCGTTAATAAGCAACTTTTACATTGTGAGGCATTAAACTTTTCAATTACTCACTTACAATAATGAAAGGTATGTTAGGATACAGAAACCGCCAAAGCTCTGACCCAGCAAGGTAAGACGAGTCTCTTCTTTATCCGTCCGGCCAGCAGTAAGTCGTTTGCGAATCAGCTCACAATCCTTCACAATACTATCTGCACGGAAGTTCATCAAATAATCTACTTTTTCGTCGTCTGTATGAAATTGTGCTTCAAGAGATTCAGCAGCGATTTGAGTGGAAAAGCCAGTGCCACGCTGGTCGAGCAGAAGCACCTGGTACCCCTTTTCGAAAGCTACTTTTACCCAACCCGACGAGGCACTGCTTGGTAATGCGCACTCGAAACCCGGTCCACCCTAAAAATTATGGTTCATTAATCAATTATACGGCTTCATGAAGCTTTTATTTACGTTTTTCTTTGTATTGTTTCTGTTTGGTACCTGAAGGTAAAGGAAAAAAGGCATTCGTTTCATCTCGGAGACTTTATCTACAGGAACTAAATGACGAACAAAGACCTTGATTTTTCGACTTGTTGCCTCATTTGCATAATCTACGTGGACAATTCAATGTCAATTACAAATCCCTCAATGATAATGTAAAGCTTCCACTGAAGCCCCTTGCTTTTTATTGTCGTAGAAAAATACATTGCCTAGTGGACACTGGAAGTATCTATCAAAAACTTTCGCGCCAGGGATCGTGAAGCTTTCGACGTTTGTGTTATCCAAAGGATGCATCCTATTGTTCAATGTTGTCGAGTTACGATGAGAAAGGAAGCGTTGCTGAAACCTTTTCGCGAAAAATAATGCATTATTTCTGTTTCTGGAGAAAATGTTCAAGTGTGAAAACGCTCCATTGTGAAGCCCGACAGGATAAGCTTTGCTGCACACTATCTTTCTGGAATACACTAGGCTCAAAGTGATCATTGATACTGTTTTTCAGTAATACTTTCTATTGGAAATAAAAAAAAAACAACAACCAAACTTTGTGCTGACTTTCTTACCCCACATCAGCACAAATATGACTTAGAATGGTACAGTCTACGATAGTTGCTTAAAAAAAGGATTCTATATTCGCAAAATCAAAAACTCCAGAGCTCATTCGATCAAGCATATCTCCTTTCGCACCTCAATGATGAAAGCCTTTTTCATCATGGCAGAATAGGTATATGAGCTATAAGAGTTATCCAAGCGTGATAGGGAGATTAGCAGGTGTGTATTCAAATGCCATCTACAAAAAATGATTAAGCGAATCATCTACAAGTTTTCTGACAGCTGCTTTAAAATCGGAAAAAAAAATGGAATAATGCATTAATGTACCAGTGACAGGGCTGAATGAATGTTAAATAGCATCTTTTTCACTTACTTTTGTTATATTATGCGAAAGATAGTTGTATATAATAGATTACTAATTTATTCTCTGATATCAGTATTATGTTTGTTTTCTTATATCCGAGCTGATGCTGTATTTCAACAACAGCAGACCGCCTTGGCGTTTATGAATGAGCAACAACTTGAAGATGAGTTAGTTGCTTATGTCGATCTACTATCCGATCCTCGAGATCCCGACAAAGCGAGACGAAATTGTGGTTCTTGTATCAACTTGTTGAAATTAATGAAAAGACTGTGTTTCCTTCCTGAAAAAATGCAGCTGGCTGCAATGACAAATATATGTAAAAGATCAAAATACGTTGATAACCAAGTTGTAAGGGTTCCTTTTCTTTTTCCAATCTTTTCTTTTTTCTCTCTAATGGACAAGTTTAATTGGAACTTGAAATAGTGTGAGGGCGTTGTCAGGGAGCAAGGGCCTGTTTTACGTAGAGTACTAAGGGTAAATAGCCATTCGCAAATAGTCGAAGGAAGAAATCACAGTGATTCATAGGTTTCAATGACTATCTATTTCTAGACAATGGATATATCAGGAAAGGATGGTCATCTACTCTGTGCTTCAGTATTGAATACATGTCCATATCCAGGTATATCAAGACTTTTGTATGTAACATATAAACCTTCCTATGCTAATTTTATACATTTTCTATTCCTCAGCAACGGAACCTTGGAAACTGCCATTTCCAAAATTGAAGCCAGAAAATCCATATATGCACAAAAGATCAAACAAAACCATGACTGTGCTTCATTTAAGTGATTGGCATGTGGATCCTCAATACGAGGTAACACTTGATATACCGCCATAACATTTGATAGGCAATCCTAATCAAACCCTCCCTCCAACCCCCCAACCTTTCAATGTAATTAATATTTTTTCTCTTTCATTTTTAAGGCAGGAACGGAAACCTTCTGTACTAAGCCTATTTGTTGCCGAAGTGAGTCTACCGACTTTAATAACATTCTCAGCGAAGCTTCACCGTGGGGTTCTTTCGGCTGTGACTCGCCGCTTGCACTCATAGAATCTATGTTGGAATATATCCCCAATGCTGCGCCAAATACGTCATTTGCCATTCTGACAGGTGACATCCCCCCTCATGAAGTATGGGAGACTCTTCCTACTTACAAAACACAGATGATACAAGATATGTCGTACAATCTATTGCATGCTCATTTTGACACTTCATTTTTGATCAATACCACCCTATATCCTGCAGTAGGAAATCACGAGGCAGCGCCTACCAATTTATTTCCTTTACGCGATTCCGACCTACCCTCTGGCGCTCGCCATGACGATTTTTCGATGGCGTGGCTATATCATGCATTAAAAGAGAACTGGAAAGGCTGGATCGACGAAAAGCATTTGAATAGAATACATCAGCAGAGTGGAAGTTACGTTAGTTATCCTGTGGATGGATTAAAGTTAATAAGCTTAAACACAAATTTTTGTTATAATCTAAATTGGTGGCTATATGAACGACCCAAGAAAAGGGATCCCAATGGTATTTTGGAGTGGCTCATAGGCCATCTACAAAAAGCGGAAGATATGAATGAGAAAGTTTGGATTATCGGCCATAGTGCTCCTGGAGATCCAAGTTGCTTCCATGATTATTCCAACTACTATTATCAGATTGTGGAAAGATATGCTCCGCATGTGATTGCAGGGCAGTTTTTTGGACATACACACAGGTGAGCATTGTTTTTTTATTCAGATGTGTAATCCAAATCCTTGGATATTACAGAATGATATAACCTTGTAGTACCAAATATAAGGGACGAGATACAGATTTTCTACAAGGAGGGATCGCAGAAAGCCGAGGATGCCATCTCAGTCGCGTACATTGGACCCTCTGTCACACCGTTCCCTGATTTGAATCCTGGGTTCAGGTACACCTAAAGAAACACTGTTCTATAAAACTTGATTCGATGATGAAAAAGTGAGATGATTGAACTGCATTTTTTCTGTTCTAGAACATATACTGTTGATGCTGAAACTTTCGAGGTGATCGAGACACATACTTACATAACCAACCTCAACGAATCTATAGAGTGGAGTCGTTTGCCTGTAAGTTATGGTGTTGTGCTAAACATTGGATTCCCAGGCAGAGATTTAATTGTAGCCTAACTTTCAACGTTTACGTAGCTTTGGTATAAGGAATACTCTGCGAAAGACTTGTATGGCTCGAATGATAATCCTTACACACCATTGTCACCAGCTTGGTGGCATCATTTTACAGAAGAAATGGAACTCAATAACAACAAATTTGATCAGTATTGGGTTAATCGGTATAAATCCTCACCGTTAACGCCAGAATGTGATTTTGTCTGTCGTGTAAATACCATCTGCGGCATGAGAGCAGGAAAGTCAGAGCTACGTTGTGACTATATACCATCTGAGCCGACCAATAGGCCGATTATACTAAACCGCAAAGACAAAGATGCTTGCGGTATCTCATTGTTAACCAAAGAATTTCGACAGTCTAATGCAACACTATAGCTGATGATCATTAAAATGTCTTTGCAGACGCAAAATAAAAATTATATACGGTAATTGGGAATCAGTACTGTCAAAGGGAAATTGCAAGTTTCAAACAAATTCTCACCAGCCAAACGTGCAAGTACATCTTAGCATGATGCGCATGTTCGTAAGAAAGGAGTTATTTTGTTCGTTTTTATTGTGAATGTTGAAATTTACCAAGGAGCATCAAAGAACCTACATGCGCTGAAAGGAGTTTCAAACCAAACTATCATTTGTCGCTTTTGCTTTCTTCTGTTCAGACAGCGTAAATCAAACTCTATCTATAAGTTTTGCAAACTGTAGATCATTTTTAGCAGTACGATATCTATTTCTCATACGTTATTATGCTCGACCGGGAAGGAAGATAAGCAATACTTCAAAATTTAACTAAAGGGTACAAGTGTTGTAGATATCTTCATTAAAGTCTTCTAAACAAAGCATGCAGTACTTTTGCTTTTTACATTTATCAGTGATGTGTTGGTTGTTCGAGCAGATCAAAAATACCTTATTAGGAAAAATTATCAAATTATAGTCCACACCATCGCCGAGAAGTGCGGTAGACGTTTTCTATTGTTCCCCCACATCCCAGTTTTTTAACTTCGGACTTTCGATCACACTGATGCAATTGTTTTTTCTGCCATTGTTTCCTTGTTTTCGTGGGTTTTGATTGGATGAAATCAAATACACCCTAAAAATCGGTAATTCGTGCCGCAATACAAACAAAACAATTAAAACGTCAAAGATCCATATAAATAGATGTGAATGTCACACTTTTCCAAATTGTTTTCCCTACATTAGCTCTATACATAAAATGGATTTTATTATCACAAAAGCATCACCTCCTATTCAGCAAGCTCTTCAAATCATTCAACAATCACCTATCGTTGAGCAATTGGAAAGACTTTACCGACGTTCCTCCAGGAACGAGCTTATTTTTATTGGCACTGCTACCTTTCTAACACTTTACAATCTGTCCAGTTACATTAAAACCAAATGTCAGAAATTAAATGCACCTCCTACGGTACCTTTCAGCTTACCTTTAATTGGCCATACTCTCTATACAACCTTCATGCCTTACAAATTTCTGGATTGGTGCGATAAACGATATGGTGAGATTTATAATCTACATCTGTTAGGCCAAACTGTAACAGTTGCCAATGGCAAATGTGGCGAAGAAACATTGAAAGCAGAACGAGACGACTTATCTCTTGAACACGGCGTTGTTAGAGGTAAAAGTGCACCAACATTGAAAGTTTCAATAAAAAAGCTCAAATTTGAAAAATATGTTATAACGGTGTTGCCTATATTACTTTGTAGATCTCCTCCATCTACATTATCTTTTTGACGATGATGGCATGGAAATTGCGATGCAAGTCAACCCATATCTGTTAAAAAAGGCCGTCCCTAATAGCAGAATGCGTTCTTTAGTTCCCGGTATCCAGCGTGGCCTTGAAAATGCTGTCCATGATCTTTTCCATCCTTCTGAGCCCACTATCATCAAAGAACCTAGTGAATTTTTCCAAGACTATGTTGCTTATATGAGTGTTCCCACTTTGGTCGGTGACGAAGCTGGTACCAACATAGAGGTAATCAAATCTTTTGCTGCCTTCACAGGCGATATCATCAAGAATGTAGGATTATTCGCTGCTGTACCCGATCGGCTGCACAAATATTTGATGCGATTTATGACAGGCACTTTCAAGCATCACCGTGTCATGGAGAAACATTTGGGTCCTATTGTGCGTGAACACCGCGAAAAGATGCGTCAGGCAGAAGAAGCTGGCGTGCCTCACGGTTTAGAACCAACCTATTTACAGTTATTGATAGAATGGAAGAAGGATGATGGCGTGTCTGGCTACACTGACAAACAAATTTGTCATGCTCTCTTGTCAGTAGCTTTTGCATCCGTACACACCACATCAACGAATTTGCTTTATTGTATTTCTTGGTTAATTGTCCGTCCTGATTTGAAAGAACAACTTTTGGAAGAAATTCGCCGCGTTTCACCTGGTGATAAGCCGGTGACTTACGATGAATTGCAACAAATGGCATTTTTGAATAATTTCGTTCGTGAGGTGTTGCGTCAAGGCACGGATCCTCTAGCCACAGGTAAAAAGGCAATGAGAGATTATACCTATTATAATGGCTATCAGGTACCTAAAGGCCGTCTGGTGCAAACTGCTTCTCGACAACTGAATTTCGGTACCAATAGCACCCGCTCTACCATTGAAGAAATGGATCCTACCAAATCGAACAATAAGACAACTACTACACCTGCTCGTGATTATGTAGCGTTCGGTATGGGCAAACATTTATGTCCTGGTCGTTTCTTCGCTACACAAGAAATCGAAATGTCTTTGGTCTATTTGCTGAAGAACTATGATTTTAATACGGTCAGAAACAGGAAACCTTACCCTATAACGACAATCGCTGGTATTTTGAACGTTAACACGCAAGAGCCTTTAATCTTCACTCCGAAGAAGAAAATACATCGTGGTGATTGAACATCTTCAAGATGAATATTTTTACTTTCTGTAAACTGAAGATCAAACATCTACACATCTACTATGTAAACACCCCTCCCTTCTTTTGTATTCTTAGATCTCCATACCATCAACATTAACATTTCACGCCATACAAACTTCTGATGTTTCATTAAAAGCAAGCTTATACAATTGGTATACATTTTATTAATTACTGGATTCTATGGTGATAATTACTTTTTGTACTTTTTTTTTTTTCGTATATGAGTCATTCTGTCGAAAATATAGACTTCCTCATGGACGTTGAGACTCGTTGTATATGAATATAAAAATAACAGCGCACATGGCTATATTTCGAAAGTAGGAAAAAATAATTTAGTTGGGAAACACTTTCATAAGACTGTTTAGAGGACTTACCAAATAACATGTCCCATCTTTCGGCAGCAAATGACCATAAATCAGCAGATTTATGCGGTTCATGTTCATCGATACGGTATGAATTCACGTTACCATTTTTTAAAGCGACAACTAGAAAAATTTGCATATTAGTTCTGCTGCTATTGTTTCGCTACTGTTCTGTATACTGCAGGGGAAACTTTACATAAATATCTCGTGTCGTCTTCAGCATCTGAAACTTCTTCATAGAAACCGACTGCACCAACAGCTTTTGATCCACCATATTCATCTTTCACTGGTGGGATAGCCATTATCATTTTCCAAGGTTCTGGGAAATAAGTATCCCTTAATTCTTTCTCATCCTCAGGTGTATCCGAAAGCAACACGTCGATCCATTTCTCTATTTTGCTCCACCAACTTTCGTGCTCTTTATTTTTTCCATTCAAGACCATTCTGTTCTTTTGCTCTTCCTGTTCGGGTAATCCTCTAGTATAGATATACACATAATTGAATTCTGTCCATAAAGCCAGTGTATCTCCCACTTTATTTAATTCCATGCCTTTGATTTCTGCATCTACCGTTTCGTAGCTTTGCCAGTAATAATACTCGGGTAAGGTGATTAGTTTTGTTAAAGAACCATCCGTTTCACTGCCATTACTATCAGATACACCAGTCGCTGCTGCTACTGCTACTGTTGACTGATAAAGTCGATCTTTTTCTGATTTGATTTTCGACAAAATGTCGATTCGATCCGTATAATCGAGAGTGATAAACTTATTTTTGATATAAGGGAAGGCAATAGTAGACTCATACGCGTTCATCGTTGCAATGAGTTGGGGCATATTCTGCTTTTGATGTTGAAGGTGCTGCTGCTGATACTGCATTTGATGTTGAGTATGCTGATAGTTTGAAATATCTGTAAAACCATTGTAATCTATTGTTTCCTCAACATAAACAGGATACTGCAAAAGATCACAAAAATTCATCAGTCAGAAAGCATATGTCTCAAAAATTTTGATGTAAAAATGTTATACTTTACATCTGCTTCTCCTTTTTCTCTCTGGATCCAGGATGTTACTTGTTGGTTTCTATCATCGATAATTGTTTGATTATCCAATATGGTAATGTTAACGAAATATGTTGAAGCAGTTTTTTGCAGATTCAATGAAAAAACACGGTAAGTCTCATTCCTATAATTGCAATAGAATAAAAAGAAAAAATATTCAAGTTAAGAAGCACAATTAAAGAGAATCGTGAATAATAACCTACACTGGTGAATAAAGCCTTGAAAACAAAACTGTCGAGTGTTCGGTTGAAAGTGGTTGAGACCATTCTTGCACTTTTCTTCCATTAGAAATACGATAATTTACTGAGTTGGCCCGTTCTAAAGTTGAATGCGGTTCTTCTATAATGTTTGGAGGCAAAGTGATGATATGGAACTCATATGTATCTGGATCTCTATTATAAACCATAAGGTTAACTAAAATTATTTCCTTTTCCTTTTCACTATGTAGAAGGGTACCTAGAAAAAATGATCGAATCGTTCTGTAACGAGAAACTGTTAACAAACGTTGAGCCTGGTAATTGTATATCTTTATATTCAAAACGTATATCATCTTCATCGTCTAAGTCTTCTGCTGTGGTGTAATAAATTCTTATATAATGGAAAGAGCTATCATCTTGCACCTCATGATAAAGTGTAGCGAACTGAGTTTGCAGTTTTTGCGCATGATTATTTCGAACAGATACTCTAGATATCGGCCCGTTTAGTTCATGTTCGAAGCAGGGTATCCAGTCTGTAATATTTCAAAAAAAAAAAAAAAAAAACGTACAGCGTTTGTAAACTCGACATTTTTCTTCGGCTCAGCAAATAATACTATTACCTTCTGATTCCAATAGATCTCGTTCTGTCAATAGCGTGGATAGGGGTTTTTTCATTTGTTTAACAATACCTACAATAAAAATATCATCAAAAATACATATTCATAGTTTTTATTGTGTCAAAACTGTCTATCTGAAAGAAAAAGCTTTACCTTGTACACCTAATTTCAAATTGCCTGTGCCGATGAGTGATCCCCTACTTTTCAGTAATTCGTACTTGAAAAATGTCAAATACACATAAGCTCCAATAGTAGACAGAACAACCTTATCAGGTTTGTAAGGAAACAACGGTGGATGATTGGATGAGGCGTAGACTATTTTTGGGTGCACATAAGGTGTATCTTGGGAAAGAATGGCGATGTAAATAACAACTAAACCACTAATTAATAATATAAGTACGCGCCATGGCATATTCATATGCACTTATTTTGTAGAAGCGGTTTAGAATCTAAAAGAACAGGAAAGAGAGAAAAAAAAAGTATTAAAGAAATAGCACAGAGCTGAACAAAAGAACAATAAAGAACGAAGCAAACAAACAAAATTTCTTTTGTTCATGTAAACTTCAGTTTATGCAAATGACATGTGGTTGGCTTTTGTACGGAGTTCAAATTGAAAGGTACAGTAGCGTTACTGTTACTGAGAATGACCAGTAGTATATAAAGTACAAGATCTTTTAAGTTACTTAAGAGGGCAATGTATGGTTATTATTGTGTTGAAACATGAAATTTATATAACTTTTACAGACAGATTTACGTGCATTTGAAAGCCTTGGCTTTCAATTGATGAGTATTCAAATTCTCCCTTTTTTAAGATATGATAAGAATGTATTCTTGATCTCATTTATGCTGCTATTTTCGAAAGGGACGTATGTGATCATTTATGTGGACTAAACAATTGCGGAAGTCATTACTAATCAGTCCTTAAATCTTAATAAAAATAAGTAAACCTTTTTGGAAGTGACGGGATTGATCTACAAAAACCTGTTGCAGCGTCAATCTTACAAATTACTTGCGCGAGTAGGCATTAGAGAACTTTAAACCTAGAAAGTACGACTCGAATTCTAGTGCATTGCATTTATGCGTATCAGTCTTGCAAGTGTAACATAACGAACATAGCAAGATACTAAATAAAATGGCCAAGTCACGTATTAGCTTGTCAAGGTCCAAAATGGGATAGAAATCAAAAATGCCTCAAAAACACGATCAAAATCTCATTCGCAGATTGGAATGGCCTTATTGGACTAGAAACTAACAACAGACTTCGCCGTAACGAAAAAGGTGCTGTCGACTCAGGATCAGGCGGCTTGTTGATACGTTGAGCTTTTTTTAAAAATAATAAATTAGTCACACGTTGCTGAGGGGTGGGACATGGAGAGGAAAAGAAGATTTCTATGACAAGTAAATTTAGTCGAAAGCAGCCGCTTCCCGCAAGAGCTGCGAGGAAGACAGGCTCAAGGAATTATATTGTGTGCTTTACTAAAGACGGATGGGGGATGAAAAGGGATATCATGGAATATCATTCGAAAGAATGACGTCCAGATAGCCCAATGGATACTGAAGCAGACGGTGAAAAATCAAAATGTTGCCGAAGCGAAGGCTGAAAATGTGGTAAAGCTCTCAAGAGCCGCGCTTTATTCTCAGACAATATATATGGATTTAAAGATTTTGAACTATTTCTTCCCCATATCTTTCAAAGTCTCGTTATAGGGGGCAATTCAATTTTTTTTTATTTTTTTAAGTGTTGTGTCCATGAAGAGAGTGGGTGCTTTACCACATTGGAAGCCAGAGCGAAGGCAACTGAGATGTGTTAGGAACGACACACAATTATTCAATGTCAGGTTTGCGTGTCCATGCCCAACTTATTCTTATATATTTACGAATTCATGTCTAAAGTAGATAAGAAACTTTTGCAAATTGAGTTTGAACATAATGATAAAGTAATATGGCTGATTTTATATTTTTGGGGGTATAACTATTTCGAGCGTTGCAAAGGCCTGTTTCTGCATTCGAACGCCTTCATTGTTTGCTGTTTATTCAGCAGTTTCTGACGCTCATATACTGTTACTTTGTTGTTGAAGGGCATTGTGTCGACAATTAGTTTTTGGTGGCTCTCGTTGTCACTAATACTAAACGTTAGAACGTTGTTTATAGTTCGTTGTTTTATGCATTTATACGTTACTTGATCAATTGCTCCAAATCTTCACGATTGGTTGAAAGACCTGCATGATCAAGTACAACAAGGCACACCTTCTCATTGTCGCTTAGATGACGAAGCAGATCTAAATAAACAGTTAATGAATATTTTCGTGGAACGTAAGTAGTTAAATTTTACCTTGTGCATTGTCATCTTCAAGTATTTTTTGTTGCTTTTTGTCTCTCAAATGTAATGGGTCACTTGCATTACTGGAGTACGAAACGAACACGCTATCAACAAGCGATCTGCTTCTGAGACAGTTGCACATCAGCTGCAAGAGTCTTTTTCGGGTATCATCAGTTTCTTTACCCTTCGACTTTCTAGCGTAACCAATCACGCTATATCCCTCCTTCTTTAAACTTTTAATATAATCTTGATACTCTTCAAGATAGGAAACCACATTTTTTAAGGTATTCGCTGTAGTAAAACTCAACAATTAATGTGTGCATGCTTTTTATAAAATGAAGCCAAACTTACCTTGATATTCATCTTTCAGGACATATAAGTTCCTTACTTGTACTTTTTCTCCTTTGCTGTGTTGAACTCTTTTTATTGGAGAGTCTATCAGATTTACCTTTGCCGATTTTAACCATTTTCCCAGGACGCTGACATTTTTGAATAGATTTAAGTACTTTTGTATTAAAGATAAGATATCTGTGGTCTCTATTTGTTTGCAAACATATGCCTCTTCGTTGAATGGGTTAACAGGCAAATATACGTTATTGAGAAAATTGGCTACTTGTGCTTTATTGACTATCAAACCACTTTAGTGTTACTGCATCATAAAGTAGAAAATGTAAACCTATCTGTTACCTAAAACCTTTTGATTTTCGTTCACACTTGTGCTAACTTCATTATTTGATTCATTTTCCTTGACTGAATATCGCTTGTATAAGAAAGGGTAGGCATTTATTTTGAGGACGGAAGTCACCATTGGCTCCATGGTGTGATATTTGTAGTTGTTTTATGTTTAGTGAACGCGACTCAATAATTGAAAAAGACTGAAGGTGGGATGGGTCCACCTTCAGTCCTTTTATTGTACACTGAAAATCAGAGAGGGGAGCGTTCATGGCAAACTGAATGTTTGTATTTGACAACAAAAGAAAGAAGGAAGAGAGAAAAAAAAAAAAATAAAAACAAAAAAAAGGAATTATATACTCGTTCCTGAAATTCTCAACCAGTAGGAATGCAGCATTATGTATACGTATGTCTCTAGAGTACAAGGTGACGTGTACTAAGTGTTAATATGATTCTATGATCATAATAACGAGTCAAATGCTTGAAAGTGTGTCTAATTCGTCTTTATATATTATAGGAGGTATGGAAATACCACACATGGGATCCTCTTTATAGCAAATCTCCAAATTTTTTAGTGCGTCAATAGTAGGCACAAGTTTCTTGACATTTTCAACGTTAAAAACTTCACAATATAGCATGCATATAGCTTGTTCCCTTGTTATGTTTGTCATATTTAGTAATTAAGATAAGGTGGCATGGACACGCAAACCTGAGATTGAATAAATTATGGACATGCAAAACTTCCTTTACAGTCATATCGTCCAACATTTTGGTGTACCAAAGTTCTTGTTAACAGACCGTGGGTCAAATTTCACCTCCATCTATATTGATTTATTTTTGAAATCGTTGGAATGCAGACATCTAACAACGGCAGCGTTTCGGCCGCAATGCAATGGTTTGTGTGAACAAACTAATCGAACTCTTACAAATGTCTCAGCAAAAATAGTACACGACCTGGAAATACTAAGGATCAGGACAAGTTCATTCCTGCTGCCCTTTTAGCCCTACGTTCAATGAAAAATGATACCTCTGGATACTAACCCAGTAAACTACTTTATGGCCAAGAACTAAACACAGCTGCTACTTGGAGTGCTCCCAAAATTGACTTTGAGGAAGGAAGTTATACTGATGTCAGCAAAGAGAGGTTAGAATTTTTACATAACCAGATGAAGGATATTCGAATACGAGCAAAAGAAGAATCGTTACGCTAGAAAAAGACCATGAAGAACAGATACGACAAAAGGATTCACGTTCGAAGACAATTTATTATTGGAGAACAATGTCTGTTGTTTGATCATTACAAGGAAAATAAATTTCCATATGTTTGGATAGGACCTATGACAGTCATAAAGGTCAATAATAATGGGACTTACCACCTTTCTGGACCTAACGCAAGACGATTGGACGGTGCTGTCAACAGAGAGCAGCTATTGCCATACATCAAGAAAAATAGAATGCTACCAGACGTAGAGATAGCAAAGAATAATGCTCCCGATTTTCAACGTTTAACTCAACACCTTCAACAATATGCAGAAGTTTCTAACGCTCAATTCAACAAACACAAGACTGAAGCCTTTTCTTTGTCAGAGGAACAAATTACCATCTTGGACGTCCTTACTGCACTCGCATAACATTTCCGTCTTTCACTCTAAGTTCTTTCCTCCGCGATGTGCGACTAATTTATTGTTTTTGAATAAAATAATCCATTTAAAAAAAAGATCATTTTGAACAATCAGTATAATTTTCCCGCGTCCATTTTACTCCTATCAGTCAAAGTTTTATTTTAATTCTTACCATTTTTCTTTGAAATATAAAAAACAGACGCCAACAGGGAAAACAGGATTTTTGCTGCTAATAGACCAACGTTATGAGCAAAAAAGGAAAGAAAGAGAAAAAAGACGGTAAATATTAAAGCTTACCGGGAATACGTTGATTGTGATTGTTAAACTTTAGTGTCTGCTCAAGTTAGCAAGACTGACCCGTAAACAACGGAAAGCAGCAGAAGTATGTAAAATGGCCTTCAACACCTAAATAACAAGCATTTCGAACTAATCCAATTACCTGTCTTCAGAGATCCTACTCAGTCAGCCTTGATCCCGAAGATTTGAATGGGCAGCTGAGAAGCCTTGGACTATGTACAAAAAACATCACTGGTGATGGTAATTGTCTCTTTCGGTAAGAAAGAATCCAACTTTCAAAAACGAGAGCTTATTATCACTCGTTTTAATATTGCATCCCGCCAGATCGCTATCCGATCAATATTATGGGCATGACGGGAAACACAAGCAAATTCGACAAGAAATATGCCAGTATTTGAAAGACAACGAAGAGACATACAAATTCTTCGTGGAAGACGATCAATCCTTTGACAGCCATATTAGTAGTATGACGCAGAATGGAACTTTTGGAGGAAATATGGAATTGGTAGCTTTTGCAAAACTAAAGCAAATTGATATAAAAGTCTACCAACCAGGCATGATGTACGTCAAAAGAGGGCGCAATGAGACGACATAGAGTAAGCGTAATTGATCCAGTCTTATACTTCTTAGTTATGTTATCAACGGGAAAGATGATGATGAAGATAACAACAATATTTCAGAAGGAGAAGAAGTGGCGATAAGACAACATATTTTACATATAGCGTAAGAGAGTGTCAAACTATAGCGTCGATGTAGTTGTCAGTAGATTTATTTAGACCACGCTTTTTTTCTATTATCTAGTTATCATAGCTGGGAACATTATGATTCAGTGCGAAATATTGACAGACCCCATACTGGTCTTCCAGAAATAAAGGTAATAATGTATCAAAACATGGATCTGTTGTTACTAACTATGCATTAAAAATATTATTCTTTGGTTGAAAAGACAAGCCTATCAGAACATAAAGAAACAGCTAGTGATGAAGCGGAACGAGGAGAAGATGAAGAAGAATACAAGAATATGAGTTCTGTAGAAAAAGTAGTTAGAAATGCCTGTCCTGACATTAGCATTTATAAAATTCGACGGCTATTAGTGAAATACAAAGGAAATCCAGACAAAGTGATAGATGCAATTTATGAGTTAGAGAATAACAAAATTGGCAAAGATATCGCTATCGAGACTAGTAAGGAAGACAAATCATTAACAGCTGATAGGGAAGAAGACGAGACAACAGTTACCAAAACTGAGCAGTTTAAGACAGCAGATTTAGACCAAGAAAAAGTTGATAAAACTGATATTAGCATTTCAACAAATAAAGTGAACGATATGAAATTGGAATTCGAGATTATAGAATCAACAACGTCAGCATTAACAAAAGATATTCTGCCGGAGCAAATCTTAGCAGATCAACAACAGCAAAATTCGACAGAAATAATTGTTGAAGGAGCTGAGAAAGAAGCCGAGAAGCAAAAGCAAGAAGGTGATAAGAAAGGTGGCAGTCAAGCAGGAACAAAAGATGAAAACCATCTTGAGCAAAACGCTGCTAAAAAGCCATCAGCTTCAGAACGCAAAAGAGAAAAGAAAAAGAAGCAGAAAGAACAAAAGCTATTGAAAGAAAGAGCGAAAGCAGCACGCAAAGCACAGTATACGAAAAAAAAGGAAGAGATAGATTCAGTGTTGGCTGATTCGGTGAATGATAATACATCACAAGTCAAAACAACAGCAATGAAAGTAGTCAGCATATAGAACTCACGCTATTTGTATTTTATTACCATATGCAAGAAGTTATCCGCATAAGCAAGATTTTCATATGCCCAAACAATAGGTGTATCTAGTGGCACTTCAATTCCATGTAACATAATTGTCAGTTTTGAATCCAAAGGGAATGTCAATTCTGGGATAGCTTGCTTTAGAATATCTTGTATTGTTGGTGACGCTGATTCTTCTGTGTAAACGTAATTTAAATGTTATTTCTCTCGTGCCACTCGATAATCACTTAACCACCATTGATCTTACCGTCTTGATGACCTGAAAATGATATCAATTCTTGGATCACGGGACAGTTATTTGGTAAATAAATCTTTAAAGGAACGTATCGTATCCGATTATTGCTAATGTTTTTACTGGCAGGTGAAGATGATGGAGACAATAGACCTGAAGAGGATCTTAAATTCTTATTCACATTATGAAAATCCTCAAATGCATCTAAAACTACTCCTTGCCACAGTTGTTTAGAGTCCTTTTTGGAGAGGTTCATAACTTTTTTTGTTGATCCATGTAATAAAAAGTCGGCCTATGTTGAGATAAATCCATGTGAATCTCAAGCGGCTTTCTTCTATCCCTTGCCCTGAATTATGGGCTACCAATTCCATATATATATACCTCTTTCATCATTGACATATACATATCTCGCATGTTGTCGACAGTTGGCTTTTCTAAAATTTCGTCAGTTGGTAAGTTATCAAATTGAAGCGTCAAAGTCCAAATATCTGTTGGCGTGTTGCAGTATAAATCATGTAGTAAACCTATGGGATAATGCCTATTAACAGAGTTCCTTCATGTTAATCAAGTGCTTTAGGCCAAAACTATTTGTTACAACCTTTTCAGTGACAGTTCACATACCATTTCAAAGGAACACCGAGGTATTCGTACCAGGCATTTCGGAACTTATCGTCTAGTTGAGTTTGATCTATGATGTGGGTTCGTTCTAACTGGCTGATGACCTTCTGAATGTGTTCAGTGACCAAAGGTAAATAGGAGCACCTTGGTACTTCTAGCTTGTTTGAAGAAAAAACCAATAGTTTGAGTTTCAGTATTATTCTGTTTCTTTGTTTCAATGTAGATCAAGGTACATTAAAAACAATAAAATGGAGGTATCATTTACATATATTGGATTCCAAACAAACTCTTCATTCGTAGTGTTAGTATTTAACACCTCCTGTATCGAGCGTGTGTCTACTGTAATCTGCACGGGTATCTTTCCATTCCATATCTGTTCAAGAATATTTTTATTGTAAACAGCAGTGCTTGACATGAATATGTAAATAAACGTAAATGATTCGAAGGAAAAGCGGGACAAAAGCTTAAAACTTTAGAAATGAAACTCTTTTTTACTTTTACAAATAATAATGTGCTCTAATTGTTCAAGAATAAAATTTTGTTGTGTATTATATGTAGCTGAACGTTGAATGATCGTTAAGAAATGATATAGATTACATGAGAAAACGATAATGATACATACAAGGACATGGCTTCAGTATTATAAAATTGATTGAAGAAGCAATGTTAGACAACGCCTTCGTTAAATGGCCTTCCTCCAATATTCGTAGTGTTGTGAATACCTCCAGGAGCCGATAGATGGTTTGTTGATGGTTGAGGCATCTGGTATGCTGGTGTGGGCGTATTCGGTGTAATTGCTGTTCCTACAGGTGGAGTTGGGCTATGCTGCCGCCATTGTTGTGCATTGTTCATTTCGTAACTATCATTGTTGTTATTGCTGTTATTACAGTTATTAGGTTCATGTTGGGAATACACAGGAAGCGGTGATTGTGGCCCTCTGTTATTAGTAGTGTTCCCGTATCCGTTATACGCTGCAGGATCAACCCAGCCGTTTTGGCGTATTCCTGGTGGAGTATAATAGCTGTTAGGCGGCGGGGGATAGTAGGGTTGCTGAGTATTTACATATTGTTGAGGTGGTGGTGGTGGTGCACCATATGCTGGCGGCTGCTGTCCAGGAATGGTATAGATCGTTGTTTTGGTAATGTCATTATAACCAGTACGTCTACCACCATAACAGCAGCATCTATACAAACAGCACAAAAGCAACAGTCCAACGACGACTGCTACTGGTATCACAATCTTCAAATTGTTCTGGATCCAATTCTTGATGTTATTACCAAGATTCTCGTTATTGCAGGAACCGGCTTTGCATATGCCTCCGATACCGCATGGTGTACCATCTATGAAAGCGCCAGGGAATTGAATACATGAAAGTGCAGAGCGAGGATCTTGACAGGTAATTTGGCATCCATTGTCAGCAGCGCAAGCTTTTGTGATACTGTAGGTGACGCCACGCGCGGCACATTGCGTGTTACGTGATGTGCATTGACCAGAGGCGCATTGAAGTCCATTACCACAACTACTGAGATCATCTTTAAATTTGTCTTCAGGACAATCGCCGGATGTCCCTGAACAGACTTCAGGTATATCGCATACTGTGGAAGCAGGACGACAGGTGTAATTGGCAGGTCGTAGTTGGCAATTGTTACAGCACCCATCATTGAAGTCACTATATAGAAGAAGTTGGTCCTTATTCTTTGAAAGTACCATGCAGCAAAGTATAATAACTTACTCGCAAACAGCGTCTGGTTTGAATTTACATGTGCTGGGATCACAACAATTACTTGGTAGCCCACCTGTATCACAATCTTCACCAGTTTCTTTAATACCATTACCACACATTTGTAAAGTAGTTACATTCCTCGATCCAGGAGCTGCACATCAAAAAGATTAGTAAACTTTCTATACGAAGTTTTGACCATGTAAATAATGTTTCCTACTTTGTAAACAACTTGTGAATTGCGACATAGACCCACAAATAGTGTTGATGCTACAGGGGCTAAAAGCATCTGATGAAGCATTACTAGTAGGGTTCATAAAGTATTTTCCGCCTGCATCGCATTGAGTATCACTGTAAGGACAGCACTGACAGCTTGATCCTGAACACGGACAGCTCATTGCATTACAATCATGAATAGCGCCTTTTTATAAAAAAAATTAGTATTTTTAACAAATACTTGGACGTTTATTTCTGGTAAATTCAACTTACCGAAGCCATGTCCGATTTCATGAGCAACTACTTTCCACTCATCGCGAACTATTGTATATGAGTAAGTATGTGCACTCAGAGAATAAAATTTGTTAATAAATCAAATACTTACTAATGGAAGAAACACCTGTACCAGAGGTATATTCGCCCGTAGAGCTGGAGCGGATAGCTTCTGTATTACAAACTTGCGACATCCAAGCAATACCTACTTCAGCACCCGTTCTATGAAGAAAGTGAATTCTTTAGAATATATAGTGATATACAAATAAGGATGAATCAATACAATATTTTACGCGCAATTGGTCATTAAATGCCATAATCCAGCTCCATCATCACCAATGCTGCCTCTCCAACGACTGAAGTCGCTTAACCGGGTTGTTATTGGATAACTATTGGAGCAAGCTTGATTCCAATTCGTAGCTGAAGGTGGATTTGCCGGGCAAGATGAATCCATTATGGTGATATTAATCAAGCCGATCGCAACATTAAAAGTAGATGAGTACACGGAGCTGACAGAATTCCAGTCGTTGATTATTTGCATACGAGCATTATCTGTTGTACCGTAATGCTTAGTATAAGTACAGTCAGCTGCTGCCCCCATATACAGAACTAAAAATAGGATATTTTAATATTATCAGTGAATAACAAATTTCAATATGAACGCCTTACTTACTCTTTTTAGTCGTAGGGCAACCGGCCGGCGCTCGTTTGGCTAATGATGGGACTTTAGGAGTAGTTGGGATGTCAAATATAGAATCTACTACTGAATTTTTGGAGAAAGAGGTTGTGGAAAACGAAGGAATTTTAAATGGATCAAGGATCTGTCGTTGCAATTGCTGATGATGTTGCGACAGACGATCAAATCCGCATTCCCCAGTTAGGTGAGGTATTATAGATCTGTTATAATACTTATTCTCCTTAGTTACCGTGTCTGAATCACGGTAAATGACTAAATGTTGCTGAGCTCCTTCTGTAGACAAGTCTGCATCGTCCGATCTTTTCGTTAAATGATAATTATTCCTTAATTTTATATGGTGAATATCACCGTTTATACTGAAAGCTCCTTCGAATAAAGGGTAATCCAAATCATGCCTATTAAGATTTTGTTAACGCAGCACTTTATGTTATTTAAAAGCGTTGTATAGAGAGCATACTTTATATCATTGCGAATAACGATTCTGGCCCATCCCAATACACCAGGTTGACCTATAATGTCTTCCTCGGGTAAACCTGACAGCCACCAATGCTCAGAATAGAAATCTTCAATGACATAACCACGATAGACCCTATAATCTGAAGGCTTTATCTTCACTGACCGACCTTGTTGGTGAATGACGGCATTGGAATGAAACAGATCGAGGTTTGGGATCAGGTGCAGATAGACAGTTGTATTGAAAGCTGTCAGAGTCAGTCGTAGTGAGTCATCATATTCCAATGTTCGTAAATTGGGCTGAAAGTAGTTGTTTGGTGAAATAGCTCGCTTTTCGAAGAAAGTCTTTGGACGGTCGGCAATATCTAATCCGACGGATGTGATAGTTTCTACCCATAATAATTGCTTATTGTTGATACTGTGACCTAATGCATGAATTAGAAATATATTTGAGTCACTATAGGCACAATCTACATGTCCATTATCTTATTTTATATGAGAATGTACATCGCACGAACTGAGATAGCAGACAGAATAAATAAATAAAATGGTAGAGGGTATATTTCATATATGCAAAAAAGTATAATTTTTAAGGTACAAAAAGGAAGAGAGATAAAATAAATCAAAAAAATTCACTTTCTAAAACTTATTGCAAGCAATTTAACTCCGCTTTTTGCGTTTCTATTTTTACAGGAACGGCTTTTTGACAGCACAGCAAAGCCTCCGCTTATTGCAGTTGTTTATTGCCATTGGCTTCTTCAATCTCCTTTTGTGTGAAGATAATTTCTGCGTTGCTAAGTTGACGTCTTATCTCCTTTCCAAACGCAAATCAGTGAGTGCACGGTTGACATCTCTATCGCTTTTAAAGGATGATTGCGCTCCGCCCCCAATCAAACAGTGCCTGTAAAATTGTTGCTGAGCGGATCAGGTCTTTAAGTATTTTAGCGGCCTTGGCATTTTCAAAAAGGGAAAAAAAAAGACAGGTCCATTTCAGGTTATGCAAAAAGAGACAACATGATTACACAATAGATTTACAGGATGTCTGTAAATGATCCATAGTAGTGGGATGGCCTTCCATTGCACAACAATGAAGATATAGCAAATTTTCTGCCTTCTATTTAAATACAAAAGGCATTAAAATCGGTCTATCCATCTGACCACATAGACACTTCTTCGACCTGGGCAATTCAGCTATTCGCTATCACATCATATCAACTTTGCATTAGCAATATCGAATTCTTTCAAGAACGTTGATATTTCTTGCAGATCTGACCGAGTGGGCTATATACCGCGGTGTTAGCACTTATCTTTCTCGTATTTTTCTAAACCGCTACAATATTGAGAATTTCTCGATTTTGACTTTTTTCAGGAATAGGCGATGGAGGAACTAACTGATCTCCTACAATTTGCTTCCAAAGCACTGAGCTTTGCCGATAAGTAAATGTAGGATGCTGCCAATTGGAATAAAATGATATTGTATGCCTTCACTCTGTCAGTATCGATATACAGTTGTATAACGAAGGCGTAGATATTGACTTATCATTTGCTTAGGAAATTCATAAGAATGTTTTCAAATGTGACCCAAATAAAGGCAAATTTAGAAAGTTACACAATTGAAAAGAATATACCGAGTAATGTCCTGCACTTTGTAGTTCACTTTAAATCTGTCAGGCAAAAAGCTATCCAAAACTTTGTAGCTTAATCGGCATTAGTTCGTGTAGTAAAAAGTGAGGTAGTCTCAATTTCTGGCGTTTTTTTTTTATTTTTTCTAAAGTCAAGCATTCATTTTCCAACTGTAATTATCCACTCGTAAAAAGCTGAAAATGAATCAATAAAACCTAGTACACGTGTTTACTTATTCCTTTACTATACGATCCTAAAGTTGATTGAGGTTGAAGGCAATATAAACAATGTTTCGACGAGATAATCAAAGTTGGCGACAGCTTACTAAATATGATAAGTGCAATCTTTCTTTTTCGCATTGAATTGATCATCTCATAAATATTTCAAGCATTAGCTCTTGAATTACTTGAGTTCTTTGTATTTCTGATGCGAAAAATGTATTACGAAACAAAAATTTCGTATAATCACATACCTCCCTTTGATACACGTTTCGTCAAAAAGTATTCATTGTAGGTTGCGGAAAAGCAAAAGCAGCAGCGATGGAATTGTATATTATGATATTCATTGTATAACCAGGATACGATTGGATAATGATACTCTTTTCATAAATTTTGCCAATTCAACTCTTCAGAATATGTCTCTCCGTGAAACCATAATTGGTGTGTACTAAAATCTAACGATTTCGCATTAAACGAGTCAGATGCTGTACTTTCATGGCTAAACGTGGCTGAAAACATCAAAGCTAGATATAGAATTATACGGAATTTCTCGCTTCCAGCTGCTTTTCTTTTTCTTTGTTGGTCAAATAAAAGAATACAAGTTCAACACGGGTTTTTCAAAAGGCTGGTATAAATTGGCCGCTTGCATTATAGATAGCATTTTTTTCATTTTTTTAAATAATACTCAACTAGTGAAACAGTATTAATCAGAAATCAATTTGAAGGTTTGTCTTCAACAGAGTATGAAATACAGGGAAGGAAAGAAGTCCTCATCCCCTGACTTCAATTGTCTGATTTGAAACATTTGAACAAATAAAAGAAGCTTTCCCGCAAATTCGGCCATTTTCTATTTTTTGTTACTTTACTATAGCATTAGGACGACAACCAGGTTATTTGGTTCACGTTTTTCTATAATATCAATACGGAAAACTGCCTTGCTTTTCTCTCTTTGAATTTGGAATATAAATTTCCAAGCTGTACCAGATTTCTCACAGCCGGTTTAGAAACATCTTTTTAAGGCACGACAACAACAACTCAAAAGCAGTCGAAAGGCAATACCCAAGCGATACAATCATGCGCATCGCTATTGTGACAGAAAATTTCTTACCAAAAGTAGATGGTGTTACAAGGACACTGGCTCGTTTGCTGGAGTACTTGCAAGCCCATCATCATCAAGTTATTCTCTTAGGACCAGAGTCTGGTCTAGATACGTACGCCGGTGCTCAACTGTACGGTACTAGCGGTCTACCGTTTCCTCCGTACCCGGAACTCAAGCTCAATTTTTGGCGTTCAGAATTCACAAAGCAACTCATTCGCTTCCAACCTCATGTCATTCACCTTGTCGATCCTGTATTTTTATGTGCAGCTGCCCTTTTCAGTATACTAAAACTCAATAAAAGCAAGCTTTCTCATATACCCATTGTTGCCTCTTATCATACGAATTTAGCATCTTATTGCATACAGTTTGGATATGGCAGCTGGATAGCTAATCTGATGTGGCGATGGAATAGATTTTGTCATTCGCATTGTTGCTATACAGTGTGTCCCTCGAATTCTACAAAGCAAGCGTTGGAGAAAAACGGATTTAAAAATTTAAGGCTGTGGTATAGAGGCATTGATACAGATTTGTTCACGCCCACGAAAAGATCGAATGCACTCCGATATCAATGGATATGCTCTAGTCAGCAGCAGCAGCAGCAGCCCCACCAACAACTGCAAAACCTATGCGATATCAAGGAGGATCCAATAGAAGACAAAGTTATCATATTGTATGTTGGTAGAGTATCCTACGAGAAGAATTTGGGTCTGTTACTGAACAGTTACAAGGGCATGGACCACCGACGGTGCCATCTGATCATAGTTGGAGATGGCCCCGCACTCAAAAATATGAAGCGTGAATGCCATCAACAAAACATTCCAGTTACATATACCGGCTATTTGCATGGCCTTGAACTTGCTGTAGCGTATGCTTCGGCAGACATTTTTGCATTCCCATCATTTACCGAAACATTCGGGCAGGTCATACTGGAGTCTATGGCTTCTGGCTTGCCAGTCGTAGGTTTGTTAGCTGAGGGAGTGAGGGATTTAGTGACAGATCAAGAGACAGGTTTATTGTTAGACGCGTCAAGTAAACCCACCACGTATGGCAGCAGTAGTCTCAGCCATAGCGGCAATACAGTGAGACAGACGCTGATACAAGGTTATAGACATTTACTGACAACGTTAGTTGAGAATGCAACTTTACGATCCATATTGGGGAAAAAAGCTGTAGAAAAAGCAAAGACATATACCTGGTCCAACGCAATGGAGATGATGGTTCAAACATATCGAAATGCGATATGCACATCAAAAATTGAGCGGGCTGCAACGAAAGGGGATGAAGGGAACGAATCAGGACGGGTAACTCGTATCATTATTGAAAGAGATATGGATCATAAAAACGAAGAGATACAGCAAATAGAAACAGTGTGTGAAGCCAATATTTTTTCGCGGTGCTAGCAGTTTATTCCGTAGGCTGATATTCAATAAAGATAGGCTTATTCAATTTGCCTTTGCAAAAGAAAGAATGCTTACTTTTTGCAGATTATATTTTTGGTAACTTGGTAAAGATAAAATGTTCCTTTTCTAGATTGTGCTTGGTTGGTATATATACAATTCCTCTCCTGGTGATATATCTTTGACTGTCCAGCAAACAATCTGATATGGGACGAGACCCTCACAGAAAACGATATTAGCGCCTTCACTATTGACTGTCTCCTTCACGTAATAGAAAGGGCATAGAGGTTGACCATCGTTTTTTACATCCACATATAAGTTGCCTTGGTCATCTGTGGGATCGATGATTGTATTATTACGGTATACCATGGCATATTCCTCAGCCTTCCCTCGTCCTACTTTCAAGGCCTCAAATTCATCTTCTGTTCTGGGTACACCAAAATAAAAACCTATGGGTGTACTTTTCGGTATGAATCGCCTGGCGAATACACCATCATTATTTACAAAAAACAATTCTTTCCAAGACTGGGGTATATCATTCTCGTTTTCAGGTTTACTTTCATGAATCAAATTGCTATCGTTGACGTGGTCTGCTATTTTTGATAGGCTATCTTCCCTTAATGATACTAAGCTGTTTCCTGAACAATAGGCTTCTGAATCTAGTTTAGATTTCTTCTGACTACCACTTTCTTCTAATGCTTTTTGTCTTTTGCGTTTTGCTAAGAATTCATCAAATTCTGTAGGATAGATACTCAGTAGATTCTCTTTGTCACTAAAGTATTGACCTTGTTGCTCGCTTAAGTGACTATGGCAGTTGCTCTTTTGTTTGAAATAATGCGACCAGTCCATGGTTATCAGCTTTTGCTGCCATTCCAAATACTGCTCCCAACTTGTGTGAAAATGACCTGGCTCGAATGAAAGTTTGAAATGCATAGATCGGCTTCCTTCAGGCTTGAGTGGCACGAAGTAGCCATCACTATTATTTGACAAAACAGCTGATGCCGAGTTCATAGGAGTCTATTGACATCGTTAGCTAGGCTTTCACTCTCTGAATGCGAGATAGTTATATTGGGGATGACAACAATTGATGAGTCATAACTAAGTTACCTTTCCTCTGAAAACTTTTGGCAATGAGTGTTCTTCACTCAATTTGGTATCCCAAGCAAGCGCTGCTTTGATGAGGTCAGTACGTGCCATAGTACTGCTTTCAGTATGTTGTCTTAGAGCCAAATAAAGCATAAATGACTGATTGTGCCATCGAGGCGCGGATGGCGTAGATTGATTACATCGTATTGTTTTTTTCCTCTTATAAGCTTGTGTCAAATAATGTTTGCTACAAAAGCGTTGGACCGCATCGATATCCTCAGCTTTATCTACTATAGGCTGAACTGGCAAGTCCGTTTCATGATATGTGAGCATCTCCGTTTCTGCGAAACGTAATGAGGAAGGGTATGAACAGAAAGGTAAGTACACAATAGAGAAATTTCAGCTATTTTTCGTACATTAACACTTTTTTTTTTTTGCATTTTTTTTTTAGACCGATTTATTGTGCGTTAGTGGTATAGGAAAAGATACATGGCAGGTCTGCTCGTTTAATAGCGAGGGCTTGGTATTCATAAACGTTCAGAAAGTCAGTTTAACTACCTAAAGTATAGGATGGTGATAATATGATACAGAACTGCTATAAAGCCAATTGTAAAAAAAGGGAATATTGAGTTTGATTTCTTCCTTTTCATCTATTTTGAACGCTTGACAACGGCTGCTACAAGTGCTGCACCGACTGCCACTACACCACTAACTATAGCCAAACCTATCACACCCTCTGCATAGAGCAGAATAATGGTTCTTGAGTTAACTAATATCATTCTTTTTTCGGACTAACAAACTTCCGCTCTTCTACCGTACCTGTGGAGACTTTCTCATCAATTAACTGTTTTAAAGCGATCGCTTGGTCATTTCTCGGTTCTAACTTCAAAAGCTGATCATTGAATTGTCTCGCTTCAGAATAATTCGATAACTTATAATTTCCAATGGACAAAAAATATAAGCATTCTCTTCTTCTTTCAGGCGCATCTGTATATATTTCTGAGTAATGAAAAATTTGGATACCCCCACGCAACAACAAAAGCAAGCTTAGTACGCCTTATTGTGATCCCTTAATTTTTTTGCCCGTTTCTACCTGTCAATAATTTTATGCCTAACTCGATATGTTCTTGCTTAGTTGATTTGATTAATCCCCAGGCATAGTTGAACTTGGTCTGTATAGTAACATATTCTCCTTCTTTTATGAATTGCCGTCGCAGTACCTATTTAGAAGCAATAATACATCTCAATACAGGCTTTTGCGAACGTCCTCACAATTTAAGCATGAAGATTTCACTATTGGAGTTGAGAGTAGAGATGACCATTACCTCGAGTTCATCAGGTGTAAGTGGTATCTGGGCATCTTGTATCAATGGTACTGACTCTGTCTTCATTGCTAAATCGTTTGTATTTCCCTCAGAAATAGATAAACGAATCAATAAATGGAAAGAGAAAATGAAAAGCTCTTCCTTCTAATTGTTCTTTGGGCAGCTGAGCACTGAGTTTAGAGTGACGTATTTTTTTTTTTTCTTTCTTCATGACTTTTATGCAGACAATTCTTATCAATCAAGGCACGTATCCTTTACCAGTGTTTGGCTTGAATTGCTATTGGTAAGTTACTCGGTTATACATCAACATCGTCCAAGAGCACTCATCAAATACAAAGATATATCCTGTATACAAAATTCATCCGATATTTAATGTAGAAAATAGAAAGTGGTTGGGATACATCTATCTTTGACGCCTACGCTGCACTGCTTGGCTTCTTTTAACAATCAGGCATTTGTATATCTCCGGTCAATTCACTTTTTAGAGACGAAATACAAATAGAAAACCCTTTGCTAAAAAGTGCTGTTATGAGACAGGAGACCCGAAGACTCCAAGAGCAAAACATTGTAGCCAAATATTATGTACTAAAACGGCTCTCAAGTATAAATATATACGCACGATTGTTGAATGAAACCAAACTATCTATTTCTTTTCTTGGTTATAGCACCCTTTTTTCCGTTGTTTTAGTTACTTCAGCATTCGTTCCTCAAAAAGCTTTCAACAATGGAGTTAGTATACGGAATGCTTATCCCCTCAGCAGTTTCTGTGAGATAATGACTATAAACTTTTGGTGAAGCCATGGCTGATTACTACTTTTTTTTTGATGTGGGTTATCTAGTGGGTTATGTGAGCTTTTTTGATGTGGGTTATGTAGTGGATTATGTGCAATTGATGTGGGTTATGTAGTGGATTATGTGCTTTTTGTTGGATGCTTTTACTTAAATTCGACAAAAGTAAGTTGACGCTGTTGTTCAAGGCCTTTCTGTGAGAGAACTTGTTTACTCGTAAGGATTTACTCAATGAAATGTGTGAGGATTTCGCAAGGGGTGTCATTCTTATTATGAACGACATAGGCACTGACAAATAATTATCAGCGAAACACAATAGGTCAAAGTGTACAACAAGTTCATTAATGTCTCAGACTACGTACTGTATTGTGAAATGTTTTTACCAACAGATTTCCTTTCTTGGTGGACTTTCCTTTCATTGAATTGGTTTTATATATAATGATATTCTTGTCCATGCGTTTAGAGGATAACGTTGGTTTGGAGCTTAAAAGTGGAAGTAAAGACGAAAAGAAGAAGAAAGTTTAAAAAGTCAAAAAGATAGATATGATTTTTCAATTTGGCAAGATAAGCTTTCGTTTGACAACATTTAAGATGACAATATGATTTACGCGTTCAATGACACTGAATTTGACTCGATGCTATGCTGATAACTTTGCTGCGTAAGGCAACAAGCACCATTTGAACTAGAAATAATTTTAAGCTTTTCAATTGAGGCTTCTTCTATGGATCACATGCGTAACAGGTTGGAAACTGAATCTTCGTTGGAGAATGAAGAGATCTACTGATAAACGTGATATAGAAGGATTTTTTATAGTCATGGACAATTGTAGAATTTACATTGTAAATTTGCTGTAGAGGGTATCCATAAGCGTGGCTACAGGCTATTATTCATGCCTTCCTACTCGTCATTTTTGAACTTTATTGAGAATGTTGATCAAGGATTAAAAGTAATATCCAACGCAATTCGCTGCAGATGGGAGATGAATTATCGCTTCAAATTCAGAAAGCGTATGAGACAATTATGCCTGATGATTGCCTGGGTTGGGCTAGGTATGCAGAAACACTCTGCGAAAAATACTTACAGAAAGAATATGGTTTTATGAATTGGTGATCCAATCGTCTAAAATTATACGCAATTGTTCCTATAAAATTGTAAGAAAATTTAAAATTAAAATGTAAATTACCCCAATAAATATTGCAAGTCGTCTAAAACGGACATTATTCCACTTATTTTAAGACGTACGACATTTCAACCGTAAAAGAGAAATTTACGCAAAGCTACTCAGAACGGGTGAACTTGAAAAAGTATCCATCGCTCGATCTGATGATCGTGCAACTAACCTATTTTCGCGTTGGGGAAGCTAGTTTTAAATAGGAAATATGTTCAAGGTAGTGAGCAGTACTCGTAACCTGTAATCCCTTGTAAAACCTGCTTGTCCGTATATTGATTCTACTGTATTTATAGAGTAATCTATGATAGCAGAATAAGTAAGCTAGGTCTCCTAATGACGATCCGTTCAACCTTATGAGATAGCTAATCTCGTACGAGATTTATCACTTATTCTATATCGTTACGTTGTTCACATTTATTATCTCAGTGGCAATAGCGTATGACGATCTCGTACAACTTGTGTACAAGTTCATCACTACTCATACGATGCTGTCAACTAAAACGCATCACTTGAATCACGGTACTCTTAATTCTAAAGTTACGTTTTTTTTTTTTTTTTATTGGCCTGCAATATCGCATCATACACTATATCATCCACTCAAATACGACGGAAGTAACAATAAAAAAGGAAGTCGTTGATGCCCAGCCTAGAGTTGTCTTGGAGCTTCTCTTTTCTTGTTGTAGTGGGAAGGGGTAACGAAAAAAAGCAAATAGACTAGATGAAAGATAAAGCAGCTACAACCTACACGATAACAATGTCGTTGTTTGGGGTTCACGGTAGGATCAACGTCATTTGTACGGCCCTGATGGAATTTAATATTGCTTCTCAAAGCCACAAAATTCTATTTTATGATGCCAGCTCACCTACGCGTCAAAATTCAATCTATCAGAGAATGAAGCCACACGTTTTTCAATGAATTGTTGACTCAACGATAACCGTGACGCAAATTGATAAAAAATTAGATCAATCTGATCTTCAAGACGTTATATTATTCTGAGACAAATGAAAGAATGCGTGACTAAATGCATAAAATTTAAAGTCGCGCTTTTTAACGATAATTTTTTCCTTTTGTCCTTCTGTCAAAAGGGACTTGTGGCACTGGATCAAAAAGATAAACTCGCATAGCATAAAGCTTATCACGCACGTGGTGATAATGAAGGGCAACAGTTTTAAAGATTTGATCGATGTCATAGATTACGTCAAGCCTACTATTGAAGACAAAAAAAAAAAAAAAAAAAATAAATAAATAAAATTTTTTTTTTTCTGACTCATCTTTCAATTAGTTTGAGTCGCGTCCTCTTGGCCTCTTTGTCCGGTATATAGCGATGCCAAGTGCTTTTAACAAACAATTTTTGACCGCCTTGTTTACCTAAAATGATCAGCCTATCGTTTTCCCAATTGCTAATCCCGCTACTCGAGCAGAATATACTTTTGCCTGAAGCAATGAATTATAAAAGTGAACGCGCCTTCTTGCTTCAGGAACAGCTCCCCCAAGCTAATACCGTAGCAAAGAAAGACTAGGTGCGTATTTTTGATCAGCATAACGATTATGTATTTCCTTCCAGGCCTAGATCTTGGCGCTGTCATTGCAAGAGCCGGCTACCATCTCCGATATTTATAATTTACCGTGCCTCAAAAGTGTTATCTGATTCGCTTACATCGGAAGAACTAGGTCAAGCCTGGCTTTATCCATCTTCCACACGGACCCCTAAGGTATCAGCCATAATTGCCGCAGCAGTTTGATGACCAAGCTATCAAGGCAGATTTTTTACAAAGATTCATCACTGATGAATCGATGCATTTAAGTATCGACACACGCGTGGTCGGTTACTGAAGATAGCTTTGGGGTCGATACCACTATACATTACCTTATCATTTAGCCATATCTACGTTTGAATTTTTTTTTTTTTGGGGGAAACACGGTCATCAAAGACATAGGAATGAGATTTCATTAATCAGCCGGCAGCTATCTCATTACATTATTTTCGCATATTCTCTTTTGCTAGACGAAGACTGAAAAAATTTGGTTTTTGTTAATTCCTATCGTCCCCCTTTTTGCACGACTTCCGAAATAAATATTTATGGCATAAGAATGATCCAAATATGTTTCGAACTAATCAAAATATGCTGATTTTTTGTTTTTTAGCCTTCAAAATGGCTCAAATCTGACACTAACCCAATAAGACGTTGAATCGGAGTTAATTCTTCTATGTCTTTTAATCACATCATTGCTACTGTAGTCGGTTTTACAAAAGAGCCGAATTAAAAAAAAAAAAAAAAACTTTTTTTTTTCTCTGATTTTCTAGGCCTATTCCTATTTTTTTTTTTTCGCTTCTTCTTTCCGTCTTTTTACTACTTTTTACATCACAATTGAAACCATAAAAAAACAGAGTTCAAAAGCGTGTAACAATGATCATCCTACGACACAACTCCTTGACAGTTAAGGAACTTTTCGTCATTGAAAGGGTAAAATTCGTGTTGAGCAATAATGGGCCTCTTGTATGAGACGTTCTGATTTCTTACCCCTCCTTTTTTTGTTCTTTCTATTTTCCGTTTTTCTCTGTTTCTTTTTTTCATTTTATTTTTACTTTTTTGGCCTGCAATAATAATTATTCATCGTAGGTCATGCTAAGAGTCTCCAACAGTAAATATCGACTTTCGCTCGACTATTCTCTACTCAACAAGTCGCGGGGTGAAGTCTACGGTTACGTTGCTGGCTTATGTAAACGCATAGGCTTGTATAAAACACTGGGTATTACCACTTCGGATTTTCTTGATTTGCTGGTGGACATTGAAAAAGGCTACAACGATAATCCTTACCATTCTTTCTACCATGCTGTCGATGTTGCTATGGTTTTGTATAATATGCTTGAGGAATACAATATGTCTGAACACTTGACAAGATTCGATGTAGCCATGCTTATACTTGCAGGCTTATGTCATGATATTGGACATGTAGGTTTATCAAAGAAGGAATTTGATAAGCAGCTGTTTTTTATTCTGATCCGCTTTTCTCCTTCATTTTAGCCAGGAAACAATAATCATTTTGAAGTGTCTTGTCAAACAGAACTAGCTAAACAGTATAACAATTTATCAGTTTTAGAAAGTCATTCAGCCAGAGTAGCTTTGGATCTCTTTGATAAGCATGATTTGCTACGGAACGTAGAACTCAATAGTCGCCTCTATGGCGTATCGATCACTAAGGATGAGTTCAAGTCAAATGTCGTAAGAATGATTTTAGCAACAGACATGATTTGTCATTTCAACTTGAAAGATAATGTGGATCATCTGCATGCTATTCTACAACAGAAAAAACATTTACATCAAACTTCAAGCAATATCGCCTCAGAAGCAGCTCCTGATTTAAAAGCACTTTTCAGTACCACTGCTAATCCATACGATTACTTTAAGAACACCTTTTTCACATCTTTAAAAGATGATGACATTGATGTTGATGAACTGTCTGATGCAACAACAAACCAAAGTCCATCCTTTGATATTTCGAAACGCTCTCATCCAGCCCCATTATTGAATAAGCAACAACGGTTAATGATGTGTAACATTTTAATTCATGCAGCCGATATCAGTAATCCTTGCCGACCATGGCCGGTCTTCCACAAGCTCTCTCGATTAGTTTGTGTAGAATTCTTCAGACAAGGTGACCAAGAGCGTGCTTTAGGTCGCACAGTTACGCGGAATATGGACAAAACCAAAACGACACCGTCAAAAGTAAACATAGGATTTATTGATTTTATTGTCCAGCCTTACTTTGAAGCTCTATCAAAATTGTTCCCAAGTATGGCAGAATTCGTTGAACGTTGCAAACAAAATCGCGAAGAATGGCTCAAACGTGGCACAGAGTCAATTGATAATCTGTGCCAGAATATTCCTTCCATCAAAATCACGATGGGTACCTTCCCTCTGCATCAACCACCTTTAGAATATGACGCCGCATCCACCACTTCTTCGCCGGGCACGACATCTGCCGTAGCTACTGTAGCAGTAGCACCCACAACAGATACTGACAATAACGTACTGCAAGTTCCTATCATCGGTGTGCCTCCATTATCGCGACCCACATTAGATGATAACCTTGTTCATCGGGGACGCTTATTCGCTCGAAGCCATAGCATTACTGACGTGAGGAGCTATACGGGCACCTTGTTATCGCCGTATTGGGGTGAAAACGCTCAAGATCGTATTCGTCGAAAAAGCGAAGATATTTTATTATCTACTTTACGACACGTCCAACGACGTCGTCTCTCCGCCGTTACGAAGCCACGCCGTAAGAGTGACGAATCAAATAATAACTATATGATCAGGTCTTCTAAAGTGGTTTCATTCTTTGAACTTGACTGAACATCAAATCCATCATTCCGTCTTCTACCGCCCCCCACCTCTCCCAACTCTTCCACCACTACTGTTTTATCCTATTGTAATTGAAATAATTTCATCGGTAGACTCGTACTTGTATATATCACCTTTGTCTACATATCTTATTTTTCATACGCTATCATTGTAAATATTTAAACATACCAAATAGATGACTTGATAAAAAAATCTGAATAGTTTCCTTCACTGATGCACATTGATTCTCATATCAATAATGAACATACTTTATCATGAATATAGAATATCATGTTTTCAGCAATAAGAACTTTCGCTTATTTGTCGAAATGCGACACGTATGGTTTGTCAATGTGTCTAACGTAGAGATTGTCCGTGCATCAAGAATTCTAGTGAGTTCTTCTCACTCCCCTCTTATTCTTTATCCATTCCTTGTAGGTTTTTGCTATTCAAAATTTTTTCAATGGCTTATAGAAGCGCCATTGCTCTTACTCTTTTAGTACTTTTTTGGTATTTCACAATAATTCAATGTTATCATTACCGTAATTGTAAACCCAAGTTGACCATGATCTCAACCATGACCATTATTGATATCGCTATTCTTTTACAGCTATCTATTGTTTTTTGTTGATAACATTCTGGTTTTTTCTATTCATTACTATACATGCAGTTGCTTTTTACTTCATACAATCAACTGCTATATCTATCACAACTCAGTCAGCAATTCAGTTTATCTTATTTGATGATGCTGACTTTTCTACAAACGTTGAATCACATATGTTTCTCCACTTGACTGTACCTGTCAGAGTCGAATTGTAATTTATTTTCTATAGCGAGTTTCAGAAGGCTTGCAAACGTTGAATCAATGGATGACTTTTATCAATAGATGAGCATCTTGACAGCAGCAGCAGCTACAGCAGCAACTTGATTGGAGTAGTAAGCTTCATCCTTCAGAGGCCATTATTACAATGCCTTTCGTTGAAAAGCTTAACCAGTATACCTCTTGTGTCCGACCTAAGGCAAATTTTTGATAATCATTCTTCATTCTTCGATCAAGACTCTCATAATGTTACACTGGCAAGTATGCACATCAAAGATATCAGGCCAACCCAACTGTCAATCGATGAGGCGGAAAATAGACATTCGTTGGGTGGGGACGGAAAAGGGGAGGTGTTTAGACATCATACACTATTCATTTATATGAGATCATCGTTTCATGGGGACAAGTAAAGAGTAATATGTATGTAGAGAGTGTATCAAAAAAATAGGATAAAAAATAGAAAAGTAGAATGATTACAACCTTTTTATTGAAAGCGATTTACCCGTCGAAGAATATTAATATGTTTCTTCACCAAAACTCATCTGGAATTCTTTCCAATTGACCTCCACCACTTTTACAACCTGTTCATTTTCTTCTTTTGTTAACTGTACATCTACCCATTTTTCTATACCTGAAGCACCCACATAAACAGGCCATGACATGCAACAATCATATTTTGGCACATACACAGACAGCACCCAGTATCTACTTTCGTTCGCTTTCGCTAAAGCTGTCTGAAGCCTTTTCTGCGTTTTCTGTTTTTCTTGCTGCTTTTCGAATGAATTTGCTGTGGAGGACGATGACGTTGCTGGAGTGCTTGCTGTTATATTCATGGATGAAGGTCGTGTCATCGCTCTCGTAGCTGCTGCCGAAGAGGTCAATGTTAAAGATAATGTTGAAGCAATGCTATTCTGACGCGACCGATTGAAAGGCATATGAAACAGCAAATCATGGGTTAAGCGTGTCACTATGGCTGCCATGGTAAAAGCAGCTTGGCCTTTTCGTCGACAAATCAGTTTCCACCGGTGAATAGATGTCAAGCTCTGAGCCATAGTATAAGCAGAAGATTGGGGGTAATTAAGGGCCTGAATGGCAGGCAAAGGAACTCCTTTTATTTTGGCATGGTTCCAGAGAAGAAAGGGTTGCAGGCGGGAACCGAGAACATAGGCATCGGTCACATCGCTGTCATTACTGAGCAACACTCTCACATCCTCTGGGATATCATCTGCTGCCTCCAAAGGCTCTTGCGGGTTGACTATTCGGTCTCTATGGCTATTGTTTTTGTCATGAAGGTCAGTAGTGTCTCCAGATGTTTGCGTTGGAACAGAGGAGGATGACCTGAGTGTGTCCTTTGGTCGCTGCAGCAGCACTGGCTGTTCCTGTGATTCGCTTTGTTGTAAAATTCTTTGTTGGTCTATGAGCCATCGTCGAAACCTCCTTGTGGCAAATGTGCTGTGTCCAACACCAAATATGCGCTTCGGATTCACATGCGGAAAATAACTCTGCAAAGATTGCACGTATAAATCAACTGGATTGCTGGTAACTAGTATCAGGATATCAGGATGCACAGGCGACATGCAGGAGGCTACACTTAGCAACAATTCTCGGCTTTTGCAAAGCCACTCTTGCTGTTGTTGTTGTTGTTTTTTCTCATCTTCTTCTTTCTTGTCCAAACTAGGAGATGAAGAAGGAGAAGAAGAAAAAGAAGATGGACATGGGATATTTGGTTCTGTGATATCTGCAGTGAAGATGACGAGAGTGGACTGCCCTGCTTCTTTAAATGTGCCAGCACGGATGCTGGTTGCAGCAATGGTGGGTATGTTATCCTCATTGATATGATGGATATCCTCGACGCTTGTGGTTGCAGGCCTTTGATGCAAATCGCTGCCTAATGATATCGCTTCTTGTAGGTCTAGCGCTTGGCCTTGAACAATATTTTCAGAAAGATCAATGAGTAGTATTTCTTTAGCGATATTAGTTAGAAGTAAACTGTAGGCAATGGTACCACCAAGGGTTCCAGCACCTATAATCGAGACTCGGCCTTGATGGTGTATCATTTATATAAGAGCACTATATCCATTGACAAACTGTTGATTTATTAGGAAAGAATGCAAACAGAAGGGAGAAAAATCTTACTCTTGGGAAAGAATAGTCCTTTTGCTTCAAGGTAAGTTTTGGGAAAAAAATAATAAAAAGGAAAAAAAAAGTGAGACTCATGTTGGCCTAGGTTAATTTCGTCTTTTCCATGGACCCGTCTCGTCTCGGTGACATTTGGAAACAACAAACAAAAGGAGGATAAACTGTTCTCGGTACTTTTATTTTTCTCCACCTTCAGGGCTCTCTATTTAAAGTGAAAAAATAAAAGAACAGAATGCTTTTTTCGTTTTCCACTCGCCCTAGAACTCACGCAACATAAAAGGATTCATGGTGAACAAAAAGTGTCTAAGTCTACACGTACTGGCATTGGTTGCCTTAGCCCAAGCTCAATGGGACTGGCCATCATCAGAAGAAGAAGAGATGCTAGCAGGGCAACCACACAGCTCCTTAAGGTAAGCCGTGAAAACTGTATACCAAATAGGTCATCACAGAAAAAGATTCAAACTAAATACGTGAATTTTATCATAATAGCCTTGGTTTGAAAAATCGCAAAAGCTGGCCTATGAATACACCATTGCGTGTTCAAAGAACATTAGCCAAATTTGGCGTGGTGGATGAACAGTTGGACCAACAAATACAATCTGCTAGCGGAACAAGCGTTGAACTTCAAAGTGTTTATGTTGACGTAGAAGTAAGTCAGTTCATAACTTTTTTTTATTACCTTGGTCACCCTATTCATCCATTATTTTGTAGTATATTGGCGAAATTGGAATTGGTACACCTCCTCAACTTTTTTCTGTTGATTTTGATACAGGTAGTTCTGACATTTGGGTGCCTGCCAAGGCTTGTCGAGCAAGCAGCTGTGGACGACATCGTCGATTTAATCCTGAAGAATCCTCGAGTTACAAAAACATCAACAATTTTGTTCCCGGAAACAATGATACTGTATCTACGTTGGATGGAGGTGAAGGCGCTGGTAACAACAATCATACCACCTGGGCCTTACAGTACGGTGACGGGTCTGTTGTGAAAGGCTATACTGCTATAGAAACGATTACATTAGGAAACGTAAGTCAGCCCAATCAACGATTTGGGTTAGTTACAGCGCAAACAGCCGAGCTTGCTCAGGATCGTTATCTAGACGGTATCTTTGGGTTAGCGTTTCCACCTTTGGCCTACACAGGCATCCGTTCTTCCATTGTACAAGATTTACATCAGGCTGGACATATCACCTCACCTATTGTGAGTTTTTACTTGGGACAAGCGAAGGATGGAGGAAAAGGCGAAGTTGTAAGTTATTCAAATATCTGATTTTTTTTTTTTTTGGTATATTGGTATACATATATGTATGTATGAATCTAACGACAATGTTGCATTGCGTAGATATTTGGCGACTTCAACAGAAATCACTTTGAAGGTGATTTGAAATACGTGCCGGTCACTCTACAAAAATATTGGCAAGTCGAACTTAACAGTATGAACATTGATAACGGTCCCAATATCTTAAACTCCACAGCCTTTCCTGCCATTGTTGACACTGGCACTACATTAATCATCGTTCCTCCTCACATGTCTCAAGCTATTCATCAGGCTATCCCTGGTGCCGAATACGAACCTATGCATGGATGGCGTATTCCTTGCGATTTTGCCGAGCCACAGTCAAGCAACGGCCAAATGACCGACAGTGTACTCAATATACGTTTGGGAGAGCAAGAATTTCCTCTTTTATTAAAAGACTTGGTGCGTGCTAGAGCTGTCTTTCCATTCAAGGGGCCCAAAATGATGTGCTATTCTGGTGTGGCCGAGGCTCAAACACCTATGATAATATTGGGAGATACCTTTCTGAGAAAGTACTATTCCGTATTTGATTTTGGACATGCTCGTATCGGTTTCGCTAAGGCAAAGCCTTGAAATGAAATAGCACAACCCCTTTTCACTGTAATTTTACATTATAATATATCCTACTATCTGTTGTTCATGGTTCAAACGCGGAAAGAAGGGTATTATTCTTGCTATGAGGCACTGACTGCTTTCGTTCTAAAAGAAAAATAAAAAGAAAAAAATTCGTTGGCAGATCCATCTTTTTACTGTTGTTGATCCATCGACTCCTTATACCCCAACAAAGCCTATGACAACGCTATTAAGAAGCTCACTGTTACAAAACACCTTACGTACAGTGTGGGATGTTGCAGGATATCCTACAGAAACCTTGTTATGGCCAGCTACACAATGTACAGATAAAAAAACTATTCTCTTGTTCATTCCGGGCAATCCGGGATTAGTCGAATATTATACCAGTTTCCTACACGGCCTTCATAAATTAGTAGCATCACCATCATTCGAGATCATTGGAGGTAGTTGGGCAAACTTGACTGAAACTTGAAGGAAGCTTACTAAATATACCATCGATATATCTCCAAAACAGTCTCACATAAAGGACACTCCATCAATTATCACGAACCATACCTAAACAAGAAACTCTTCTCACTTGAAGACCAAATCCAACATAAAGTGGACTGTTTAGATCAACTTTTAAAAGAAAATGGCTCCAACAATGTCAATTTTATATTGATGGGTCACTCTATTGGTAGTTACATAGCTGCAGCGGTTCTAAAAAGACGACCACATCATCACATATCTCGCGTAATAGCTTTATTTCCAACTCTTAGAGAGATAGCTTTAACACCCAATGGTGTGAATATTACAGTAAGAAACACTGGTAACTGTTTTCACGAGGCGGCACGGATGTCTAACTGTTATGCTTGTGTGGATTGGCAATAGCGCCTTGTCAATAGGATTCCTGCTACTGTTTTTGGTATCACCGGGTCCTTGATCTCTTGGTTTCCTCCTCCTTTCCGTCAAGCTCTGGTACAGTGGATAACTGGACAATCAGGGGAGGGTTTACAGGTCACTGCTCACCAGCTTTTGCAAAAATCCGTGCTCGAAAACGCTGTTACTATGGCAAAATTTGAAATGGAATCGGTCAAAGAGTTAGACCACGACTTTTATATGCAACATCTGGATAAGTTCATCATGTATTACTCGGCTAATGACAAATGGGCTCCCAAAGAACACTATGATTACATGGTGAAGCATTTTCCAAAAGGCAAAGTCCATTTGTGCTCTCAAAATATACCACATGCCTTTTGTTTAGGTAAGCACAGTACAGTGAACGGAACCATTCTTTAAGAGCAGTTCTCTCATAAATGAGGGCATTCCTCTTCTCATTTAATAGAACCTCAACATATAGATTACATGGTGCAGAAAGTAGGTGATTGGATTCGACAAGATTTGCAAAATATAGAATAAATTAGAACGCTTTTGCAAAGCATATTTGTACAATAAATCACTCGTGTGTTATATGGCATTGTTTTATTCTTGTTTGTTTTTTGTTCTTTGTACATGAGATAAATTGCTTTAATCAATTTGCATCTTATCGTCGTCTGCTGGTTTTTTATCCTTCTTCTTATCATCCTTTCCCTCCCCCTTTTCTTTATCTTCTTGTGAGTTGGATTGTTGCTGAGGTGAATTTGCCGACGATTGTTGCTTGTTCTCTAACATGTTTTCATTCTTCATGTTGTCAATCTTATTATCAATCAAGTTATGAAGCGCGATAACAGCACGAATCATACTAGAAAGATAAATCAATAATAATTGATCATTGGTCTTTGTGCTGAAACTGCTGACCATTTCTTGACTTTCGAGATTAGGTAATAAATTGAACATATCTTGCAGATTGTAAATGATTTGATGATTTACAGGTAATTTGCCAGCGACGACTTTGGCTAAATAATCGCGGATTTCTTCTAATCGACCTTGTAATCCGCCTAAAGAGGAAAGCTGGTTACTGATGCGAGTGGATAGAGTGCCCACAGCATTGTCTTTGATGTCTCTTAGTAAATGCTCCACACCGATTTCTTCAGCTTCTTCCGCAACAATTTCTGATGGGACATGCATGAATGTCTTTGTAGTGGTTGTACCGTCCTGTATTATTGCCCGTAATGATATAAGCATAATGACCTAAAGTATTCATTTATGTAAAAACCAACAACTTACGTCTTTGATTTCTTCAATTGCGAAATAAGCATCAGTAGGGATTTCTGCATCGTTAGGCTTAACGTCGATAATGACGAGTACTGGATTAGGTGTATATCTTTTGAATAATTCATTGATTTCCAAGTCTGACGAACGAAGTTTGGGTCCACTGTGATACCAACCGATCAACTTTTCCTTTGCTATATTTGTGTATTGTGTACATAGGTTATGCATGGATGTTTCTGATTTAACTCTGATAAAAGAAACAGAAAAGCTATCTTCTTACCATTCACTTTTTTGAACATATCATTCATTGCTTCAACGTAGTTATGGTCCAAAAACCATACGGACGGATCCTTCTCATCTTCTTCGAAAGGAACTGTAATGGTTGTGAAAGAAAAGGCAGAATCGTCAATTTGTGTATTCAGGCAATAAACATATTTGGTATGATCAATAATTTGTAGCATTAACAGCTAATCAAATTCTGTACTATTGAATTTACCTGCAAAACTGTTGGAAACGTTAACGGTTTTGCCTTTATTCTGACCGAGTAAAACACCGACGACACGTTTCTTTGTATCTTTAGCTACACGATTGTAGTGATCTGTAGCTGAAAGTAAGACAAGAGGATGAACATGAGCTGTAATAGAGTTAGGTTGCACTGTTGTTGTAGTTGGCATTCTTTTTAGTTGAATTAAATTAAGAAAATCTTAGAAGTTGATCTTTCCCAAGTTGATTCTCTGAAAGAAACGAACTGAAGAAGTCAGTTTGGGTTTTTCACTCACAGAAACTTACGCGTTCCTCAAAGCGGAATTCGAAGAAGGTTCTCTTCTTTTGCAGAGTGCTCTTTATTCGTGACATCATTTTCGCTCGTTGCTTTCCATTTTAGGTATTGCTTGAATCTAAACAATTATTGGGAAAAGGGAACTTCTGAAATAAAAAGTTGCATTTTTGCAACTTGCTCATCTTCTATTCTCATCATACCAATACAACGCATACCTCCATAATACGAACATTTTGAAGCATAAATAAAGCATGTCAAGTTACAACTATCAATATATTATAAAGGTTTATCCCTAAAGAAACAAAGGAAAATTGTCTATAGAACGTAGACTAACTTGGACAACACATTTCTATCAAATTTATCTTCAGTATATCATTATTGGCGACACAGGTATAAACGCAGAATGTGTAGATAAAAAGCACAGATATACTATTGGTCACTCCATTAACTAACACAAGCATTCACTTATGTATAGCCGTTGGAAAAGTAAGTGCCGTTCGTCCTAAAACAAAGAATAAAATTTGTAACTTCAAAGGGATCAATTCCATGAAACACAACCAAAGCTTACGAGCAATTTATAATATCACCTTTACAATGTTAGTCTTGCCTCTTATTACAATTTACCGATAAGCGTTTTATGCCGGCACACGATTTGACTATAGGGTACACTAATGAACGATAGCGAGTTTTCAGGAACCAGTATATCACGCTGAATCTAACAAAGAAAGCTTAATTTAGTGTTGGTTTTGGCACACGCTTTATACAAGTCAAGGATACACAGATAAAATTACAGATCTGGGATACGGTAAATGGAACAGTACAAATGGTTATTTGTGTACATACATTTGATACTTATAGAACGTTCTAGGCCGGACAAGAATCGTTTAGATCTATAACAAGAAGTTATTACAGAGGAGCAGCAGGTGCATTATTAGGTATATTCAGGAACCAAAAATTTCACCAGAAAGAAAATCAGGAGCGCCGATAATAACTCATGATATGTTATTGTTATAGTTTATGATATCACAAGACGAGACACTTTCGAACATCTTCCCATATGGCTAGAGGGTAAAAAAAAACAAAAACAGAATAAGGGTCTGAGTAGTATAGTCTCACATGAAAATGCTCTGATATATTTTGTGATAATGCTAGATGTACGCCAGCATGCAAATCCCGACACGGTCATCATGCTTATCGGCAATAAAAGTGATTTAGAAAAGGATCGACAAGTCAGTCGCGAAGAAGCCGAGAAATTTGCTCAAGAGAACAATTTATACTTTTTGGAAACTTCAGCTAAATCAGCTGATAATGTTGATATTGCTTTTATTAAAACAGCAGAAGAAATACAAAGAAAGATTCAAGAAGGGATCATTGACTTGAACAGTGAGGTATAGGTGGATTATGGTGATATTATGCATATATGGATGTGAAAATTTACACACTCTTTTTTTTTCTTCTTCGACAAATAATTGATAAATAGGCAAATGGGGTCAAGTTGGGTCAAAGCCAAGGTGGTAACTCTAGCTTACCCTCTGCTAATTCCTCTTCAAATGGTGGTGGGTGTTGTTAAGGGAATATTTGTAGTAGGAATAATGGATTGTTAGAAATGAATAAATATTAGTGTTTATCAGTCTTGGTATCTGGGTGGGGGAGACAACATATCATTCGTAGTTCGATTATAAGGATGGGTTTGCAGACTTGGCTGCATGGAAACATCATCATTACTACTGCTGGCCGCACTTGCGGGTTTGTGTTTGAGTTGATATTTCATATGTAACAGGTGATCTAACCGAGAAATTACATCATCTGGCAGGTGGGTTCTGGAACTTGGCGGCTCATACATTGGTAGGGGCATATCTATCATACAAGAAGAAGTCGTTGAAGGAAATTGATGTTGGGCATAAAGGATGGATGATGTTGCATGGCGCCGCTGCTGTTGAAGGGTATCTACTCTGGCTTGTTGGTAATCGAGAGCTTTTTCAATAATCGCATCTCTTTCGTGTTATCTTTTGTAATAGCGACGATATCTTGTAACCGTACAAGATATCAAAAGAAGGGCGATTCCTAGTGTGAACAGAACGATAATGGCTATAAATGAACCACCTATACGATCAGAAAATTGCTGTCTTGATATTGCAGGTGATGAATCCACTGTATTAGTGCTATAATCCATATCAAGAAAGATACTATAGAGGCAGCTAGAGGTATGCAAAGGTTAATTGATGTATGTATGTCAATAGGAAAAGCAAGAATGAGGATTATTCTTCATTTTGGTGGAGAGAAAAGCGAGATTATTAACGCTATTTATACAGAAGGGACTAAACAATATATATTAATAATTGCTTTCGTCATTTGATTATCATAAATGATAATTGGTGTATCCCGATAGAGCCTACGTGAGCTGCTTTTTTCTTCATTTTATTCATTCTAAAGTTCTATTTTTCTTCTTTTATCCTTTCCTTTTCGAAATTCACGCGACATTATATTCTCCGCCAATTTGTCATTACCTTCATAATGCCTCATTTGTTCCTTTCGAATGGAGATGTGAATGCCTGTGTAACGGATTATACTGCTACCAGCCACTTGAATGGTGTAAATAAGGAATATAATACTACCATGGCGGGTGATCAGAACAACCGCCTTAATGCTACCATTAACAGGGTACTCGACCATGAACTAATGGACGAAACCAACAGTGATATTGACAACTTGGGTGAATCTTCAGCAACATCCTTGCTGCCTAATTTAACCTCTACAGCGCCTTTGCATGTAGGTTATCAGCAACTACAGCACCAACGATCTACTGTAGAAAAGTCGCGCGAAGAATTAATGTCAGAAATCGAGCAAACCGTAGATCAAATAATGACATCTATTATGTTGGGGGAAGTCATTAGACTACCTATTGCCGTTAGAAAATTGACCACTTCCTCTTCTTCCATGCCTTCTTCAATGTCTTCAAGCTCTTCCCAACAGCACAAGTAAGGTTGAAATAAACCAATCAAAATAGCAATATGTTAAAGAATACTAAGTCTCATCCATTAGTGGGAAGAAAAGTAAGGCAGCCATAGTGTCAGAAAGCAATGCCGTTTCTTCAAATGGTGGACACTTCGAAATGTCGTCTCAACCACTCAATACTACTATACTATCTCATTTTCAGCAGCAGCAGTCAGTGCAGCAAACAAGGATCTTATCATTGAATTGCGCCTCTTCGGCAAAAACTTTAGGTATTAATAGCATCATCTAAAACCGATGTCGTTCAATTGATACTAACAATAAAGACATAAAGCACGTTATTTATCAGTATTGCAAATGATATACGAAGCTATCGCATACAAAATCATGGTAACAAAAAGAGACATGTTCTATAGGGATGTGTCACTGTTTGGTACTCAATCAGTAGTTGACATTGTAAAGTTTTATTAGGTTTGTGTATGATTGCTGTATCTGTGAAAGTTCAGTAACAGCTTTCCCTTTTTCCATAGATAGTGGATGATTTATCCTGTCATTATAATGTTCCGCGATCTTCGTTAAATGTTGTAAGTGCAACATCTAAAGCATACGTTTATAATATATCTGTTATCTTCAGCTGACAATCTATACTCTTGAAATATGCAGAGTGCAGCTTCTAAAGGCCTCATTTTTGGACCAGTTATGATTAAACTAAAGAACAATAAGGTCATCGATTGTATGGGCGGCTCTGCGTCTTTCTTGCCTCAAACAGCTATTGATGATACAGACGGTTGTTCTGATGAGCAAGTACGATAAGATATAAGCTAGATCTTACTAAAGTATGACATGCTGACTGCTCACTTGATATATCTCTTAAGGGCTCATTAATTCCACCTATCAATCAAATTGTAGAAGTTCAATGTAAAGCCAAATGTATGATCATCGTAGAGAAGGAGGTATAGTTGCATGAAGAAATGGAGACTCAAACATAAAGAGAGGGTTTTTGCTTATAGAAACCGTATGTATTAGGCAACGTTCAGATATCTTGTTTCAGTAGGGTTCTGCCAGTCTTTGCCTCAAAGCTGTGTTCTAGTTACTGTAAGCGATGCATGTGCAAATTTATGTCAACTCTGAAGCTCTACTATTTTCAATGAAATCAGAATAATAATCTTACAATTGATATTGTAGGGAAAAGGGTACCCAGACCTTTCAACGCGTCAGTTTGTCAAGTATTTTTCAACCCACTTTAGTAGGAAGCCTATTTTAGCTTTAATGGATAATGACCCTCATGGGCTTGACATTTATGCTACGTATAAATGGGGTGCTAGAGTAAGCTGTTAATGCATTCGCTACACATCTTCAATAATTCTTACAGTCTAGTTCTTATTTCTCTAGGCTATGGCATTTGACGTTCTTAGCTTAGCTGTCAACAGTATCAAACTGCTAGGATTAACTTGTCAAGACAGAAAAATGTACGTTGTAACCTAGAATAGGAAGAGAATTAAGCTGCTATTACAGAGATATTGTTCTAATTATACATGAATAATAGTTGTCGTTTGGCTGCAGAATGCTATATACCAATGACCGACAGGGATAGGTCAAAATGTCTTTCAATGATTAAGACTTATAATCAAGATGAGATGCCGGGACAAAGTCAACTTGTTAAAAGAGGATACTATAATTTAGACGAGCAGCTAGCTTCGCCTGATCATCAAGAATACATGTAAGTTTTAATACATACTTTAGATAAGCAAACAAGGAATATTTTATACATATTGACTTTTCTCCGTTTCCATTTTGATGGCTTTTGAAATAGCAATGAGGTTAATGATTTGTTAGGGTCTGACTACAAGTGTGAATTACAGTCTCTTAATCATGCAGGCCCTTATGGCTTAACCGAATATCTGCTCTCCAAGCTTAGGAAATATCAACTGTTGTAGTACTTTTTTGCCATCAATGTCAGGCAACAAGTTGCAATAACTCCGCATATAAACTGGCTGCTTAAATTCTTTAATTCATACAAAAAAAAAAGTATACTGCTGCTTTTCCAAGAAATTAAAATAAACTGTTAAAACAATATGGCAGCCGATTCGTGAGTATCCCTAAGTGTAGTCGTTGAAGTGTAAGTTATAGATTTTCTCTCTAAAACTTTTTTCTACTTTGACGTTATTCTTTAGACAGGCTATGCTTTTAGATCCTGGTAAGGATGACCTTCTCTAATAGGATACACATGATACACATTGATGTTAATTATAATCTGAATGTAGCCATTCGTGATTGGGTACTGCTACCCATTCTATTGGTAATGGTGCTAGTGGGTGTTCTGAGACATCATATTACTATGCTCATCACTGGTCAACCAAAGACACCACAGCTTAAGGCTATTCGTGAATCGTAAAGTATTACAGGAGAGATAGGAGAAAAAGTAGATCTTCAAGCAAAACAGTTAAACATAGTAACGCGATCATTTAATAATTGTGTTTATAGAAAAGCACTGTTACGTGGTTTGCGATTAAGAACTAGCGGCAATATGATCCCCCAGCACGCCTTTACTGCTCGTAAAATGTATTTAGCTGAAGCCTTTGAAAAAGGCAAATACCTAAAAAATCCCATCAATGATGAGCAGAAGAAGAAGAACAGTGATATACCCAACATGCCGCCCAACCCTATGTCAGATCCTGATATGATGGAGGGGATGATGGAAGGGATGAAAAAGCAAATGATGAATATGGTGCCTCAAATGGTCATCATGGGTTGGATCAACTTCTTTTTCCAAGGATTTGTAGTGAGTAAAGTATTAGAACAATCATAAAGCCTATTTAGAAGATAAATACCCTATATTCACATTTGAACAATAGTCAAACTTCCTTTTCCTTTAACTCCTCGATTCAAACAAATGTTGCAAAGTGGCGTAGATACACGTGATATGGATGTTACGTGGGTCTCTTCTTTGTCATGGTATTTCCTCAACTTGTTTGGTTTGGGTAGTGTTTTTTCATTAATTTTAGGTGATAATAATGGTAAGCTAGCTAATGAGGACCCCATTTGATCACCTATAGACGTACTGATCATGATTTCTCTAATGTTCAAAATTTAAACAATAGCTGCCGGCATGGATATGACAGCTGTGAGTGCAATGCCTGGTATGATGCCCGGGATGGCTGGCATGGGCGGTACACCTGGTCAACCGACCGACTTTAACAAACTCTTCTTAGCTGAAAAAGAGAATATTCAAATTACTCCTCACACTTGGGATTTAGACAGTATAGAAGAAAGATTATTAATCAAATACGGAAAAACTGTTAAATCGTCAAAAAAGGGTAGCAGTATTGCAACATCGAATACCTCTCAAAAGGGCAAAAATGATGAAGCAGATAGACAACAAAAGAATAGCAATAAGAAAGGTGGCTCACCTTCTTCAAGCGGGAAAAAGAAGGAATTGAGTGTCCGTGACAAAATTAGAGCTGCTCAAAAGCAGCAAGCAAATAGACGACGATGAACGAGAATAACCTTGAACTGTATATGTTATTAATTCACTTTGTAATTCAACTTAGTACAATCAAATGAAAGATGAATAAATAAATTGTTTCTTTTCTCTATTTGACCACACCTATATTTTATTTGATGTATTGCTATGAAATCGAGACCACCAATCGTGTAATTCCGCTTCGCTTCCCACTTGAACTAGCAAGTCAAAGAAGCCACCGTTGCTATGTATCTTGAATACATACTCGCTGCTTGTTCTCGCTACTATAGACGCATGCGAATAATTGAATTGAACACTATTCTTATAGTCATCCTCCTGTAATGTATTAAGGTAAGCCTCTGTAGTACGCATAGTGCATAGACTGTTCAACCTACCGAAGAATAATAAAGAAATGAACGAAGCTGAGGATAGAGAACGATTCTCCGCATTTCCCATCTTGCCAAAAGGGAAGGAAACAATTTAAAGACGCACTGTACGGGTAAGACATCCTAAATAAATTGTTTGGATTAGGTCTGGCTAATAAGAATGTCCAAATGATCCAATATAACAGTACCTCGAACGAAATTACGTGTAATTTCCTCCCTGCATTCTGATAATTAATTGTTTCTGCTATTGACTGAGTATCTTCTGTTTCGTATTCTTTTACGTTGATAGAACTGCAACTGCTACCAACCATTGTTACTGATCGCGCAGCCGTATCATCATCAATGGTTACATTATTATTTTCGTACTCGAAATTATCTAGTTTATGCTCTTTCCGATCAATTGGAAGGAAAAGGTGGTCAATGGCCAAAAATTGATTCATTGTCATCAGAGTTTTATCAACGTCCTTCTGTGTTGTATGTTTTCCGTTGCTATATCTTTTATCGTGCACCGAGTCTCGTCCGTGTTCTTTTCCTGTTAACTGATACTGATGGACTTTGTTATTTTGGCTGCTATTATCCTTGTAGCTTTTCAATAACTTGTATATCTTTGGAAAGAATAAGATGATCATTGAGAACGTCGTCGCCCAAAGGATAGTCATGGCCGTCACGTAATGACGAGTATAAAAGTCGTTCGTAGGCATGAAGAAAATGATGAAACCAATCATAGCCGAAAAGAATACGTTACTACAGTAAAAGGAAAGGAATTACTATAAAAGGGGAAGGATACATTTTACTTTCTTCTATCAATCAATGTAACTTACTACACTGAGAGTCCCAATTGTTTATGCTCGCTGTACTTGGAATAGCCCCCGAAAGTTTTGGTTCTCATGGTCATAAATACGCACATACCGAGTTCGATACCAGCTATTATAGACATAATAACCACGAAAAACGAATGGTTAAAATAGTTTTGGTGTTGTCTTTCACCCTCTAGACTGTTGGGGTCGTGATAATAGTTGCATGTTTTGATAAATATTGTATTAGTAGAAGAAACAGAGACCTCTGACAATTCGACTGTTGTTGAGAGTAGCCATAAAACTAATACAGTCTTCTCGCAAAAGCGACAAGTTTAGCCAAAATTGTTTAGCTACTATTTTTTGTAGGGGATCAAACTGTTCATTCAGCGTTGTACTTACAGAATTTAACAAAAATACGTAAGATATCAATCTAAGTAACTCAGCATCTGTCATACAAACACCATTTGCAAAGATATTATTCATCGTTTTGTAAACCTGATAATTTCGCGCTAGCATGGTACTATAATGAATAGTTAAGAGAAACATATGTATCAGCAGGTCATGTATGTCAAGAGCTTTCGAACTGATGTTTTACCAGATAATTATGGAATAAGCTAAATAAAAGAAAATAGGAAGCAGATAGCATGTTACTAAGCACATACTACTTTTGAATATGAGTAGTATAGATAAATAAGATAAAATAAAGCCGAATAATTCTATTATACAAAAGGATACACTGATAGCGTATGATGAACGATAGAATTAGCCAACAAGATGGAGTCACCTTTTTTAAAGAACCCCCTTAACACTGAAAACGAACAAGATACCAATAGCTATGCCTTACCTAGCATATTTAAAAACGAGATGATGCCGTTTTAGAACAATAGTGAATAAAATGAAGAAGGCAGCCAATAAGCTGATGATAGTTATTGTCGCCGTCGTTTTAGCAATTGGCGTGGATAATCCCGCTTCGAGCACTGTGATAGGTGGTTGGCCCAATGGTGGTGTATTGGTACCATCGTAATAAACAGGACTTGTGGATAATTCAAATTTCCCACCCACAACACTTCCAATGGAGACTTGTGTGCCGTTTTGTAAGTTAAAGATATTAAAGTTTCTACATCCGTACAAGTTTTAGCAACAACAATCGTTGAGAAACCGGCCTTACTTATCGCTTACCCTATCATAATATCGCCTTCTTTATTGAACAGAATTGGCCCTTGGGGCCCGACGAAGCCAGTATCATTGAATAGTGTTATTGTATCATAATTTGCTAAGAATGGTCTTCCTCTTTTATTTTCTCCCGTTGTAAGTTTCTGTAAAACATCTGCTGGATGAATGGCATCACGCACAACTTGGCCAATACCATGTGCCATGGACATCAAGCAGGAATATGCTAAACTTTATCAATATGTATATGAAACATTCAGTTTCCGGTGAGCATCATGCAATAAGATTTCTAAGAGGAAAGAGAGGAACTTACGCAGATCGATAATAATCGGGAGTTAGGTCTTGCTGAGCGATATTAAACCTAGATAGATCAAGTGCACAATTCATTGAAGTTGCCATCAGCAAAAGTATTTTCATCCTACTCTTTGTTTTTTCTTTTTGTTTTAAACAAGCAGTCCATTTACCTTTTTTGATACGTGTCTTTGAACTTTTCGAATGGTGAATATCGATCCAAATCTTTAGACATTGCTTGAAATGCAAAGACACCGCCTGGAAATAGGTTGTCATACTCCAGCAAAGTTAAATCTTCAGTTTCCCAAGCAAGGGAGTCAATAACATGTCTTTTTCGAAATGTTCCTATTGCTGCAGAAGAGTTCATAGCTGCTATAGCTGCTTCTTTATTATTGTTCAAAACTATGCGTTGTTGTATAATTTTGTTATATTGTTTCAATTGTTCTTGTAGTTGTTGTTGCAACAACATTGATTTGCTTTTATCGTCATTATCATATTCGTTACCAGTAATGATAGTTAGCCATGCTGTATCCTTATTTAAATGTTTGTGAATGGCTGCTACCATTAATGTTGCCGCAGTTAACTCGAGATCTTCTGTAACAATGACAATTACCCTTGCTCCAAGGCTCATAATATGATCGATAGATTCGTGGATACGTTTTTCATCATAATTTTTTCGTTGGTCTTTTGACGCTGTTGTTGCTATAATGGGTTGAGTAGACAGTTTCGAATCTGTAAGAGATTGATAGGATATGAGCGATATAGGTGAGAATTTTTTCTTGCACCTGCTGGCAAATACCTGGGTCACTAAGATATGCAATTTGCCGCAATAGATGTAGAGAAAGTTAGCAGTTGCTTTTCTATTTTCGAAAGACATCAACTCAGTATAATGAAGGCTTACTCAAACGTCCCAAACCATCTGTGTCCGAAAATAGTATGCCAAATGTGGTCCAATTTTGACTAAGTATAAAAGAGGTAATTATATCGATATGTAGCAAATCTGTTGGTACTGTTCGAAAGAAAGTGCCATATTGGGATCTATCCGAAAGGGATACTATTGGAATGAAAAATGCGATAGTTAGCGGCATTAACGTGTGCTTTTTTTTAGCCTTTACGTCAGTAAAATATATACTTTACGGGCTGTTGCTGCAAAAGAACAATGCGGTATTTGGGTAGAACTTGTCAATAAAGCAGATAAACTCGTCCAAGTAGACGTTGATAACGATGATGTAGATAAGGGCTTTGCTGCATCACCACTGATAACGCCAAGCACACCATCTTCATGTATAAGGGATAGAGTTGGAATGATAACAGCTTGAGTGATTCTGTCGCTTATTTGCTGGTACGGCTGCTGCTGTTGTACCTGCGGCTGACGTTGTAGCAATGAAGAAGAAGAACTTGTGTAGGTTGCCTCTTTTCGAATAACTTTCAGATAGGCACCGGGAATTATATTTGAGGAGTTGATTTCTTCAGCCGCCAATTGTATACCAGATACAACGTCGCTGTCATCAATACTATTTGTAGCGCTATCATCCAGTAATCCAGTGGGTATCAACAAACCGATTTTAACTTCTATTCTATCAGCTCCATTAATCGAGCTGCTATTAATACTTTCATTGCTTTTTATCTCTGTCAAAGCTGTCGGATCATCAATTCTATACATTTTTGCAATAACAAAACGCAATAGACCAAGAGTGAAGAGAAGGAGAAAATAAAGGCAAACAATGGCTTCATACTTACTTTCCATGCCATCTTTATTTCCAGCAATCAATCTTAACTGAAAAGGAGTATCAATCTCAGGTACCGAGTATTATTTTTCTTTATCTTTACAAAAAACTAAATAAAGACCTGAAGATTTGAAGAAGTTTCATAATGCAGCTCCTTAATTTTACTAGAATTCTAAAATTGAACGCGCTCCCTCACCATCCCGTAGCATCTTTACCTAAAATGATGTTCGTAAATCAGTTACAAAATTATTGGCTGCCTTGTGAAAGAGCCAGAAACATATTACTGGATATGAAGACGGCTCTATTACGTTAGGAATGATTGAGCAAAAGTCACTTTATTTTGTACAAGATTACATATAAAAATGGATCAATATATCGAGATCCAAGTTCAGATTCGTTGATATCATTACTAATTGGTTTGCGAGGCAAGTACCTATTCATTAGATGATGGACTTGACGAGTCTGGCTTGTTTTGACGGAAGATCGAGATCAATGAGCTGCATAATACCTTTATGCCGACTCATGATGTTTGTTGAAACTTCTTGAATAATAGTGAGGATCCTAATGATGGTGTCTATGGGAAATCGAGGCTTTTTGATTCCATATGTGCCTTCAATAGTCTGGATAATAGCAGCATACATGATTTGATTGAAAAGAGAAGATATATCATCATAATGATGCTGATCAGTTCATCAGGTCATCTTGTACCTAAAAGTCTCGATAGAAAAACTTTTTTTTTACAATATTCACAAATATAAATAGAAGCTACTTTTTTTCTACAAGGTTTTTGTTGTCAATTTTTTATCACAATATTCTGATTAATAAAACAAGATAACTTGGTCTTCACGGATTTCCTTTTGTTTTCTTTTTATTCTTACTATAACATATACAGCATATAAAAAGAGAATTGAATGGACTGCCATGGTGGAGTGCATATGGTCTTTAAGAGTTAATTTCCATTTATTACTGAGAATCGATCGTTGGAAATTGAAGAGGGCAATGCTAATATCGAAGGACTGTACCACAAAATGATTGTCAGAATCTGGAGGTGGAAAGTGAATAGCAGCCGGATTCAAGAGCTCGTTCTCAATGGAACCGCTGCAGATAGCGCGTCTCTTGTTTTGTTCTGCGCTTTCTGCTTGCTCCGATGGTACACCACCATTGCTGGGCTCGGCCTCGGAACCGTCAATGGTGGTGGTTTTCTCTTGCCCAAGGGACATAGAATCATCATTTTTGATGCTCTGAATTGTTGTGGTTGATGTTATGTTGCCAATGTTGCCTCTGGATGGTCTGAAAAATAATGATTTTTCAGTTTGTGTATTATTGCATAATGTTGGAGACAGTCAGGACAGTCAAACTGCTCTTCGGTAGAATCGTGTGCGGCAAATGTTTTGATGTAGGTAAAATTGTGTTAGTTTTACTCCTTAGTGAAGTGAATTGATTTGAAAACTGTAAGATAGAATGAATCTTGTTTAGTACTTACACAGAAAATGAGAGAGGAGAGCATTCATAGTCAATTGTAAATTTGTATTTTTTTTAAAAAAAAGAAAAGAGAAAGAGGGTAGCGTTTGTGTTTAATTGAAAGTTTGTATATAAAAAAAAGAAAATACTCGTTCCTGAAATTCTCAATCAGTAAGAATGCAGCGGCTTTCTAAAATAGAAGATCAAGATTATCATCAGGAGCGATTTTTTTGACACTATTGTGATGTCTTTAATAATTACCTAAGCCAAATATATGTAATGATTCGCCTAAACAACATTACGTGTATTTTCTATTTGCCCCATATTTATTCATAAGGCCCTAAACATGCCCTTTCTCTAAGCAAACTATTTATTTCAAAAGATATAAAAGATATCCAAATGTTAACACAAAATAAAGAATCAACATCTGTCTTGCTACTTAACTTAGTCCACTATAATCCTAAATACTAATAAGATTTACAACTATGGTAACCATCTATTCAATGGTAAATTAATCAACGATTTTGTATTGACATGAGCCAATGGCTAATTATGGATTTATTGTGCGTAACAAGTAAACCTTTAGAACAAATATGTATGATGTATTTTTCTCTTGATTGTTTCGATGTCGTAACACCGGGCTTGTTACAGTAGTATTATCTTGACCTATGTAAATAACAATATCATCTGTCTTTCATCAAATATATGGATAACATTGCAATGCTGGGTTTGGGATTGTCTAGCGGCAGTAATAGTAGTGGTAATAGTAGTTGTGGTAATAGGCGGTGTAGCTCTAAAGGTATATTGTGGGGGGGGAGGTATCCTTGGATGGGTTGTTATAATCTTGATAAGGCTTCATTATGGTTTGGCTGAGCTATATCTCAATCCTACAGCTTTTTCAGTAGCACTGGTTTTCATTCTTGCAGTTGGCTTATCGTTAAATTGTCATACATATTCTACTGATGTTCTCTTTAAGATCAATACTGCTCTTACAGCATATCCTTCTTTGCTTTCATTTTCAGTTTTCCCTTAACCAACAGACATATTCTGGTTAATCATATAATAACCGCTATGAGGCTAAAAATATCAACAAACAATATTCGATGTGTGTTCAACGACATGAAAACTAATGATTAGAAAAGTGTGCAAATATGGAATACACAAAAGAAAATAAGAGGCAAAAGTTTGGATCGGGTACTGAGGAAATGCATGACATTTCCCATATACTTTGCCTCTTTTTTGAATTTTTTGCCTGCTGTATTACCGATCATCCACCAAATCGAGCAACGCATCATATGAAAAGTTTGGCTTACGCCTTCTCCTTATTGTCTAGAAAGGTGACGATCCTTTCAGCCTTCTAGCCAATTTTTGTCGTATAATTGTCGTATATGGGTCGTAGCTTTGTCGTATCAATAATGTCAAATCAGTAGAATCCAGTCTGGGTGTTTGCTGTTATCTCAACATATTGAGCTATTTATCAGGCATAATATAGTAACTGAGCAACAGAATTTTATCTTTGAAGTTGAGGGATTTTATTACCCCCTTTTTTTTAAGGTTTGAAGTGGTCTTGTGCTTTTGAACCGTTACGGCCAATCATTTCTAAGTGGCTAACGAGAAAGTAAACAAACAATAAGCTATATAAGAGGGAAAACACGACAGCCATGTTCCTTTCTCTGTCTTTCTTCTAATCTACAAACATATATTTATAATGACTCACCGATACGACACCGACGTGAAGTTCAGCCTGTACCCTGACGAGATGATCTCTATGATCCCGGAGAAAAGAAGCGCAGACTTGTGCAAAGAAGTGCGTTTGAAAAAGTATGTTAAAAGAAACGTGTCTCCTGCTATCGTCAGCTCTATTTATTAACAATCTCATTTTTTCACGTAGCTTTTACTTGGATTACAAGTATCAGTGTAAACGATTCGGCGAATTCGTCGTCAAAATCGATGAAAGGGCCCGAGAAGCCCTTGTTACAAAAAGAAACCAACGCTTGCAGCAGCAAGTCGTTCCTACTCCTTCTCCGCCTTCTCCTCCGTCTCCTCCTGCCGCCACATCGCCCGCGCCTCTCGATGACTCCACTAATGCCGTCAGCAGAGGACAGAAGCGTCCTCGTGAGTCTGACGACGTTGGTGGACGAGAGAGCACCAAGAGATTGAAAACTGGTCCTCCTCCCAGTCCGTCTTCTGTTGTTACTTCCATCAACACCGTTGATCTGACGGGTTCGTTTTTGCCCTCTGCTGGCAGAGAGGCTAGTTTCACCGCTCCTTCCTCTGTCATCAGAGGTCAGAAGCGTTCTCGTGAGATTGACGATGTTGGTGGAAGAGCAATCAAAAGGCTAAAAGTCATTCATATTGCTTCCTCACGGGAGTAATATGGTGACTTTGTTATAAATATTATATATAATGAAAGTGCAATAGTTCACTTGTTAATAAATATCTCTTGCTAATAAATATTCTAAATAACTTTTTCTAAAAATGTGGCTATTAATTGATGTTGAACTATTTTGACAAATGGGCTCTAACCTTTTAACTGAGAGAATAATATGAGTAATAAGCGGGCATCAAGTTCAGGTGAAGTTGATACTGTCTTCATTTTGATCATTGTTGACAATCATACCGAACAGGACTGCTAGTAGGCGATTAATTGAATTGATTATGAAAAAAAAAAAAAAAAGGAAAAAGTCAAGAGGTTTTATATACATTAAAGAGATGGAAAAATCCGGGTATAAAGAAAATACATGTCCTCCGTTAAACAAATTATACCATTTCTCGTGAAATTCTTTCCCATAGATGCTATATTTTTGAAATGAATGAAAGAATTACCTACTTGTACCGTCATATAGCCTGATTTCGAAAAAGATCTTTCTTCCAAACAAATGTAACAATGACACACATACGCTCATGATAATGATGTCTTTACTGGGACTTTATTTTTGTTTCTACTGATATTGTTGTAGTAGCAGATTCTTGCAAGAGACTCTTCAACAAAGGCACGCGGTCAACACTTTTACCACCGAAATAATTGCAAAGACTATAAATAAAGCGGCACCATAAATATCCAGATGATGCGCCTTGAAAAATGACGTACGACGATCAGCAGTTTCAGGATGGAGCAGTGAAACCATATATACTATTGATGATTTCCAACAAAACTTTCCAAAGCTTAGAAGAGTAATAGTCATGTTGTTAAATACCAATAGCATCTATAGCGGCAGCTTTCATGGCGTTTGACTCTCGTTAGGCTGGTCTGAGATCATATAAATAACGGAAAAGTATAATAAGTTTATTGTAGAATCGGGTTGAGAAGGATTCGAATCCTGCTGTTGGCTCAAGAGTCAGAGAAATGTGATCGTTTATGTAAGGTGCACTAGATTCTGCCACGATGAAGCAACACCATAGGCAACAGTTAGTAACAGGATTCAGTATAGCTATATTTAACTTTTGAAAAAAAATTTTTGCCTACCTTCATTTAAAAGAATGGTAGAAGTAACGATGAAAGGGAGCTTTAAAGACAGAGTAGCTTTCGAACATGCATCAGCGAAATGATCACAGAGCACGACATCAACATTATTTCTGTTAAAATAATCCCTGGCAAAGCGATAGGCTGATTTACATCTATCAGTTAAAAGAATAAAATATTTCGAATATCACCACCTACATGAACCAGAATTTGCTTTGCATCATACTGTAACCTAACAACGCATACATGGGAGTATCTAATTTGCCTTCTTCAGAATTCTTGAAAAATTTTAATCTGTCAATTTGTACTATAGGATCATTAAATACTGTCGCAACATACTTAAAAGGTCTACCAATGGGTGTCATCTCGATCTATAATTGTATGAAAAAATAAAGAAAAGAGGCAAAACATGCAAGCATTAGTACACATTGATGCAGCAGAGAATCACTGATAGAGACATGAACATGTATATATTACAGCAGTCGAAAATTTTCCCATTACGTCCCCTTGTTCCTAGCTCAACCGTAAAACTCGATACCCAATTGCAGTGGGATGAGCCGCCAAATGCAGCGAAGAAAGCGATATTTTAAACGCTGTTGTCATGTTGATATAGAGTGTTCCTCAATTGCTTGAATGAATCTTGATCTGAAGCGTTCGACGATGGTGTGAGATCATTCTGCTGAGCAGATACAATTGATAATAAAAAGACAGTTGCTGTAAGTAATAATGAAGAACACATTTACAGTTTACTATCAGTGATAGTAAAAAAGGACTCAAAGAGAAGATGCTCTAACCGAAAACAGGGGAGTTTTTCCGTCCTGGTCAATGAACCCTTTATATATGATGTTTGGGCTTGAAACGTTTTCGCAAACAAATTTAGACCGGCGAAATTGATTTGCAATAGTACCAAGGAACGTGCCTCCCAAGGAAAGGTTTCAAATCGTTGGATCAAATACTGTTTGCAGGTCGCTTTCTAAATTTATAAAAATTGAAGCTGATCTGTAGAGGGGACTTGAATGGACGCTCATAAAAATGGATTCAAATAGATACAGGAAGGCACTGCAAATTTTTCTAGTTTTTAGCCACAACCTTGGTTATTCCTAATTATTTTGGTTAGGTAGCCTACTACACAGCTTCCTGCTGTTGGTTCAACTGTGGGAGCTACAGTAAGATGTATTTGTGAAGCATATGACTGGTAATGACTAAAGGTCTTATAATGATTCTATGATTATGATAATGTGTCTAGTATTTGAAGGTGTGTCTAATTCGTATTTATTTATTATAGGAGGTATAAAGATACTATAGTTGTGTCGTCAAACTTTTGTTCTTTCTGAAATTGTAATGAAATGCTCTTTTGCTAAATGCTTCCTGAGCTTTTAAGGTTGAACAAATTTCTTGTTGCATTCAAAGCAAACATTTACAATTACGACGAGCTTTGCCATTGAGTTCTATAATGAAAGAGGGAGAAAAGGCGAAAAAAAACCCGTATAACCCACATAACCCACACAATTCCACTACATAACCCCAAGTCAACTTCACATAATCCTTCGCATAATCTACCACATAACCCACATAACGGCACATAATCCACTACATTACCTAAATCAACAAAAAAAAAAAAATTTAACATAATGGATCGCATAATCCGCTACATAACCCACATCAAAAGAAAAAAGTTCACATAACCCACTAGATAACCCACATCAAAAATGCACATAATCCACTACATAACCCACAGCAAAAAGTTCACATAACCCACTAGATAACCCACATCAAGTTCACATAATCCACTACATAACCCACAGCAAAAAGTTGACATAACCCCACTACATAACCCACATCAAAAAAAAATTGGGTTATGTAGTGGGGTTATGTCAACTTTTTGCTGTGGGTTATGTAGTGGATTATGTGAACTTGATGTGGGTTATGTAGTGGATTATGTGCAATTGATGTGGGTTATGTAGTGGGTTATGTGAACTTGATGTGGGTTATCTAGTGGGTTATGTGAACTTGATGTGAGTTATGTAGTGGGTTATGTGAACTTTTGCTGTGGGTTATGTGAACTTGATGTGAGTTATGTGAACTTGATGTGGGTTATGTGAACTTGATGTGGGTTAGGTGAACTTGATGTGGGCTATCTAGTGGGTTATGTGAACTTTTTTGATGTGTAGTGGGTTATGTGAACTTTTTTGATGTGGGTTATCTAGTGGGTTATGTAAACTTGATGTGGGTTATCTAGTGGATTATGTGAACTTGATGTGGGTTATCTAGTGGGTTATGTGAACTTGATGTGAGTTATGTAGTGGGTTATGTGAACCTTTTTTTTCTTTTTTTGTCTTTGTTGCGCCTTGGCTTTAATAAAGTCGATATCGGCCATTGCGTGGGCATTTTGTTTTGACGTTCATTCCAACACTTGTAAGAATGCGAGCGAAACCATTGAAATGACCTCTCTCCACACTTTCTTCTGTGATTCTTTTTAATAAAGTGTTTTCCTGCAGAAACCTGTAGCACTTAACCTTACTCTTTGCCATTGCCCAAAATTGTTCTATTGGGTTAAACTCAGGGAAGGTTCAACACATTTATAACCACGGTACTGAATATATTTCTCTATGTTTTCATTCGTGTGAATGGGTGCATTATCCTTAACTACATAGTGACCTTTCATATGTGGATTTTTATCCATTTCATCAAAAGTCGTGTTAAAGAACTAATGTAGTGGCCTGTTACAGTCGAGCTTATATATATAGATATCAGCTTTTCGCTTCTTGGCAAGTCTTGGTTTTTTTCCGCTAATGGAATCAAACCTGCGGCAGAGATAGCGCCGATATAGATGTTGTGCTTGCTCTCGTAGTAGGCTTGGTAACAATAGCACGGGTGCCTTTTTTGAACCAAGCTCTTAAACATTTCATGTTTATATCAAAAAGCCACTTCATCAAGGAACACGCAATTTTTCAGGAAGTTCATGTTTGTATTTTCACACTTACAAACCCAATCACGTCGTTCCTCAATCTTCGCTGGGTAGAATGAAAATCTGCTTTTTTTCAAGAGAGGTTAGTTTCACTTATCATAAAGTTATAAACATTGCTGCAGTGAGACTTTAAGATCATGAAATTACTTCAATAAATGCTCGGTCACTTTGACAACAGCAGCAGAGGGATTAGCATATGCTCTTCTGTTAGCCTACGTTTTTACAGCTCTCAAAAATACTATCAGGAAATCTAACCTTATCCTGGACGGTATAACGCACATAATCACCCTTCACGTTGGCCTCGTTTATATGAATGTCATCATTTTTTGGCTTTTCTAATTGCATTGGACAAGCCGAAGACGCTTCCCTGGAAGCTGAACTCATTCTGATCGACAGTGGACTCCCTTGGCTCATGGCCGTCATTCTCATCAACACTTCCTGTCCATCTTTACATCAAAAAGGCGGTACTCATCTTGGAACGTAAAGTTTTGAAAAAAAAAAATAAACAAAAAAAAAAAAAAAAAAAAAAGGATACTGATGAAGATCTTGGTTTTATATTATTTCTTTCAAGTGCCAAGATAAATCATGGTGAAAGCAAAGCGACAATATTTTACTTTCATTTCTGACAATGAGAAATAGATATTGATTGGCTGCATTATTACTTTTAAGAAGCACTGTACAAGTGTTTGTTTTTAGAATAGATAAGGTGTAAAGATATGGCGCGTTGCTGGTGGGCTTTGTGTGCAAAAAAAACCCGCTGTCTTGGGTTTAGTAATTAGTGTAGTAGTTGACCCATTTATGTTAATGTTACTACCTGAAAATGATAACAACAAATTATTAAGCTTAACGATAGAGCTAGTCGCATTAGCATTGGTAATAGCTAAAGTAGTCGGTATGGTTTCATTTTCAGATGGTGGTGGGTGAACTGTAGAGGTAGTCGTTGAAATAGAAGCTGCTGATAAAGACGGTATGGATGAATACGATTTGACGGAGGAAGAGCAAGAATGATCCGTTGATGCCATGTTAGATTGTTGAGAATATGCTGTTGTATCGGGATGATTTGCCAATGAAATTGATGAACTAACGGTGCTGATGGTTGCTCTTGGAAAGTCAACAAATTCAGGGTATGTGTAACCTAACAAAGGATGGTTCCTTAAAGCATCAGCGCGTAAGCATTGCTCACTGCAATATAAAGATTCCTACAAAAGACATAGATATTTATCTATTTTGTCAGTATTTGCTAAAGGTCATTCATTACACAGATAGTTATCTCACAGAAAATGGATTGATTGCGTTATCACAATATGTACACCAATTCAAGTCTGACATTCTTGTTAGTTTACTCTATATGTGGGGGGGGGATATTGTAGAAAGATGATATGATGGAGGAAAGGTGAGGAAGAGATAGCGGGTGAATGACTATGCCATTGATTGTGCAGTAATTAAGATGAAGTAAAAAGAAAAAGAGAAAAAGGGGGGGAGACAGGCTAAATAGTGTCGTAATGATCTTGCTTACATCTTGGGACAATCACACACAAAAAAATAAGGGGAGCGTGTAAAAAAAAAAAATTGCCTTTTAGATGTCCAAAAAATGACTATTTTGACTAAAGCTGATATTAAGTCGTTTTAAAAGACTATTTAAAAAAAGTAAGAAATGACATTAATGGACTCTTATAAATTGCTACTTTTACCTTGTTTTCTATTACTCCATACGTACTTTATATTTAAAAGTTTTATTATACGTTTCTATTAGAATTCTCTCTGCTTCTCTTTTGCACACACGCACTCTTCAAGAGCTCGTTTCCTTTATTGGTGCATATCATTTGTTATCAAGTAAAAATATGATTGGTATTTGTAATCTTTGATCTTATTTTTTTTCTCATTCACATTACGCTCGGATCTCTCTGCTTCTACTACGTGCCCTCTGTCTCTTTTAATTCCCATAAATGGCTCACTCCATCAAATCACTCTTTTTCACTTCAAAAATAATAAAGTAGTCGTAGTTATGTCGTAATTGTATGCATTGCTTACGTGCTATCATCATGCACTACATTCGAGTTTTATGGTGTTTACTTGAGAACCTAATTTTGCTTACTCTTTTCTGTGATGATCATTATTTATTTACAAGGAATGAAAAGCCTCTTTTTCTGTAATGCTCATCCAACAAAAAAGTATGCACTTTAATGCTTGTGCATATAAAATTGTATGTGTGTGTATAAGCTTTTTTTTTTTTTTTTTTGCAATTCAATAGACAATGATAGGGTAGGGTGGGTATACTTTGGGTTAGAGTGTTGTTGCTCATGCTTGTGCTGTATTGATTAAGTTGAAATGTCATTTGAATTATGGCTCTTCTATCATTTTATCATTATTTTCATCTAACTGTTCTTGACCATAAATAGTACTTGCCTAATATGAAGAGAAAATAGAATGAATATAAAATTATTATGTTTGTTCGAGTCCAGAAGCCTTCATTGCCACTTACAATCTGCCAAAATTGAATGATATTATCGTCTGATGTGCTTGCCAACATCCACGGGTCTGCAGGATTCCAGCCAAAATCAGAAATACCGGCCGTATGGCCACCATGAATAAACTATGGGTTTTTATAAAGTAAAACCATTGTTTAGAAAGCTGTTTATGATAATAATCTATAAATACGCTCATCTTTACCAATAGTTCTGGTGGACCTTCTTTTGCATCTTCCTCCGATTGATCGGGTGCTGTTGGTATTTGCGCTAAATCCCAAACGTAAATTCTCCTATCCTCATTGCTGGCTGTAGCCAAAATGGCCTCGTGATGAGGCGACCAGGCCAGTTGAATGATTTCTCCTGTGTGTCCGTGAAGTGTATGTAGTGATTGATTCAAGTTTCGTAAATCCCATAATTTGGCGGTCTACATACAGAAATGAGAGACAGAGAGAGAGAGAGAGAGAGAGAGAGAGAGAGAGAGAGAGTTACATCAGTGATACACGTTTTTGTATGAATCTGAACAGACGACCCTTACCTTATCTGACGAACCAGTAGCGACAATCCATTCATTCGATGGACAAAACCCTACACAACTGACTTGACCATGATGTGGCTCGACGGTACTAAACGATCGACTGGGATCATCTCGAGTATCCCAACTAGTTAACATAATCAAAAAAAGCATATATACATTAAGACCTGGGAACTATTTGCTCAGACTTAAACCCTATACCCTTACACTTTCATTTTCTTATCATCGCCTACGGAAGCAAAGATGGAATCATGTTTCATGTGCCAGCTAATATCATTCACCGCTGCTGTATGTCCAGTATACACTTGTAGGGGTTGCAAGGTGCGGTTTTCTTTTGTCGCATCCGCTATATCCCATTGAATGACCTTACCATCATAACCTGCACTTAACAAATGATTTGATTTCGTTGTGTGAGGATTCCATTCTAATCCAAATCCTTCCTTTGTATGTCCTTTCAATCGAAGTGCTGGATTAAAACGCTCATTTTCTTTAGGGAACGATTCATGCATCGTTCTGTCAAACACGTAAACATCGCCTGACCTGGATTTAGTAGCAATGACATTAGGGTTGTCGTATTGATAGCGAGCCCGGTTGACTTCGCCGTCGTGAACAATCTTTTGCGTGATATGAATATGGGCATCATTAAATCCACCATAGCCACCAATTTCTATTTTCAATACAGATAGTTGACTTTTAGCCTTGCATCCGAACAGGAATAAAATTTTTCAAACACGCCTACCATTTGTCGTTTCTTCGTATTTTCTTAGGTCGATATCTTTCTCTTGATTTTTAGGCAACTGGATATTAGCAATCATTAAATAGTTTGGTTCTTCATCATTGGTGTTTGTTCCCAGTAATAGACGTTGGGTTTTATAGTTTTTTCCCGGCCGGTCTTCCACGTCAGGAAACCACTGACATGTTAAGCTTGGCCAATCAAGCGCCTTTGTAATGACAAGATCGTATAAAAACGGAGAGTTCTTTTTCCATACTTTGTACTCTTCGTTGATCATTTTTTCGTGTAAGCCTTGATCAGCTTCATTCTGTTCTGTCATCATTGAGTCTGCAGTTGCGCTATGCACTGTATGGGTCATTGTTGTGGGCGGAGTAACCATAGGCGAAGAGTTCTCGTTGCTAACTGTCAAGGTCAATTCCTATTTGTGTTAGCAGGCTTCGTGTACACACATGGTTTTTCATGTTATTTCCACACAAAAAAGTTATTTCATTACCATAATTCATTATTTAACTTATATTCCTCCTTGAACAACTTGAACAACTTGTAAAGGATCGAATGAGTGATGATTGCAAAAAGTAGATTCAGTATGAAAGGAACAGAAATAAGGCTATTCTCTCCGCGTACCGTGTTTCTAATTTATCGTCAGCCCTCTCTCTTATCTCCCAATCGTCACGCCAATTCTGTAAAAATAGAGGGGCGAAAAACAAAGCTAGCATGAATCGAATTTTTTTTTTTTCTTTCTTTCTTTTTCTGGCTCTAACACAATGGGAATATTGAATGGCAACCTACCCTTGGCTAGTTTACGATTGAAGGACGATGATCTACCAACAGAAACGTCTATTGAACAAGTAAAGTCCACACTTTGTCTTTTATTTTCAAAGCTTTTGCCACGAATCTCATTAACGCTACTCTTTTGATCTACCTAAAGAAACGAACAGAAGACGCAGTATTAGAAAAATTCGTACCCTACGCTCCTCATAATCCTTCAAAGCATTCTTTAGACACGTAACCGTAACTCTATAACTACGCTACTCTACCACTATTTTGTTTTTTTGTCCATTGACCCACTCAAAATGAAATGAATCATTCTATTAGCATCCAGTTGGAAAGAAAAAAGCATCTTTCTTACTTGAAAAAAGCACTCAAAGGTATCGGTAGTTGGGGAGCGGCTTTGGATGCCAGCAAACCATGGATGCTTTACTGGATATGCCATTCATTAGATCTTTTAGAATTCCAATTCACACCCGACCTTATTGACAAGGCCATCCAAACGTTGAAGCAATGGCAATTACCAAGCGGTGGATTTGGGGGTGGAGGGGACCAGCTCGCCCATTTGGCCACGACGTATGCCGCTGTGAACGCGGTGGCGATCCTTGGCACGCCCGAAGCCTACGCGTTGATCGACAGACGCAGCTTGTATCAATTTTTATTACGCATGAAACAGCCAGATGGCTCCTTCACGATGCATGAAGGCGGCGAGATTGATATTCGAGGGTCGTATTGTGCATTATCTGCAGCTGCACTCACTCACTTGTTGACACCAGAACTGACAGAGAATTGCATTGAATTCATTCAGCGCTCACAGACGTACGAAGGCGGCATTGGCCCCTATCCGGGCAAAGAAGCACATAATGGGTATACTTTTTGTGGTTTGGCTGCGATGGAGATCGTGGGCGGTGTGCACACACTGGATGTGGATCAATTGACCACTTGGTGCTGCGGACGACAAATGCAATTAGAGGGCGGTTTTCAAGGAAGAACAAACAAGTTGGTGGATGGCTGTTATTCGTTTTGGGGAGCAGGCGATTTTCCGATATTAAAAGCTGAATTAGACAGACAACAGTTACAAAGTGAGGATTATTTGTTAGATAGAGAAGCTCTACAAGAATACATTCTTTTATGCTGTCAGTCAGAGTCTGGCGGTCTGATTGATAAGCCCGGCAAAGGGCCAGACTTTTATCATACATGCTACTGTTTATCAGGCCTGTCTACAGTTCAGCATCACGTACAGTATCACGATGTGCAACTGGCTGTGGGGGACGCCAAAAGCACTGCAGATGGGTTACGGTCGTTGTTATGGACAAGTAAAAATGAATACATTATTGTAGGCGATGTGGACAATTTGTTAGCAGCGACGCATCCAGTGCATAATATCACTTTGAGAGCTGCCCGAAATATAATACACCACTTTTACAAGGAAGAGATAAAATCCATACAAGACTTATTGCCAAAGGATGAAGAAATCACACTCTATGCCGCAGAAGAATAAATAAATAAAAATAAAATAAAATACATGTCTATTATTTTTTATAACAAAGATAGAAAATCATCCAAACTATTGCCTTGATTCGCATTTTGTTGCTGTTGCTGTTGTTGTTTGGCTAGCAAAGCCTTTAAACTATTCTTCTTGCCCTTGTTCTTCTTTTTCTTTTGGATAGCCGCATCGGTTGTGGCAGGTATATTGGATGTGTCTACTTGTTTATTCTTATGGATTCCTGATGTATGCGTATTATGTACAGTAGCCATATGAGTGGCCGTTGTGTGGGTGCTGCTACTTTTGACCATGGTAGTTGCATTACGACGGGTATGTTGAGAGGCTGTTGCACTTGCCGTCTTTGTTACAATGGCAGTGTTCTTCGTCACCATCGTTGTTTGACTCTTTGACACTGAATGGCTATCGTTCGTACTTTTGAGCGCAACTGTTTTCAATGCACTGTTTGAGGGTAGTATTCGCTTGAAGGAGCCATTGTACACTTTCGAACGCTGACAAGCCAGACAAGTATATTGTATTTTATTCTTCTTCACGGATGCGATCTTGTTTTTTTTTTTCTTCATCTTCTTCAATTTATCGTCCGTTACAATATCCACTTTTGTGTTCAATCCAGGTAGAGTGATCTGTCCACAACTTGTACATGCTGATCGTTGAACAGACTTTGGTAATGTCAATTCATACTCTGCCAGAGTGTTTTGAAACTCATTCATATAATAGCGGCTCAAAGAAGGACATTGGCCAAGAACTGAATAGCTGGCTTCATACAGAAAGTCAAGTCGGCTCGATTGTTGCAGAGATTGTAACTGACTGTTGTTACTGCTATTGGCCATGTCAATTTGGATCAGCTGAGGAAAGATATAATTTTTTTTTTCTCTTTTTGTCTGCTGCTGCTGTTGCTTCCACATCGGTTTTGTGTTGCAGCTTTATCTCCGCTGACCATGGTCCCAAAACAGGCGTTATCTCTTTCTGGTGTGGGTTGGGAGTGATCTTTTATGCAACATAATGCAGGGTCTACCTTAACCTCTTTGTGCAATCTGATACATACTGTATATGGTAAATAAGAAAAATAGTGATGTTCGATGATCTGATCAGGATTTATCAAGAAAAAAGAAGCTTCTATGAGTGGTGTATCTTTTATTTATGAATGTCTAAAATGATAAAAATGTGCAACAACAAGGAATGGGTGAGCCATAGGAATACCCTCACGTGATATGGCCGTATGATCGCTATGTTCTTTATTATGTATACTGTCTTTCTAGAAAGCACAAAGGCACGAAAGAGAGAGAGAGCTTTTTTATTATCAGAAATTCACATGGAGATCTTCACTCTGCTTCAGCGTATAGCAAAAAATCTTTGTTATTAGCAAATTATTTATTTTACAGAAAAGAAGGGGGGTCTTTTGCCCTATTTAAATAAGACGGAAGAAGCGAAGACTGATCATAATACACTGGTGGATGTTGGTAATAATGGTTACTCATATTATCGTTATTGTTTATGCAGGCATTATGATGATGATGATGATGACTATTGATGCATGGTGTCATCGTGTTCATTATTTGTATTGGTGGATGGTTGTTGCGATGAATGGTATTATTCCGCTGCAATAGCAGTAGTAGTTTTGTATTTTCTTGGTTATTCGTGCTGTTATTCGTGTGATGAGGATGGCTGGTACTATCGTCGATACTTTGATATTGATCCATATCGAGATGTTGCGGCTGCATTACTCTTGACAATCGGTATTTTACACCCAAGTAGCTCAAGTAATTTGCTTTCGGAAAGACACGCACTTTTTTTACAGCAGGAAACAGAGGATCTTTAATATCAACAAAAGTGCCACCTAATCCCAGGGTTTGCTCTAGTTTTTGCTGATTTGACTGATCGAAAGGAACCCACTTTGCATTAATAAACACAAGCCAAGTAAAATGGTTATGGACACTACTCTTTCTTCGTTTATATTGATGATCAGATTTCGTGCTAGAAGTCGATGAAGTCACTGTAGGAGATAACTGCTGCTGCTGCTGCTGCTGTTGCTGCTGTTCTTGTTGCAGCATGTGCTCAAAATGGTACGGATGATTGCGAATATTATTGTGTATTGTCATTTTCATCTTGCTGTCAAGAATAAATTATACATAAAGAAAGAAAGAAAGAAAAATAGACAAGGAAAGAGGCAAAACCGCTCTCTTTAAACAATTTTTTTATTGTTGTAATACAAGTTGAGCAAATTCAGCAGAATAAAAAAAAAAAAAAAAAAAAAAAGCATGATTCCCACCCTAGGAAGCAATCTTTATTCTTTCATCTGATCATCATTTGCTGTTGGTAAAGCTGGTATTTTGTTCTTGTTTGTATTTTTATCCATATTATCGTCTTCTTCATCATCATCATCATCCTCGTTGTCCTCTTCATCCTCTTCCTCCATATCTTCATCATGATGTTTGAGCGCTGCTCCCATATTATAATGCATAGCACGTTTACGTAGAAACTCTTCATGACGACGTTTTGCTATGGGATAGATAATGAATAAGCAACACTCTCAGAGGCCGTAAATGACCGTCGCATCAACTATACCTTCTTCGTCTTCTTCTTTATCCTCATCCTCTTCATCATCCATATCCCAATCATCGTCATCGCTAACGGATACTCTTCTGCGTGATTTTGAACCGTTCGTTGAATTGGATGCTATACTACTCTTATCTGATTCCATTCCACCATCCAATGTAAATTCCTCTGGTTCTTCACGACTGCTACCGTTGGGTAACCCTGGTATAGCTACACAGTTTTATTAGTAACACTGAGAATCATCCTCCATAAAGCCCCTTCATCTACATTTTTACTTACAATCCAAGTTGAGAACCTGGTCTGTTTCTGCATTATACTTTACATACGGTGTTTTAGGCTCATTCACTTTCATTGTAGAATCTTTTTGTGCTTCTGTTAATTCCAAATTGGCTTCATCCCATCGTAAACTATACAAGACAAATTTTCAGTTTTTCCACTTGTACTCAGCCCCTTTTCCCTGCCTCTATGATTTTGGTTGTTTGAGCTTTTACCGCGTTTGTTCACTGGGTGCAGTATGTTTCTTTAGAATGCCTTTTTTCGGCTTGGCGTTCAAGTTGGGTGAGTAGCTCATGTCGTTTCAGGTATAACGATAAAAGAGAGAAAAGAAACCGTTTAGCCCTTATTCAGAAAAAAAAAATACAATTTATGCGGCGCGCTGCTAAACTTTTTTGCGGAGTTTTATACTTTCTTGCCCTGAAATACGTTTAAAGAGAGGTTTTTATTGACAAAATATTTTCTTTAAAACCCAGTGGGCACAATGTTATATAAAATTGCCCGGGGCAGATCCGACTGTTTATAAAGTATCTAAAAAGCCCTTCAAGATCAAGGGTAAAAACGAGTTTATCACAAGGTTGAGTGATTATGGGGAGACATCCATTGGAGCAGTAAAGATCCTAGAGCAGCATCCAAGGGTGGGGGTTCTTTGACGTGGAATAGATAGTCAAGCTCATATAGTATGTAGCAGAGGATCGGCCATAGGTGTTCCCATTGACGTTTTATCATAAGTTGTCTTGGCGGGTGGTTAGGTAGCTGATTTAGAAGATACGAAAGGGGATCTTCTATTTGCTGTGGTTGCTGCAAACGCGAGTGCATATGCAGGCATTGGATTGAGTGTGTCTTTGTTAACAATGCTGAAGGGTGCCGGATGCAGTAGGTGGTGTTACCACTAGGTAACCAACCAAGTCGCCAACGAAGACATCGACTTCTTTCTTCTCTTGTCATAGGAAGCCATAGTATGGGATCTAAACTTACTGTTCGGCGGCAGACGGAGATGAGCTTAGAGTTTGTTGGGGCGCTTTGCATTGCTTGTAAGGATTCTGTACGAAAGTCTCTCAGGGACTGTTTAAGAATTTTCTGATCCATTGTCTGGGCGTATTCCTTTGTTCTTTGCCAGAGAGGTGTACGAGATAGCTGAATCCAGATAGAAGAGCTATTTGGTTGTTGTACATATGGCAGCAGTAGGGACAGTAGGGCATCATCTGGGAGTGTTTGTGATCGTAACAGGAATTTAGCCTGGAGAGTGTAGGCTCTTTCTCGCATTGAGGGTAAGTTGGCTAAGTGACGCATTATATTGACAGAGGATCGAATTGACCCACCAAATATCCTGCGAATGCATTTGTTCTGTACGTTTTCCAGTTTCATATGATTTGTCCTGTTCAGTTTGCTTATCGCCAATCCGTATTCCAGTTGAGGGCGGACCAGATGAGCGTAGAACCTGAGAGATAGTAGCTTATTAAAGCCGTTAGGGTTGACTCCAATCGACGATAAGGTGTTCATAGTAGCCAGGGCTTTGGTTGTGTTGATATGTATGAGCTCTTGAGTGTCCAGGTAACCACCGGGCTTGAAAGGAACTCCCAGATATGGGAAGGAATTGTTGCTTTGTAGTGTGGATCCATAAAGGAGATATTCCATCGTTGGTTGATCAGACGAAGCCAGTATTACACACTTGTCAGGGTTCCATCGGTAACCACGGGAGTAACTATGCTGTTCACATTTTTGAAGTAGGGATTGCATTTGGGAGTCTTCGGCAATCAAAACCACATCGTCCGCATATAACAAACAGTTCATGTTCCGAACCAATTCCAATGGCGGTAAATCATCCACTCTTTCTTGGGTTCGTAGTTGAGTAGGTAGGTCATTGATGTAGTATGAATACAGTAATGGCGACAGAATAGAGCCTTGTAGCACACCAGTAACTGGGCAAAAACGTGAGGACTTAGCATTTTGTAGCAGTATCTCTATTTCCACTTCATCAAAGAGACTCTTAAGTAACATAAGGAGAGCTGTCGGTACGTGATGGCGAATTATGTTCCAAATATGTTGTCGGTCCACCGTGTCATAAGCAGATTTAATATCCAAAAAAGCTAGTACTGGGTTGATGCGTTGGTGTCGTCGTAATATATGGCATATTTCAGCCAGACATAGTGCTTGGTCTAAGGAGCTACGTGCAATACGAAAGCCTCCTTGGGCTATATCTATGGTGGGGCCGTTTCCGATAAGATATTCCTTAAGACAAAATTCGAAGATCTTCCGAAATACAGAAGTCAGGCTGATTGGACGGTAGTTGCCTGGGCCGTCCGGAGGACCTTTCTTGTAGATTGGGATTGTTTGTGCCACTCGCCATGTCTTCGGTGTATAGGACCATTGCCAGCAGAGGCGGAATGAATACCATAGATGGGGCGTAATAATATCTGCAACGGGACGGAGCATCTCAATGCGAACGTCATCAATACCTGGAGCTTTCTTTGTGGGTAACGAGGTGAGGGCCGTTTGTATCAAATCTTTGTCGATAGGGAAATTTTCCAGACTGTAGGGAGCTGTCTCTTGGAGTGGAGAGTTGTTGGATGGACTTCGGTCTTCTGGGAGATTTCGTCCTGAAAATATCATTTCCATGTGGGTAGCCATCTTATTTGCTGCTTCTTGAGGTCCTGCTATGTTAGAAAAGGAAGGCTTTAAGTTTCGTCGTTTTTTTATTTTGCTAAACCGTGCAATGGCTTTAGTAAATCCCTTGTTTTCCATGGTTGAGCAGAATTGTTGCCAGGTTTCACGTTTGCGTTGATGTATTAATCTTCGAAGTTTGGCTTGGGTTTTTTGGTGGAGGATCCAGTAATGAAGTGCATTAACTCCAGCAGCTTTACGCCATTTACGATAGTAGTGTTCTTTTTTGTCAAACGTGTTTTGCATCTCCTCTGTCCAAAAATGTTCCATCGTGATTGTTCTTGGTTGTGTCATACGGCCACAGACTGTATCCAGTGAGGTATATATCGCTTCACACATCGCTTGGTTCAAATGTTCTATCTCTTCGCCGGCCCGTGTTCTATGTTGCGGGTCAGTGTGGCTATTCGGGGAGCAGGCAGTTAGTGTTTCATTGAAAATTTGACGATAGCAATCAATTTTCTGAGGGTTTTTCAATTTGCTCAAATTCCATATCCTACGCTGAGGGGGCAAGGTAGTCGGGATTGTGGAAGCGGTGCTGAAGTCAAGCGTCATGAATTTATGGTTTGAATCTAGTGACATGTCGTCCAGGATGGTTAGTGTTGGTGTGAGTAGCTCAGTATCACTAAAGAAATAGTCAATAATACTCCTTCCATTGTAAGTGATTGAGGTGGGTTGTCCATATTGTAGTCGGGCGTTCCAATTAACTAGATGATTAATTTGAATCCAATCATGCAGCAGCTTGCCTCGGTATGTAAATGTCGAATCACCTGTGAGTGAGCCCATTCTCGCATTAAAATCACCGCATATGATAGTAGTGGTTGTGCCTGGCAATGAGGTTGGTATTTGCTCAAGAATGCTTTCTACTGTGTCGTTGGGTAGTGATGGGGGGAGGTATAAACAGTGGATAAGAAGTTTGTGCATTGTGAATGATAAAGTGTACTTAGCTAATAATGGTTGGTTTGTTGTGATGTGGTGGACTGGTAAGGAGTGGTTTGGGTTCACTAAAAGGGCTATTCCGTTTTGTCCACGGTAAGTATTTCCTACGGGTTCGCCATAAGTATGATATTGTTGCCAATGGGTGGGGTATCTATTGGGGGTTAAGAGCCACGTTTCTGTAACAAGTAAGATATGAGATTTTTCTGCTAAATTAAGAATAGGTGTGATTGCTTGTTTAGGTAGGCCTGTTGCATTAAACAATGACATAGAGATACTAGTCATTATTGATTGTCCTCCTCGAATTCCAAATCCGAGGGGTATTCATTCATTTGTTCGTCGTTGTCTGTGATGAAAATATCATTTTGAGTAGAGCTTTTGGCAGGCATGGTGGTCGTATAGGTTTCTTGGGATATCATATTTTGTTGGAAGAAGTATCTCGCTACTGCATATCTAACGGGAGTGCGAATGTAGGTGAGAGCACGATGGAGTCGTTGTTGATGAAGTTCTGTTGCTTTGGTCTGGCGTTCGCCATCTGATAGGGAGTCATACTGGGGATCTTTCAGTAACTTACCGTCTGTGGGATCAAAATTATCTGTAAGGTGTATTTTACATTTGCGAAGTTGGTCTTTGAACTCTTCGGCATAGTCATTGTGGACAAGGATTGCGACAATATTGCGGTCGGGGTAATGAATATCGAGGAGTCGGCTGTTGTTGATGCCTAAGGTGCGAAGTTTACTGCGAAGTTGTCCGATGGGTATACGTGCTTTTGTCGGAATGTACACGTATTGGAATCCTTGAGTTAGAGAAGGAGGCTGGAAATGACGAGCGGCGACTTCTTGACGGTGTACGCGTTTTTGGTGTTGGTGAATCTCTAGATTGCGTCTTAGGAGCGCAACTTGAGCTGGATCTCTCCAGGGAGGTAGTTGTTGGGTTGAAGTAAGGGGCATGGGTGGCAAGTATGAGTTAATGGGTGGTGGAGGCATCGCTCTAGCTGGTTGCGAAGAGTGCTGGGTGGTTGGTTGGTTACGGAGTGATGCTATTTCCTGCTCAGCTTTTTGTAGCTTTTGGCTCAATTCTTGTACCAATTTTGTAAGGTACGCTACTTGTTGTTGGGGGTCCTGGGGTGTTGCCCTGAAATACAGTGTTTTAACTACTATTTCAGACTTTTCACAAATTTTATTGGACACTATTAAATCTTAATTTAGACAACTTTCAATTATTTTACGATGAAGCGGTATATTATTCTTGGACGATTTCGCTGATAATCAATTATCCAGTATCATCCAAGCAGCATTAAGGATGGCGTACAAGCTAGTCCTAAAAATGAGTGCTCATAGTAAAGAGGTCGCTAAGAAAACTCTTATTGGCGTGACTTTGCAATAGGACGAGCTACAAAAAGCTTGACAACTTTTTCGTCATTTGACGATGTGTTATAAGACCGTTCGTCAGTGCCTTTTTCGGAACTTTGCCCAATGATAAAGACGTGTCTTTCTTTTCTCGCGTTTTGTTGTCAAAGTTAGATTATAATGAAGGGGTTCTTTTAAACGAGAATAAGATCCCTTCTTTTCCGTATTTCGCTTTTTTTGTAACTTACAGCTCTATTCATGTACAAAAGTTTCATTATACAGAAGATTAGATCTATTAAAGAAAAGCATAAGAACCAGGTTAAAAGGAACCCATTTGGTAAAATGCTTGATAATTGTAGGAGAACCGTCAGATCAAGATATAAGGATTCTGATATTT